AGCAAGAAAGATAGGGGAGATCAGTTGACTGGCAGAAGGGTGGATGAGAACAAGAGTTTGCAGTCTGTGAGATTTGGCACTCAAAATTGTTGACTCAGAGGAGTTGTATAGTGGACTAGGGCTCAGACATCTTTGACCTTAAACTTGGTGACTACCAATGTGTTCATGGCAACTATTTTGTGGTGGTGCCCAGGACAGTTTTTCAAATTTCCAGATGTATCCACAGTCTCTTGTCAGTTTGCTCCCACATGGCTTTTTGAACCCCCTGTGTTAGCTGACTTTTTTCCTGGGATAAACCATTCTTTTGAAAGTATCTCTATGTGGCCATGCAATTTTATAAATGTACCATGAAGAAAGATCAAAAGTTAATGTTCAGGATCATCATGTAATTAGCTTCCTGGGAAATATAAATAAGGTGAATAATATAGCTGTCACAAGATATTATGTGGCATAATCTGTGTCTTCTTAATTGTAAGGGACTGGCAGTCCTTCAATGTTTGGAGAAAGACAGGCAGAGAAGGACGGTCCTTATTCATGTGTTCAACTGGGTCAGTTAGTTGCAAGCATGGATCAGGATTTTTCTTTCCTCTTTGAGGCTAAAAAATTGCTGGCTAACCACTTAGTGGGCAAAGTGCTGAGATACAGTACATGTATGCAGGGTGGGCTACTGAGACTACACGTTGGGCAAGTTTTCCCAGCATTACAGCCCAGACTGCAAATGAGCTATGCAGCTTGGGTTATTTGTGGAAGATCATGTGCTTGAAAAGGGGGACAAGTTGTAGATCATATCTTTGTGGGGTACCTAGAGACTTGGAAAAGTGTGGGAAAGGTGTAGGGCCAGTACTCTAAAAATAAAGGATTGCACCACTAAAAAGAGCAAATGTCCTCACCTCCCCCTTTAATGAGCAAAGTTTCTCTCCCTGCTCTGCTTTTCTTCTTGGCAACTTGCCGTTTGGCAGCTGTGAAATAAACTGAAATAACCGATTTATATATCTGATATACTTTAATGCAATTCATAAATGCCTAGAAACATACTTTTAACAAAATTTTAATTATCTTGTATAATGCTTTTGGCCAAATACTGCTTGGGCATTAGGTGTAATAATAAAATAGGACCCAGTTAAAAATATCTTTAAGAAAGGGTGGTGGGGTTATTGGCCGCTTATCCTTGTAAAGAAAGGCAAGTAGGTGTGGGTGAAGATGTCTTTGAGCAGACTGAGTTAAAATGAGTTTTATGGTACCTTAACATTTAAGTTAGTCTTAGGTGTCCCTTGCTTACAAGTTAAGCCTACTGTGGAATTAGAGATTAGCGTGTATTTTACAAGGAAAACCCTTGACATTAACGTTTTAAATGTTAATATTAATTCACTTATAGTTCCTCTAAATGAGATAGAATATACATTTTTAAAAGGTCAAGGCTTATTCTGATCTTATTTCAATGACAGCATAGAATGTTCCTCTGTTAATGCAAGAAAAACTACCTGAAATGATAAACACTGTGGCCTAAAGGATTATTGGGGCCTGTGGGTGGAAGAGCAAGGCTGAAAAATAACAAATATAATTAGCTGCTGGATCATTCTGAAGGTATACAAGACAATACGTATATTTGATTAGATACAGAAAAAGTATATTGAACAATTTCCACATACTGTTTTTAACGACAAACACTCCACAGTTAGAAAGCATTAAGCCTATGTATATATTGAATCAATTGCTTATAAGAAGGCTGGCTCCCAAATTTCACTGAAATTTCTGTTTCTTAGGAGGAAAGCATGCCTTTGTTCTTTCATGAACTGTTCATTATATCAGTTTAAGTAAATCTCTTTGGAACTGCAGTCAAATTGCAACTGCTGTTTATGGATGTGTCTTTCTTCACCTTGGTTTTTTGTGTTTTTGAAACTTGAGCTATTTTAAGGTAACAGCCACCAAACTGATCAAGTAAAGATGCAAATTGACTAGTGTATGGCCCATTTCAGGTGTCACAAAACCAATTGTGCCAAAGCCCGATTCAGTGATTAGGAGCACCAGACTGAACTTCCTGCTTCTTAAGATTGAAATAGTTGTGGTTCACTGTGGTGTCTGAATTAGACCTACTACAACTGAGGAACAACTATGGAGAACTGAACATATAGCCACAGTATGAATACATGTCTTCTTAAACTGAAACTCCAGTAGTGAGTACAGCTTCAGCCAGTGGGAACTACTGTGCTGAATATCAAAATTCTGGCAGCATGTGTGCATCTCGAGGCATATCGTATTGCCTAAGTATTCTTAATCAGTGACATGGAAATGACAGGAAGCAGTACTGTCAAGAATGTTTTGATTCACTGTGAGATAGTGGTCTTCTTGAAATAATGAAAATAATTTGTTTTCTGCTATCACATTTCTATAAGATCTGTTCAAAGCTACATGGCTATGCTTACTTTAAATAGTTATTTGTCATATCTAAGTAAGCCAGTCTTTCTCTGCATTAGATGGCAGTTTTGTGTTGTATAGGTTGATGCTACCATTTTGTTTTGCTACTGAAATTGATTTTCATGCAACAGATTCAGTCAAAGGACAAACAAGCTTTGTCACTGAATATGTATTATTCTGACTTCTGAAATTTAAATGATAGGGGTAATGATTATTTACTAAGACTTCTTTGATAACATTATGTCTTAAAGAGCAGTTGTTTTAATAAATGTATCATCATTTATCAATGTTTCTACTATCTAAAAAGAAAACATTTCTATATTAAAAAGTATTCTTAAGAATACTTTAGAAACTAATGAAGTTTGATTAGATCAGTGTAATAGTTGAAAAAATAGTTATTCTTCTCTTAAGAATCCTTGGAAGTAATGTTTTATCTGCATTCAGATGAGGGTGGACTATGAATCATATCATGATTGTGGTTTTGTTGCCTTAATAATAACACTAAATTTGTTCCATTCATCCCATTTTGTCAGCTTGTTGTCTGAAAAATAGAGTGATTAATTTGCCTGTAGGAGTATCTGTTTTCATATTTTAAAACTACTTAATCCAGCCTGCCTGGGGAACCTCTGCAGTTGCATTGATTTTAATTTATTACCTTAAGGGTTTTTATTTTTAAAGAATTTTAGTTGCTTATCCCTGTTTAATATTCTGTAGTATCTTTATGCTCTCTATAGATAAGTTGTAACATCATGTATTACACCCTCTGGATTCTTCTCCAATTTTATCCTTCTTCCAAAGGTCTCTCTCCCCTATTTTCCTTATTTTATAGCATGGAATTGCCCCTTTTTTAAAATAAGAATTTAAAATTTAGTTAATTGTAATTTAAACATCTCTTTCAACACTCCTTTTTAGCTGAGTTGTCGCCATTTCAATGGTGTGTGAACAGCAGTCTTTGACTTAACCAGGAATATCATTTGGAAGGAGGTTTAACTTGCTGCTATTACATAAAACATTTAAAGAGTTCTGCTGCATCAGATCAAAGGCCTGTTTATGTATTGCATTCCATTCCCATAGAAGCCTACCATATGTTTATGGGAAGCCTGCAAGCATGGCACTAGGGCAACAGTGGTTTCATCTGCTTTCAGGCAAGGGACAGGTGTTGTGCTTTTTCCCAACAATGTTTCAGAATTACTTTCTACTAAAATAAAATTGGAGTCATTAATAGGGATGGCTGGTCCCTTTCTTCATGGTCCTCTGCTGGGTTCCATTTCTGAGACCAGAACCATGGTTTGATAAAACCTTGGGGACTAGCAGAGAGAGAGAATTGATCTCAACAATCCTTCAGTCATACTGTTCTACAGTTTTTTCGCTAATGAAATCTATCATGACGATGTCCAAAATAAACTTACTAATTAGGGAGTAGTTTAGCTTTCCATTGTGAGCAGTAAGGTAAAACTTCTGTTTGAAATACGAATATTGCAGCTATCAGGGTTCAAAATAGTTGGCATGAATTAAGTCCTGTTTAGAAGTTGTCTCTGAGAAGAGATCAGGAGTAGGGGTTTGGTATATGTACTCTTCCATTCTTCTGCTTCTCTGAAATGAAATAATGAACCAGACACTCCCATACTGTGAGCACACAAGTACACAATTCTTCTGTGTATAAATGCATTTATTCATCTGTTACATATTTTACTATTGTTTGAAGTAATTAACATGAGGCAAGAATTGCCTCAATTGTTGATAATTGTTGATTGATAATAGTTATTTCTTTTTCTATCAAATACACACTTATAAAGAGAGAGAAAATAAAGCTGTATTGCCCAATTAGATTTCATATTTAAACCTTTTATAGCTTTGATCTTGTTTTTTCATATAGTTTCTGTGCAAAGGATGTTTATGGATGGTTGAGTTATTCTTAAAGAAGTACTTGCTTTTTTGTAAGAATATTATTTTTAATATTATATATTAATATTTCTGCCTGAAGTGACCTGCAGAGAATGTTCCCTTCAAAGGTGGCTGCAGTTTTAAGGGGGTCTTTAGCAAAGTGCATTCTTGTTAATCCCTCCTACTTTATTTGGCCTCAGAGACTCACTGGGGAGTAACAGCGGTCCCAGTGGACATTGCTGTTTAAATTTTTCACAGTGTTCCTGCCAAAGTGTTGCTCCAGAGCATTGTGGGAAACTTAAGTGGCATATCCTTGATACTTATTGGGGTGCCATGTGCTGGTGTCTGTTTTCAGCACATGGCATCCCATGACACCTTGTAATTTTATGTAACTATGAAATGACATGGATAGTAAAGAGTTGAGGCTCTTGTTCTTTCACTACTGACTTTGAAACAGATTGTCTGTAGTCTTATCCAGGCCATTTGAGTTTATTGAACTATTGTCTGTAGTTAATCCATAAAGGAAATCATATTTAAAGAGAGATATGGTTATGTATTTCAAAAATGGCTCTCTCAAAGTTGTTCTGTGAGTTTGCATTTCATGGTAAATATTGTTATGCAGATTTGTTATATCTGTTGCATTGATTTGTTATATCTGTTGCATTGAGAAATGACAGCCTGTTTAATTATCTGTTTTTCAGTGAATGAATTTTTAGCCTTTGAAGGCCCTATGCTACTGGATATACGTATTAAACATTTGATGAAATCAAAGCAATTAACTCAAGCAACTGCCCTAGCAAAACTGTGCTCTAACCACCCAGAAATCAGCAGCAAAGGCAATTTTAAACAAACCTATCTAGTCTGTCTTTGTTCTGGATCACCAAACGAAAAGCTAATGCAGGAGGTGAGTATGCTTTATGTGACTATTTCTCAGAGCGTCACTGTTGGAAGTGCATTCTGTGAAGGGCAGAGATGATCAGAAACACTGTTTAAGGGTGGTGCATTGGGGCATATCTGAAGAAAGAATTATGTGTGCACAGCACTTCCTTAATATTTAACCTTGAAACAGTCCACAAAATATAAGAGAGAACTCCTGGACTCTTTAAGATGTTACTGATAAGTTTACTGTTTTGCAGGAATGTTTCTGTTTCTCACATTAACCAACAGTAGTCTCCTAAGTAGCATACCTATGGTCATCCATATGCTTTTTGCATAGACCAGGCTATAAATTACAAGTAAGCATAGAAAAGTCTTATAAGTGCATGATTTCAGTAATTATTGATGGATATGGATTTGTCAGAAGGCATTTGAGACAGATTAATTGTGGACTCACTGAGCTCTTTGTGGCAAGCCTTTGAGACATGCATACTACTCCTTTCTGGTCATCACAAGGGATCTGGCAATCTTGTTTGAGATTTTGAAGAAAATTACAAAACTAATGTAGTTGTTAATTTTGCAGTTTAAAATTATACACATTTTGAAACTGCACCTGTTTTCAAAAGCTAGGTTGGGGTCACAGGACACAGAAAGTTATTTTGCATTACTAGCTATGGTGGGTTGCTGTGTCATACTAACCCAGGCTATAACATAGGCTACTGGTTGTTGAACTCATGATGGGTTGACATGTTGTCTGAACCCAGGAGACTGATTCCATCATGGCAGCAGGGAAGCAGCAAGAGCAGTGACAGCCTTTCCACTGATGCTCAAGTGGGAGTTTGAAGTGACTGCTGCTGGTTTGCTACCTATTAAAAAAAAATCAAATATGCACGTACAGGAAAGAAACCATGGAGGTATGTGCACCACAATATATCACACATTTCTCTTCTTTTTATATCATAACCATGAAATGTACATATATTTCCCTTAAATGCACACATTTACCAGACAGTTTCTCTAAAAATGAAGAACCTTAGAGGTTGCAGAATGAGACAAAGTAAATGGGATGCCCTACCAAAGTGCTCCCATTCCTTTTGTCGGGACTTTTTGACATCTGTTAGGGAACTGTAGTAAATACCCCAAAAAAGAAACACACAGAAGGGTCACCTCAAGACCATCCCTGTCTGAATTAGATGGAAACTTCAGAAATGTCCCAAAGTGGAGGGTACTGAAAAAGTCAGTGCAACACTTAATAACCCAGATGTTAGTGGGAGGTCTACAACCCATTTTTAAAGATGCATTTACCTTCATGGTTTTTTCTGTTTGTAGTGCATTCCAGTTGACAGCAGTGTAGCCAATATGCAGTGTCACTGCCTTATTCTGTTTCCATTTGACCACTGTAACTGACAAGGTAATAGAGTAGTCAAAAATACAAATAATTTTGGCTGTCCTACACATAAACAACTCCAGAAGACCATCAGCAACAACAGAAATTATGAAGACGTTTGTGTGTGTTTGTGCAGCTCAAAAATGAAGACAACAAGCTGGTGAAAGTTACTCTGAAGTGCTGATTGGGCATCAGTGGAGCAGTTGTCACTGCTGGCAACATGAGGCTCTTTAAAAAAAAAAAAAAGCAAACAAAATTGGGTTCACAGTCAGAGCAGGGAGATGAGGCAAGTTATGTCATGCAAGGCCCTGGCATGCTGGATGGAGGACAGTGGAGGGAAGGAGTGGGACAGCTGACAGTGATCCTCTGTTAGGATGAGCAACACACTTTGCATAGCTTATTCATGTGAACTGTCCCCTTGTGTCTACAATCAAAAACAGTACAAGAGTCCCTTGGTGACACCTTGGTGATTTGGTGCTTATAAGATGGAAGTTTGGTTATACTTGTTTTGCTTCATGTCACTAGTGTTTCTGAAGAGGAGCAAATGGTTCTCAGATTCATCATTTTGGAGTGGTTAGAGTTTGCCCATATAAATTACCTAGTCCTTGAGGTGATAAACCTCTTCCTGACCTGTAACACTTTAGACTGCAGGTGGAATGATGATTCTGTTTAGGCCCTTGTTGCCCCATGAAATGGCAAGGCACAATGGATCATGAACACAGTCATTCCTGAGCATCCTTCAGCAGTGTGGAGTTTGGATGGTTCCTTACTTAATGAGAAGTGTTGGACAGTGGACACAAGGTAGAAGTGGCATCTTCAACTTCCTGCCATGAACATTACCAAACATGCACGAGAACGCATAATTGCACCTACTGTGTGTCAGTGAGGGCAGAGAAGAACACTTAGTTTGCTGCCCCAGTTGAATTCTCAAGTAACTGTCCACCTGAGCTCTTCTGAGTGATTCAGAGCTAGGTTGGGTCTACAAAGTGAGTCCAGTGCTGGAATCCTTAGAGGCCTTCTGTTGTTCTCCATGGTCTCTGTGCATCACACATATGGGCTGTGCACCTGCCTAGGTCCTCTTGTTGGCAAGATTTCCTAGCGAGTCTCATTTTGGTGGGAGCCCCTTCCCTCCTGCCCTTGGTATATCTGGGAGGGGTTCTTGTCAACTTCCTCAGTTCTTTTCTGACTATGGGTACCTTGGGATTTTCCTCCGCTGGTAAATATTGCTTTTCCCTCACTTACTTTCATTCTTATTCTATATTTTTTACAGTTCTTGCTTTTATTCTTACTCCCTTTTTACCCAAACCTTACCTTAGCCAAAGAAAAAAGAAAAGAAAACCCTCCTATCATCTTCTCCCCTGCCCCATTTCCAACACTATTGTGTCCTCTTGCCACCTTTCTTTCCTAAGGCAGGACCAAGTTGCCTGTTTTTTGAGCAAATCCTACAGATAGCTACCTTGCTTGGGCTCTAACCATGGCAACAGATTGAGAAGGTCATGGTACATTGTTTAATGCCATCTGGATGAAGGACATGGTACTGGTGTTGATCCCCTTTCTCCCAACACTCCTAAATTCCATCAAGGAGAACTCGAAAACACCAGCACAGCTGACACCAACATCTGAATTATTTGTAGGATGTAGAAGTACCACATCTAACAGAAGTAAATCTCATTCCTGCTGCAACATCTCAGAACAAACTCAATTACTGTTAGCACAGGGGTGGTCCCAGGCAGCTACATTATACCACATAACAACCACATGTCTCGCTCTCTACAGCAGGCAGCTACACAATCTAGGCAATGGGAGGCAGCTAGCCATTTCCAGCAATCCAGGAAGAGGCCACAGACAGACACGAGGCAGCATTGACAGCATGACCGACTAGTCCCCCTTTCCCCATCTTGTTCAAGATGTGTCTCTCCCACTTGGGAAGCCATAACATCAGACAGGTGAATTCCCTCCATTGTGGAGAGAGGATATGAGATAAAATTTGTCACTCTGTCATTTCTCAGTTCCATGAGGGTCATGCCACCATCCCCTGTCCTGGCCCTGGAGGTGGCTATGCTGCTCCCAAAGAGGAACTCTCCAGCCTGTTCTTCCATCTGACTTTCAATAGGGGTTCTATTTCATGGTGCTGAAGAAGGATTGTGACTTCTGTCTGATCCTAGATGTCAGAGGTGTCAATTTCTCCTCCTCCTCTTCTTTCTTTCCTCCTCCTCTTCCTCGCCAAAGAAGTTTTGCATGGTTTCCTTGCAGAGCATCTTACCACTGCTACATCAAGGTCCATTGATTTGAAAGATGCCTATTTCCACATTAAAGTCCATCATGATTACAAATATTTCCTTTGCTTCCAAGTTGGGAGGGTTTTCAATTTTCTGTCTCTCATTTGGACTCTTAACAACCCAAGGGGGTTTATTAAATGCATGGCAGTCATTCATGCCCACCTCCACCTGCAAGGAATCCCAAGTTTTCCCCTAGATGATTGGCTGCTTGTTGTCCCCTCAAAAGATGACCTCATTGAATCGGTCTGAACCACTTGTGACCTCCTAGAAACACTGGAACTTTGTCTAAACCAAGAAAAATATGTTCTCTCTCCCTCTTAAATGATCCTCTGCATTGGAGCATGGATCAACTTGATGACTGTGAGAGCCTACCTCCCAACCCCCAAGGGTGCAGTTCTGATAGGCATGGCCACAAGGATCCAAGCCAGCCCCAGAACTATGGTATAGCATGTGCAGTGCTTCCTTGGGTTTGTGGCAGCAACAGTCTCATTCAGCAGACTTCAGGTGCAACCACTCCACCTCTGGTTCATGCCCATTTGAGCCAGAAGTGTCTTGCCATCCCACGTTTGGTATGAAGGAATCAGCTTCACACTACCAGCACCAGGTATCGCAGTGATAACAGATGCCTCCCTCCAGGGGTGGAACACGCATTGCAACACCAGACCCATGGGGGATGGTCTGCGTGAGAGCTCCATGAGTACATCAGTTATACTTGATACTTGGAGCTCCTGAAAGTTCCCAAGGCTCTCATCATCTTCCACCCCATCCTTCAGAACCACCCTTTGTAGATCACAATGGGAAGCACTACTATGGTGTTCTACCTGAACAAACAGAGAGTACCAAGTCCATCTCCCCAGCACATCTCACCATGCACATTTGGGATTGGTGCATCAACAAGGGCATCATGGTCACTGTTGTCCATGTGGTCAGGACAGTCAATTTGAGAGCAGAATCCCTGACCAGGCAGGACACAGTTATACATGAATGGGGGACGCATCACAGAAAGCTTCTAGTCCTGGGGAACATAATCCATCAATCTCTTTACCACCAAGATCATCATAGTCTGCAACAACTTTTGCTTCTGAACTGGGACTGGTGAGGATTTGATGGGAAACATGTTCTTCCTTCACTGGAATGGAACTCATTTCTAGCTTTTCCCACCATTCCCACTCATTACCAGGGTATTGGCAAAGAACAACAAGAACAGGACCACCTGCATCCTTATCACTCATGGTTGGCCTCAGCAGTCATGGTTGGCACACCTGCTCTGGCTGTCAAAAAGTATGTTCGGCTGCCTTCCATCAAACCCAAATGTCATCTCATGGAATGAAGGGATGATCCTCCTTTCTAACATCAACACCCCCCCCCCCCCCGTACCTCACATAGAAGATCATCTAGTTAACCAGGGCTCACCTCTCTGACTGGATATACATGTGATCCTTGATGAAGCACTGATTATCCATGAGATCCCATCTGGTAAAGTAGAATGCGTTTTCCACATTTGCCCAGCGAGAATCTTCATTCGTAGCCAGTCATCCATCCAACAAATTCTTCACTTCCTGCACACTCTTTATAGCAGGGATGTGAAACCAATTTCCATCAAGGTCTATCTGGCAGTGATCTCCTTGTTCCATCGCTGATCCAAGGTCGCTTGGTCTTTTCACATCTGCCATTCAGTCAGTTTCTGAAAGTACTTCAAAACATTGCTTCATGAATCCAGTCCTTAATCACAAGCTAGAGCCTCTCAGTTGTTCTACAAACTCTCATAAAATGACCCTTTGAACTTTTGGCCACTGCACATCTCGTTTCTCAGAAGGGCCAGTGCATTACATGTTGACCTGCCATACTTTATCTTCCATAGAGACAAGGCAGTACATTCCTTCCAAAGGTGGCCTCACTAGTCCATCTCAACCAAGATACTGTTTTGCTGGCCTTCTTCACTATAACCTTTAAATCTGATCGACTCTGCCCTACACCTGCTTGATATGCACAAGGCATTTGCATTCTTTGGGTCTTAAAGTGAATCCTTTTGCTATTCCCAGGACAAGATGTCCTTTGTAGCATCCAGCAGAATGATCACAGTATTTAATTTCTCTTAGCAGTCTTCTAGTATAATATATGAAAATGAATTTGCAAAATTATAAGAGACATGCTCTGAAATGTAAAATGAGCTTTCACTTCTCACTCTTTTAAGTTCCTGTATGTACATTTCTCTAGAAACATAAGTAAGAAATACAACCACAGAAATTTCCTCTCTTTTTTTTAATATTCCTTTATTGTAATATGTGAAGATACCTATAGTAAGTAATGGAAAGTGCATTGTCTTATGTTATAAGCTGGTAGACTGTAAAGCACATGTAAGGACAGCAAACAGTTTCTCAGCTTTCATAGAAATAGGAGTTCCCTGTGGAATTGTGTGCAGATTGTCAGATACATAGTAGTTTCGGACAGTCATAGTCCATCATCTTTATGATTCTAAGAGTAGAGAATTGAAGTAGCATTCCTTCAGTAGCTTGGTGGAAATACATTTCCTAATTTTTTAACCATAGTTAGGGGAAAGAATGTCCACTTTCTATGGCTTTAATTGCCTTTCCTTTCCATTATTGACTGTGCAGCATTTTCACATTTGTGCCAAAACTAATACTAGGCATGGTTAGCTCCAAACCAGATTTTTCAATTATATCCTGGTTTAACTCTAGTTAGTATTAACCTTGGTGTAAACGAAGTGGTACGGCATAAGTGATGTTGTGGGCAGGGGGGCGGGGAATCGAAAAGGGAATGGAGCACACCTATGAGTCTGCACATGCCCAGTGGTTGCTCCCAATACTATATGTGCAAAAAAGTTTGTATTTTCCTTACAACACATATTTCTTTACATGTTACAGAAAACCCATTGGTTGTTAGCGTTCTTTCAGTTTAAACCTTGAACTTCGATCATTTTAAACTTGGGGATATGTTATCCAGTTCTTCACAAACTTAATCTATTATAGAACTTATACCTGGAGACTTACCTTTTCTAACAAATTGTCTTTGCCTGAAAATAAATTTAAGTATTTAGTTTTGTCATTTTTTCCTCTCCCTCCAGATTGCAGACATAGACTGCAAAGATGCATTAGAAATGATCTGTAATCTAGAATCTGAAGGAGATGAAAAGAGTGCTCTGATTTTATGTGCAGCATTTTTATCTCGTCAACTCCAACAAGGAGAAATGTATTGTGCATGGTAGGTTGGACTCTCTCTCCTTTTCAACTGTATTATATTATGGCTAGTATATCCAAGATGTAATAAATATGCCAAGTTATTGAAGAAAGCAAGCAGTGTATTATGCAATGAAGGTTTTTGCCATAACTACAATACAAATGCCACTGGTGTCCATTTCTCTGAATTAAGGCTCATAAAACAGATTAAACATTAAAAATCACAACTGCTTATTAAAAAAACAATTTCTAGGTGTCTATGTTGGAGTCTAATTCTACAGCTTTTAGCAGACTGATCTAATGGAAATTAGAGTTCATTTTAACATGTGTAGAACTTCTTTTGTTTTAATTTTTATGAATCTGTTAAGACACTTTTTCTCCATTTCCAGTCTAGTTCAGTCATTGTGAATGTCCTGTGTCAGTATTTTCCATGTAGCATCTAATGAATGACTGGCCTGCACAGTCCTCTGGGATAAAATAGGCAAGATTTACATTATCCTCAATATTTAGATACTTTGAAATGCTAAGCTATGGTTGGAAATGTTGGCACATTTAAAATTCAGAAATGGTCTATATATTGAGAATTCCTGTTAAGGAACAGTACTGCTGAAATGTATCATGCGAGTAACCTCGTACATTAATATATAGGTTATGATTTTAAAATGTAAGTTAGCATCCTTCTTCATGGCTTCCCTTGCAGCTGAAAACTGATTTGAGGAAGTATAATGGCTGTAGTGTTTCAATGTTGCTATAGTTTAATGTTGTAAAACTCTATTTCAGGGAACTAACTCTCTTCTGGAGCAAGTTGCAGCAAAGAGTAGAGCCTTCTGTACAAATCTATCTGGAGAGATGCCGCCAACTGTCTGTCTTAACAAAAACAGTATACCACATTTTCTTCCTAATTAAAGTAATAAATTCGGAGGTAAGGATGTGCAAGAGGATTACTTTACATGATGGTATGAATTAAAAATTAGTAAGAATTGAACATTCAGTAAGTCACTATCAAGTATAGTGAGCCTACTATATAAAAATTTAGTTCTGTGCAGTCCTATATATGGTATCCCATGCCTGCATAACACAGCAATCAGAACTTTCTGGAAAGCATAATTGTCCCACTCCTCAGAAAAATAGTTTCTCTGACTGCTCAGAATGTCCAAGCCATCAGCGTTTTACTAGGAACTCTGAAAAGCATGGGAATAAAAGAATGAGCCCATTGGTGGGGTGCGCTCTCAGATGCATTTGACCAGTCCAGATGACTAGCTGGCTTTAGTTCTGCTATTGTTATTAAGAAGTACAAATATTACTCTGTATTGTGTATAGGCATACCTTGCTCAATTGAAGAGTTTCAGAACCATCTTCATTAGAGTATTAATTTAATATTTATATTTCTAAGGTGTTGCCCTACCCAGAGGCATGCTTACAATATTTTTTTAAAAACCTAATAAAATGCAATAGTCATCAATTGAAGAACATAATAAAAAAGGTAAATTGCAGAGCAGCAGCAAAACTGTCCTCAGTTCTGAAAGAAAGCAAGTCCTCCGTGCCTTAAAAGAAATTAGCAAAAACAAAAGAACAGGGTAAGACCAAAGGACAAACAGAATATAATAGTTTTAACAGAACATCTAAAAGTCTCAAGAGCAGGCGTAGAAACTTGCATGGACTAGATATAGCCTGAGGTTTCCTATCCAGCCTACCAGATTCTCTCCCAGCTTTCATCCTTTCTCTCCAGGCAGGGAAAAATCTCCTACTTCTACTAGCAGCTGAATCAGGATAAGAGATTTCCCCTGCTGTACACTGATTTTTATTCTCTGTTTCATCCTGCCATGATGGGGAACAAGATCAGGACCGTTCTGATAAGTAGGGCATCCAATTTTCATCTTCATGGTGGTGTAGGACTCCCTACCTGCCTAGCAGAACATAATCATTGCTACCAAAAAGACCCTGTCCTGTCTTACCATCTCTGATGGTGGCAAGGCTTGGGTTTAACAGTTGCAAGGTAACATTTATTCATTACACTTCTATACTTCCCCATAGCCCACAGGCTCGCTGGGTGGTTTACAGATTTAGAAACATATAAATAATCAATAAAATAATCATATGTAGATAAAACAATGAAACCAGTATAAGAAAATCAGCAATCCACAGGTACTGTAATAAAATTAACATATGGCACAGCAGCTGTAATAGTGGCAACAACAGCAACCCTTATCTATTGAAATGTCTGGAAAATGGTTTTCACTTGTCACCGGAAAGAAATCTGGCAGGAGGTAGTCCTCTGTGATAGCCTGGGTTCAAACCATATGCAATTCTGTTGAAGGTAATCAATAATTCACACTTTGAATTGTGTTAATCAGTGAATAGGAAACCACTGTGGATCACACAGCAAAGGAGTGTTGACCCTTTGAGTGTATGGCCCATTTAATGGACCCCCAAAACCATACTAATTGCAAAATTTAGCAGCAGCTGTTTTTTGAGCACTTTTCTAAGGCAGTCCCATGTAGAGCATCTTGGTAGATCATTCTGGATATGACCTGAGTGTAGATGGCATTTAAGAGATTTGCCTTCTCTAGAAAAAGATGCAGCTGCTATATCAACTGAGGCTGTGCAAGGGCATTTAAGCAGAGCTTCTACCTGTGCACTTGAATACTATTTTGCCCTATCCTGAGATGGATTTGGTGGTAATTTCAGCCTCTCATGTGGATAGAAGTCTGCTGTACTCAGAAATTAAAACGAATCCCATTAAGATTTAATGAGTTTTCCCTCTGTATCTACTCCTTTAGCAGAGGTTATTACTCATTTTAACAAAGTTTACATATAAACCCCTCAGCCTTCTGACCACCTGCCTAGTCAAGACACTGTTCATAGAATCATAGAGTCATGGGATAGTAGAGTTGGAAGGGGCCTAGAGCGCCATCAGGTCCAACCCCCTGCTGTGCAGGTCACCATTTATACATTCCCTCTCAATTTCTTAAGCTAGCTTTTTCATGATTGACAAATCCATGCACTGAGTCTTCCTATGTCGATCTCAGTATTTTATGTTAATCATAGTATTCTATTGACATTCTTTGAACTTGGTAGGACAACACTGGAAAAAAGCTGCAAGCAGTAGATGTCTCAGATTTTGATGTTCTGCATTAATGGCACTGAAGATTTCTAGAAGACCCAAAAAACTTTTGTGTGTCTTGACAGGCTACATTGAGGCGACTGAAAGTGGGTGTCATGAATGAGCTTGGTTGCAGTGCTTACTTCAGTTATTGTGCACTCAGCAGAATCCTAACGTGACCTCTATCTCACTGAGGTGGTAAACTTGTATCTGGGCTGTACGACTTCAGACTGCAGGTGGGGGTTCACATGATGGAATGCTCCTCCATACAAATCTATCTATATTCAGCATATAATTTCCTATTTCAGCAGAAGGTTACACTGAACCTTAGAAAAACAGAGATTAGGATGAGGAGCTACTGGTTTGCATCTTTGGGGAGGGACACAGATGGGAAAGATGTCTGCTGGAGATCACTATCAGCTCACATTTGGTATGAGATAATTTCTTGCAGCAAGCATTAGGTTTCCAGTATCTAAATTATCATTGTGTGTGTGTGTGTGTGGTAATAGACACTTACACCACATATGTCTAACACCAGGTGCCCACTGTCTTACTGAATTCATGTAAATAGAACTGCACAGACACCACAAAGAAAGCAGGGGTCCTTACCTGTAACTTTGAGCAGTTTCTGTGCAATCACACATCCATCACCATCTAAGGTGCTTTGACCTCCTTGTGGTCATAGTAGAACTGAACAGGAAGTGCTAGTACTGCCCATTCAGGTATGCCCAGAATATGACTAGCATTCTCTCAGGGCTCTGGCCAGTCATTCCCTGTGGGATTTTAATTTTTCCAGAAAGTTCTGGTTGTTGTCCTGCAGAAATGTTGATCTCCTATGTGTTACTGTACAGAAAACCATTTAAAGAATTGTAGCAGGTAAGCAGCCCTGTTATACCTTAATCTGAGAAAGTACTTGTTCTGAACAGTCTGCAGGGCTATGATGAAAAGTTTTGTACTGAGTTGGTTTTGTTCATTTGAGTTGAGGAGCAAGAGGGAAGGGGTATGAATATAGTGCACTGAACATTTATATCAATCATATATGTGCAAATATGTTAAAAGCATCTTCCTCACATGAATTTATGAGTGAGAAGCTTTGTGTAGATATCCATTAATCCGCTTGGTAGTCTTTTTTGAAGCAACTGTCCTTTAAATTGGAACTAGACAGTCTACAAGTGATATCTGCCCCCACAACTTTTCTTCAAGGCTTTTCTTCAGTCCATCCATCTTGGTGCTCTCATTGTGTGCAACCAGAAGATTGTGGGGAGGCAAAACTTTTCTAGCAAAGTGTTATCGATGAGCTGCTTGTAGTCCTTCGGGCTTTGCATTGCTTGTCTGTGGAGATTTCTTTCCAAGAGCTTCTAAAATTTCTGGGCTGAATCCAAAGGAACTTAAGGTTAAGAACATGCTTGCAAATGGAATTTCCTATTCCTGCTCCCTACTGCAGCCCCATGCATTCTTCTGAAAAGCTGCAAAATATTTCTGCCTTGATTTCAGCTGGTTTCCCTTTCCCACTGCAGCCTCCCCCATCCGAATATTGAGAGGTTGTTGGGGTAGGGGGTGCTCAGATGGCTATAGTAGTGAGGAAAGTTTCCTTGTGCAGACTTTAAGTAGATCTGCTAATAGATATTTAAGAGTGCTCCTTGTAGTCAAGATCTCTGGTTAATGTTTTATCAGGACGCAGCTGAATGAAGGACAAATGTGTTACACCCCACACCTATATCATTATTGCCTGTGTAGAAGAGAGTTGAAGTTCAAAGGTCTAACAGAAATACATTTTTGTCTCTAAACTTTAGTATATCACATAGAGTTGCTGTATATTTAACAGAGAAGGAAACAGTAGTAAATGCAATACTGAATTATACAATTTGCCCTTCTGGTTTGTTTGTTTGATTGATTGATTGATTGCTGGCAAAATTTACTGTCCAGTAAATGCAAGAAAGCGGGACTGTATTAAACAACGTAGTGTTTCAAGAAAGAATTCTGATACTTGTGTTCTAAATACTTAAAATATCTGTATTGAAGAATTTAATGAAATTAAGGTTTATATAATGTTTATAAATGCAGAAATCTCTAATCCATCCCTTGCTTTACAGATTGATGCTGCTGGACTGGCAACCTGCATTGAACTTTGTGTGAAAGCATTGCGTTTGGAAGCTAGTGAGAACACAGAGGTCAAGATTTCCATTTGCAAAACTATATCCTGTTTATTGCCTGATGATTTGGAGGTTAAACGTGCTTGTCAACTGAGTGAATTTCTTCTTGAACCTACTGTGGATGCATACTATGCTGTAGAGATGCTGTATAATCAACCTGACCAGAAATATGATGAAGAAAACCTTCCAATACCAAATTCATTACGCTGTGAGCTCTTACTCGTTTTAAAAACACATTGGCCTTTTGATCCAGAATTTTGGGACTGGAAAATGCTAAAACGTCAGTGTCTTGCGTTGATGGGAGAGGAGGCATCAATAGTATCTTCAATAGATGAGCTGAATGACACTGAAATGCATGAAAAGGTGGAGGATTGCCAAGATGAGAACAAAGAAACTCCAATGAATGGACTTTCTGGCTGTTTTGACGAAGCTACAAACTTGCTTAGAGGAATTAGAGATAAAAAACAGAAAAACAGAGAAATAAAAAAGTTGAGAGAGCGAGGATTCATATCTGCTAGATTTAGGAACTGGCAAGCATATATGCAATATTGTGTGCTATGTGATAAGGAATTCCTTGGACATAGAATAGTCAGGCATGCACAGAAACACTACAAAGATGGCATTTATAGTTGCCCAATATGTGCACAAAATTTTAATTCTAAAGAAACTTTTGTTCCTCATGTAACACTACATGTTAAGAAATCCAGTAAAGAGAGACTGGCTGCAATGAAACCACTGAGAAAATTAGGAAGACCACCCAAAACAGTAACCACTGGTGTGAACAAGAAGAATACTGTAGTTAAGCAGGAACAACGGCACATAAAAAAGAACAGTCTTTATGCAGCAGACTTTATTGTTTTTAATGATAATGACGGCTCTGATGATGAGAATTATGAAAAAGACAAACCTTACATTCCAGAAATTGTACCAGTCCAAAAGCCATTGCCTGTCAATGAGTTTACCTGCCCTGTTACCTTATGTAAAAAAGGCTTTAAATACTTTAAAAATTTGATTGCGCATGCAAAGGGCCACAAAGACAGTGAGGAAGCTAAACGTTTTCTTGAGATGCAAAGCAAAAAAGTAATTTGCCAGTACTGTAGGCGACATTTTGTAAGTGTTACCCATCTTAATGATCACTTGCAAATGCACTGTGGAAGCAAACCCTATATCTGTATACAGATGAAATGTAAGGCTAGCTTTAACAGTTATGCTGAACTTCTGAGTCACAGAAAAGAGCACCCAGTCTTCAAGGCAAAGTGCATGTTTCCTAAATGTGGAAGAGTGTTTTCAGAAGCTTACTTGCTTTATGATCATGAAGCACAGCACTATAATACCTTCACCTGCAAGCTTGCAGGTTGTGGAAAAGTTTACCGTTCTCAGAATGAATTAGAAAAGCATATTGAGGATCACACTAAATCTGAAAAGGTACCACAGTCTGATAGTGGTAATATTTTTTCTCAACCTTTAGAAGATACTGTGAATGTCGAAGAAATCCCCCCAAAGGAAGAGACATTGGTGCTGCCACCTGACAATAGCATAAATAATTGTGCCAAAGCAGATAATTATATTTCAGATCAGGTCAAAGATGAATCACTTGAGAATGAGAGGACAAAAATATCAACTAGTGTATTGGAACAGACTGATACAGTCTCCACTGAAACTGTGGAGCAGCCTGTAACTTCTTCAGCAAAGGCAGACTCACTTGTTCTAGCCAGCAATGTTTTGATGCCTCTCTTGGGCCAAAAAATTCGAGAAAACATGGCAAAAAAGGGCAAACTACTTTCCAGGAGTAATAAAATAGATACTGAAGCACCTGTAATCCAGCAGTTATGTTCAACAGTTGAAGATTCTTGCAGTGATCTCGCAGTTTTCCAGCAAGGGAAAGAGGATGACTGTGTCAGTCAGTCCCAGGACATTTCCATGAATTCAGTTAAACCTGAACCTGAAATCTTTGCAACAAAAGATTCAGAAAAAGAGAGAAGCCATATGCCTTTTAGTGTGGAAAATCAAGTAGGGTATCAAAATTTGCTCTCTCCAAAACTTCAGCTTGAAGAAAGCATTAAAACTGCTACTGATCTCTATAACCTGCCTCTGAAGACTTTAGAAGGGATTACACTTGCTCCAGCCCAGAACAGTATTGGCACTCCTTTTGTTCCAGTCATACCATTGGCAACTCCAGTTCAGAAATTCACTTGCCAAGTTGAGGGATGTACTCGAATCTACAATTCTTCTCAGAGCATTGGCAAACATATGAAAACAGCACATCCTGATCAATATGCCTCATTTAAGATGCAGCGTAAGAATAAGAAAAGTCGAAAAACAAGCAGTTCGCAAAATTTGCCAAATGATAGCAAGATAGTTTATTTTTTACCATCGCAAGTTGCTCCCACTGCTGATGCTTTTCCTCAACAAACCCAAACCAGTTTAAATTCCACTTGTACAAGCCAGCTGCAACAACTGTCTAATGCTCTTTTTCCAACACGTCTAGAAAATATGACTAATTCATTACTGCCTAATGTGGAAAATCCTATAAATACAGGTCTCTCTTCCCATATTAAAAGTGAACCAGAGAATACATTGGGCTCCCAAATAGGAAGCCTGTCTAATGCAACATTACCTTCACAGTTGGATGATCTAGAAAAACCAGTTATGCCTCTGAATATTGACAGTGGTTCAGATCCTTTCCTTCCTTTACCTGCAGAAAATGGTCCAATTTCTCTCTTTCCTTCCCCAGCAGACAATGGTCCAAGTTCTGTTTTCTCACAAATGGAAAATAATACAAATCACTTTTCCTCCCAACTGGAAGGAAATACTAGTTCATCTTTTTCAAAAGATGAAAGTGTTGATGTACTGTTTTCTTCACAAATGAATAATGAGAATAACTTCAGTGAAACCACTCCACAACCTCTGGTATTGGAAAAAGCGAAAAAAGATCGTAGGCGAGGTGTAGATGGAAAAGACAAAAAACCAAAGCATAATAAGCGGGCAAAATGGCCAGCAATAATCAGGGATGGCAAGTTTATTTGTAGTAGATGTTACAGGGTTTTTTCCAATCCCAGATCACTTGGTGGTCATCTGTCCAAGCGTTCCTACTGTAAACCCCTGGATGAATCAGAAATTTGTCCTGAAACTCTGCAGCTTAATGGACAATCCTCTCTACTTGCCAGTATGATTCTTTCCTCAAATGCTCTAACCTTACAGCAGCAACAGCAGTCAGCATTTAGTCCTGAGGCATGTTTCAAGGAGCCATCATTCCTGCAACTGCTTGCTACTGAAAATCGATCAGCTGCATTTTTGCAGAATCTGTTTCCACGGACCAATGTGACTAACTTCAATGCAAGCGAGGAAGGAAATGAAATTATCAAACAGGCCTTGGAAACTGCAGGCATTCCAAGTACTTTTGACTCTACAGAAATCTTACCACATTTAATTACAACTAGTTGTATCACAGGTACTACTCAAATAAATGCAACAGTTTTGCCAAGTCCAGGCATGTCTCCTTTGTTACCTGCAGTCTGCAACCCGACTACCTTGCTAACAGACCAAAATCGGACACTTAACACCAAAATATCCTCAATAGAAGAATGCAGCAATGTCCCAGTGTTTCCAGATGATTTAATACTTAAGACTATTGAAAACAGCTTATGTTCCAGCGTGGTTTCTAATTCTGTTGCTGCTCATAATTTTGGAAATAACACTTCACGTGTTTCAGTTATAAATAGCATCAAAAGTTCAGAATTGTGCAGCTTGAATAAAAAAGGGATTAGTGGTTCAAAGAAAAAGAAGAAGACAGCTGCTCCTTTAGGCGCATCTAATTTTTCACAGAAATTGGTACCTAATGATTTGACCGCATTGGGACTCCTAGCTAGAAACATTGAAGGAAGTGTGCAAATATCCACAGAGAATTTTCAGTCAGATGTATTGGCAAACTGTGAGGCTCAAGTGTTAATGGATAATCTTACACAGAAGCTTAGTAGTGTAGACAATGAATTGACTCCTAATGTCAAAGAGAACTTAAAAACGAGTCATGAAACTGATGCAGAAATAGTCCCCTTAGTGAAAACTGAAAATAGTGACTCTCAGGTCACTCTAAGTTCCTGCATTCAAGAAAATCCCAGTTTAGAGATTTCAGAAGATAATGTTATTCAGAATTTTGAGAAGACCCTTGAAATCATTAAAACAGCTATGAATTCCGAGATGGTTGAAGTGAAAACTGAAATACAGGAAGTGTCGATTGAATCATTACAGAGTCCACAAAGCAGTGCTGTTCAGTGTGTTCCTGAAACTGGTTCTCAAAATGTGAAAACCTCTCACCATACTCAGCACATTGTCCACACACAGAATATTCCCCTTACCAAACTGAGTTCTTCTCAGTCTGAAACATCTCATAAAGATGATATCCAAATCATGGAAATATTAGAAGGTTTGAAAAAGCTGAAGTTAGAAAGTGAAGCCTCAAGTCAAGAATTAGGCAATATAATTCACTGTCTTCCAACAGATGCAGTAATGCCACAAATTCTTATTCCAGTTGTAACAACTGAGAGCACATCTCTTGTCCAGCCATCTTCAGAAACACATACTCCATTTGAAAAAGTCCATAAGCCTTTTATGTGCCAGGCCCCAAGCTGTAATTACAGTGCTATGACAAAGGATGCATTATTTAAACATTACAGTAAAATACATCAATATACACCAGAAATGATATTAGAAATCAAGAAACACCAGTTGAAATATGCTCCATTTAAATGTGTTGTAGCTACCTGTCCAAAGACATTTACAAGAAATTCTAACCTCAGGGCCCACTGTCAGCTGGTACATCATTTTACGACAGAGGAAATGGTAAAATTAAAACTAAAAAGGCCATATGGAAGAAGATCCCAAAACAAAACTGCAGGTTTAACTCCAAGGCCTGTTGAATTAAAAAGCATACCGTATGTGTTAACAGAAAATAGAAATGAATCACAGTTGACTAAAGAGCCTGAAATTAGAGATGAAATATGCATACAATCTGTGAAAGCTCTAGAAAGGGTGATTTCAGAAAGGGTGATTCCAGAAAATATTCCCAATGCTCCTGAAAAATTAGAAAAGCTTCCTGAAATAGTTTCAATTCCTCTAGAACTTCATAATATAGCCACGCTCAGTAATACTCAAGTACAACCCAAAGTACGTAAAATTAGAAGACATAGGAAAGAAAAAGAAGAAAAAAAACACAAAAAGCCAGTACGTAAATCTTTGGAATTCCCTACTACTTATAGTCCCTACAGACCATACAGATGTGTGCATCAAGGTTGTTTCGCAGCGTTTACAATACAGCAGAATTTGATTCTTCATTATCAAGCTGTGCATAAATCTGATCTGCCATCATTCTCTCTCGAGGCAGAAGAAGAAAATGAGCCAAGCAGAGAAGAGGATACTGCTAAAGAAGAAGAGTGTGATGAAACTGAGACAACAGTAAAAGAATTCAGATGTGAGGTGAGAAATTGCTCTAGGATATTTCAAGAAGTCACTAGTCTTATTCAACACTACATGAAGCTTCATGAGATGACTCCTGAGGAGGTTGGGAGCATGAAGTCGTCCCTGGATGTTGGAAGATTCCCCTGTGATCAATCTGAATGTAAGTCATCCTTTACAGCATATGTTAATTATATTACTCATCTTGAGGCAGACCATGGAATAAAGATAAAGCAAAACAAAACGGAAGATGGCATGTACAAATGTGATTGTGAAGGTTGTGACCGAATTTATGCAACTAGGTCTAATCTTTTACGACACATTTTTAATAAGCATAATGATAGGCATAAAGATCATCTAATAAGACCAAGACGGTTCCTGACGCCAGGCCAGGAAAATATTTCAATCAAGGCTAATCAGGAAAAAAACATGAAAATGAAACATAAAGGCTTGAAATATAGGGCGGGAAAAAATGGAAACAAAATATCAATTAGGGCCAAACGGAAGAGAGCTATTACTATAGAAAAGAACTCAAAAATGGGGCAGATTCCTGAAAACAAAGCATATTCTTTGAAATGTGGAAAATATGCCTATTCAATAAAGGCTCGGGATGATGCTTTATCTGAGTGCACAAGCAAATTTGTTATACAGTACCCATGTATGATAAAAGGCTGTTCATCAGTTGTCACAAGTGAAAATAATATAATTAGGCATTATAAATGTCACAAGTTATCTAAAGCATTTACTTCACAACACAGGAGTCTCCTAATTGTCTCAAACAAGCATTCAGATTCACCAGAGAAAGAAGTATCTTTACAAAATGAGACAACTGAAGACAAAACATGTGATGTAAAAGAATTGCAGCCTCATTTGTCCGAAACCTGTGAGGACCCGAGACCTTCTCCAGCAGTGGCTCCGAATGAACTTGAAAAGAGTGAGAAGGATGAAGTGGATGAGCTTGCAGAACTGTTCATTACCAAACTTATTAATGAGGACCTCACAAGTTCAGAGAACCATACAAAGACCTCTTCCGATGTGAACAGTGAATCTCAAGAAACTAATTCTTGTCTTTCAGAAAAACAAAGTGTAAATGGTAATTTTAAAAGAGCAAACAAAGAAAAATACCCTTCTCAAACCAAAAAGAGAAAAGTTGAGAAGCAGGAAGAAATACTGGCTGTTGAATTAAGTAGTGTACGCAGAGAGGAGGAAACTGCTGTTGCTATTCAAACTTCTGAAGAACAGTCTTCAGCTTTTGACTGGAGCTCATTTAAGCCTATGGGATTTGAAGTGTCTTTTCTCAAGTTCCTTGAAGAGTCTGCAGTGAAGCAAAAGAAAAATACAGAGAGGGGCTATAACTGTGGAAACAGGAAAGGTTCTCATTCAAACTCAAGAAAATCTAATGATAAAAACTCTTTGGCAAGAACACGATCATGTTCCGAAAGTGAAACCTATGTACAGTTTGCAAACCCATCACAGTTTCAGTGTAGTGGTACTGTAAAAATAGTTTTAGATAAGACTTTTAAAGATTGCACTGAGCGTGTGTTGAAGCAGCTTCAGGAAATGAAGCCTATTGTCAATCTGATAAGACATGATGGACATTGGGAGGCCAATCCAGAGGTTACAAAATAATCAGGTAATATGAGTGGACTCATTGTTACGATGATCAATGTTTAAACATGACCTGTACTGCATTCTTTTTTAATTTTGAGTAGGAAGCCATTGAGCATGATACTATTTCTTAAGGTTTTATTTTGAAGTGATTTAACCTAGCAAAATCATGACAGTTGTCATGTAAAATTTCTTTGTTTTTATCCCTATGGGACTTGGAACAGAATCATTGTTTCAGTTTTGTAAATAATTGATCAAAACCTCAATTTTTTTTATCAAATGTCCTTTTCCATGACTGAACTATTTGTGAATTGTCTGTGGTATCTTTCACTGGGTCACTGCTCATATATAACAGTACTTTTTATTTGTAGATACATTTTTGTATATATTTATTATTGTAAATCATTTGCTGCAACCAGCAGTCTGTAAGTCTGAAATATTAAATGACACATTTATATTCAGAATTTTAATTTGTAACTAAGTGATCCTGTTTTTAATAATGTTCTTTTAAACTTAAAACTTTTTGAAGTAAAGGCTAGGTGAGTCTACCAGATCCTGTTTTGTTTTGCATAAACTGTGTGTCCAGGAAAAGAGCTTGATCAGATCACACTTAATTAGTACTTAAAATACATACTGACACAAGTTGTATTTGTAACTTGAAACATCCAGTATCTTTGGATGTTATTCCTCTGTAGTTCTCAAAACGTTTTCCTACAACTGCATTTGCATTGCTTTTAATTGGACTGAAAACTTCCACTTCCATAATATAATGGAAATGTAAATTTGAAATAGTTTGACATTGAAGATTTAAACAACATTTTGGTATTGAATAACCCATCGTGAATGTGATAGAAGATTAGTAGTGTGGAGCAGTGTATATATTTGAGGTGGTGATTTGTGAAGTAGCCCAGTATTGCCTTAAATAAAATCACATTTCATTTCTTGTTTTATACATGTTATCTTATAAAGGTCCTTTTTGTTTTTGAAATTCTAGATTGGTGTATACATTAACTTCTACAACACTGCTTTAGCAGTACTCTTTTGTAAGAAATGTATTTTTAAACTACTTATTTTGATTACACCATTTTGGTTTCTATTTGTAAATGTGTAATGTTCATAACAGCATTAGGAATACAATAGAGTGATTTTTGAGCAGAAAGTGAGAGTGTATGCACACAGCTCTCACAGGAGTTGAGCTTTCTCTTTTCCAGTTTCAATGGGAAGCTAAGTTTCCTTTTAGAACTAGAATTTCATTTAACACACTGCAATATATTTAAATTGTGTTTATCTCTCTGGGTCCCCTCTACGTACAGGGTCGGAAGCAGTGAGTAGACTTGCTTACAGGCAGTTTGTCAGCAGAAGCTGAACTTTACTTCCTTGCCCTCCATTACACAGTAGTACAGTTGTAGAACTCAAGCTTTTTTTCTGCTTGGAAGTAAAAACTATGGCATGACTCTGTACTTCATCAGGAGCTATGGATTTCTGTAAGTGCTCTTCTGAATCCTGCTCTGCATACAGTCCCCATTATCTGTCCCCTCTCTGTAACCTGGCATTTTCCTTTGTTCATGTATGTTCATCAGCCTTCTCAGCTTAGTTGAGAATGAGCATATGGAAATTTAGACTAGATAAGTAAAATGCTGTTGGAGGGTCCCATAAGAATTATGCCTTCAGTGTAAAAAGTTGTGGATTCATCAACTATCAGTTGTGAAGAAAAGGAAAAATATTTGAAGTCAGTGGATTCATCATCATCTTTCACACTGCCAGTGTTCACAGCATCTCAATTAGTGGAAAAGACATACCTACATGAAATGTATCAAAACAGATAATGGGGTGTGAGGGAATTCCATAAGAGGACAGTCGACTCCTTCTAAAGCAGCATTGAAATAGTTTCAGTGGTCATTTAGCAGTCAGAATCAAACTGAACACTTTATTTAAATCTTCACGGCTACCATGGAGATCATCTGAAAAGCAAAAGCATGATCTGAAATATAGCTACTACTTGCCTAAGATTCATCTGTCTGGCTGGTAGATCCAGTGTGCCTAGGATTCCAGAATCTGTGGGATGCAAGATGTATACATGCAATTAAATCGTTAGATTTTTTTTTCTGTAGTGGCAGCCAGAGAGCTTGGGCTTCACTGGGTTTTGAAGTAAAGCTGGGGAAATTTAATACAAGAGATGCGGATTGTGAAAGTGGCTGGAAAAATACAAGTATTAGGCCCCCAGATCCATTTCTTTATTGAGAGTCCTTTCAACAGTTCACTGGGGTAAGGCAAAGATTGAGAAACGTTCTGTTTTCTGTTTGTGCCTCTGGTCTATGCAGTGATGGTGAAACACTGGACAATTATAAATGTGTGAACATTTAAAAAACATTTTCCACAAAAAGTGGAGCAGCCCCATATACTACTGCCTCCTGGAGTACAGCCATTAACATCTGCTTCTAGCATCAGACTAAACAAACACACGTGTTCCTTACGAGATGAAGAACAGAAAGAGAAACATGGCCATCTATATTAGCAACTAATGCTTTAGATAATATGTTTTTTAAAAAATAGCCACCAGGTTGGGTAGTGCTATTTAATGCAGAGATGGAGAATGTGTGGCTATCCAGATGATGTTGGATTGCTATACCCACAGTCCCTCACCATTTGGCTATCCTTGCTAGGACTGATGGGAATTGCAATCCAACAACATTTGGAGGGCCATATGTTCCCCGCCACTAATTTACTGGTTGGGATTCCCACTGATTGATCAACTAGCAGAGTCTGTCATATGCTGTCAAGTCATCTCAAGTTTATGGTGACCTTGTGAATGAAGGCCCTCCAAACTGTCCTGTTCTTGGAAATCCTGCTCGGCACTTGTAAACTCAAGGCTATGTTTTGCTCCAAGTACATACTTAGTACATGCTCAAGTTGCTTGTTAACTTGAAATCAACATTTTATAGGAATTGACTTAACTGATCAAACAATAACTGCCCCAATTTTTTTTAATTATCAATTCTCTGTGGTTTCTCTGCAAGATGACCACAGTTACAGATAAGCAACCTCACTTTACTATGGCAAAGTGAGTATTTAGACATTGGGATTATTTAGCCATTGCTGTAGTTCAAGATGGTGAGCATAAGTAATTTAAAGAAGCAGATTCATACAATTTAGCAAAGCTTAGAATAAGTGCAGGCAATTTATGCCCCTGCAGAGATTTTGGGAAAGTGCTCCCATTCTTTATTAGTGGTTGTGCTGGCTAGGGCTGCTGGAAGTTGCACACCAAAACATCTGGAGGACTACAAGTTGCCCTCGCGCAGCCAAAGAGTTCTTGGCTTTAGCAACAAGCTTTCCCAGGCAGGCACGAGCTCCCACTATGGTAATGGAAGACCTGACTGGGAAACTGGGTGCATGTGATTGCCAAATCCACTCTGCTCCTGAAAATAAAGTATGCTTAAATACAGTTGGAGTGGAGTTGTAAATATAGTTGTAGCAAATTATTCCAGTACATGGAATAGCTCCCTGTTAGTGAAAAAGTAAAGCACATGCATGGCCTGTATCCAATGACAACCTGGGCAGATTCTCTGCTGTAGACCTCACAAATCCTCTCCAGTAATGGATGTTCCTGAACAGTGTGTGTGTGGAATGAATAGTGCAAACTCTTCTTCTTGCACAACCACTGAGAATATCATAAAAGTGACAATATATATTAATTCACATTTAGTACAGCCAAAAGTGCATGGATGTAAACTTACCATTAGATGCAAACTTACCATGAAGCATACAATTCAGAGTATAGACAATTTACAAGCTTGCATTTAGACATTTTGGTGTCCAAAGCTTGTAAGTATGAAAAAGGTGTCATCAGAATTAAATAGTTATACCTTCTAACAGAAAGGTAATCTGACTTAACATTTATCTAGAACAGCCTTCAGCAGTGACCTTTTTATCTGCTCTGTCCTTTATTCCTTGTCAGAACCCTATGCTGCGCTTTCAGATTGGTTACGGAGAGCTCCCACTCCTCCACAGTTGTCGATGGGCCCTTGGAAAAGCCACTTGTCAAGCTAAGCAACAGTTCACACTGTGTTCTAGCCCAACGTAGCTGCATGTTTGAGTGAATTACATTCTTGCTGACATGCTAGAATTCCATATGAGTGTTGCATATAGGGGAGCATTCAAATGTGATTCCTTCCTTTCTGAAATAATGCAGCCCAGCAACTTCTACATCCTGTGATCATGTAGTTCGAGCCCTTGCTGATTCATACTGAATGTAAATAAGATGTATAAATCTATGTATTTAGGTTTGTGGGCCTGTAGCAATTAAATATCTGTGTCTTTCCAGTACATTCTGAGATACATATCTCTTTAAAATACAGTTTGTGTAAAGATTAACAAATTTAAAGATTGATAAGCCCTACTGAAATCAGGCATTCTGCTGTACAAATTGGAAATGGTTTTATTAGATATAATTAGCAGCTTCAATGTACATGACCCTTTATCAATTAAAATAAGCAAAAGATAGATGCAAGCCATGCTGTATTTGTACATAACACCAAACCACAGTTTAGTGTTACATAAATGAAATTCAGACTTGTGCACTCCCCTCTAGCACAACTGCAAAAGTGGAGTTTCATTTTCGAGTAGCCATTACTACTTGTTCCATCTGAACTGTGCCTACTGAAAGCTATGGTTTAGTGGGAGTCATTAACCACAGTTTGATATTTTTGGCATGTTTTAGTAAACACCACCAATCATAATGTGTGTCAGCTTGGACATACTGAGTAACTGTAGTTAATTGAAAATAGAAATAAGCTTCCACTTTGCTCTACACATATGCATGAAAGGATGAGAAGTACATGTTTCTGAGACTTCTGCATGTCATGCTAAACTGATTTAGTGGTGAGTATGACTCAGCTTGCAGTCAGGCTTGGGGTGGGAAGAATAGGCAAGGGTTACAAGAGGAAATGAACACAAGTTACACTTACTAAGCATTCATTTAATTTGAGGATAGGGAGTGAGTGTTACACTAAAGCTGGGAAGAGGAACCTGTAGCATCCTAGATGATAGGTTATAAAGCCAGCACCCTGACCATTAGCCATGCTGACTGAGACTCATGAGAGTTGTAGTCCAACAGCATAGAAGGACACAGCTTCTCCAAGCTTGAGCTAAAGGCTTCATAGACAAGATCTTGAAAGGAAAAGCCCCGCAAGCATTGAGCTGTCTAGGTTTCTCGTTTAGCTCTTTTGTTTGATTCAAATTGCATCAATTTGTATTTTGAAGCCAAGCATTTCTTTAGCAGGGAATTTGTCATATTAATGCTGTCTTCTATTCAAAGTTGTTCACAAAATAGATTACAAACAAAATGCAGCAAAATCAAAATGATAAGATAGTAATAAGCATTTGCAAGACTGCAACAAAAATAATCCTTTACAGTCCAATAAAGGGATGGGGGCACATCAGTCATAAACAAGCTGAAAAAAGGAAGACCTCGTGTAGGCCCCCCCAAAGAAAGCTGTTCCAGAGGAAATAAGTAGGATCCAGTGTTGCTCATGCAGAGTGAAATAAAATGAGATGCAAGTTAGCCTTGACTAACATAAGCTCCATTCATTTCAATTATTCTATACACGATTAGCATAGGATACTATCCCTACAACCAACCTACAACCAAACCTTGGCAGTTGGGTATAAAAAAAGTGAAAATTACTGAAAATATAGGCATGTCCTAGCATAGTTGTGTGTCAATTACAAGTTTCTATTCAGTTCAGAAGCAACACGAGTGAAGGAGATGAAATTGGATGTGATCAAATCATGCATGACACTGACCATTCAGGAGCAAAGCTCGATCAAGGGATGCTTCTAGCCTTCATGCCTGATTTCCGTGCAGAGGCTCATTCTGAGTGATGTTTCTGCTAAGCAAAGGCATCTGTCTTGTCCGGATTACATTTCAGCCTCTTAGCCTTCATTCAGCTCATCATAGCCTCAAAGGCTGCATAAAGATTTTTACTACTACTACTTTTTCTTCTGTACTAAAATGTATTCTATTATAAATAGCAATTACTAACAATAACTAAGATGGCACCTGTATGATTTACTTCTAAAACAGCAAATAATTCCCTGTGATTTTTGCTGGAGAATGCAAAGGATCTGCAGCTACAAACATGGTGGAAGTGCAGAGCTGACCACTTGGTGGGTCTGTCCTTTCATTGAAACTCCTAGGAATGTAGGATGTGTTTTGTTCTCATGAATAAAAATGCCCACATCTCTTAAGTCAACAGGAGCCTGTTGCTTTGGTGGAAAGTGGAGAGGACACATAAAAGCTCAGACGCTATTGTTATAAAACTTAAATGTGAGCATCTGGATAGACCTGAGAATTATAACCTCTAAATTACAGAATATAAGGCAGAAACTAATATCTACAGAGTGCATACAACTTTCTATTAAGATGACCAGTCAATTGCAGAGGCACCATAATGGGGTCCTACACTGACTCTTCTACTTGAACAGTCTTCGGGACAGTATTTTTTTTTCTTTTAAACTATGTCAAAACATTTGAAGTGGCTATTCAAATATCTAATATTGAGAATTCTCATATATAAGTGTACAAGCCTAGGAAAGTCTTGGTAGACCTTAATCACATCTGGAGGAAATATAAAATTACAGTCCACTGATTAAGATCTGCAAACACTTTAAGGGTTTTCTGAAGATCAATCTTTAAAGTCACTAAAATGTACTTTGTCTGATAGTGAATGCTGACTTTCTTTTTCTTCTTGTTGGCTAGTGGGCTGGTTTCTTTCATCTTGTTGGATAAAGATAGCAGCTGAATCTTTGCCATCTTGGAAGATTGCTCCATTGTTATGCATAGAACTCAACTTTTTGTGTTCACATTTGGAGTCCTGCACTTTCTTGATGTAACGCCTGAAACAGCATTTGATGGAGTATTTGAAAATCAAATAGCTGAATTCAGTGATATTTAAGACTATGCACAAGCAGGATGTCACCAACACAATGTACAGGAAGACTTTCTTCTCGGTGGGTTTGGATATGTAGCAATCAACAGTGTTGGGACATGGACTCATGTCACATTTCACAAGACGGGGAACACTGAATCCCCCATATAGTTTGTAAAATAAAAAGAGGAAACCAATTTCGAATCCTGTTTTAGAAAGGAGGCTGATGAGATAGGTGCATAGCAATCCACCATCCATACTTCCTGGGTTCTTGTACAGCTTTGCTCCGTGTCTCTTTTCCCTGTTTTCTCGATAAGCTACATGGAGCACAACAAGTAGTGATGGAGTGGAGACCATAATGAGTTGCAAGGCCCACAGCCTAACCTGAGACACTGGAAAGAAGTGATCAAAGCAGACATTTTCACAGCCTGGTTGCTTAATGTTGCATTCAAACTCCTTCTGTTCATCTTTCCAGACATGTTCTGCAGCCACAACATAGACAAGGAGGCGGAATAGGAATACAATAGCCAGCCAGATTCTGCCAAGTCCTGTTGAATATTTATTCACTCCACTTAGGAGATCTCGGAGAAATCCCCAGCTCATTGCTTCAGGAAGGGAGACAAGCTATAACAAAAGAGAAATCTGATATAATGTCCTTTTTAAACATGAGACAGTACATCCCAACTGAATAACATTACAGGTTGGATCATAAAGTGACAATTGAAGCAATTTTATCTGTCTTTTCCAGGGAGATAGGGTTCCAGTTCTTTTCATGGCGTTCCAATTATTTTCCTGTCTTACTTTCCTATACTATTTGTAAATTAGAAACACTGGAACTGTTGTTTTTTTAACATTAGCTCACCCAGATACCTTAGAGCTAAGGTTATTCCTGAGGGGTATTCCTAAATACTGGGGACATTTCATTTTCATGCACTATAAGAAAATATACAGAACAAAAGGACCTGAAATAGTTTTGCCAGTTCTTACAGCACGGGGAGCTTGGCTTTATCCCCAGTGGTGCAACTCAGTAATCTAGACCATGGAAATAATGTTTTTATGGGGGGGGGGGGGGGGGAGAGCAGCTTCAGGTAATCATATTATCACTTTGGTTGTGAGCACACAGCTAATGTTTTCCCCTTGTCACCATTCCAGGGTTCACACAAGCTTCTGCATTCCTGATATGTTAAAGAAACAAAGCCATTAAAGCCATAAAATGGAGTTTGCTTCTGATATCCTGGTGATGAACACAATTACTTAGGAATAAGTACTTGGTTGTTGTAGAGCCAGCCAATCTATTGTTGAAAGACTAATAATAAAATCTTCATCTGTAACCATGTACATATTCAGTCAACTCTCCTGTCCATACAATTTGAAAAGTAAGCACGCTGTGTCATGCATCAGGCACTGCAAAGCCCATCTGCCACTGCCTCCCTCTCCTGCTGTCGCTAAGGGTGGTGGTGTGTCCTCTTTTACAGAAGACATTCTTCTGGTTTGAATGGGTGTCCAATCCAAGTTCTGGATAAAGAGAAACAAGAAAGCTGCCCAGGAACAACTCTTAGAGAACAAGCTGAGCAAGTCACTTGTTCACAGTCTTCCCACTATGCAGAAATATATTTCTAGTGCAATTATATGAAATTTAAATTCCTGTCTATACATATAGATTAGCTTGTGCAGATTTTATGTCATTCAGTATTTTCTTTGACTCTCCTTTTTGAATGATGCGTTTTCTCTTTTTGGATGATTTACAAGTGGCCAACCTACACTGCTCCCAAAATGGCTGCAGAGGCCCTGGACTTTGGCCCCAGGTGTAGCATTCACTGCACTACACCCTACCTTACACTTAGAGATGGCTCTATCATGTTACCTACATAGGATCACATGGGCTGAGGTGGGGTGGAGTCATAGGGAGCAGCAGTCATACCACTCTTGTTGGGTATGAGGTATCCCTTTGCATCAGGAACACTCCTCGTGAGTAAAAGGAGAGCAGCTTTCACTTGCTGCTACCACCAGTGCAGTGTTTATTCTACATTTAGCCATGCTAGTAACTGGTTCTTCTTCTCCGTGGTCTCTGCTCCTGTGTGGAGCCCGTTACCAGGGAGGTTTAGTAGTGTTTGGTGGGAACCACTCAACCACCCCACTGTATATTATATAAAGGAGGAATCCCCACCCTTCCCCTCCGTTCTTCTTTAACTGCTTTCTGAGCCTCAGGAAGTTCTTTCTCTATTTCCCTTTAGCCTTTTCCCTTTTTAAATCCCCACCAACACTCTGGTCATTCTAAACTGAGCCATTATAATGACTGGTGCTTGTCTGTGTTTGAAACAAATTTCTAATCAAACTGTATCAAATACCGTTTCCCAGCATTTGCTCAGTTCAGACACACAGTCTAACACCACGGCTTGCCAAAGGCCAAAACAGCATGAAGGCCAGTTCCAGGTTTGAAAGCATCTTCAGCAAAATGCCCCCTGGTGGGCAGCCCTTTTAATTTCCCACAGTGCCCTGAGGCATTGTAAGAAATCGAAATGCCTGCTTACCGTTCTCCCCACAGGGATCTCATAGCAGATGTCACTGAGGGAGACCCTGCCAGAGGGCTGGGGCTGCCTGAGGGCGCTGCGCGCTGAAGGGGACCTGGTGGTCGTTGGTCCATGGTGAGGAGGGGCTCTAGCCCAGTCGTAGAGCACATGGTTTGCGTCCTAGTTTCACCCCAGGTAGGTCTGGGAAAATCCCTGAAAAATTCCCTGGGGAACTGCTGCCAGTTGGTGTCAACAATGCTGGGCTGACTGGACTACCAGTCCGATTCAGTATAAAGCAGCCTCCTCTGTGAAATAGAGAATTGCTTAATGAAGTTTTCAATTTCTGCTACTATCTGTTCATAAGATAGATTTTCCATGTCCTTCTTTCCAGGTTTACCAGAGCAAGAATCCCTTATCAGACTGCTAAATCAACAGAGAAGGAATGGCTCAAAGGTTCCAACCTACAGATTCCAGGATCCACTTGAAGAAACAAGTCCATGCTGGGATAAGGCACTTAGACTTTTCCCAAACTGTGGCAACCCTCCCAACATTTGGGACTTCAGCCCCCATCAGCTCAAGCTAGAATGGTCAATGGTGAGGAATGTACTGCAAAATGTCTGGAGAGCACTAGGTAGAGGAAGGCTGACCTACCACCAGTTGTTGAAAATGTCATGGCTACTCTCTTCCGTTACTAGTTTTGCCACACAGGGATCTTTTAAAGATGGAGCAGGATGAGAGCATGGGCTGAGATACAGAACGGGTTGAGATGGCTCTTGGCATGGCATTGTAAGAACTTTGCACTGACCGCCAAGTTGTCTAATAGTCATTTAAAGACCAGTAAAACCATCCATCCCCATTGGGCAGTGTACCAGTGTTTGCACTGCAGAAGCAAAATCCCATTCCTTGGCTTTGGAAGTTAGAGGATGGGAATGAAAACATTTTTATTTTGGTCTTTGTGCAGGGATGGGCAATTTACAACTAAACTGGATAGGGCTGATGGAAGTTGTAGGCCAAATATAAGATTGATATTAGCTATAATAATGTTCATTTACTGTTATGTCACACATTAAGAGCATCCATGTCAGTGCAAAGAATAAGAGAAAGGCTCAAACATCTGTTCTGATATTAGGTGGAGCTGGGGAATTATCTTCTGAGGATGTGTGAAGTCCCTTCTCTCACAGATGAAGCAAGCATCTGGGAATAGAAGAAAGAGCTTGCTGATAAGAAGGAGGGTGTTCCAGGCACCTGGTGGATCCCTGCACTTCTCAGTTTAGATATTCAGGATTAGATAGCAAATACTAAATAGTCTTGTGTCTGTGCCTAGGGAAATTAGGTGAATTGCATCACTGGTCAGTTTCATTGTGTTCTGGTTATGCATTTCAATTGTTATTAAAACTAAAACAAAGCTATAGCTTCCATGCTGAAATTGTAACTGAAGATAATTCTAAGTTTTTCATCCTCTGTTTGGAGATATGTCTTTCTACTGCCCACTTAGCATAGCATAGCATAGACAGCCTGGTGCCTTCTATACTTTTTGACTACAGTTCCCATAATCCCTGAATATTGTCCATGTTCGTTGGGGTAATAGGGGTCCAAACCATCTACAGAGACCTAGGTTACTTACCCTTGCCCTAGACACCAGGAAATAGTAATTCCCCACCCACTCAAATAGATACAATTCATATACTTATTCTGCAATATCCCTTCACAAGAGAGGCATATTTATATTCCTGTGAGATAAAAGCTGTTTATGACAGCTGCTCTCAGTCTCTGCACATGATTCCTGAAGCCCCCAGAGTGTCTCCCCCACACTTCCCATCTTCCCTCATCTCCTGCTTTCCTGTCTGGGGCTAAACTCCAAGGGGACCCGGGCTGCCCCTGTGTTCCTATAGAATGTACTGATTCTCAGGCATGGATGGGAATGTAGAAAATCTGTGCCAGCACACCATTCCCCACATAAGAAGAGCCCTGCGGGATCAGTCCGTGTGGTCCAGCATTTTGATCACGCACTGGCTGCCCGGCTGCCCACAAGAAGCCATAAACAGGACATGTATGCAACAGCACCCTCCTGCCCATGTGCCCCAGAAACTGGTGTATACAGGGAGACTGTCTCTGGAACCGGAGGTTCTTCCTCATGGTCTCTGTGCATCACACATGTGGGCTTTGCCACAGCGGCACAAGGTCTAGATCGGAGAAAATTTCTGTACCTTAGCGTCATGGAGTGGGGGCAATCACAACATCTTGTGGGTGATCTCTACAGTTTATGCACTGTATGAAGAACTTTTATCTGTCTCGAATCTCCTACCAATCAGCTTCATGGGATTCGCCAGGTTCTAATATGAGAGGGGGAGGAAAATGTCCCCCTGTCCACCTCTACTGTGTCTCTTCTTCCTCATCTTTCCTCTAAGCTTAACAGTTCCTTTCCTCTAAGAGGAAACTTCTGTCCAATCATGTACTGAAGAGTCATATCCTTGATCAGCAATTTACTTCTATAAATTATAAAGGGGAATCAAGCATGAAGAGAAACATTAAGAGTTTCTTGCATCAGTAGAATGGAAACTCCCAAAATCTTAGTTACACAATATCATGCATAGAGAATGGATCTGTTGCCAGGCAAGCACAGCCTAAGAACATAATAAAGTTCAGGAATAATTTCTCTTCTGAATACTCACTCTGTGTGTGGGGGCCTTTTTCTTTTCTTGTTTTACAAGTTCTCCCCACTATGGATACTTAAAATAATACAAATCATTTGTGCAGGAGATGCTGCCTACAGCTTGAAAGAAATTGTGCAAAATCACAAAGAGAAGGCTGCTTGCACCTACAGCTTTTTCATTCCTTGCTCGCACAGCTCCTCGGTCGCCCTGCTTGGAGCTACAGGTGAGCACAGGAGGTGAGGCACGAAGCCTGCATGGATGTGCATCCAAGTTGTGCATAAAGCAGCTTGCATTCCAGACAGTGAATCCAAACTACCCCTACTTTTAAAATTCCATACACGATGCTTATGGAGCATATAGGCAGCTGTTTTACACCAGACATCATTTCTGCCAGGGGCAACCATGAGCAGTAGGCTGCTCCTGTGACCCTGAAGCCCAGTCTAGTTCTACCCTCCTGCCAGATCATTTGGGTTGTAACTGTGCATTCTGGGGAAGACTCTGGGGCAGACACTGAGCGCCCAACTCAGCATAATGAGAAGGAGGGACCCCAAAACCAGTACGGCTGAATTTACTCCATTCTGAAGTAGGCAAAGGGCTAGCTCATTGGGAAGAGGGGAGTAAGAAGACTGGGTCCAGAGCTGTACGTATTGAAATTGACCATGGTTTGGCTGACATCTATTTTCATCGCCCCTTATAAGACCCCCTAGGTAGGATTATGCAGAGCCTCTCCTCTGCCCCGTGCTAGTATGTTTGCTCTGTGCTGGTGCACTGAAGATGAGTGCTGGGGGCAGAGACCCTTCTAGATATGAATGTGGATCTGAATATCCCATACTTGGGAAGTGGAGTCTTTTTCAGCCTAAGGACTACTTTCAGAGAAGCGCTCAAGAGCTGTGTTGCAGTAAAGGTAAAAGTAAAGGTTTTCCCTTGACATTAAGTCCAGCCATGCCTGACTCTAGGGGGCGGTGCTCATCTCCGTTTCCTAGCCGAGGGAGCCAGCGTTTGTCCGCAGACAGTCTCCGTGGTCATGTGGCCGGCATGACTAAACACCGACGTGCACGGAACGCTGTTACCTGCCCACCGAAGTGGTACCTTTTTATCTACTTGCATTCGCATGCTTTCAAACTGCAAGGCTGGCAGGAGCTGGGACGGAGCAACGGGAACTCACCCCGTTGTGCACATTCGAACCGGCGACCTTTCGATCTACCAGCACAGGAGCACAGCGGTTTAAACCACTGCGCCACCTGCAGTCCCTTGTGTTGCAGTAGTGGGTGGGATTAAAGGCAAAAGGGAAGATGAGAGACCAAACATTCCACCTTATTTATTTGAAACCTTTGTATGCTGCCTATTGTGCCACAATACCTCTGGTTTGTCAGTTTATGGTTCTTACTGACAGTAAATAAGCCTTAGGAGAATTATTTCAACTTTTTAGAATTGCAGAGGATGGGGTGGGGGCTGTACAGGAACCCACCAAACGATCTGAGCTCAGGGGAAGGAGGTATGGCCACCTGGTGAACCCCAAATGGCCAGATCTGAACCCTAGGCCTAACATTCTGCACCCTTGGACTACACCACCATTACACAATTATAACAGACTGCAGTCTTACAATTTTGTTCCTATGTAGCAAACTACTGGATGAAGCCCTTAAGCTACTGCTTACAAAGCTACCTCTGATCTGGAAGTAAAATGGAGGTTTGGTGGATTTTTTAAAAATCAAGTATCTTGAGTATAAATAAGAGAATGCTTCTGTACTTAGGCAGTGCCCAGAGGCCATTTCGAAGTAGACAGGGCTCATCTTTTGCTCAGAAAAATAAGCAGGAACAAAAAATGGCAAGGTTATCTGTCCAGATCTATGAATGCATTACTTCAAACCACTTCAAAAAATCTTCCATGACATAAGAGGTGTTGGACAACTGTAAGGATATTTATACCATTTCTTACTAGATCTCTTTTGACCCATCACAAAATTTATTCCTCCTTAATAAACCACAAGTTTCCACACAAAACAGACTGTTTGTGGAAGGCAATAAAAGCTTCTTTAGATGCTTTTCTATAAAAGGTTATGTATCTTACCGCATTTTTATCATACTTCTCCTCCAAAAAGCCCTAGGTAGTATTCTTCCTGCTGTGACTAACCCTCAGAAAAACCAAATGGGAAAAGTCACCCAGAGAGTTTTTGGCAGAACAGAGATTTGGGGATTCCCTCTCCCATTCTGGTTTGACGTTCCGAACACTTCATGTTATGTTGGCTGTGTGATCATGTGATAAAACAGACTGCATGGATGGGCCTTAGACCAAACTGCTTCAACTTTGAGCAAATTTCTTCCCAGGATCACATGACAGTTGCTCAGGTAATTATTACATGAATCTCCCTAAAATTGTGCATCAAAACAACACTAGAGAGTCAGTGGAGTGCAGTGGTTAAGAGAGTGCAGGACTGGGACTCAGACCATCTGGGTTTAGTCCTGCTCAGCCATGGAACCAACTGGGTGACTTTGGGCCAGTTGCAGACTCTCAGTCCAACCTACCTCACAGGGATGTAATTGTGGGGATAAGAGAGGAGGAGTAGGATGTAAGCCACCTTGAGTTCCTTGGAAGGAAAAATGGCAGGATACAAATATGCATATGCATTTAAAACTTATTTTAAGAAGAAGAAACAAACCACAGGAAAATATTGATAGGTGGTATAGGATTAAGCCTTCAAAGTTCTACTAGAGCTGCTGCTGCCATCAAGTGGAAAAGCGGGGCTATGCCATCTGTTGGAGATTCAGATGGCTGCCTTGGACTTTATGGGCAATCATGTCTTTGCCAGTGAGCCTTGCTACACAGGGAGCCACATGTTGGACCACAGTCCAGAAGAGAGTGCATATCACACCAGGAAATGGAGCGGCTCTTTTTCTTTCTCAGCAAAGCAACATTACAACCTCAGTCATTTCTTATTACATTTATACTGCTCATTTTTAACCCTTGGAAGGAATGCAAACAGAGCCCATTTTATGCTCACAATTCTGTGAGGCAGCTTAGGCTGAGAGTCAATGTACGGCCCAAGTCAACCAGTCAACTTCATGTCTGATGGGATACTGGATCAAACAATACGACAGCATTCCGCTCATGGGCGCCCATCCACTCAATGATGTTAGAGATGTAACACCCAGAAATCTGTTTCTCCCCTAAGAAGTTTATACTATAAACCAGACTCTCCTGATCTGGTGCCCTCCATATGTTTTGGACTACATATCTCAGTAGCATCATCCAGAATACAAAAGTCAGTCATGGTGGAAATTGTAGTACAAAACATATGGAGAACACCAAGCTGGGGGAAGCTGGTATAAGCCATCACATATAAGCCTTTCTCCACCTATATCTCATGCCCTTCTCAATGAAAAGTGCTCACTGCAGGTGAAGTTTCGAAAGCATACTCCCCAAGCCTGTTTCTGTTAAAACCATAATCATTCATAGCAGTCTTTTTATATTTATCACGGGTGATGTTTCAGCCCACCAATCTGTCATACCTGCATTTGAGAAGATGCAGGGACCACTTAATCACCCAACAGCTGTTCAGTACAATGACCTGTCAGACACTAAACATCTGTTTCTTTCTTGCTGTCTTTAACAATCGCATTGCAGTCTCATTTGTTTTCAGGCATCTTAAACCAACCTTGTGCTAGTTTACTGCATCTTTAGTAGATTTATAGTAATGAGAATTCTTGCTAATGCAATTTCTATTGCCTTAACTCACAACTGACAGTAGAAGCGGCACCTTCCATAATATTCCCTTCCAGCCCACTGATAAAGGCACAAAACCTCCATTCCACATTGAATGGCCTTCACACTTTCCAGATTCAGGAGGACCCAGATTTTCACACCAGCTGGTAAGATGGGGCCCACTTCAAACTGTTATTGCCACTGAGACTTGTAACAGAAGACGTGGAATGCTGACTCTCCATGTCTCAATGGCTCCCAGATAGAAGACTCTCAGTGCTACCAAATGCAAGGCAATTGTGCAGCTACTCAGTCTATGTTTTCTTAATTTCTGCAACAAGAGGACTAAAAAACCTATGGGAAAATACTGCATGGTTACACATGTCATCTAGGCTATTCCCCACATACATACACCAACACACCCTGTTAAAATTCATGAATGAGGCAGGATGAAGACATGATAAAAGGCTTGTCTGGCTGAATCCTAGATACTCGATCTCTTTGTGTTTCTCTCCCCCTCCTTCTGTCCTTTACTTTTTCTTTTCTTTTCCATTATCCATTTCTTTTCCATTTTTCTGCCCCACAAAAAATGTCATGGTGACTCATCCTGTGTACAGGGGCTGGCCACACAGATGTGGTTGTGAGCGACCGGCACCAGTTGAAGACCAAGGCCATAGTAAAGCTAGCTGGATTAACCGCCTCACTGCAGTCACCTTTATGACATCAACACTATCTATTTATACAGCTCTACGAATGGAAAAATAAGTTTAGTCATCACAGCCCCTTCTCCACATCCAGTAACTTGCCCCTGTTTCATACTACATCTTTGGATTTTCTTGGAAAAGTCTGCTCTTTAAGAGGATCCCAGGGATGCTGGATGAACAACTGCTAATTTGTCGTCTGGAAAAGTGCTAAAACATTTTTCTGTAGTCATCAAAGGAAAAATGTAATCATGAGGGATGGGGTATTCAAACTTGAAGTCCTACATCAGCAGCCATTGAAGACAGCCAGTTTTTATCCACTGCAGCCCATGGCAATTCGCCACTTCCACAGCCAGCCCTTTTCACTTCATTTGTGTTTCATGAAAATATGCACATTTTCTAGCAAACCAGTTTTGCAAGGCTGCTGTCGTTGTCACTGATGCCCTTAGATCTTTAAAGCTGTTTTAGTCACATCTTGCTAACTAATAATAATAAAACGCATCTACATATTCTTGAACGTAAAGCAGACTTACCAGCAAAGCAGCAGATGGTTGTCAAAGAACTCAAGCAGGTTTGTGGTACCATTAACATTAATGACTCCGTTTCCCAGAAAGGGAGTTTTACAGCTTCAAGCCTTGAAAATGGTGTCCAGCAGTTTCCTAGGCAGTGTAACTCAAACAGGTGTAACCTGATCATTTGTTCTAGTCAAATGACAAACACAGCATAGCTCCTGGTGTCCAGAAAAGCAGCAATGTAAACAGAAACTCCCAGCAAATTTTTCCAGGAACACATCATTACAAAACTTCTTTCTCTTTCTGTTTTAAAAAGCCTCATTAAAAAGCCTTCCACCTGTGGGTAAAACACTGGGAAATACCCTTGGTGAACTTGGGTCAATCACTCTCTGTCAGCCTAAGCTACCCCACCAAGTTATTGCAAAAAGAAGACTGATACTCACAACAGACTTTAAAAAGTTTGGTAGAGTTTGTCATATGAATTAAAGTTCCCCAAAACTGGGAGAAAGTAGTGAAGAATTAATCAAGCCACTCTCTAGCCTCCAAGTATAATTTATACATCCCACAAGTCTTGGAGCTTCAGCTGATGATTCCAAAACTATTACAAGATGCCTAAGGGAATCTTACGAGGAGCATCCAGACGAATTTCTTTCCTTCCCCCACCCCCCTCTCTCTCTTTAAGAGAAGGGGAAAGAGTTGGTAGAGCAATAAAATCAGAAGTGTCTGGAGAGGAGGAGGAGCAAGAAAGGAGAAAAAATCAGGAAGCTAGAAAAGAATGTGGGTAGCACATAGCAGGGTTAAAAATGGGTGCCAGGTCTGAAAACATAGAAGACAATGGGCTGGATCCAGATATGGTTCCACTACGAACAGACTCATTGACCTGATTCTCATGAAATGACAGCTCACTGTGGCTAAATTTACCTGTGGGGGCAATTCTGATGTGCCCAGTGCCCATGCATATCCAACCTGCCATGGTCTGTCATTTCATGCACACCCAGAAAGCAGAGCTTGTTTGACGATTAGACAATGTTCCAATAACCCTAAAACAAGCTATAGGGTTTTTTGGGGGGGGGGGTCTAACCTTCAAACAATCTCTGCCACCTCGGTTCATATGACAAGCAATGGCATGCTGGGAATCTACAGGAAGCATGCAAAACCGGTGCACAAGTGCACCTGGCACAAGGTGATAGCCCCTGCAGGTAAGTCAAGCCATGGTGAGCTGTTGTGTCATCCAGACTAGGAAACCCATTTCATTGGGACTATTTAAAGTATGATTTAAGTCTGGCTGTTAATACCATTGTTGAAAGTTATGTAGACTTTGCATCTTGAAAACTTCAGAACTGAATCCTTTACCAAGCCTGATATGTAGGAGTGGCTGTCTTCTCGTTGCAGAGAATACAATGAAAAAGCTCTTTCTCTGCTTCATAGCTAACTTTCCCACCCACTCTTCTCTCTCATATTTTATTTCCCAGGTATGACGGAAATCTGTCCCTGCTCTAAGGCAGATCTTTGGCTTCGAGGTGCACCCACAGGTCAGCAGCATTGTTGGGCATAACTACGTGGAGCAAAGCGTTGTGCGCCTTACATGCTGTGCTCCTTTGAAAAGATTCATTTATCTGCTCATTCAGTATTTTAACGTGAACAATTGCTTCTGTCTTTGTTTGCTAGGGCAAAGAACTATCCATTTAATCCTCTGCTTCTTACAACAGATAATAACGTGGAAACAGCAGGGATTTATTTCTGATAAGATCTTTAATTTAAAAATGTAAGCATAAAATAGCTTTTTAACAACAACACCTGGTTCTCAGAATACATATGTAAAGCTTAGTGCCTTTATATATAATCTTTTGAGGTGAACCACATACATGAACTTAACAGATAAAAGAGATCTCACTGACTAACGGACTGTTCTTTGTAACAAGCCTCTTGATTTAATATGGTTTTGTTTTTAATCAACTGGTTTTTAGCCTGAACTCAGTGGTACTTCCTCCTTCTGACAAGGATAAGATTGCTCTGTGCAATTAAGTGTTGTCTGTGCCAGTGGGTAAAAAAGCACTTTTCAAAGCTGGGTATATTATAACAAAGAGTTGTATCCAATGTTTGTCCAACACAGAATAAAAATCAATAGGGCTTACGCTAGACTAACACTGGATACAGCCTATTGTAATTTTATTTTACAAAATGCCTTACCCTTCCCTCAGGGCATTTTGTGGTTTCTTTATAAGACATTTTATTGTTGTAAACATAAAATATTTATGCAATGCATTTTACCTCCTCTCAGGTTTCTTTTCTTATATTCCCCAGCCCTTTTATTCTTCATTCGGTTTCACACTGTTTCTATCCAAACAAAACATTAACATAATTGTTTGCAGAAACTATTTACTAGGACAGAAAGTGGAGAGGATGTGAGTGTAGGAGGGAAGCAGCTGTTAAGCCTTTTGTCTGTTTTATCATGTTGTGAATATAAGCTTCTAATTATAAATAAGACAAAGTTAATTTAAAAAATTGAACATTAGGCATGATTCAACTAAAACTAAACATTTTCTCTACCTGCCTCACATCAGTGGAAAACAGCTAACTGGGAGCTTAATTCTTTCATTAAGCCAAAAGGATGTAAAAGCATTTGATTTTTATTGAATAGTGCCTATAGTTAATTTAGAGTGAGCAGGAAAGCAGAACAAGGCCCAAGTTTTGGATGTTGATAATTGTACCCATTATAACACACCCTGGAGCCTTGAGAGGGCAATTTTCCTATCTTTTAGCTCAGTCTTCCTGCGCTTTCTGCTATGATAAAACTCTGCACTGTATGATCTTGAGTTCATATTGTTCCAGCTTAGGTAGAAGACCCTAGATCCTTGAGTCACAGGATCCTGAGGTCTCCAACACACTCCACCAATATGCCCACTTCTGATCTGGGAAACTGGCATGTCCTGAAGTGAAGAGCTGCCCTCTAGTCTTTGTTTTGGGTTGAAAGGAATGGCTTTGTGTCTTGGAGTTCAGACTCTACCTCTTTCATGTGCTTAGATCCTTGGACAAGTTGTTTTCTTTTACTCTCTCCAGTTTTCTTTCTGGAAAAGGAATGCTTTGCGACTGGCCATGGCTACTGTTTTATGAATATCCAAGCTCCACCTATGCAAGCTATTTTATGAGAGTACCCAGGACACTCCTTTCCAGTGTATCCACGGAGCCAAACAGAAAGAGACTCCTGCTCACCACCTGGTTTGAGAACAACGAACCGAGTCACTGGCTCTCAGCTTCACCTCCATCACAGGATTTTTGCAAAATGAAATTGGGAGGAGGATTGTCATGTAAGTTGCCTTGGGTTGCTTCCAAGACAACTGTAAATATAATAATACATTTCAAAGAGAGAAAGAGAGAGTGTTGTTTTAGAAAGGAAGTAGGCATTTCATTATGTATGCCACTTCATGCCAGTGTTGGATCAGTGCAAGGTGGGACACAGGCAGAAGTTTCTGCAGGGTTCATGAAGCATTTTTAGCTACATTTGTGCCACAGCAGCTGATTATTGAAAAGACTCAAGTATCCCCTTTTCTGGCAAATAAATACATATAATGACCTGTATTATGCTGTGGCCATTTTATTATCCAATTGGTCTACAAAAGGGATACCAAGAGCTCACCAGTATTGTGAGCTCTAGCAAAGTTGTGCCTGCAATACTGCATACACTTGTCACAGTGCACCATTTTAATTAGAAGTTTTTGAACTTCCTCACTCCCCACCAAAGGTCCCTCTTCCCATTATCTCATGTCTCAACAAGAATAACTCCTCTGACACTATGCACTAATTTATAGCAACTTTTCTGTTTATAAGAGGATGGAACCCAGCTGATGTTGCATCTTTGTTTTCTTCTCTGCTGATTCATTATAAAAGCTGTTGCTACAATAATAGCTTCCAGTACAGCACATTATGTGTCATGAGTTACATGTTAACACGAAACACAGATGGACCATTGATTCCTCTTGCAGCAAAGTAGATCCCTTGCATTTCCCACTCTCTGATATTCACAAACCAGTTACATTAAAAATTGCATTCACACGAGTGGCCTTCCATGTACATGGGGGTGAAGTGGAAATGCCATTTATTACTGACCTAAGGCAAGTCTTCCCTCCCTCCCTCCCTCCCTCCCTTTCTTTCTGTCCATGGGACACCACAGCATCTCTTTAATAAGAGATTGCCTGATTCAGCTAATTACTGGGAGTACAGTCAGCTCATGTGTCTTTTAAATATACATTTCAGCAATGTCCAAAAGTTGCTTCTGTCGGGGAGGTGGCTATTACAAAGATACATTTTGCACATTTTGTAATATAGATAAATTTAAATATTGCTACGATTAATAATAAAAACTGGGTGCCCAGGGGGCATCTTGAGGACCTTTGTGAGTGCAATTGGAGGAACACACAGGCACATTTGGGGAACCCGTAAGTAGTCTGATCATCTCTGACCTCCGAATTCTGACTCTGTAACAGATTGATTACTCATGATTCCATACAGTTCCTTGCTGGGTCTTTGCAGCAGAACTTTTCCAAGACAAAGAAAGAAAGAGAAGGGGAGAACTCAAATGCTGGATGGGGGAAAAATAGCATGTCCAAGAACTGAGCCAGATGTCTTATCTATAAGGTACAATTTCAGCCCAATCTCAAAATGGATTTGTTTGAAATTAATGGGAGATGAATCTTATTGCTTTGGTAGTCACTCTCTTGCTTCTGGAAGAAGACAAATTATTCTTTAAAAGAGGAGGTGTTAACTACAATTCTGAGTAAAGAGCCAAAGATTACTCTAACAATTTCCTTATTCCCGCAAAAGTTGTTGCAACATATACATCTTTAAGGACTGAAACAGATACAATATTTGGCAGGAATTATAGATCCTTGTATTGGTGTACAGGCACTACCCCATGTTCATATATACAGAGAATATAAGTTGCAATAGATAAAGGATCCCACTGACACTGTGTAGATGTTAGGGAGTTTTAACAAAAACAAACAAAACGAATGTACCTGGGCTGGCCTCGGGGATGGGATAGGCTGGCGAGCCAGGACCAACCAAAATACCACAAAGTGTACAAACATCTGAATTCTCCATGTAGCCTGAAGAGTTGCAGAATCCCTCCTCATAAAATCGAGACCAAACAGCCTCGAGCAGCTTTCCCCAGCCTGACTATTGACCATATTAGTTGGAAATCCAAAACAGAGAGAAGATCTACTCTCCAGCGGGACTTATTCAAAGTTACCGTCTGGAGAAGCAAGGGGCAGGCGCGACCTCCGCTCGGCAGGGGGCGCGCGCGAGCTGCGACTGCTGCTGACCTACGGGAGGGGCAGTCACACGCGCTAGCGCGGAACATGCGCAGTGGAAGCGGGCTTTCCGCGGAGCGCAGGAGGAGGTTAGTGAAGGGTGAGGGGTTCTCTCCAGGGTTGGTGCGGCTTTTGTTCCTTCTCCCATAAGGATCAAGTTTTCGAAAACCAGCGGGACCTTCCATTCCCAAGTTAGTTGTAACTAATATATAGCTTGCTTAACTACACCGATTACTTCCTTTCAAAACAGTTTCACGTGCTTTTGGCATCCTCCCAAATATATATTAAAAGCCCAAATCGGCGTGTTGGCTGCAAGCAAAACTCCCAAATCCATGCTGGTGTCATATCTTTTCATTAGGCAAGCCAAAAAAGGTTCGTCGGGAGTGTGCAAGTCTTCCCAGATGTTACAAGCAGTAGAATGGGAGGGAAGACAGCTGAGATGAACTCTAACTGTTTACACAGAAGCTTCTCTGTCTGGAGTGAGTTTGCAGTCTCATTGGCAGCGGCAACAAAGAGCCAGTGTGGCACAGTGGTTAAGAGCATGGGACGGGGACTCAGAGGATCTGGGTTCTAGTCCCCGCTCGGCCATGGAGCCAACTGGGTGACTTTGGGCCAGTCGCAGACTCTCAGCCCAACCTACCTCACAGGGTTGTTGTTGTGGGGATAAGATGGAGGAGGAGAGATGATGTACGCTGCCTTGAGCCCTTTGTAGGAAGAAGGCAGGATATAAATCGAAAAATAAATAAAAGAAAACGGGTGATCTCCATGTTAACACTGCTGGAGATGATTTTAGAACTTGTGCTCAGTATAGGTGCCAAATTGACTAGCTTTGGAGAAGATGAACTCAGAATGGCTTCAGGTGGTGTGAAATTCTCTAACTAATTTAGAGTCCCAGTGTCGAAGGGGTGTATATGTGCATGTGTTTTCACATTACCTTCTTTCTAGGGCAGCTCTTAAGCATCCACTTAGCTGATCTAAATATTTTACGTCTTGGTAGGATGTCTTCTGCACCTCAGCCTCCAGGTTTACAACGCGAAACACCCAAAGAGAAAGATTATCGAATTCCAGGACTCCGAACTGTTCGAACCACCACCCTGTTCCGTGCTGTGAACCCAGAACTTTTCATTAAACCTGTAAGAAACTTGTTAAAGAATGGCAATGAGCTTTAAATATATACCTGCAATTATAACAAAACCAAAAAGGGAAAGGGAATAAACAAAACATAAATAGCAAAAGAATAAAAAAATTAAGAACATTTATTAGTTGTTTAAAACATTTATATCCCATCCTATATCCAAATAGGATCTCTAGGCAGCTTACATACAGACAAAGCCTTTCCATTCAGCACTTTTATTTCAAATATATAGGTTAACATTAAGGATTAGGAATGGGCTTGAGTGCATCTAGCTAACTTGAATTGTGATTGAAATATTGATGTAACTTGCAGTATGATGGGCATATAAGGTCTCAGCCTTTGTGGATTGCAATATTTGTGTGATAGCCGGCCCTCTGTATATAATATAAAGAGTGGTAAAATTAATATTACAAGAAGAACATAGCTCCCCTTGACTGCTTGTTCTTTAGCTCAGTCAATTTCATTGGATGAGAGCAGGTTACAGCCATCTTTCCCAGGTATAAACACTTCATCCTCAACTGGCATGTAGTCTAAGTAATACAGGGTTTAAGAAATAAAAGCCAAAACACTAAAAGTGTTCTCTTTTTATATACATGGTCAACTTTATTATAGTTTGCAAACTTTCCATCTAATTAGCAGATCATCAAACAACCAACATTTTAGGAAGGGCTACATACTCACACATACACGTACAACTAAAATGCACAAAATATATATATTATAACCCTGATTCACTCCAGAGAACAGTTCTCTGGTTTTATATAAAACATTTTCTTAATACTCATGGTGCCTGCTAATTTTTAAATGATTTAGCAGTCTATAGTGAAATCTTAGTTGTATGTCCACTCAGAAGGAAGCCTTATTGAATTCAGCGGGTTTTATTCCTAGTTAGGTGTGTACAGACTTGTAGCCTTAATCTGCTTCTTTCCGTTCGCCTTACTGACATTTAAACAAAGATGGACAAGAAAATAAAATACCAGCAGCAAGGAGCTCATGGCAAGTGGGGATGTGTTGAATATGGCACGGAATAACTAAATGCTTTGGATTTAAAAACATGTGTTCCTGTTTTATCTTCACAGAACAAAGCAGTGATGGCTTTTGGACTTGTAACAGTTACTCTTTGTGTAGCCTATATTGGATACTTGCACGCGCAACAAGAAAATAAAAAGGATCTCTATGAAGCTATTGACAGTGAGGGAAACAGACAGATGAAGCGCAAGACCTCTAAATGGGACTAAGGATAGGCTAACACAGGATGTGTATGTGCCAACATGGGAGAGGACTCAATATGTTTTTCTGAATGGTGATTTCCAGGATTCTGTGTGGAGAGGCAGTAATTTTTCTATCTAATAATAAATATTTTTTCTTGAAAGTTGCTCTGTTTTGATCACCAGTATAAAATACTGCCACCTGTACATATTCTGAATAAAAGCTAACATTATTAAGAACTCTACTGGAATATGTGTAACATTTTGTCTTGCAGATACTATGGTAATAATTGCTTTGGAATTTCTTTGGAATTTGGAAGCTACCAGTCACATGATATCTTGCTGTGTCAGGTTAGAAAGGAGCTGATTAGCAATGGCAGAACTGTAATATCAGACAGCAGCATCATGGATGAGGAGTCTATTGTAACCCATCATTGGTCAGATATTCAGCTTCTGCTTTCTCCTTTAATAAACCAGTTGTAAACTCCAGACTCCCGGCATTACAGTTTTTATATACATAAACTAAGCAAGGGACCATAGAAATAGGACATTCATTCTGCCAGTCCTTGGCATCTGTGATTAAAAGGATGAGCTATCAGGTAACAGAGACTTCTGCTTGAGGCTCTGGAAAGGACTGGGTTAGATGGACCAGTATAAGACACCTCCCTATGTCTATACCTCTCCTAAAATATTTAGCAATCATTTTCCACCATATTTTGAAGCCTGGGTGGGTCATCCTGCTTGCAAGTTAGCTTTGGCCTTTGTGTAAACAGGTTCCTGGTTTAGTGAGCTCCTTCCCGAGGTCACAGCCATGCAATGAAACTGCCCTACAGTGAAGCAGAACATTTTTCCTTCTGTCCTATTGGCAGTGGCTTTCTGGTGGAAACATCTTTCTGAGCCCTGCAATCTCACAGCCTTTTAATACAGGGTGTCAGCACAATCTGGGACCTTCTGCACATAAAGAAAATGTTCAGCCACCGAGTTGCGGCCGTTGCCCAGCAGGTACGGTTGAGGCCTCTGCTCCTATCCATGTTACCCAAAGTGCTAAGGGTGCCATCAGGAAAATGGCTGCATGGCACATAAGTGATGAGTTGTGAGTTAGCAGGATTTCAGAGGACTGGAAATTGGGGGCTCCTAGCTGCATCCAAAATGCATTTTGGTCCCCACAAAACCCCTGTATAAATGCAGTGAGAATCATTTCCAATTGGCAAGGTATGAACAATTTTATGAATTGTAAGAATTGGCTCTTTCCAGAGCATCGGTATGCCAAATAAGAGAAGTACTGTAATTTTCTCTGCTTGCTAGAGATACTGTGCTAGCCGTGTTCATGTAAACTGCTCTGAGCATGAGCTGGTACGGTCCAGCAGAATAATTGTATACAGCAAGGTTTTAGGAATTGGGCAGCCTTCCCCTTTCTGGAGCCTCCTAAATGTGTTGCACTGTGATTGTGTGGTAAGGTTCAAATGAAAATGTACTTGTTTGCCAAGGCCTTCTTTGGCTTGCAATTAATAACATGCTATTTCAATTCATCGCTTTTGTGTTGTTTCGTGGAAATGTAGTTTTTAAATTGTTTTAAAGGTTTTAAATTTATTTAAACTTGAATACATTTGCTGTTTTACCTGAAACTCCTTTAATAATGTTTTAATGTTGTATTTAAGTTTAATTTTTAATATCTTATGTGAGCCACTTGTAGATTTGTAATAAATGTATTATGTTAATATAGCAGTTTCCATCAGTTTTAGCCAGCATGTCTGGAGGGCATCAAGTTGGAGGAGGCTGAAATAAGCCCTTCGGGAGTATACCAAGTATATTTAGCAGCTGTGATAAAACTCATTTAAAGAAGACATAATGAAGTTGAGAAAACTTTGCTGATATTAAATGATTGAATAACCCATGTGATCTGCTTTAGAAGTGCAGGTGAAACACTTTAATTTCATTAATATAAAAGGTATTCTGTGATGCTGCTTGATGTTAATAGGTGTCTAAAATGCTTTTGTGAGCAAAGCTTGCCTTGCCTAGCAACAGTTACTGGGTGAGAAGTTGGCTCACATCCTCAGATTCTGTCATGGCCACATGATATGCTGAACTCCTGAACATCAGAGCTGCTGAAGAAACAGGTGGCTACTTCCAACACCATCTGACCATACAATGGTGAAGCTTGGGTTCTCTTCCACTGACATGCACATATTCAAAGGAGACACCAGATAAATTCCGTTTCAGCTTTAAGAACTCAAGTTTTTCTTCTGCCATCACACAATTAGATTTCAACTACAGAGCAGGAAAAAAAATCAATCATGATTAGGAATCCAGATTTTGACACATTTGTTTGCTGTGCTGTTTGTTCCAAGCTAATTCCACCACCTCCTTCACCAGAGACCTTTGCGCGGATCAGGGAATATAAGCCTTATAAAACTCGATACTATACACACAAAGATATACTGGGTAAGTTGGTCTCCTGAACTACCCATCCTTACAACAAAGATAGAAATTTCTGGTGTTCTGGTATCTGCTACAAAGTTTGTGCATAAAGGTTCTACCTTTCTAGTTAGCCGCCTGTAAAACAGGATTGAGTAAAACTGGAGAATGTATGTGGGGGCAGGGGAGCTGCCATCGTCATGATTAAGGAAAATAATGGCTTTGTTATGGAAATAGTAAATTAGGGGATGGGCTTTTAGCTCATAGAAAAGTGTAAGAGTGAAGGACATGATAGTCGATACATTCCTTACCTTCCTCTCAGCATGCATAGCAAATGTCCATCCATGACACACATAGATTTCCAAACAAAAAGCAGAAGTGTGCATGTGTATTTAGAACCCTGTATATAGAAACACGTTCATGCAGGAAGGACTGATTAATGGCTTTCATGGCTGGTCTGCGATTATGGAGATGACAGCCAGAATCACCAAGCTATGGAGCTGGTGTGTTTCTTGACTCTAGAGTCAGCTGACCTGCCTAGAACAGTTGCTGGTTTCACCAAGTTCCAAATCAGAAAGGGCTCGGACACAGTATTCAGTGACTGTTAGATGGTTTATGGCTGCAGAGAACTGGATCTTGCTTGCCAACTGCCCAAAACCCAGTCCTGATGAGAGAGAGTGATGGCGAACACTACTTATGCAGTCCTCTTTTTTATGATGTTCATGCTGAGCTGCCACTGAAGCAACAGCATTGCCACTGGGCTCCGTTCTGATATCCGCTCTTTTAGGTGTGACTCTCCCCTCACATGTTGAGAAGCAGGAATAGTGCAAACTGGGTGCACAGTTGGATGTCAACATAAGGAGAAGCTAAACATGATGAGACTTTCCTCCCCCTGCACTTGCACAAACCTTCTCTGGAGAGTCCCTATGGTGCAGATTTGGGGTGGCGACAGACAGGGAGAGGGACTCATTCCACCATTCTGGCAATAGAAGCAGTTCTGTCAGCAGGGAAACTTGATTGGTTACCACCAATAGAGTCCCTGCATCATGCATGAGATCATCCACATGGTGCGGAGGAGTAGCACTGATAGCATGGTAGTAAAAGATGAGCAGGGCCTCTCATAGTTTTTCACATGGAATCTCTTTATGCCTACATGGAGCACTGTGTTGGGCATAATGTGGAGATACTTGGATCATGTTACACACAGCTTAGTGTTTATAGGTGGAACCGGATCACGGGTAGAAAGCTTTTAAATGGCATGTACCTGCTCAACCTTTCTACAAAACCTTTCTTTAATTGTGCCGTTGCAAACAATTCATTCTGGTGCTGGTTTCAGGACTTCTTTGCCAATTTAAAGCTTCTAATTTAGCAGGTCAAAAGGCAAGAGAGTTAACTTGCACAACTGTTTTTACATGCTGAGATCACCACCAGTTCAACACCCCTTTAAATATAACAAGGTATGTCAGCATTCAGGTGATAAAATAAGTAGTTTAACAATGGTTTTAAAAAGAAAACTTAAAGTATCTAGATGAAATAATGAAACAAAGGGACATCTGCCGCATACAGTTTGTATGCAACTATAACACGGTGTTCATCAACTGTTTTTTGATGTATAGAACTTGGTGCTGACATTAAGCAAGAAGAAGCAGACAGAAGAGAATTAGAAATAGAGAAAAGAATTGAAAAAGTGCGGATGAAACTACTGCTTCAGGTAAAACTGTTCTGTCACCAGTGATGCATGTTTCACAGAAATATGATATATGATAATACAAAGTTTATAGATTTTTGTGATGTATTGTTTTTAAAGGGGTTTTTTTTAAATCAACTGTTGGGACTCTGTCCTAAAAGATGGGGTATGCATATTTAGGATGGTAAGCTAGCAATGTAGGAGTTCAGTGGAACTTACTTTCAGGAAAGGGATTGTAGTCTCAGTCTTGCTGTAGTCTTATTGAGTAAAATGATGCATTTACGGGTCAGTATATTTATCACTGTGCTCCACAAGTGGGCCTTCAAACACAGCCATGAAAGTAGTATTAAATCACCTTTGGTGAAAAATAGCCATGCAAAAAGGCAGCAGGTCTGTGTTTGTTTGTTTGTTTGTTTATGGTATGGCAAAGATGCAATCTGTATCTGTACTTGCTGCAAACCTGCACGTACTTGTTTTGGAAAGGACCTTATTTAAGTCAATGATAAAGTCTTTCAAAGAGAGCCCACTTACCACCGAAAGGCAGTATCCAGCTGCTTAATTCCGTTAGCACTGTCTGAATTTTGAAGGAGCTGTCCATGGTTCTGAAAGCTATCCACACCCCTCCACATTCCAAACTGGGCTCAGAACCATGGATAACGCCTTCAAAATTCAGACTGTAGCCTGGAATAACACATTGGCCAATATAAAACAGAGAAACAGAGCGAGTCAGAAGGGGTCTCCCGGGCCATCTAGTCTGACCCCCGGTTCCAGTCGTCTCTGCTCACAACATGCCCACCATGTGCATGTCCAGCCTATCCTTGAACACACTCACTGATGGGGCCTCAGCCACCTCCTGTGGAAGCCCAGTCCAGATACACTGGAGCCAACTATATGCAAAAAGAGAATCCAGCTACAGTTCTCTTTCTGTAAGCAATTGTGCACACCATTGCACAAATGCAGTGTGCAAGCACTTGCACAAAGGAAAAATTCATATTTTGTAACTAGTCCGAAGTCAGTTGCCCCGTGAGCTTCATGGCCAAGCAGGGACTAGAACCCCGCCGCCACCATGCCACACTGGCACACTCGCAGTGCCTTGCTGAAGTATTCAAGCCCCTTTGACTTATCTACGCCTTACTGTGTTACAAACAAATGCCCTACATATGGAAAACTAGATTTGGGGGAAAGTAGGCCAGACTGCTATTCTTCCCTGTTGTGCTCATTTGCTTTGCACAAATATATGTGCACACATGATATATGTGTATGTACATACACCCAGAGATGCATGCACGCATGTTTATATGGAGGAGCATTCAGTTGTGTGAGCTTGCAGTGGCAGGGTGAAGCATTCAGTCAAGGCAAAAGTATGTTTCCTCATTGGCTTCTCATGAGAATTAGATCACTCTCTTGATGCTTATAAAAGTAAAATTAATGAGGAGATGGAAGAAAGATTGTATGAGTGGACATTGGTTTGCAGAATGGAACTTTCCCTGCTGTACCTTCTCTCTGTAGCCTTCCCCTACACCCTCCTCTGCCTGGCAGGGTTCCCCAGACCTACAGGACAAAGTGTGGAGGACATAGAGGCCTGAAGGAATGTGGGAGCTCTATTTCACTGACTGCTGCTTCTCCATAGGCAGAAGGTTGCCATTGAATTCATCCTGTTGTACTCTAGCTCATGTCCAATATCAGTGTGCCTCATGCATATTTTCTTCTTAGTTAACTGAGGTCATGGTTTATTTTGTAGGCTGAGACTGAAAAAGAGGATGCAGTGGAAGATGCCCTCAATCGTGCTGATTCCCTCCATAAGAAAGATCTTGAAGAACTTAGAAAGAAAGATGAAGAAGTACTAAAAGTGAGTAGTCATTTTCTTTTTGTGCTTTCGATTAAGTTGCTCTTCACAGAAGGAAAATTAGGGTCAAGAGCTATATAAACATGCAGAAATTGAATTGGATATAATCTTTCTTGGATTTGTAGGTGGCGAAAAATAACATTTGAATACTCTTCTGGGTTAAAAACAAACAAAAACCCTTCATATGCAAAGCTAGAATGTCAGGGTGAAGGTAATGGCCCTCCTTCCTAACTAGCTTTCTATATGCAGGAAACTTTTTTTTAAAGATGGAGGTGAATACCAAACTTTGGTACTAGCAGTCTGATATTCTTTCTAAGTTTTTCTTGTTTAAAGCAAGGAAAAGAAACAGTCAGGTCTCTCATTTATATTTAATGTTGCTAAAGGAAACTGTGAAAAATACAAGGATAGAAATGCTGCAGCACTTAGAACTGGAGCTGAAGAGAGAATCGGAAGCCGCTGAGCAGCGCATGACACACAAACTTCAACGGATTGTTCTGGAGCTCAGTCGGGAGAAGACGGCAGCTATAGCAGCAGTGAGACAGGAAGAGAGAGAGAAAATAGCTGAATTCCTTACCAAGCAAGAAAAGTAGGGAGTCCTATCATCTTTTTAAAAAATTGATTTAAATAGAGCTACACCTGATACTGGGTTGGATCCAGAGCTCTGCTGGTAAAAGGAACTCTAATGTAGTGCTGCTTCTTGAATAATTATGCAAGACACTCATGAAAGACACTGTGACATTGTGCTAGACACCTTGTGAAAGAGACTGCATGTTGTCTTGTGTGAGTGGAAGCACAGCTCTGGATTTCAGTTCTCTTTTCCCACACGAGATCCCTCGCTAAGTAGAAGTTCTTCTGCATGCAGAAGAGCAATCTCTGGATCTGATTCAGTATCTCAGTTTTGATTCAGTGTATCTATATTGTCTGGTTCCATGATACAAAGCTAAAATACATGGATGCCTAACCTGTAGAGGGGGTTGTGATGTCAGTAAATGGTAAACCCAGCATGTTAAGTGAATTGGTCCCATCATGAAGAGTCGCCCACCAGGAGATCAGTAAACACTTGTGCTACCTGCTAGGGCAGAAATGACGAATGTTTAAAAAGCTGTATATACAGTTTATCCGATTGTATACAAATGAAGTGAAGTGAAGTGAAGGTGTAGGGTGGGGAGAATGTTTCATCCTTACCAGTGCAACTATTTTGTTGTTGTTGTTGTTGTTCAAAACTACCCAAGTGCACCTCTTATCCCAGTAGAAGAAAATAAATCTTCCTCTCTTCTCTGTGGTAGAGGGAGAGCTTGGTGCGTGTTGCTGTTCTGAGCAGCTAAATGGCCAGAACCCAAAAGATTTTAATAGTTCCTCCCCACCATTTCTTCTCTCAAAGATATGATTTTTTAAAAATTCAATCTTTAGACATAACATTGTTATTGTTGTTATGTCACATCATGTCATATCATATCCTGTCATGTGGTGTGGTTAGAATAGGGTGGGCAAATTTGGGGCTGGACATTGCCCCCTCTTTTTGGGCTTCAGCCCTGCCACTGCCATGCAATCTGACAATGGCAAAGGCCACGGGAGATCACATGCAGCCTATAGGTCATATCTAGCCCAGCCTGGTTAGAAGGAGGCTATTCTTTGTACGATCTACCATAGAAAATGTGCAAGAATGGGAAACAGTTATTTTGCAATCTCATCTACTGCAGGGATGAAGTGGGGCAAGGTAGCACTGCACTGATCGTGCCTGGGTACAGAGTCAACATTTTAATAAAAAAATAAAATAAAAACTACTGATCCTTCCATGTGAGGAGTAGAAATCCACACTGGAAACATGGAACAATTACGTAGTACTAGAATACTGAGATGAAGTAAAATCAAATGTGTCAAGGCTGCTGGACTGGAACTGAGGCAAGATATGCTTTTTAACTTTGTAAACTGCCTAGAGAACCTCTGGGCTATGAAGTGGTATAGAAGTGAGTCAGATAGATAGATAGATAGATAGATAGATAGATAGATAGATAGATAGATAGATAATCACTACTGAAGGCACACTGAAGAAGACCTGAGAAGGTAACTACAGTTTCTATAGCATGAGTGCCGTTCATCGTTCTTTATCATTCTTACCCAATCCAACCACATTCCTTATGATTTAAACTGATAGTACAGTTCTTATAACTAGGTATGTGCCCCATTCTTTATAGCATTTGTGAACAGGTGCCTGCTGTTTATGATGGAGGGGGAGAATCAAGTTAAATCATCATTGCCATACCTGGTGCTGAAGATATTGGAACTATGCATCTTCAGTTCTAGTCATTTCTAAGCATACTTAGACCACAGAATCAATGGAGAATTAAGCCATGCACCAAATGTTCCTCACTGCTATGCCTACCCAGATCATTTTGAAATTTGGGTAGAAACCATCTGAAATCAATTGCAATGTAAAATTTCATAAAATTTTGTATTTTTCATTTTGACCCTCAAGTTTTATTCCTGTAATTGCCTTTGTTGTGGGGGCAGAGTATACATGAGGGCAACCTTGCGTATGTTTCCTTAGAAATGCCTGTGTTCAGTGAAACTGATTCTAACACAATGGATTTCAGTCTACTGTTTTCTAGAAACTTGTAAAGTTTTTGGCATCATGCTGGATCTTCTGATATCTTCAGAAGTTATGCCATTTGGTCTTCAGCCATAGGTTTATTCCATTTCTAAGTATCTGTTCTAAATTTAATTTCTTTCTAAATTATAGGAAATCTATACAAAAGCTTACTTCTTACATTGCCAGCTATGGAAATCATGTTAAGGTCACTATATGATCTTTCTTCTCACTCCTACAGGAGGTATTTGGAACAAATCCAGCATGCTGGCCAGCTTGCTCATGAAATTTATCAGAAGAACTTGCAACAGCTAGCCTGGGAGAAAAAACATGAAATGGAGGTTGCCCTTACAATTTCCCAAATAGAGTTTCAGGAAGAAACCGAAAAACTGCTCAAAGTGGCAGATGCTACTCGTGAAACTCAACTTGAAGAAGTAATAAGCACAGTGAACAGGAAAGACAGTGAGATCCTGTCTCTTAGCCAGCAGGTGAAACACATGACAGCCTGGAAAGATAGCCTGGAAGCTGAAATATTAGAAACAAGGGAAGCATTTCAGAAATACATCGACCTCACCTTTCCTCAGCTCGCTCCGGGCCAAGCAGATTTTATCTTACCATTCAGAAAAGTATCTCCATTCACAGATTATGGTCCTGGAGAATACTCCCAGTGACCATGAGGAGAGTGCTATGGGGATTTATCCATTTGCTGCAAACATCCAAACTTACAGTAAGGAAGTGCTTCAGTGCTGCAGGAAAAAAATAAACCAGTCTTCCTTTGCTACACTTTATGTCTGTATATGTAACTTTGTACATACATTAATATTTGCTTTGTTTATCTAGTGATCCCCACATCATGTTAATATGACAGGAGCAAGCAAGTGAGGCATGATCTGATTCATAGTCCGGAAATAAAGAATAGTTTTCAGAAGGTAGTAGGTAGTTTGACAGAGGGGGTTCTGCTGTTGGTGTGGGCATGTATTCCGCTAAATACACATTGGCACATTTTGGTATTGTTTTCAAAAAATTGTTAAACCTATTGATCAGTGGTGACAGTAATATGACATTTGTTCATCTCTAGTTCATTCTCATATTTGATGAGGCTTATTTAATTTGCCTTTGAGCCATTCAGTGTGCTGACGGCCAATGATTTAGGTTGTATGTTCACATTGTACCAGGTAGAGCAAGGTCCATTTTCAGCCTGATGTGGGGAAACATCCTTTGCCTCTATAAAGAAGCAGGGACTATTGAACCTGTTATGTTTTAGAGGCTGGAGAGAGCTCTGGGTTTAAAAAGGACCATATGATTTTTTTTCAGATCTATGATTCTACTTTTATGTGTTGCCAGCTTTTCAATACATGCTGAAAGCTTACTGAAAGACATCCTGGAATCCATCTTAATCAATGTTCACTGTAGTACTTATCAGCAAGTCGATACCTGTCAGGTGAGAATAGGGTGAGTTTATTGTAAAGTATGAGAAATTAATCACAAAATGGGATCCATAGCTATCCCATCTTAGAAGTTTGAGGTGTGGCAAGACCAATGATTTGTGTCCTGGTTTGCATATGCCAAAAATACAAAAAAGGGGAACATTTTCTTTAAAAGATTTATGCTTGAGAATGACTGGCTGCCTGTTAATTGTTCCAGACGATGTACCTGAGCACTCCTCAGTTGGCCCTTTTATGCATTGATCATTAAAGGGTTGCACAATTAACACCTTCTAATAGGTTACAGAAGTGAAAAGTTACAGTGGCGTGATCTTTCCTGCCAGTATACCAAAGAGAAAGAAGGTGCTCTGAAGGAGGGGAGGAGAATGGGGTGTTATTCCAAGGAGGAGGAGGAGGAGGAGGAGGAGGAGGAGGAGGAGGAGGAGGAGGATGGGATGGGTTGGTATGAATTGCCCTCTGTTCAAATGGCTGTTAATCTGTCAAGTGTCATCTAGGTCTCTCTGAAAGGGCACCTAGTTAGTGACAGCTACACTTCAAGGATGCACACATGCTAATGTCTAGGGAAAAATTGCTTTTTCTGGTCCAGCCATATGTTAATATTTGCACGATCATATCTGTGTAAGTTATACCTATTGATTTGTATATCGATAAGCATACAACTTTTGTGCTATACAATGGTCTAGAAGTCCAGCAGATGAGCAGGGTTTACCCCAAAGGCAGCACATCTGGCTTACAGTAATTTGAAGTAATACACATTGCCACTTAAAGAGGCGAGTACTTACAAGACCAGTGAATCCAGAGGTAATAAAGATTACCATCTAAAGCAGGGGTGGGCAGTAGTGGCCCTCCAGCTGTTTTGGTCTACATCTCCTTTGATCCCTCACTGTTGGCCACATTGGCTAGAGCTGATGAAGACTTAGGCCAAAACACTTGGGGGGCTACAGGACCAACCCTAAAAAAGATCAAGCATTGGTAAGATTTAAGTATATATATTTGGTATGGTATATATATTTAAAGTATACATCTTGGTACAGTATATATTTACTGAGATTGGTAAATATATATATATCTCTGCTATATATTTAAAGAAGGATAAATGGCCCATGAGGAAGGAAATTCTTTTCTGAAACACATGGGGCATTACACAAAGACATTTTCCCCCAGGCACTTGAGAATGTCTTCTGTTTTGAAAAAGATTTGGAGGGCCACATGCCCACCCCTTATTTAAAGACACCCCTCTGCCCTTTGTAAGGCCATTAGGTCCAGCATCTAAAATGACCTAACTGTACTACTGTACTACTGCTATAATACAGTTTTTAGAACCCTAAAAATGGTGAAGGCAAGTTACCTTTGGGAGATGAATTGTACTTTGTTGGTATGTTCTGGTTTGCTAATGTATTTATTAGACTTTTATCCTGTCCTGTTAGCCTTAAGGCTCCCTGGGCAGGTTACAATTAAAATCATTAAAATTCTGGTTAAACCATGGAGGTGAGTCCACATGCCTGAAAGGCCAGACTTAAGTTGCCAAATGACATAGATTCAGTGACTGAACCCCAGCATCCATTCCTGATGTGGTGACACTGACATATCAGTTGTTTTCCTCTAGACTTGTTTCTCTCTATTTGAGATGAACAGTTTCCTCTCTGTCAGGTGGTGGCTCTGGAGCAGAGTGCCTCAATTGCTCCAACTGGTAATCTGTATTCTCTCTGGGAAAAAGTGGCACTTTCTCTTCTCCTACAAACATAGTATTATTAAACTACCCAGTTAATGGGACAGTTAGGTGATCAAATGCATGCTTAGGAAAGCCAGTGCCATTTAGGAGCAAACATCCCATTAAAAATGGACATTGTACTATCCTGTGTAAGGCAAGGACTGACCAGATAGTATTAACGAGCTCACCAGTCCTTTGGCTTTGCTTGAACTCAATTTATGTAATCTCTTCTAAAGTGTAAGGTACAAAATAATACTTAACAAGCATATAATAACCAAATCATAGCATTTGGCTGGATCTAAAATATCCTGCAATTTGGCTCTGGCAAACAACCACTGTGCTATTAAGCCAAGTGTGGGAAACGGCCTCAAGTCTCTTAGCAAACTGGCTTTTGGGGGAAAATTGCTGTGAAGATAAAATGTGGCTTGAAGGAGCACTTTCCTTGCTCTGTTGGCTTTTCCAGCAGGCAAGAGTAAACAGGAACATGTGAAGGGCTAGCAGTGCACCCTTATGCATAGTTGCCTGGGATTCCTAATTGGTTCTGGCTTCCAGGAATGTGTCACTGAGTATAATAAACACACAACCACTGGGTAATTGTCAGAAATCCATGGACAGGGCACACTGAGAAACTGCTCTTTTACGTGTTTATTACGAAAAACTTCCGTGTTGCGCCACAGCAAAAACCATGAAACAGCTCTCAGGAGAAAGAAAAGAGGGATACGAATACTTTGTAGGAGCAATAATCTTTACAGGGAGGTTAAGGTGCCCAGAGAACTGGAGAAGGGTCAATCCCCAAAGTATAGGGCAGATAAAAGGAACGAAGGAACGTCTCAGCTAAGAAGTGCCCGCCTATTCTAAAACAGCTCAGCCCTTTGAACAATGGGATGAAGCCACGCCCACCAGGGCCTTCTGCGGTCCGCCTCCCTGGCGGCCCTTCGGAGAGACGCTCGCGGTCTCCATGGCAACGCGGCGCCTCCGCCGGGGGTGCGAGGAACGTGGGCTTTTCCTTCCAGGGCCCGCGGGCGGCCGGGGACGAGAGCCCGGGGCTGTGGAGCAAAGGGGGCGCGGCCGGGCCGTGGGGGACTGAAGAGGGCTCCGTGAGGGCTATCCCGACGGAGAGGGAAGCCAGTAAATCGGATGGGCGGTTGGCGTGCCCTAACGGGAAGGAAGAGCAAGGCCCAGAATAAAGGTGTGCTGGCGCTAGGTGAGTGGGGCCGCCAGGTTTGTTGGATTAAAGCGCCCGAGTCGAGTCGTCAAGAGGGTTGCCACCTTTGCTAGCTACGTAGCAGGCTGAAGCTAAACAAGTGAAGTTTCTCCATCGCTACAGTGCTGCACTGGGTAATGCTGAAACTCTGCATGTCACATGGCTGTAACGGGACAAGTATCCTGCCAAACAAGGAGTGGAGTAGATGTGTAGACAAATGGGATATTAGCTGTTTTCATTATGGGATTTTGTTGCCATAATTGTTTCGGTGATACATCGGGTACTTCCAGACACCTTGCCTCTTCACAGAATGTTTCAAGGGTACAGATGACATCATTTTCTGTTTGTAAGCTTCTGTGTATTCCCACTGCTTTTCCTCACCCCTTTCTTACCCTTGTTGTACCCTTTCTAGTTGCAGGGGTAGGCAACTTGTAGCATTCTGGATGTTTGGGCCTGTGCATCCCATCATCTCTCATCTGTCCCTGATCTAGCCAGAGAGTTCTTGGTGTTTCCATTTGGAAGATGCTGAGTGACTCCTTTTTCTTCTTACCTGGTTTTCTGCAATAAGAAAGAGGTTGGTAGAAAAGGTGGGAAAATACAGGAGGATTATCTGTTGAAGACATACATTGTTTTTGGGGCACCTGCAAAATTCCACGAACAAGGCAGGGCAGTGTTGTGATAAAAAACCTCAGCTAGAATCGAAGTACCCAACAAATTTGTTAAAGAAGGAAAGACTGACTGCTTGCAAAAGCTTTTTTATATCAGAGAGTACACAGTCACAGAAAACATAAATGCCCTTCAAAGTTTTCTCACACTATATAGGTACATGTACTTAAGAAAAAGATATAAACTGACTTAATAACCAGGACTGAAGGTAACCAGCAGTGGTAGGTTGTCATGGTATCTGAACCCAGTGCTATTTCATCATGATGGCTTAATTTTCTCTAACAAACCATCCTGCAAACTCATGGATTGATTTAAGATTGTGTTTGCCCATAATGGGTTGTTTTGTCAACCAAATCTGGTGGGGTACATTCTTTATGGATTGTTGAGCATGGATTCAGAGCTGTTGTAATAAAAAAAGACAGAAGAAGTGATCAGAAACCATAGGAGTATACAAATCGAAGATAGCAGTGTCTGGATCCATTCCACAAATGAGGCAAAGCAATTGCAAAAGTAAAAGCCTCATCTTGAAGCACCTGTTGACTTGTTCACTTGATATATTTTACACATCAGACAAAAGCTATTTCAGTGATCTCTTATCATCAGCTTTCCTAACAACCATACATCACCTCTGCCTCCTGACCATGTTGTTTTTGAAAGCTTGAAAGGTTGATGACTGAATATGCAATCACAGGGCTGTCAGTAAAGGCTACTACAGGAAAAATGGCAATGTATTCTAATAAATGTCCATTCTTCATCTCTTAATGGTATAGAATGGCTCATTCTCAAGCAGAAAATGTCATAAAGAACATCATCCGTGAAATAGGACAAGAATGTGCCATGAAGGGACAAACTGTATCAGAAACTCTGGTGGCATTCATGGTAAGAACAAAATAGGTATTTTACTAGTGTCCTTTGTTTAAATGGTCTTTTCACCAAGTTAATGTTACTCCCGTGACATTAGAATAATAATGCTTATAGAAGAGAACAGTACAAAAGATAAAGTCTGCATCCAAACTGACATTCGTTTAAGGCAGCTTTTTCCAGCCAGGTGCCCTCCAGATGATTTGTACTTGAATGCCCATTTGACCCAGTTATCATGATCAATGGTCAAGAATAAAGGGAGTTGTAGTCTAATACATTGGAAGGGTGCCAGATTAGGGAAGAATGGTTTAAGTTAAATTAGTGATAAATGAAGAACAAGAAAGTCAAACATGTTGACTTTTTTTCTCCAAAAACGTCAGGTTATTTTTGGAGAGGTAATAAAGCAACACATTATTCATGAAGTAATTGATTCAGTAAATGCACATAGGATGGGATGGGCATGGAGTGGCCTTCCCCAACCAGTGTAGGGTTAGGCCAGTGGTGGCGAACCTGTGGCACATGTGCCACAGTGGGCACGCAGAGCCCTCTGTGTCAGCATGCGAGCCAAGTTGCCACAGCATCTCCCCAGCAGCCGAGCATCAGATAACAGCGCACATAGGAGCCATGAGTATGCTCAGAAAGGAGTAGCGGCGCCAGGTGGTGATGTCACAAGCCGCAACTCATTAGCCGCGACTCGTCCGAGCTTTCAGATGGCCAGTCAGTGCGCTGGCAAGGACATATATATATATCTATATATATAGATATATATAGCTATATTTGCTTGGACTGGCTGTGAGGTGTTTTTTTCTAAACTAAAACCTCAGTTTTCAGGTTTTATTGTAGTGTTGGCACTTTGCAATAAATAAGTGGGGTTTGGGTTGCAGTTTGGGTACTTGGTCTCTAAGAGGTTCACCATCACTGACGTAGGAGAAGCAGGCCCAGTGGCCCTTCTTTAGTATTTGCCGCATACGTAAGTTACTTATGTTGGGTAGGGTTAGGGTTGTGTGTGGGATATATGTGGGTAATCTTGGCAACATGTTTACAAAGTCAAATCCAGGAGCAGCTGCTCTAGTGGAGAAAATACTTCCTAGGAATGGTTACATGGCCAGCTGATGGTTGGTTGCCCCTTCCAAGTGAGTGAAAAGCTTGTCCAATAAAAGAATTCTTGCTCTTGTTGACTTTTTCTTACTTAGTGAAAGATCAGTAAATCTGAATTCCAGAGCAAATGCAGTTTATCTCACTACTGCAGCTTGTAAGGGCCCACAGCTCAAGGAAGTGGTTTATGATAGCCCTGCAATGCAGTGCATGTGTAATATTGTAGGTCATACTCTGAGTGGATTGCAACAACCCTTCAAGTATTCTCCAAGTTATTAGATCCCTGTTGCAGGTTGGCCTGAAACTGAAAGACTGCTTTACAGTGTAGTGTTATCCATTGCTGTTATCCCCATGTTGCAGGCTCTGCTGTGAAAGTCATATACAACAGTCTTGTAGTCTAGTTCATTGTTATATGCCATTGCAGGTTTGGGCGGGGATGGCTGTACAGAGACAAAGTTGGGTATTGCAACTGTGCAATATATGCCACAGCTTCTAAGTCAGAGACAGAGCTGAATTTGGTTTGGGTTCCCAGCTAAACATCCCCCTTCATGTTGCAGCAAAGCTCATTCTATTTAAATTGCCTTCCTGAGCCAAATCAGTGCTCAGTTACATGTGGAAGCCACAGCCTTCATTGCTTTGCACAGAGACTGGTTGTGCTTTTAAATGGTCAAAAACTACAGGAAGGAGGAAGAGAAAATGAATCTACATATCAGCAATGATCAGGGACTCCTGTCTTTGCTGTTAATGTTTGTTTTCTGCCCCATCAGTCACACACTTCTAAGGAATTCAGCACAGTATTTTAATGAGAAAATAATGAGAAAATAGCTACAGTGCAGCATTCTTGTTTATGCTTGTTTATTTCAACAATAAACTGCTTATTTATTTCAACAGCTCAGATGAGAGATCCAGTGATAGGAATGGCAATGAACAGTCGGGCAGGCAGCGCTTGTTAGGTTCCATAAGTGAGAATGACCACTAAGGCAACAGGAAGCTAGTGCTTTCTAGAACAACCTCAGAAACTAGGTAAAATTACTGTTCAGAGGAGCTCTCTTTTGTGAGCTCCACTGATGCGTTCTGTTCCGTTTCAGAAATGTTAGTTTCAACTAGTTCCCAGCTGCTCTTAGAGACAGTAGCTGCTTTACATTTGTGGTTATTCCTACTAGCACAATCACACCTTCAAATATGTCTTACCAAACAGATGGTTGCATGTAGCTGGCATGCCGAATGCAGTTTCTGCATGTATAGCAATAGCTTCAAAGTTTGAAAATGGACTGCATGTTACAAGCACACAAATGTGCATTTTGGATAAGTATTTATGGGACTTGGTGCCATTTCTGTTGGTAAACTGCCATATCTTCTTTTCTTACTGGAGACTATTCTTGTGTCTAAAGCTGGTATGAGTTCTCCAGATTTTTGTCACTGCCAGTCATGGAAAGGATAAAATACATTTGAGATTTGATGAAGAAACCACTCCCTTAAAACTGCTGCTTTCGATGTCAGGGAAGCTCTGGATAACACTGTAGATATAATATGCCTATTGAGACTACCGTAACTGGCTTAGTGCTAAACTGTATTTTGAGACCTACAGTTTTAGGTTATGCTCACCAACTCACTGACAGGTGCAGACTCTTTCCTTCTCCTTGTTGTAATATTCAAAAGTTCTATAGCTAATCAGCATTTTGTTTCCCATGTCAGGCAGGTAATACTATTTTAACCTTCCTCCCCATATCCTGGGAAAGAGTAAATGGACTCTAGAGAAGAGATAACATCCAGTTTTTAAAGTAGCAGAGGAGTTTAAAGGAACTTGAATTACGAGGAGAGTAACACGAAATTGCTCCAATGCCACTTGGCAACCCCATATTTTAACTTCTGTGCTATAGTTTATTGACTATAGTAGTGAATCTATTCTTAATTAACCCTTTAACAGTTTACTGCACACACTTAAAACCTGTAAAAGAGCATTAAATCCCATTCATTTAAATGAGCTATCCAAGTAAATTAGTTTGCTAAGGTCTGAGAGTTTCTTCTCATTTCTATTTATTTAAGCTGGGAAGTGTTATTTGCATAATGTCAACTGTATAAGTTAAAGTTATACAGAAATAGGATTTATTTAAGAACATACAATACTGATTCTTCTGGAAATCTCTTTAGGTGAAAGCTGTTGTACTGGATCCAAAGAATGGATTTAATGTGGATAGAACCCTTACAAAGGCTGATGTACAAAAACTTATTACGGTAATTGCATCTTCTGGAACTTTTTCTAAAGGATTCTCTGCATTTCTCTGACAGCTTTTGGACCTGTTTCAATAAATGTAATAGCTCTCAACAATTTAAAACAGTCACTTAGTAAATGATTACATGCTTTCAATTGATTAATTTAAATGGGTATAGCAAGTGAGAGCCAGTGTGCTGCAGTGGTTAAGAGCGCAAGTCTGGGACTCAAGCAAACTGGGTTCTGTTCCTCACTGAGCCTGGAGCCAGTGGCTTACTTTGGATGGGTGACTTTGGGCCAGACTCTCAACCCAGCCTACCTCACAGTGTTATTGTTGTCGAGATAAGATTGAGAGTAGCAGGAGGAGAATGACATCAGCTGCTTTGAGTTCTTTAAAAAAGAAAAAGGTGGGATATAAATCTAATAAATCAATACATAAATGCTGCTTTTGAAGGCATCAAATGAGCTCCATTTCTGTTATTCCAGAGATAATGTATTTAGATTTAAGAAAAATATTTATATTTCCTGACTTAAAAGATATATATTGATTATTTACCACCACTAATCATCCATCCAGAAGAATTAACTTTGAAGTCCAAATGAAAAATCAGCATTTTAATTTGCATGGACTTACTGTTTTAATTTGCAGCCCCCCCCCCCCCCCCGTGTGCTCTAACCCAGCATTCATTTCCATGAAGCTTGTGGTGATAACTGTCTCAGGGCAACCTGACCAGAGGCTGTTGTCTTGTCAACACTTTGTTTAAATTCCATTGCAGACAGTGGGTCTGAAGGAACCAGACGCTACCCAGGATCGCAGTCTAAATTATTGTTCATACATGTTGTTGTTCAGCTGTTCAGTTGTGTCTGACTATAAGCAATCCTATGGGCGAAATCTTACCACACTTTTTGATCCCATGCCAGCTCTTTCAGTTGAACTATGCTCTGGCCCGCATCTTCTTTGATGGAGTGTAATCACCTCGCTCTTTGGCAACCTGGTTTTCTCTTGTCACTGAGCATTCCAAGCATTATATCTCTGTTTGTGCATAGCATTGATCAAATCATTGATTTATTTTTATTGACTACTTTTTCATTTAAGTTTTGCCTTTTTAAGTTCTTGCAAGCTCTTGCAAGAATCCCAAGATGGCTTACATGGTTCTCCTCCTCCTTTTATTCTCATAACAAGCCTGTGAGGTAACTTAGGCTGAGATTCACTGACTGGCCCAAAGTCACCTAATCAGCTTCATTTCTGAATGGGAACTAGAACCCAGATCTTCTGAGTCCCAGTCCGATATTCTTATCACTACATTGCACTGGCTTTCATCTGAAAGTAATTAAAATAGTATATTTCAAATTTCTCCCACAACAAAATCACTTAAAGTATATGCTCTCTAAACAGTTTAAACTCATATATATTATCCAGTGATAAATTGCTTATTACCCTCCCCTTTCCCACTGTACTTTTAAATTTCCCCCAGTGGCATCTCAAACCCTGCTTGTGTACAAATAGAATTTAATTTTGTATCCTCCAGTATGTGACCACAGAATTTAAATAGAATTTTGCATTAAAATCTGGTAAATGGATGACATTTAATGCTTTCAGATGTAGTGTTTAGAATTTAGAAACATGCTTTACATAAAGTCTTCCAAAGAAATTTGGTTCTCACGTTAGGGCAGGTCTTTCTGGGGTGGATTGGTACACTGTGATAATTTGTGATAATTTGCTAAGTGGCTTGAAAGAACTTATACAATTTCTCTTTTTAGCTTAGTATTGATAGACTTCTTGACACTCGAAATCCATCCCTGGACACTATTAAGATGCAAGTTTATTTTGATATGAACTATACAAACCGAGGTAATCAAACTGTTGAACTATTTAGTATGGATACAATACATGGACCGTGCAATCCTATGAATGTTTCTGTAAAAGTATAATGTGTTCAGTAGAACGTATCTAGTAAATATGCATGGGGCTGTAGCCTCAATACACCTATTCTAGGTGAATGTACTACTGATATGGGAAGCAAAGCCAAATAAAATAAATATATGATCATAGAAGAATAGCAAGCCGCAATGAGGTTTTAAATGACATTGCCAACTCCCCCTTCCCCAAATAAAACATCAAAATTTGCTCAGCTTTAGATGATAATGATTTTACACTGTTTTAAAATCCTGAATAAGTTTACTTTTAAAAAACATTGTTGCATCCTGCAAAGCATAGAACATATAATGAAAAGTCATTAGCTATAACTAACTACAGCTGAACTTGTGCAAATACTAGTTCTCCAGCACTGTATTTTCCCTCAAATGTAAGTCTTCCACTGTGTTCAATAAGATTATAGCCCCATTTTAATCTAATTATTTGTTTGTTCTTTAATATTTTCTCTAAAATTTAACATATGAACATTTTTAATTAGCTATTTTAAATCCCTGATGATGTCAACTTGACTTTTTGATGTCAGGATGCTTACAGACAGAGGGTTCTTAGTGCTAGCAATCAGAATACATTGTACAGCAACTCCATCCTTTCCATTAATAGATTTTTTGTGGAAGGAAAAGACAAAATAGTAGCTAAACATAGGAAAGCTGTGAGTCTGGAGCCCTGTAAAATTCTGCCAATGAGGCATGGCAATAGTAGCATAAAATCTTGGCTACTCAAGAAACCAAGGATGGGATAGGGACCTGGATCCTGGAGGTTGTCAACACCTCTCTAAGGGACGGCCAGGTACCTGCCCCTTTAAAGGAGGCGGTAGTCCAGCCAGTCCTAAAGAAGGCATCCCTGGATCCAGAGGTGGCCGCCAATTATAGACGGGTGGCCAACATCCCGTTCTTGGTGTTGAAGAGTGGGTGGTGGCGGGACAACTCCGAGCACTCTTGGATGAAACTGATTATCTGGACCCATTTCAGTCCGACTTCAGACCCGGGTATGGTACTGAATCTGCCTTGGTCGCCCTGTACGATGACCTGTGCAGGGAGAGAGACGGGGGAGTGCATCCCTGTTGTTTCTCCTGGACCTCTCAGCAGCTTTCGATACCATTGACCATGGTATCCTTCTGGATAGGCTAGCGGGACTGGGAGTTGGGGGCACTGCTCTGCGGTGGTTCTGCTCCTATCTCAATGGCCAATTCCAGAAGGTGGTGCTGGGGGACTATGGCTCTGCCTCATGGCAGTTATGCCATGGAGTTCCACACGGGTCCATTTTGTCCCCCTTGCTATTCAACATCTACATGAAACCGCTGGGAGAGGTCATTAGGAGGTGTGGGCTGCGGAATCATCAGTACGCTGATGATACCCAGCTCTACCTCTCGTTTTCAACCAATCCAGGTGAGGCAGTGGCTGTACTGAACCGGTGCCTGGCCAAGATAATGGGCTGGATGAGGGCCAATAAACTGAAGCTCAGTCCAGACAAGATGGAGGTCCTGTTGGTAGGTGGTTTGGGCTTCGGGGTGGGGGACCTGGACCTTGTCCTGAATAGGGTTGCACTCCCTCTTAGGGACAAGGTTCGCAGCTTGGGAGTGCTCCTCGATCCTGAGCTGTCATTAGAAGCTCAGGTGACGGCGGTGGCGAGGAGCGCTTTCCTTCAGCTTTGACTGATCCATTAGCTGGAGAACGATTGCCTGGCGACAGTGACACATGCACTGGTAACTTCCCGATTAGACTTCTGTAATGCGCTCTACGTGGGGCTACCCTTTAAGACGGTCCGGATACTTCAATCAGTGCAAAACAGAGCTGCCAGGTTGCTGACGGGGACTGGGCGTTGTTCTCATATAACCCCAGTTCTCCGTCAGCTTCACTGGCTCCCCATTGAAGTCCGGGCCCAATTCAAGGTGTTGGTTATCACCTATAAAGTCTTCAACAGCTTGGGACCTGGTTATCTAAAGGAACGCTTGCGTCCATATATGCCCTCCCACCCCTTTAGATCGGCAGCAGAGGCCCTTCTCCGGGAACCTTCTGTGAAAGATATTAGGAGGGTGAGTACCCGGAGGAGGGCCTTCTCTGTGGTGGCGCCCCACCTGTGGAATGCGCTCCCCAGAGAGGTCTGCCTGGCACCGTCGTTATTTGTTTTTTGGCACTAGGCCAAGACCTTTTTATTCAAAAGTTATTTTAATTGTTAATTTATGAATTGTATTTATTGAGTTTTTATGTATGTGCTGAGATGTTTCCGGTTTTTTAACTTTAATTATATAACTGTTTATTTATGTTTATTTATTAATGTTGTAAGCCGCCCTGAGGCTTTTTGTGAATGGGGCGGCATAAAACTGGTTTGAATGAATGAATGAATGAATGAATAAATAAATAAATAAATAAGTGCCTCTTCTGGAAGTATTTGCTTTAATGCGGAGCTCTTAGTCTAGTGATACCTGCCCTGCTTTGCTCCACTGAAATCTTGGTCTCTAGGTGATTTGCCTCAGTATACAGCTTGTGTAAGGCATATAACTAGCTTTCATATGATTTTCCGTGTTTACTCTTAGTTGAGCTGATTAATGAACAGCATCGTGTTCTGGAGTCCAGGCTTGCTCCTGTGAGCAGAGAAATTACAGATAACCGTGCTCGTACACGAGAAGAATTGGAAAGCGTTTATCGAAAGATTGTCAGTTATGTGCTGCTGCGCTCTGGCCTTGGATCCCCTACAGACATCAAGGTCATCAGAGAGGCAACTGGTTAGTGACCCTTTCAAATATGCAGTGATGAGTTTTACTAACATCCAATCTAATATGGCAGTCCTTTGAAATGGAACTGAACAAGAACTGATGGTTACTTGAGAGATTTTTTTAAAAAATGTTTCAGTTATGTCTTTCTGCTTTAATATAGAGCACTTATTGCAGCTCAGGTCTAGAAACTATCCAAAGTACAAATATAATCAAATGTCAAATAAAAAGCTCAAAGTTCAAAAGTATACAAATTCTATTGCAGATAACATAACCAGTCTCAGAACCAAACATATGAGCCAAAGTAATTTTATGTCATGTGTTAGTTTATGATTTAATATCTTCAATCAGAATTTAAATTCAACATTTTAGAACTCTTACTTATACCTACTATGTTGGCAATGACAACAGGAGGACCATGGTAGAAAGGTGGAGGTACAATTGCCCTGATCACTCATTGTTATAATCCGAACCATTAACTTCAATAAAGTGGGCCAGGCCCACCTCACTATACTATACATTGCATGAGCAAAGGAATGGTAGCTTCTTCCCCTATGAGCCTCCAATATTCAGCCTTGGGAGTAGTTTAATTGATGCCGTGGTTTTATTGATACCTTTTCTTTTTCTTTTTACAAGTACCTTACATCTTTTTCAGCTGCCCTGCAGAGTGTGTTTCCTCAGACAGAGCTTGCTGCTTTCCTCTCTCTCAGTAAAAAGGAGAAAGAGCGGCAGTTGAAAGAACTCACCATGATTGTTACAGGTATTCGGTTATTCAACAAGGACTGTGGTAAAGGAGGAGAAGGCATTGATGAGTGTAAGTATATATGCAGCTAAAATTATACACTCTAAGCTTAAAGGTCTTACACACATTAGCCATTTTCAAACATGATAAAAATATTCAGTGCTGATCATAATGTTGTAAAGCGTTTGTCCAAATTGCTTCATATGAGCATTATGCTTCAGCAGATTTTCCAAAGAATAAAGAATTCACATTGTTCTGCCAGAATTTAACTGTCTTCACTGAATAGTTTCAACATTTAAATTCTATAGTTACTGAGAAGTTGACCAATAACAGCCCCTATAAATGGTGAATAGATCTAGAAACATATCCAGAGAGACATCTATATGTGCTTCATGTCCTTCGGCATGTGCACAGAGCTGTGTGATTTCCCATTTCCCCTTCCATCTGCAGCCCCTCCAGAAGTATCTCCTTATCTTCAGGAGAGGCCTTTTGAGGCATGCAGGAAGCTTTTGGAGAAAACTCTGTTGTGCACATGGAAGTCTACATGCAACCATTTCTGCCTCACAGGCTTGTTGTGAAGATAAGATGGAGCGGAGGAGGAGATATATGTAAACCACCTTGGTTCCTTGCTAGAAAAATGGTGGGATTTAAAGATAATGTATACATTAAATAAACATCTCAACCCTGTTAATTTAGACAGAAACGTGTGGGGGAAATGCTTACTGAAAGGGGAGTTGATATGCTGAGTTACTACCTGTGCTTCTTCCATGGGTTTCAAAATACCCTCTGTCAACAGTGCCAGCTATTCTCAGTGAAGCTATCCCAGCTGCCACCCATCATATAGATATAGAGCTACATGCCTCCCAGGAACTGGCATACCAATACACAGCCTTGATTGAAATGATGCACCATAGTCAAAACGCTGAGTTGGAACTTAAATTGACAATGTTAAAAGAAGTACTGTACAATGTGAGACAACACGAAGCTTTCCTCTGTGTTATTCTGGTAAGAGCCTGTTGCACATGGCATTATCTGTACCATGCATATGCGTCAATTGTGAGTGCAAGGTTTTGATACATTTATAACTTTTGTCACCAGAAGGATGATGGTGGAAGGAAGATTCAGCAAAGGTTACCAGGCTCTCATTGGCATAGCAGCGTACAAGCAACCGCAGTTTTCTTACATACTTTGTTATATATATGGCAGGGGGCACCAAATTTTTTGATCCTTGGGCACATTTGGGAATTTGAGAAATTGCTGTGGACACCACCACAAAATGCCTAGATTGTCACTTTTGTGTCTCCTTGTCGTATCTAAGGATCTTAGGCTGCACCTTATTCAACAAATACATTTGTGTCTATGGAGCACCACAGTTCTTTAATTAGGGATTGTCTCTTCTGGCTAATTGCTTTTGGTACAGTACAAATGTTTTGGCAATTCTTTCTTGCTTCTTTCTGGTGGGAGGTTATCAGACAGATACATCTTGTACTGAAACCACTTTTATTCACTGATATACATGCTCTTTTCAGTTACTTACCTGCTTCATGGAAATTAACAAATGAAATGGAAATAGATCCCCTGTGCCCTTCTGACAGAAATTAGAGTGAAAGTACAAAATTGGAAGGATTAACGCTCACCGCCTATAATACAATGGATTAAGGTCCTTACAACACTTTTAGTATATGAACAGGTGGCATATGGATGCCACGTTCAAATGGATACTTATTTGGCTATCTGGTCCAGTTTTGTTTAAGGCTATGTATAATTACTAGAAAGCTGTGTTTATTTAATACAAATCCATGTACATGTTTTTTTAAAAAAACAATAAATATTTAAAACAAACACAATAATTCAGGTTCCTGTGGGACCTCATTGAGGTCTTTTTTGTGGGCACCACTGAAGGTATCTGGGTGCTGTGGTACCCATAGGTGCCCATACCCGATAATAGGCTCCATGACATTACATGAATGGCATTACTTTTCACTGTTTGTGGAACAGCCCAGTCTCCAAAGAGATGGTATTGAGTTCAGTAGATCCAACCAACTATGTTGTAATTGCTACCTAATTGTGGTTGCTTTTCAGTCTGATGTGATCACGTGTGCACAAGAAGTTGATATGATGGACAAGCAATTTGCTGCACAGATGGAAGAGCTAAAAAACATTGTTCGGGCAAAAACAGCTGTGCCTACATCTCTGGTTTATGTAAGTTTCTTAATTGTGAGGCTGCTTTTAAATTAAACTATACACTCATAAAAGGTCAGCAATTACTTATACAGTATTCTGCAACTGCCTTTCATGGACATGATGAAACACAGACTTTACCTACACTGTCAGTGTTAGAGAGGGTTGGATCCTGGTCTGCTAGTCCAAGGATGCTTTAGACTTTTTTTTTCTTCTTGGTTTTTCTCTGCTACATGACACACAGTTTTTTCAACAAAGGGAAGTTTCAAGTGCAGATTTGTAACATATCCTTGATAGCTGTTCACAAAAAGAAAGAAAAAATAGTTACATTCTTTTGGATTATTGAAGCCCTTTGTTTATTCCTAGGTAGTACAGTAATTCCAGTCTTTGTATCTGTTTTGATTAGTCATAATTCAGCAAATTAAATTCAGTTATCTGATTCTTCTGAGTCCTTGCATAAAATGCAATGGCTGATCACAGTTATTATTTTATTTTAAATTTTTGGAGGGGCTAAACACTCTTCACATGCACTTTAGAACAGATATTAAGGAACAAATCTCTCATGTAGGGTTTTTTGTTTCTTAAACTGCTTTGCATGGTCAAAATTTCCTCCATTTTAGGAACCCTATTTTGCCTTTTCTTCTAGCAGTTTTAATTAATATCCCTTTAACAATTTATTTACAATTCTACAAGACACAGTACCACTTTATGTCTGTCTTTTTCTTTACAGATAAACTAACACCCTTTAAATATGTGTCCACTGGTTAATAGCATATTTCTTTACTATGCTTTTGGCTTCAGATTAAGAGTGTCCTTGGTGTTGAGGCATTTAACAGCTCTAAATAGCACATAGGATGGGGTGGGGTTATGTCATTTTTATATGGATCTGTCTTAATTGTTTAAGTCAATTTAAATACTCTAGTGAAATGTTAAGATGTTTTTACTTTTGATATTTTATATGGTATTTTATGATTTGTTGTACACTACTCAGAGAGCTTTGGCTATTGAGTTAAGAAGGGAAAAAGTTTTCTTGATTTGAGTGTCAATTTTACTTCCAAAACCTTTTAAGGGCAGAATCCGAAGTGTGTTCAGACAGAAAAATGTCTGAGTATTCCAAGCATGCTGGGAATCATAGGACTTTTTTGTGTAAACACACATAGGAGTGCACCCTAAATGTGTTATTCATACACTTTTAAAAACAGCTTTTAAAACCCTAGCTATTTCATCTACCCACCACATTCAGTGCACATAAAAATAAGTCAAGTGGGTATTATTATTTTGCAGACATAACTATAAAGGCAATTTTAATATCTACCTTTCTCTCTCTTTTTAGCCTATATTTATTGAACTTTCTAACCTTTGGACTAGTTTTCAAGATGAGATACTTGTGCTCAGTTTCCTCAATAATTTGACTATCAGTCTCCAGCAGTTCTTGGGAAGCCACACGCTAATCTTTCCAGAAGATATAATGGAGTCTCTCCTTGAAGATATTATTGTGAAAACTGATGAGGATAGGTTAAAGGAAAGTGCTGGTACGTAAAGAAAATTATTTTTGAGCTATTGTATACTGAGTGTTATACTATGAAAGCTGAGGAATATTTCTGTTAACTTCAGGGACAAGAGCCTGTGAATGCCAGATTTTTAACTTTATGGGACAAAATAATTTATTGGGCATGTATGAATTTTAAAGGAAATTTAGAAAAATAATGAAAATGTTTTGAGGAAAAATGTCACTACTTTATGGCTTAATTTGGAATTTGTTTCAAAAATGACCTGAACTTCCCATCCCTTGATGTATTAAATGTTAATAGTTTATTCTGTAACTATGATTTGTGCCATGACTTTTGGAGGTATGAAATTTACTTCATAAAGTGTGTGTATATTTCTGAATGAACATGACCAGATTATTCTAGTGATATTGTGAATATTCTAGGATGATTTTTTTTCTTTCTTGTGCCTACTATGAAGTTTCACCTTTTTTCTTGTGATATATTATTTTCCAGACAGCAAAGTTAATCCTGCTGACTTTAGTAAAGAAGAATGGCTCTTTCCAGAATTCACAATTAATTTTAGCCAACTACTAATTCAGTATCATGGGTTTTGTCCTTATAGTTTTGCTGTAAAAGATGGTCTTCTCCTTCCAGGTACACTAATTATAGGTCTTTTGTTTTTGCTTGACAAGTATTCTTAGTACTTCCTATCATTGTTAATCTCCTATCCAAAGGTATGTGCTTTCTTCATCAAGGTGAGGCAAGGAGATTGTACATCCGCTTGACAAAACAGAGAGAAAAGGCTGCTTTCCAGGTGCACCTGCCAAACCAGCACCACTCTTTTGTTCTTTGGATCAATTTATGGCAGTGATTGGCTTTGCCATTGGTAGAACAGTGAACAGAAGAGCAGCACCCATGCATGTGTTCAGGGCTACTTAAAACCACTCTCAAAGTTAGCAGGTTCAACCTGCTCAGCTCATCAAGTGTTGCATGTCCTCAGCTATTACATTCAATACCTTGTTGTGCTTGACTTCTTTCTCTGTTCTTGAGTGTCACCTGGTTTTCCTAGTTGTGATTTATTGCCAATCTAGCCATTTGCACACAAATTCTCAATGCACACACATGGCTAGATTGGCTAGTCACCAAAGTCAGTGTCAGTTTCTGATAGCATAACCTCGTTTAAACTGGCCAGGATACAAATAGGGCCATAATAATATAGAAGCACTACTGTGGAACTGCACAATAATATACAAGGAGATCCAGAGCAATATCCAAGTAGAATCATTTTTCTGAAATGACCCAGTGGGGGAGGATGGGGTATCAGAACTTCAGCTGTGCATGTGGAAGGCCTCACATGGCCATTTTGTGCAAGTTAATCCTTTTAATTCAATAGCACAGGACTACAAGATAAGACGATCCATTCACATTTGTGCATTTAACAAAGAAACTCAAATATGACTATGCTTAAAAATTAGTTTTGCCATTTTCCAGTTGTGATTAACATTATGGAGGACTGGGTTCGAAGGACTATAATCTCTTTCTTTGTTTATAGTAACTGAAGGGACTGGAGAGACATACTTAATAATGCAAAATTCATTGAATTAAAAATTAAATTGCTGCACGCATTCTTCATTTCAAAAACAAAACAATATGATAACCATCAGGAATATCACATCTGCACTGAGAAATATTTTTGTCCTTTTTGTTAGGAAATCCTTCTCTTGGTGTCCTGAAACACAAGGAGAAATATTACGCTTTTAATTCAGTGGAAGCGGCATACACTTTTGCCAAAAATCCAGATAAATATATTAAGATGATTGGAGATAAAGCAAAGGAAACTGCAGAGCTTATTCAGCTGCTTGAACTTCATCAGCAATTTGAATCCCTTGCCCCTTATTCCCAGGTACTTACTACATTCACCCGGAAGCCTCTTGTCTACAGTAGGGATTGAGTATGTGTGTCCTTCTAGATTGTGTTGGCCTACTCTTTCCATAATCCCTAATTTTTGGCTATGTTGACTAGGTTTAATCACAGCTGACCTATATCTGGAGAGACACGGGGTCCTCATCGTTATTCCACAGAAGTATCTGGAAGAATGCTTAGTACAAATATTTGGTACTATAGGACTTGGCCTTCTAGCATGTTACCTGTGCTGATCTATCTCAACACTGAGACAGCCCCATCTGAAAATGTGCTAAGTGATCGGTTGACTTCTTCCTGTTATGCTTTATGTAATGCTCAGTGCTTACAAACAAAGCAGACTGTACCAGTATGGAAAACATATTCTTTCTAATCCAAGTTGAGTTAGTCTGCCATTTTTTCAAAAACTGTGGTAATACAAATAATACATATCTATTTCTTCTTGTTCTTCCAGATCAGAGCCAAAGACAAAAAGGTGTTGCAACCAATAACAAAATGTGACAGCAGCACTCAGACTGACACCCATATTTTGCCGCCAAACATTGTGAAGGATTATGAGTGGAATGAATGGGAACTCAGAAGGAAAGCCATCAAACTGGTTTGTGTCAACATTGCCTGAGAGTTTAAATCAGACAGATTACAGCAAATAATTACCTGTTCATAATTTGGGGGTTCCTGTTCTGATACTTCAGCTGGTCCAAAATAGGGCAGCCAGATTATTAACAGAGGCTGAACAATAGGGCACTGAAAAGTACTACATTAAATGAGTACTTTTCCATCTGCACTGGCTGCCAGTCTGTGTCTGAGCCCGATCCAGAGTATTGATATTAACATTCTAATTCTTAAATAGCCTGGGCCCAGGTTAATTTAAGAATTGTCTTCTCCCAGACATACTTGCCAGACACTAAGATCGTCTTTGGCAGTCTTTCTCTGAGGCCCCCAGCAACAGAACTGAGTGGGTAGCTACTAAGAAGGCAGCCTGTGCTGTTGCGGCATTCCAGTTGTTGAATGAGCTTCTCAGAGAGGCTCATCTGACACCTACATTGTACGCTTCTCAACACCAGGTGGATATCTTATTTCTCCAAGCGTTGTTTTAGTCTGCTACTATATTTCAAATCGTTGCACTACGGCAAGGGTTTATTTTGGTTTTATTTTTATTGGATACTGTCATTTTCATCATTTATATTTTATTTTATCAAGCTGTAGTTTATGACTTTAATTATTGTAAACTGCATATAAAACTTCAGCTACCAGTTAGTATAAAATGTAATAAATAAAAAGGCAGTACAGTTCACAAGAAAAAATAGAGGAAATCACATTTTAAAAATCAGCACTTAATAGAAATGTTTCTGTGATGGAATTAAGTCAGCATTGGAGATGCATCATCTTGTACTTTAGATTTTCCATACTGCTTTCCTGAAGTATTGTTGCTAATCATGCACAGAAATTGTAGCTGGTTCAGAAAGCAGCTGCTAATTCATGAACACATTCATCATACCAAACATACCTGGTCAGTATGTTTACAGGTTTCTTCCTTTCTGTACCTCATTTCTTCACTAGTTGCTAGTTTGCTTCTAAATGTAATCCATTATGCTGACTTTATTTATTTATTTACTTACTTTCTTAAACAACTGTAAGTGGTTTGCAGCATCAAAATATATACCAACAACAAAATTAGAAAAATAATACATAAAATTACAGGACTACTTTATCAGATAAAAACATAGTATACATTATACCCATACCTCCCACAACTCAGCAAACCTAACAAAATCACAGCAACCCAGTAGACCCCCAGCATCCACAACCGGATCAATTCCAGAGGCATAGCAACAATACCAAATAAAATATAGCAATAAAAATACAATAGAAAAATGGATAAAACACTTTAACTGTTAAAATACTGGCTTTGACTTTTAAAATGTCAAACATCCTATAGCCAGAGTATCTGAAAGACCTGCCTTTTCTCTGAGTGACCTGCCCATAGGCTGAGATGATTCGCAGAAGCCCTTGTCTTCCGAAACAATGCAGATCAAGGATGCAGCTTTTCCTATTGCGGTGCTCTGACTGTGGAATGTTTTCAGTATAAACACCTGTAAGAAATTTCAGGCACCATGCAAAAACAGTTATATTCAAGGACTGTGAAATTTAATGATAGCCCCTGGAACTTAATTGTTTCAGGGCTGCTATATTATTTTTTAACTATATTATTTTTTAACTATATTATTTTGTAGGATGTTCTGTTTGAATGAAAAAATACTGCAATTAGTCCTGGATATCAGTGAAGCAGAAGGGCAAGGTACAAGTTTCATAAATAAATATGCCATAAGTTGCCCTTAGTCTACTTAAACAATAGAAGAGAGCCAGTGTGGTGTAGTGGTTAAGGACGTGGAACTGGGACTCAGGTGATCCAGGTTCTAGCCCCTGCTTGGCCATGAAGCCAACTGCGTGACTTTGGGCAAGTCACAGACTGTCAGCTCAACCTATCTAACAGGGCTGCTGTGTGGATAAGACTGAGCAGGCAGAGAAGAATGATGTAAGCTACTTTGAGTTTGTGTAAGAAAAAAGTGGGACATAAATCTAAAAATATATGGGGCATATGAAGGAAAATGAAAATATGCTAGTGTGAAATCATATTGCCATCCTCCTTGTTTATCTGTTTCTGCTTTTTTCTCCACTGCCAAGTAAAAACACTAAAAAAATACCCCAGACTTGCATTTAAAAAGAGAAATGAGCACAATCCACTTGGGAAATTCAGTACCATAAGCCACATCAAGTTGAACAAAGGTTGTCTGTTTGCATTTGTCTTGGGGGAAAAAGATGGACTGAGAAACTCTTAAAGTACAGCAGCTGTGTGACTTAAATTAACACTAAGCTCCTGAAGTAGAATTGCCTTATGAAATAATTGCTAATGTAGAACTGCTATTGCATCTCATCAGAATAACTTGATTCTGAACTATCAGTACTTCCAAGTATGAAGAATTTATACAGAGCTTTAATATGATCTCTGTGTAGTTCTAATTACTCTCATGTCTTTGTTTTCTGTATTTAGGCAAACTTGCGTAAAAAGCTAACTCACTCAGTGCAGACTAACCTGAGTCACATGAGAAGAGACAACTGCAGCCAAGTGTACCCAATGAAGGATTCTGGCACACAGACCAAATGTGAAAACTCTAGTAATGTACCCAGACCGCAGATTTTCCTGGCCGGTCTTCGAGGTGGAACCCCTCCAACCACTCGTATGACTAAAGTGAATTTAACAAGAGCAGTTGATGAAACATAAAGAAGAGACTTAAAAGTCTTTCGATGAATGGTTTAAAAATGTAAATAAATTATCTCCCATTCTTTTTCTGTCTTTTCTTTTAAGGGCAACATTTATATCATTAGCAGCACCAAAGGAAAGGCTCTAGGTATCACTTTTAAGCTACAGTGTAAATGTGCTATACTAAGTTCTGCCCCATGGCTGCATCCGATATTCCTTATAGTATGTTGGCAATTGTGTGGAAGATAGCACTAACTTCCCACAGCGGACTGCCTTTCCAACTATGGAGACGTTCCCTATTCTCTGGCCTGTAACCACCTATGTTTGTTTTTCTCTCCAGTCAGTTCCTTGTTCCTCCAGATTGCCTTCATGTAATTGCCTTCATGACCAATTTTCTATTTGTTCTGTGCCCACCTTCAATGTATATACCATTTCATGCCTACATACACTTCTCCACTCTCCTCCCACTGAATTCCATTTAATAATTTGGCAAGCTTCCTTCCCCTTGTAGTGAACTAGCAAAAATAAGAAAGAAAGAAAGAAAGAAAGAAAGAAAGAAAGAAAGAAAGAAAGATTTCACAAGATTGTATGGCTAGACAAAAGACTGGACAATTTAATTTTTAAAAATTGTAAGAGTGACATACATGACAGAAGCAGTATTCTCACATCACATTCTATACACCTGAAAGAAGATGGAGAAGAACACATTTTCATGCACTGTTAGACCACAGCAAAAGGAAGTGGGTTCTTCCTTTATCCACAAAAAGCCACCCCAGTGTATATCATATCTTTCTCCAGCCATCCCTGGGCTTAAGCTTTTGCATTGTGATCTGAGGCATGTCAGTGTGGCTGCCGCAGGTGTTGCAAGTCTTGAGTCTTTCCCGTTCTTGCCAGGAGGGAAGGAAAACATGGATCCTTACTGTGTCATCAGTTTGCACTCACCCTGGAGATACACAATTTTGCATATAAATAGCTTCTTTATAGCCAGCGAAGTACTTTCCAGGGATTTATCAGTGGAAGAGTGTTGCAGAAAAAAGGAAGATCTTAAAGTACCTTAAAGACGTAACACATTTGTTATGACATAAGCTTTCACAAAGTACAGTTCACTTCATCAGAGGCAGTCCATTCTTGATTTCAGTCAAGTGAGTTCCAGATGGGTTGGACTACAACTCCCAGCAACCCCATCCACCAGGCTGAGGTTAGTTTTCTTTATTTATTAGAAGGGTACCTGCAAACGAATGGAAAGCTGCTGCTATTCTGACTTAACCTCAATCCCTCAGCAATATGAGGATAAATATGCACAGTATACAACAAGTATGGGAAATTACATGTATGTATATATATGTGTATGTGTGTGTATATGTATGTGTGTGTGTGTGTGTGTATTCGAACCAAAATGGCAGGGACCTAAAAGAGGCAGAAGAGATTAAGAAATCTCTTCTGTGGCAAGATTACACAGAAGAACTATAAAAGAAAGAGCTTAACGTCCCTGATAACCACGATGGGGTGGTCACTGACCTCGAGCCAGACATCCTGGAAAGTGAAGTCAAATGGGCCTTAGGAAGTCTGAGCAACAACAAAGCTAGTGGAGGTGACAGTATTCCAGCTGAGCTATTCAAAATCCTAAAAGACGATGCAGTAAAAGTGCTACACTCAATATGCCAGCAAATTTGGAAAACTCAACAGTGGCCACTGGATTGGAAAAGGGCAGTTTACATTCTGATCCCAAAGAAGGGCAATGCCAAAGAATGTTCAAACTGTCGCACCATTGCACTCATTTCACATGCTAGCAAAGTGATGCTCAAAATCCTACAAGCTAGGCTCCAGCAGTATGTGGACCGAGAACTACCAGAAGTACAGGGAGGATTTCGAAGAGGGAGAGGAACTAGAGATCAAATTGCCAACATACGCTGGATCATGGAGAAAGCTAGGGAGTTCCAGAAAAACATCTACTTCTGCTTCATTGACTGTGCTAAAGCCTTTGATTGTGTGGATCACAACAAATTGTGGCAAGTTCTTAAAGAGATGGGAGTACCTGACCATCTTATTTGTCTCTTGAGAAACCTATATGTGGGTCAAGAAGCAACAGTGAGAACTGGACACAGAACCACTGATTGGTTCAAAATTGAGAAAGGAGTTCGGCAAGGCTGTATACTGTCGCCCTGCCTATTTAACTTATATGCAGAGCACATCATGAGAAAGGCGGGGCTAGATGAATCACAAGTTGGAATTAAGATTGCTGGGAGAAATAAGATATGCAGATACCACTCATGGCAGAAAGTGAAGAGGAACTAAAGAGCCTCTTGATGCTGGTGAAGGAGGAGAGTGCAAAAGTTGGCTTGAAACTCAACATTAAGAAAACTAAGATCATGGCATCCGGTCCTCTCACTTCCTGGCAAATAGATGGGGAAGAAATGGCCGTAATGACAGATTTATTTTCCTGGGCTCCAAGATCACCGCAGACGGGGACTGCAGCCAAGAAATTAAAAGACGCTTGCTCCTGGGGAGGAAAGCTATGGCAAATCTAGACAGCATGCTAAAAAGCAGAGACATCACCCTGCCAACAAAAGTGCATATAGTCAAGGCTATGGTTTTCCCAGTTGCAATGTATGGCTGTGAAAACTGGACCATAAGGAAGGCTGAGCGCCAAAAGATTGAGGCCTTTGAATTGTGGTGCTGGAGGAGACTCCTGCAAGTCCCTTGGACCGCAAGGCGATCAAACCAGTCAGTCCTAGAGGAGATCAACCCTGACTGCTCTTTAGAAGGCCAAATACTGAAGATGAAACTCAAATACTTTAGCCACCTAATGAGAAGGAAGGACTTCCTGGAGAACAGCCTAATGCTGGGAACAATAGATGGCAAAAGAAGGAGGGGACGTCAGGGGATGAGGTGGCTGGATGGAGTCACTAAAGCAGTTGGTGTGAGCTTGAGTGGACTGAGGAGGGGGGGATGGTGAAGGACAGGAAGACCTGGAGGAATGTTGTCCATGGGGTCGTGATGGCTCAGACACGACTTTGCGACTAACAACAACAACAACAACAACAACACCAACACACACACACACACACACACACACACACACACACACACACACACGTCATATAGGGTTTCCTTTCTCATCATCTCTCCCTCCCCTGAGAAAGTATACTAAATGTATATATAACTAGCTGTATACTGTGCATATTTATTTATTAATCTTCTACCCTTTCCCTGGGAGTAAACTCAAGAGAACCCCATAAGATTACTTCTGAGTAGATATGAATAGGATTGCACTGCAAATTGTAGGTTCTTGTAAGCTGCTCTTTTTCAGCCTCACTCCCTGACGTATTTGCATTTTATCTTTTCGTTACAAGGAAGAGTATGCTGCTGCTTTCTTCTTCGACACTTTGCAAAACGGGGGAAATCTATCGTTTCTTTTCCCTACAAAAGGAGACTGATCATTGAAGAGGGAAGTGATGCCGCCGATCACGCCAGCTAGATGTCCCCTAGCAGCTGTCACTCGTACTACCCTAATGAGAAAAGCCCTGGTGTTCTACATGGGGCGGGGGCTGGGATCCACATTTGAGAGTAAAGCATTACTGCTTTGCTGTAGTTTTTTGATATATTCTCGTCCTCACTGAAAGTTTGTCATGGCATCAAAAAATAGTCAGGAAATCTGGCCCGAAAATCAGAAGCTGTCCGTGCAAAATGTCCCTGCGTCTTTGTTCCTTCCATTCTCAACTAGTTTTGCTCCCCTGCGACTGGAGAGAGATGCCGATGAAAAACTAGGGAGAACTCCACGCCGAAACAAAAGAAGGAAAATCAAAAACAAGAGTTCCAGCACTTTTTAACTCGGCTATTTTTCTGTTGACAATATTATTTTAATTCGTTTAACTTTGTTTTTTAATACCGTGCCAATACAGCCCATACCCTGTATTTCCGGTTAAACGGATTGTGAGTCCAGCTTGCACAAGTCTATGGAAACCTCTAATCAACTTCCGCTTCCGGCAGAACAAAGCAACTCTATAGCTGAATTCCGCCTGTGCTGTCCGCTCTAGCCGCGCACAGTTACTCTCCATGGAACATTGGGAGGACTAGGAGGGCGGGCGCTTGCCCGCTGGTTTCTGCTTTTGGATGCCATGGCTTCGCCAAAAGGTAAGCGACAGACACCTTGATCTCTAATCCTGTTCCCCACTAGTTGCCTGCACCACTTACAGTCGTGTTGCCCTTTTCACGAAAGGGGCACAGTCCGTCTCCTTAAGTACCTTCTCATATTACTCTGAGGGGTGGAGGAGTTCCGCTCCCGCTGATTTGGAACCCGCCCCAGTAACGGGAGCGGGAGGAGGTTATCGCTTTGCCAGATAAGGTGCCAAGGAAGCGCGCCTAGGTGAGCGATCTCGTCCTGCCTGCAAATAGCTACTCTGGGTTTGCATTCACTAGGTGAAGAAGATGGACCGTGCGGCTGTCCGTCCACCCCACTTTGCTGCCTGCACTTTAAATTGCTCTGTAAATTGGGGTGCTTATAAACGATCATGATCAGGGTTGCTGGGAGGGTGTGCCTTCCTGATGAATAGCGACAACCTCCACCATTCTCAGTAGTATGGCTAATGGGCCCATCAGCTGTGGCACTAAATGGATTTCTGCACTCCAATCGATTGTGACTAGGTTTGGGTAGGTCTGTCCCCTTGCTTTCTTTCTTTCAGGCTCCCCAGCCCTTATGTAGAGAGGGATCTTGTCTGTGGTGTGGCTCCCTGTGAATTGCCCAGAAATACTGTGTAGTTCATTAAAAGAAATTCCTTAACTTACTACAAAAGACATCCGCACCTCTAAGGACTGCTTCTCACATTTCATAGAAGCAGATCTACAGTTGTGCATAGGTGGTGGTGGTGGTGGTGGTTGTTTTTGCAATGTGTGGACGGCTGTTCTTGTGCCTTTTTTAGACTTTATATATTAATCTCAAAGCCAATCCTTATATTTGGGTTCTGCATATCAGTATTGCTCAGATGGAAATATGATTATGAAACAGACAGTTTTGGTATTGAGTGGTATAGAAATGTTATAAATAAATATTGCAGAGCAGATGGATTCTTACGTACATAATATAACTCAAGAAATGATTCTTGAACTCATGTCATGGACATACTTTCTGATGATTTGGGCCAAATGGACTTGCTTATTCACAAGACTTTTGGTTTGAGGTGTCAAAGGTTGCTTCCAGACAAACATTTAATGTGACATTGCTCATTTTATGTTACATCATGAGAATGACTAATTCACTGACATTTTATGGGGGTTCTGCATGATGTCATCCTCTATTTAGAATCTTCCCATGTTTTCCCTAGGCTGCTTCCATCTCTTTTCTTACCACAGAAAGTCAGACGTTGTGAGGAGTAACACTTGCTCCATAGGTGTAAAGCCTCTTAGTGCTACCCTTCTTTTTTAAAAAGTGTAGTTTTTATATGTGTGGTGATCTATTGGGCAGATGATTCTATCATACCTTCAGTGTATGCTGAATACACTTTGCTGCGGATATAATTTTGTTCACCGGTCCGTTTTATTGTTAGTAATCTTTTAACTTGCACTAAAATGTATGTGTGTACTGGTGAAATATTACTAGAGTCTTATAGCCTATATATATAAAACTAGACAGATAGAGTTCACTAAGGAAAATAAGTCAGTTCAATTTACTGCCTTTTTAGCAAGGTGATTAATAGCAGGGACCAGAAAGATCTCTTTTTAAAGATTTTTTAAAAATTAACATAGGGGTTTAGTACTATATCTGTATAATCTTACTTTTAGAAAATGTGATTTATTGGTATATATGGTCATCACCATTAACCAACTTGCTAAAATGGCAGTGATGGAAAGTTTCTCTCTCTCATCATTGTATATGTTTATATATAATTATAGGATTTAATGCTATCATACTTGTTCATAAATTGGTAGTTCACCCTGATATTAAAACCCTACAGGAATGGTGCTATATAAGAGATTAATTTTTTTAAATGGTGCCAACTGCAAAACATATAATGAATGAGTGTTGAGCTGTGGTAGGTTCAATTGGAAAAAAAACACCTCTTGAAAAAGATAGAAGAGCAGCACTAAGTGCAGTGGTATGAACAGAACATAGCATGATGTATGCTTAGAACAAAACACAATATCTCCTGATAATGTGAAAAATTAATTGCAATTTTGTTTACAGTTTATAGCAGAAGATCCGTGAGTTACAGGACTAGGAGTCACATCCTTGGAAGCAACCAAGGGTACTTCTGCTTTTGTAGATCTTTCGATTCCTCATATTTAACTCAATTGTGCTGGAGTGAATGAGATTTTATCTCTACAAGGATGTGCTTGGCTTAGTAATTGCACCAGTGGTGTACAAATTGTACCTTGCAGGAATGTTTACACAGCTTTCTTCATAAAGATATGGATAACAGGATGTGGCAGTTCCGAGATGTAACAGAGGAACCGTATAATAGTATAGCATGTTTAAAAAAAGCTTTATATAATAAAGCAAACCAACAATGTAATACAAACATACCTATCCTTCTTGATGGCTGGAAATCTACACCATTATACCTCTCTTTTATTTAGAATCTGATGTTCCAGCCATACTTGTGTTTGCTGGTAGCTTCTTACATATTGATCCTAAAATCAGTATGTGAGATAATCCTATTAATTGTACTGGTCTTTATTTTCAAGTAAAGTTATGAGTGCCAGATGAGGTTGTCCTCTGAAAATATCCTACTCTTAGCAGGATAGTGAGGACTACAGATGTTTCAAATGAGGCTTTTATCATATAATCACCCTATGTCATTCACAGACTTTTATGGAAGGGGTACATGTTTCAAGTAATAGCTCTTTTCACTTGTGACCCTCCTACATTTTCCCATTTCTGCTCCTGTCTTTTCCTTCTACCAAACAAACAAACTCCTGTTAAGAAAGAAAAGATTGGTAGTTCTTGGAGTCATCTGTCAGGAAAGGACCCTGTGCAAAGGGTACAGCCATTTCATCCCTGCCCCTTCACCCTTTTGTGCTAGGGACATCAGCAGTAATGCAATGATGCTGGGAAGAAGTACCCAGTGAGGTGCAGAAGTACTTCCAAGTGGGCTTCTTAGGTGAGGAAGAAGGCTGGCACTCCTCAGGTGTTGTAGCTCTTGTCCTAGCCCTGGTAAAGAACTGTTCCAACAAGATACCAATGTTTAGTGGAAGTTAAAGGGATTGAAGCGGGGATGGCAAATCTGAATAACTTCACTCTGCTTGCATCCTATTTATTTCAGCACATATCTTTGTAAGGATTCCCAGTCTTGCTTTACCTTTTCAACCAAGAATTCTACCATTCTAAACCGTGGATTATATCTAAACCCAGAATGGCATAGGTGATTTTCTTGTAGCTCTCCTGCCAAAGTGATTGGGCCTCTCTTGTCTCACACAGTGATGCTTTTGTTTTTCAGAAAATGTCAGCCTGCTTTTCAAGTTGTACTGCTTGACGGTGATGACCTTGGTGGCCGCAACATACACGGTAGCTTTGCGATACACAAGAACAACAAAAACAGTTCTGTACTTTTCAACTACAGCCGTCTGTATTACAGAAGTTATCAAGTTATTCCTAAGCTTGGGAATTTTAGCAAAGTATGTATGAGTGCTGAAGAGTGTATTGGAGTAGTATATTTGCTTTCATTTTTCTGCTTCGTGTATGTCTGTGTTTTAAGGCAGGGTTTTTGGTGTGGATCAAATGTCCAGTATCAGTAGGGCTTCTGCGGGCTGATAGAAATATTGGTTTCAAAGCAAGTGAAAACACACAAGCTATGGCTAATAGGAACATACGAAGAGTCCTGCTAGACCAGACAAAGGTCCATCTCATGCAGTGTTCAGTTCACACAGTGCCAGCCAGATGCCTGTGGGAAGCTCACAGGTAGGACATGGTTTCTTTGCTCCTGTGGCCTCTCTTTTAGCAAAGTGACAGTATCTCTCTATCCGCACCTTTTGGGATTTAGTTCACCAGGCTAAATGATGGCTTCCCTGTATATATTCATTCACAATCTTAACTAATATTAAGCCAAGAAATCCTGTTGTTGCTATTTCAGCAGAAAACCATCCACATTGAGTCAGCAGTCAAAAAGACTTAACTTCTGATCTTGCTGTTCTTTCTATCCTGCTCTTCACCACCTTGTTATTCAAGAAGAGTGTGTGTAAATAGGAACATAGGAAACTATTTTATTCTGAGCCAGACACTACTGGTCCATCTAACCTGGTAGTGTTGACACTGATTGGTAGCAGCTTTCTGGTGTTTCAGGTAGGAGTTTTTCCAGCTCAGTCAAGAGGCTGGGAATTGAACCTGGCACCTTCCGCATGCAAAGCATCTGCTCTACCACTGAGCTACAGCTCCTCTCACCCTGGTGTTTTCATCCTTCTCTTGTATTATATTACTTTACAAAAGGATGCGTGGTACACATGGACCTAAGAGGTGGACATGCTTCATTCTGGGGGTTCTGCAGTTGCATGTCTAGAGCAAAGTGTACTCTCCCCAGCATCACTGGATCCTAAAGCTGAATGCCAAGGAGCACAACGTAGGCCACTATCTATAAGAACCTTTTTCGAGACCTGATTTCAACTGTGTCATCATTTTGCTCCCCCTGTAATTATGGGCAGCACATGAAAAAGGCCATTTCTACTCTGCAGACTGCAAAAACATCATTACTGGCGTATCACATTCAGAAATGATATCCTGAGTCTTGGGTCTCCAAACAGGCCAGCTGTCTGTCAGTTAGGCTTAACAAAAAAGTGCAGACTATAGCATGGCCTTTCAAAAGAAGGAAATAGTGACATGAAGATGCTGTGTCAGTCTTTCACAGCTCCCTGTCCAAGATAGTTGTCAGCCATGATGAATTGACAGTTACTGTGTGGTGTTGAAGCAGCTCCTTATTTAGTGAAAAATCAGTGCTTTTTCTTTCAAGGCTTTTGGGGGAAAATTTTCCAGTGTTGAAATAACCGGAACAAATGAAAAATCATGCACGTAATGTGCTAGGGGTTGAAATGATGTCACCAAATGCTCTTTAAAGTTGTTCGTTAGTCATTATGTCCGCAGATCCGTATCTCAGAATTTCTTGTGCCCATTTTGTGTGACAAAGGAGCATAGAGGCCGTGCTCAGCTAAGCACTTTCCTTCACATCACCACAAACAGTATTAAGGGCCAACGTTGCCACACTTCTACAAAACTCCTTTGTAAACCTGAACTTTCAAAACCTTTGTTCCCCACTCACAACTTTCCTTGTAATCCAGCAAAACTGGTTTTTTCGTCAGAGCTATTATTCTGATCCAGCAAAACTGGTTTTTTCACCATGGCTATTATTTTACACAAAATGTACTAATTTGGCTTTTGTAGTGATTTTGGCTCCAGGTACAGGACTCTGCCTCAAACCATGAACAATTTGTAGTGTGAACAATTGTTCTGAACAAGTAATAGTTAACATTCAATGTAAGGTGCCCAAAAAGCTATCATATGCCATCCAAACTCACAAAGCATACCTTCTATTTGTGCTGTGTTTCCAAAACATTGCATGTCTGTGATACTGACATATGTAAGGGTGCCCCAGCCACTCAGAATCTAGACTAGCCTGGGACTGATAAGCTAAGCTTCACATTTACAGGGTGTTGCAACTAGCTTTATGCCTGAGTTGGTTGGTACCTGTGTGTAATCTGTGTCCCAGCCCACAGTCCCTGGAGAGGCGAGGGACCCTTTGCTGAGGTAATAACCTGCACTTGTCCTGAATATGGGTAGTCCTCAACTCTCTACTAGACAGGTCTTGACACACTTAGAATAGCAAGAATACTTCTCTTCCAGATACAGAGTCTTCAGTTGTGGCTCAAATGTCATCAGTTTACAAGATACGTAGCATGGCAGCCAATATATGCATTCAGACTTCTTCTTAAAAGAGCAAAAGAACCTCTGCCTGGTACAGTCTATGGAAGAGGAGAGTGTGGGGACAGGAATCCTGTTCTAAAGAGATTTGGAACCTGTAAGCATATCCTTGCCCCATTATTTCATCCTATAAAGCTGATTCTTGTATAGGCAAAGGTGCAGTTGGTAGGCAAACTGCAAGTTGCTTTTCGTATTGGAACTGAGCTTTTTTATACACTTGATTTCCTAGTTTCTCTGATGAAGAAAGGAGAGGTCACTTGGATGAGTTATTAAAAAGACTTGGATGTCCTAACAGAACTTATCATTCTGTTGTGTCCTGTCTCTGGATTAAATATTTTAATCCAGACTGGAATTCATTAAATTATTGTTAATGTACTTAATCTTTTCATCTGCCTTTTTGCTAATTCCATTACTTGCAGAATATTTATCAAGACAGTTTATTATTTCCAGTGTATATTTGCCTAATCTCTTCTAGACAACCTGGTCACCATGCTTGTAATCAGCTCTTACTTTCCAGTGCAAGTGGTCAATCTGATTCGCTCTGGCTAATTCTGCCAGCTTTCCTACCACTTCTGCCTTTATCCCACAATTGCAATCAGCAACTTCCTAGGTTGCAGTATGTATCATCGGAACATGGACTGTGGCTTTGTTGAACCCAGATTGTTGGGTTGTTGATGCAGCAGTAACTCAGAGCTTGTTGCTGGGTTAACTGTTGGGTCTTTTCACCCCTCATAAACCCAGCAGTCCAGTTTCAGACATCACTCCCTGCAACCAATGAAGGAATCAGTCTGACTGTAGAGTAAAAGTGGAAGAGATGTGCACAATGTCATTTCATAGGGACTGGTCTTGAGACCAGTATGGGGCATGTTGCTATGTGATTTTGAAATTGCATATAATTACATGTCACACATTCACTTTATATAATTTCTTTCCTACAGCAGACATTGATAAATGGTAGCCTTGGTTTCATCCCACTTTGGCACGCTTGCACCTGCCAAAGATTGCTTAGGACAGCCTTCCCCAACCTGACACTCGCCAGATGTGTCAAACTACAATTCCTGTCCTGCCCAGCCAAGGTTGGCCATGCTTGAAGCATCCAGTTATCCTTTCTTTGTCTTTCCCCCAAAGGCCTCCAGGGTCTGTGGAGTCCTTGGAATGTCTTGTACTGTTTGTCTTACTGTCTCTGACAATACATTTTGAAGGACTTTCCAGTGTCACCAAATGCTGATTTTGTGGGCATAATTAGATTCGACAGAGTACCTCCTTTGCATTCTGGAAGACATACAATTCCACTTAATGTAAATCCTGCCTTACTGCATTGTTAGAGGAAGTTGGAAAACAGAGTTTTATTTTCATTCCAGTGCAGTGCATTGAAATACCCATTCACTTTTTTCGTATTAATTAATTGAAAATTATCTTTAGACTGTCTTTAAGAGCAGAATCCTCTCAATCCTGTTAGCCCCAAGGCCATACAGACGGCTGCAGTTGGGCAGCCATATGTCTTGCTGGTGGGGGAAGAATATGAATTAAAGCATGCCAGAAGAACCAACACGACAGTCTTTCTTCTCCCTGCTTAGTGGCTTCTTCTGCTTTTAATTTCTGGAAGGTCCTCTAGATTGATCCAAGGGATTAGTGAATGTAGGCCACCCAGAGTGGGTTCTTGGTAGAAAGGGCTAGTTCTGGATCATTCCCATTCTGCTGTACTTGTTAAATAGCTATGGTAATTCTTGGCTTTCCTGAAGGCAATTTCCCCACTTTTTTTTCTTCCAGAGAGACTGGGAGCCTTGGTAGATGGTTGGCATCTTTAAAAGAAAATGTCTTGGGCAGCCCTAAAGAACTACTCAAATTAAGCGTCCCGTCTATTGTGTATGCCATTCAGAACAATATGGCCTTCCTGGCGCTTAGCAATTTGGACGCAGCCGTTTACCAGGTAATTGTGGATATTAGGAACACGCTATAGGAACCCAGACCAGCTCAGCGATATGGGTGCATGCGTGCCGGCCGGCTTCCCGTCATGTGGCAATCTGCATGCAAGGAACCGTCCCTGCAAACCAAACACTGCAGATGGGATTTTGACACTCAAAAGTGTCTCAAATGAACAGCAGCATTTTTCCAGTGGAAATGATCACACTATCAGCTGCAAGTCACGGCAGAGAAAAGTTGGCAAGCACTATATGCACTATAACACTTTCCAGCAGAATGTACTGTTCATCTTTCTGTGGGTCATTGTTATATTTTAGGTAACTAATTGTTTCAGAGGAAAGAATCACTGTTGAAACACAGGAGGAAAAAGTTAAATCCAGTAGGCAAAGTCTAATGTAAGCAGGACTTGCATTGGATTTTACCCACTGAGTTGGATCCAGACTTTACGAGAGTTGGATTTAGACCCATTGGAATTAATTGAGCTTGTGTTTGTCATGAAAATCCCAAGCCTCACTGATTTGAATGGGTCTTCTCTGAGTACAGCTAAGTCTGGGTCTTCTCTGAGTATGGCTAAACCTATATATCTAGAATGTGGGGAATACATTGTTACCTTTGCTGTCCTGCTCTTAATACCTTTATAGCTAATTACACCACTTCCAGAGAGGTCATCTGCTGCAGCAAACACAACAGAGTCTGTGACATTTTCTGGATATTGTCACACAGGTGTAATGGCTGAAGGACACTCCCTAGAAACCATGCCTGTTTTTGGTGTTTTAGGTGACCTATCAGTTGAAAATCCCCTGCACAGCCTTCTGCACGGTCTTGATGCTTAACCGATCTCTCAGTAAACTGCAGTGGTTCTCGGTCTTCATGTTGTGTGGAGGAGTCACACTTGTTCAGTGGAAGCCAGCTCAAGCTACAAAGGTTCAGGTAAGTGTTATCCTGGTAGCCTTTTTCCACACCTGTCTTCCGAAATCTAGAATGATTATGCATCAAAAGGCAGAAATTCCTTGTCAGATGACTCTGGACTCACAAGAAGCATGCATTGACCATCCTGAAGGGCTGGAAGGCACAGAGAATTCACATCCAGTATGCTAAATACTGTGGCTTTTCCTTCTAACAACTCATAGACTTGATTGACTGAAGTACTGCAATGTGCTATTCAATTACTAGACGCCTCATTTAATCTATTAAAAATTTTAACCAACAGATGGCCATTTTGAAAGAGTTGACTGTAAACAGATCATGTTATGACTGACCAAAGATTACACTACTTACTTGTTTAATAATAATACCTTACATTGCAGAGGTGAGAAGTGCAAGGCAGTGTCATTAACCAAAAAGCCTTGGTTGAAGCTTTTGCCTTTTCATTTCTTTTCAGGGTGATTATAGATCAGCTTTTTCCAGAGGTAATGAATGACCAACACATCATATTCTGTAGTTTGACTCCTATGCAGATGATGCAGGATGGCCCAGACCAGTTTTATTGTTCTAATAAATTAGTGTTCTGACTTTGCTTTTGGAAAGCAAAGCACTACTGCCATAGTTGTAAATAAACCATCTCCCGGTTAAATCTTCAGATGGAACAGAGTCCCTTGATCGGCTTTGGTGCAATTGCTGTTGCTGTTTTGTGCTCAGGATTTGCAGGTAAGACTTTGTACAAGCAGCAGGAATCTGTCTATTGACTACGGCTGCTCTGATCCCTTCTCACATTGCATAGATGGGTTAGGAGCCATGACAGCACAGCTCCTTCCTGAATTGCTCAGGTAATGCAGGAAGCTCTGGGTCTTGTTAGAAGGCCCCATGCTGGAGCTCCTTGCTGCATCAGAAATGGGTGTGGAATTCTCTTACTGCAAGTGTTAGCATGGCTCTGGATTCTCACATTACATTTGCAGCATGTGTAACAGTAGCTCCCACACAGCAAAATTTATTTAAGGAGGGAGCCTATCTCATGTAAGGTTGAACCCTTCAACCTGTAGGACCATGAAGCCAATGAAACTTGTGGGGCACTCCTTCTCTTCCTCCTAAGCAGAAGATTGGTTCTTTTGGCTCAGCTCATCTGTTGGCAACAGGCAGTGGAAGAGGGAGCTCCCTGCACAGATGGCTCCATGACTGCAGCTGTAGACTTGCCAAAGATGACTTCCCATGTGGGTTTCATTGAGAAGGCACAGAACTATGTAATAGAAGTGACATGCACGTTACTCCTGTTCTATCTATTTGGAAAAACAGCATGAGACAGTCCTCTTCTGTAAGATAAGACATGCTGGTACTAATGGAATATCATGCAGTACATTGGATCTAGGAAGGTCTCTACTGGTGGAACATCCTTCTGTCCAGCTTTGGCAGATCCATCCTCTCTCACACACCATAGTGCAACCCGTTCAGTAGTCTTCTGGCTCTTCAGCATTTTAGGGGGCTGGTGAGGCTGTCTTGAGAAGGAGAGAATGGGAAAGTTCATTTCACCAGCAGAGTTGATTAAATCCAGATTCAACTCAAAATTTCTAAGCTCTCCAGAAATCTGAATGTTCTCACCAGTTTTCCACATTTTATCATTTCAAATATATTCAGGTGAAATGAGGTTGGGCAGTGAGAGACAAGAGGCTAGAACTACTTGTCATGTTTCCTGCTTTGAAATACTTTGATCAGCTAATTTTTTTTAATAGTATTTTAAATCGTTTTATGGAGTCGTCCCTGGCCATGCTGCCACTTATGTTTCCTGGGGAGCGCACCGGTGCCACCATTGAGGTGGTTATGGGCAATGGACGTAACAGCGGTGGGAGCTTAACGTGTCCGCATAGAAGAAGGAGGGACAGATGGCTGACACCTGTACTTCTGGTTTTGCTCCCAGCCAGAGGGTACCAGGGAGTCTCGTCAGTCGCCCCTCGGGCCTGACGGTGCTGTTGCTTAATGCCAGGTCGGACAGTAACAAATCTGCCCTCATCCAGGACCTGATTGTGGATGAGGGGGCCGACCTGGTCTGCATAACGGAGACCTGGGCGGGGAGGGGGGATGTTGCCCTCTCCCAAGTGTGCCCGCCCGGGTATTTGGTCCAGCACTGCTCACGGCCGGAGGGGAGGGGGGGTCGCTTTGGTTTACCGAGCCTCCATCTATCTCACGGGACTTCCTGTCCCTTCGAGACCAGGGCTGGAGTGTCTCTACTTGGTGTTGGGCGACCGAGACAGACTGGGGATTCTGTTGGTGTACCATGCACCCTTCTACCCAACAGTCTCCCTGCCTGAGCTGACGGAGACTGTCTCAGACCTGGTGTTGAGGACCCCCAGGATGTTGGTCCTGGGGGACTTCAATCTCCATGCCGAGGCTAGTCTGACTGGGGCGGCTCAGGACTTCATGGCCTCCATGACGGCCATGGGGCTGTCTCAACATGTCACCAGCCCGACCCATGAATGGGGACACACTCTGGACCTGGTTTTCCCGACGGGGCAGGAAGAGGGTGGTCTGAGGGTGAGTAATTTATGCTTGACTCCCCTGTCATGGTCAGATCACTTCCTGGTGAGGTTTGTGCTCGAGAGCAACTTCTCCCTCTGTAAGGGTGTGGACCCGATTGTGTGGGTCCGCCCCCGGAGCCGGATGGATCTGGAAGGATTCCTGAAGGCCCTGGGGGAGTTTCCGGCTGATAAGACGGGTGCTCCTGTCGGGGCTCTGGTCGAACTGTGGAATGGGGAGATGACCAGGGCTGTAGACGCGATCGCTCCTAAGCGTCCTCTCCCACCGGGCAGAGCCCGCTCTTCCCCTTGGTATACTCCTGAATTGAGGGCGATGAAGCAGGTTGGAAGACGACTAGAGCGTAGGTGGAGGAAATCACGGGATGAATCTGACTGAACACACTTAAGAGCCCACTATCGGGCCTATGCTGTGGCAGTGAGGGCGGCGAAAAAGAGATTCTTTTCCGCTTCCATTGCCTCCTCACAATGCCGTCTGGCGGAGCTCTTTCGACTGGTGCAAGGCCTGGTTCGTCCAGGTCCGAAGGAAGACCTGATTCCACCCTCAAAGGCCCGCTGTGACAACTTTGCCAGGCATTTCAGGGAGAAAATTGCTCAGATTCATCACGAGCTGGACACCACTATTGATTCAGAGGTTTCAAGGAGACACCAACGCTGCCGTCTGGTCCAGATTTATTGGATGAATTTCAGTTATTGCGGCCCAATGACGTGGACAAGGTGCTTGGGCGAGTACGTCCAACCACTTGTCTTTTGGACCCTTGCCCGTCTTGGTTAATAAATGATTCCAAGCACGGGATTGGAACCTGGATCTTGGAAGTGGTTAACGCTTTTCTGAGAGAGGGTCGGGTGCCTGCCCCTTTAAAGGAGGCGGTAGTCCGACCGGTCCTGAAGAAGGCGTCACTGGATCCAGAGATGGCCACTAATTATAGACCAGTGGCCAACATCCCGTTTCTGGGAAAGGTGTTAGAGCGGGTGGTGGCGGGACAACTCCAAGCTCTCTTGGATGAAACTGATTATCTGGACCCATTGCAGTCCGGCTTCCGACCCGGGTACGGTACTGAATCTGCCTTGGTTGCCCTGTACGATGACCTGTGCAGGGAGAAGGACAGGGGGAGTGCGTCCCTGTTGGTTCTGGACCTCTCAGAGGCTTTCGATACCATTGACCATGGTATCCTTCTGGATAGGCTTGCGGGATTGGGGGTCGGAGGCACTGCTTTGCAGTGGTTCCGCTCCTATCTCAATGGCCGGTTCCAGAAGGTGGTGCTGGGGGACTATGGCTCTGCGCCATGGCAGCTATGCCATGGAGTACCACAGGGCTCCATTTTGTCCCCTTTGCTGTTCAACATATACATGAAACCGCTGGGAGAGGTCATCAGGAGGTGTGGGCTGCGGAACCATCAGTACGCTGATGATACCCAGCTCTACCTCTCGTTTTCCACCAATCCAGGTGAGGCAGTGGCTGTGCTGAACCGGTGCCTGGCCGAGGTAATGGGCTGGATGAGGGCCAATAAACTGAAGCTCAATCCAGACAAGACGGAGGTCCTGTTGGTTGGCGGATCGGGCTTCGGAGAGGGTGAATTGAACCTTGACCATAACGGGGTTGCACTCCCTCTTAGGGACAAGGTCCACAGCTTGGGAGTGCTCCTCGACCCGGAGCTTTCACTGGAAGCTCAGGTGACAGCAGTGGCGAGGAGCGCTTTCCTCCAGCTTCGGCTGATTCATCAGCTGCGCCCCTATCTGGAGAACGACTGCCTTGCGACAGTGACACATGCGTTGGTGACTTCCCGTCTTGACTTCTGCAACGCGCTCTACGTGGGGCTACCCTTGAAGACGGTCCGGATACTTCAATTGGTTCAAAATAGAGCTGCCAGGCTGCTGACGGGGACTGGACGTTATGTTCACATGACTCCAGTTCTCCGTCAGCTTCACTGGCTTCCCATTGAAGTCCGGGCCCAATTCAAGGTGTTGGTGATGACCTATAAAGCCCTAAACGGCTTGGGTCCTGGTTACCTGAAGGAGCGCTTACATCCATATATGCCCAGCCGCCCCCTGAGATCGGCAGAAGAGGCCCTTCTCCAGGAGCCCTCCGTGGAAGAAGTTAGGAGGGTGGTTACTCGGAGGAGGGCTTTCTCAGCGGTGGCGCCTAAGTTATGGAATGCGCTCCCCAGAGAGGTCCGCCTGGTGCCGTCGTTATTTGTTTTTCGGCGCCAGGCGAAGACCTTTTTATTTAAGCAGTATTTTAAATGTTAATATTATTGAATTTTATCTGGCCAGGGCGGCTTGTTTTATATTGTATGTTTTATATCGTATATTTGTATTTTAATGTATATATTTTAAAATGTTATTTTAATTTATTGTTGTAAGCCGCCCCGAGGCTTCGGCGAATGGGGCGGCATAAAAATGTTTTAATAAATAATAAATAAATAAATAAATAAATAAATAAATTGCCTTGGTCTTTGTTATACTTATCTGTTGACTTCAAATAAGCTATGAAAGCCACAGTGCCTTTGGACATCCGTGCACAAGCATCTAATGTGACAAACTTTTTCACTTCCTTTGTCCACTAAGTAGACTGACTTGTTTCTTCTTCATGTTAGTATCTGTTTATTTTCCCCCTTTCCCACTTCCTTTCAGGGGTGTATTTTGAGAAGGTGCTAAAGAGTTCAGATACATCTTTATGGGTTCGGAACATTCAGATGTACCTCTCTGGAATTGTGGTGACCTTGGTTGGTGTCTACATGTCTGATGGAGCTCAAGTAATGGAGAACGGGTTTTTTTATGGCTATACCCAGTACGTCTGGTTCGTCATCTGTAAGTATCTTTAGCATTTTGTCTTAAATTCATATTGCCAGGTCCTGAAATGTGGATTGCCGCCTAACATTAGCCTAACTTAAGCCCTGTTCATTTCAGCTGGTTGACTCTAAGTGCAACTAAGATTGGATACAATTCAGTGTCAGGCTTGGCTTGTCCAAGGGGCTGGATCATCACAAAATGTGACTAAAATGGTGTTTTCTTTGAACCCGCATGACGATACCTCTTGATGCTGAGAGAAGCCATGTTTGCAATTTCATTAATAACAAATCTCCTTTTACTTCCTAGTCCTTTCCAGTGTTGGAGGTCTCTACACTTCAGTCGTTGTTAAATACACTGACAACATTATGAAAGGTTTTTCTGCAGCTGCGGCCATCGTTCTCTCTACTATCGCATCAGTCATTCTCTTTGGCTTACAAATAAGTAAGTTGCTCTTGATTATGGCTTAACTGGCTTTATTAGTCCAACTGAGTGTTGTAGCCCAATCTGAGAAGCTGTTCTGAACTAGCAGCGACTAAGCAAGAAAGGGATCTTGGAGTAATGGCGACCAACTTGATGGGAATGTTGGCCCAGTGCTCAGCTGCTGTGACGATGGCAAGCTCCTTGCTAGACATAATTAGGACGGGAAGAGGAAACAGAACTGCCAAAATCTTACTCCCCTCATACAAATTTTTGGTCACCCTTAGAATGTTGTGTTTAGTTATATTTGCCTTACCTGAAGAAGGACATTATTGAGTAGGGAAAAGTACAGAGGAGAACAGTGAAAATGACCAAAGGCCTGGAACCACTCCCTTTGAGAAGCAGCTACAGCAACTGGGACTATTCAGCTTAGAAACAGGCGAGCAAGGGGAGACATGATAGAGGTCTTTAAAATAATGGAGAAAGTGGAGGGAGAGACTAGACTAGAACTGGTGGTCACCCCATGAAGCTAGGGGTGGGAGGTTTCGGACAGAAGAAAGGAAGTACTTCTTCACACAGCGTATAGTTAAACTATGGAATTTGCTGCCATGGGAACTGGTGATGGCCACCAGTTTAGATGTCTTTAAAAGGGGATTGGGCGGATTCATGGGGGAGGTGGTCATCAGTAGCTACTAGCCTTGCAGGCTGTGTGCTGCCTCCATTACCAGAGGTGGCTTGCCTGCATGCACCACTTGCTGAGGAGCTTGGGCAGGAGGAGGACTCGCACCCGTCCTGCTTGAGGGATCCTGTGGACAGTTAGTTTGCCACCATCTGCACAGAGTGCTGGTCTAGATGGACCTCTGATCAGACCCAGCAGGGCTTTTCTTACATTCCTATGCTTATGTTTGACATTGGCTTGCTGTGCTCAGGTGTACTCAGACCCACAGCCGAACATTTCACTGCCTCCACTGAGAAATATTTTGTTTGCATGGTATAATGAGATACCCACAAGAGTTTCCCACATGCAGATAGTCGCTTGATCTTCCACTCACTGAGCAGTAGGTGGTACATTTGTGAATTTTGGCTACATTTTCTTATTTATTCATAGGGTGTTTGTTGGAAGTTAAGATTTTTTCAAGACATTGTTGGCTGTGTTAATTAATGTGTGGTAAGTGTAAGACCACACACCAGAGATTATCACAAGAGCAACTTATGACCAGCCAGATGTTCTGACCTACAATTCCATCATCCTTCATCATTCACTGTGCTGCTTAAGGCTGATGGGAATTATTGGTGAAAACATCTGGAAGGCCCCAAGTTGCCCATACTGACTAGCCCGTTGTTTTACATATGTACATTTTTTCCCTAAATTATCAAGTCTATCAAGCAAGATACCTCATGCCTATTCCCTTACAAGTTTTAACCATGTGCTTTCTCCCCCTTTGCTTCTAGCCATAACCTTCTCTTTGGGTGCACTTCTTGTATGTATTTCAATATATCTGTATGGATTGCCTCAACAAGATACGACAAAAATTGAACCAGTACAAACAAAAACATCAAAGGAAAATCTTCTTCATGTGTGACATTTGCCATGAAGAACAAATAAAAAACCCTCCAAAACAGCCTAGAGATGTTTTTTCTCCTTCAGGTTAGCCTTAAACTGTTTATGGAAGACTTTCCTTCTTGAACTAAAGAAATGAAGCAAATCAATAGGGTGATGAAGGAAGGATACTTCACTACGTTGTGAAGCGCTGTTTTTCATGTCAAAGTATGTTTTACTTTTGTGTCGGATTTTGAAGATCCTACTTGCCAAAACGAATGACAGACTGGAATGTGCAGTGATAGAGACTGTATATAAAATAAAGGGTGGCGTGCCGTTGGAATTCACTTTGATGTGCCAACATGATATGGATTCTCTGCAGGCAGAAATACCTATTTGAAGTGCTCTTGCAAGAAGAGCTGCTACACTGAATAAACTGTTAATTGTCTTAAAATGTTGTCGCATTTTTCTTGTGTGCCTAGTTCCGATCCAGCTCCTTGCTGAACTGCTCTTACAGCAAACTTGCTGTTGTAACTAGAAGGAAATCAAGGTGATAGTAGTGAGGGGAAGGCCATGGGCAGAATGCTTTCATTTAATAAAAAACACAGTTCTTGATGCTAAGTATTTAGGCTTCTGATATGCTGAATTGAAGATCATTATTGTTTTACATTGGCTAGAACAAACATGCTGCAGCTGCTACTTTGGAATTTCCTAATGTGACTAAGGGGGTTATGCCATGTTGTATACTAATTCAGATTTCATTGCACATTTAAGCACTAACTATATTAGACAGTGCTATTTTGGTTTAAACCTCTATACTTACATCAAATGCAATTTATTTAGGGGAGGAGGTGAAGCACAATGCATTTAATATTAGATTTTCCATTTTTGTTCACTAATTCCACACTGAAATTCATGAACAGGCAATGTTTTCTTGAGCTTTGCTGTAGCTTTTTGCAAAGGGAGTTCTTTATTGAATAATTGTTATTTTTAAAAAATTAGAAACGTGTAGTCTCTGTAAGTTTGACTGTCAGAGAACCAATTAAAATCAGTTGGAAAAGAGGCCCTGAATGCTAATCATGATGGCATAATTAGAGAGGCCTAAAATATACCTTTAACCTGGACATTCACAGTAGCATCAGCATTTCTCAGGCTGCATGATCAATTGTTTTCCTTCCATGCCGATGGTCATAGGATGGCAGTTCCCATCCGATTATGAGGATGGAATGGTGGAGGGAAATGCAGCCTCCTTCATGACCTCAGAGAGGCAACATTGTCTAGCCTCACTGTGCTTGAGGACTCAGACAGGGTAGCAGTGGGCACTGGTTCCATCTCAGCTAGCCTATAATGTTGGGGGGGGGAGTGTGTGTTTTTGATAAGCTGCATCTTGCACTTCAGATAGAAGGGGCTTCCCACCTCTTTTTGTTTCAGTTTGCCTAAGTACCACCTTGGCCTAAGGGTCCCCTTGCACTGAACTCGAGGGAGAGTTGATGTGATGGAGCTTGAGAGCTCTTGCTGTGGGTACCACTGCTGCCTGCCTTAAAACTTCTATTTATTTGACTGCTTAAATTGTTTTACAGGAAATGCTATGAAGTCCTCCCCACAGCTTTTATTGAAGGAAGGGGAGAGAATAGAAAGGTGAGCCCCTCTCACAACAATCTCACACACACACACACAGAGAGAGAGAGAGAGAGAGAGAGAGAGAGAGCGCGCGCGCGCGCACGCACGCACGCGCGCGCGCAAAAAACAAAACAAATGGAACAAGGAAAGGGTTTATTCATTAGTTGCCAGTGCTGAGGGAACGGTTCCCTACTAATTAGGTGTTTGGGCTGGGAACAGAGAAGGACAAGAAAAAAAGGAGCTCAATGATGTAAAAAAAATAATCTTCACAGTGTAAATGATTTGATGGAAGAGGTTTAGAGCAAATAAACATGTTAACTGTTACAGTCATTTTTCCTTTGTGCTTTAGCAAGCTTCTCTTACTCTTGCCTACCAGTGGAGTAAAATGATTTCAGCAAAGGACTTAACTGTTTCAGGACCTCCGTTTCTCCCTGTTCTTAACCACTACAAAAGTATCGGTAGCAATTGTACTGTTCAGGTCTTGCACCTGAATGCCCTGTGTGCACCCTGTACACAAGGCAGGATACCACAGCAGTGGTGAGGCAGCAGCTGCTACAGGCTCAGGGATATCAAATAGACCAAAGGCTCATCTGATTGAGGTAGGATTGGATGTATTGTTTTTCTCTATACAGACATAGTGAACTTTACATCTTTTGGAAACAGGTCCTCGTCCTTGACTTATCGTGAAACATCTTAGCAGGAAATAAGCACCAGGTGAGTCCCGTTCCCACTGCCTGCCAAGGTCGTTGGTATGGATACTACTTTGATCCACAGAGATACAGAATCATATTTTTGGCTTAAGAACAGCTTTGCTAAATGTTACTTTTATCCCTGTTGCCCATTAAACTGGGAAAATGCGCAAAAACACATACAAACAGGGCTACGTTATTTCTAACTCGGCTTTTATAAATCATCATAAAGAAACTGCGCTTGTGCTTTGCAGTCCAGGGCAAGCCAAGTTTCTGGCACAGCTGCAGCCATGGAGATTGTCTCCCCAGGAGGTCCATGGCAAGGTATGATCTCAGCAGTGCATTGATGTGCTAATGAAGCCCAGAGTTACCAGAAGACTCACACAGAGGTCCCCTCCCTTTGGAGTGTTTCAAGTAATCCTTAAGGGCACCAAAAGCCCAACACTAGACAAGAGAAATGAGGACAGGAAGACAACCTCTCTTCATAACAATGTATTTTAGATTACGGCTGGAGGAAGAAACACTTCCTATTACATTCTGTTCACAGGTGTAATTCCCAGAAGTCTCATTCCATTGGCCAGAATGGAGCGAACAGCCTGGAATAAACAGAGCCTTGCCTGAAGAAGAGAGTAGGGAAAAGGACACACATCAGTTTCTATCATCATTTGTTCCCTTTAAAAGAAGCTTCCAAAAACACTCAAGCACTGGATGTTTTGTATGGGCACGCCCCTAAGCACAGGCAAATGGCTGCAGAGTACAAATGTGAAGAGGGCACTTGGCGCTTGAGGGGCCTCAACCTGATGGCGGAGCACCTGCTTTGCATGCGGAAGGCCCCTGGTTCAATCCCCGGCATCTCCAGGAAAGGGTCAGGAAATGCTGCCGGCCAGAGTTTATGCTCTTTTTATTTAAACAGTATTTTAAACTCTTAATAGTATTTAGTTTAGTCGCTCTGTTTGGTTTATTGGTTTGTTCTGTTTTATTATTGATATTGTTGTATAATTGTCCTTTTAAAAATTGTAAGCCATCCTGAGATCTTGTATAATAGGACGGCATGCAAAAGCTTTTAATTAATAGACAGACAGACAGACAGACAGACAGATAGATGGGCGAATTGTGCAACTCCGATCAAGGCCTCTTCCTAGGCTCACTTTGCATTTCTTCTGCTGTTTCTTTCAATCATGCCAGGCCACATCTAATGTTACATGTGCAGATTTCTGCTCAAGCAATGCAACTTCCTCTTGCAGCCCTGTGCCATCTCCCTCCACTCCACCCAATCCTATTGAGTAACTCTTTTCAGGTGTTTAGTCCATTCATTTGCTAAGTAAACCGATTAAAACTTGCCACCATCATCTGAGCTGATGAACCAGCAGATGTGAACGGTACACTTTTGGTGGAGCAGAATCATGTGCTCACATGTTTAGGGTGTTAGCAGAACAGGAAATACAAAATAAAATACTAAGGACAGTCTTGTCATCTGCCTGTGGCAGTCTCTTTATTAAACTTAAAAGCAAAGAGAGCAAGAAAAAAATGCTAGCATATCTTCACTTGCAGCATGTTAAGGCCCTCAGTTTTGAACAGTTCAGAAGCTTGCAGTACAGGCGTTACTCCTAGTGAGAAAATGGGAAGAAATCGCCTTGTGCAAAAAAGTAGCCAAGCTTCTTAATTTTTCCTTGGACTAAAAGACTGAGAAAAATTCAAACCTGGCCATAATGGGAAAGATTTCCTACATTTTATTTCAAAAAGTAAAGAAAGAGCAAAAAGTTGAGCAGTTTAAAATTATTCTGATATTCACAGTTCCATAGGACTGTCTATCCCATCCTACTGCTACTTCTTCACAAGTTGTGCTGCTCAAAAGTAACAAACCACTTCCAACAAGTGACTGCTGACATTACCTCCGCAATCTCCGGGACACTGCCTTTCACGGGAAGCATTCTATGAGCTGTGGCTACTAAATGGCTGAAAGAAACACAAACGGTCTGAAAGAAACTCTCATTTTAAAGTATTGCAATCCTGAGTGCCCCAGGGAGAAGTAAGACCCACTCAACTTAATGGCACAAACGGCTGCTTATATTTGCTTAAGATCAGGAGACTAAAACCAGTTTATGTTGTCAGGGAAAATGCCATGGCCTCCATCAAACTGAGACACCACTATGGCTTGGATCCAAAGCTCAGGGAGGCTTCTGCTGGTGGACAGGACATTCCCAACATAGTGAAAGAGTCTCACAGTTATGAGACTAATTACTTCCTAGCAGGGAAGACCCGCCCCCGCAAGTTTTAAAATGAACCATTAAATCCCCTTTCGTCAGATAGTGAGTGCGTAGCCATTGCTATGACTTCATTCAGTGCACTGAATGGGAGCCTTTTGGACTACTTGGCAGCATGCAAATAAAAGAAAGGTCAGAAGTGACTAGTTTCTCTCAAAATAAATGGACGAAGTTGTGGCTCTCCATTTTGCTTCTTATCTCAGGTTTTACAAGGGCTATTTATTTAAAATGAAAGCTGGGAATTGGAGAGCATGGCCTGCAGGAGCATAGCAGATTTTTTGGGTGGGTGGGGCACCACGCAGAGGGGATGGGTGCAACAAGGAGGCCTATTTAGGCTGCGTGCTCAGTGGCCACACCACGCTGGCGGACTGTTGGGAAGAGGACATCCAATGGAAGGAACATGGAGCACCCCTGGGAAAGGGCATGGCTGGGTGGAGCCCTGAACAGGGAAACTCCACTCTGCAACATTTTGTTCAGAATCTGACTCTGTTCAGATCTCGCTTCTCAAAGCAATTAACTCATACAAGAGCATAAAAACACTCATTCAAAAGAACAGTTCTGGTCCCGCTGAGTTATGTTATTAACAGCTTGATAAAATCTGGGCAATACCAAAGAGGGGGTGGGGTCTGCAGCCTTTTTAGCCAGCTCTACAGCCAGTGGACACTTTGGTTATACTGACTTTCCGTGCTGATGGCATGAGTCACTGGAGTAAAATAATTCAGGAAAGGCCTGTGGGCACCAAATGCCCTTGCCAGAATCAGACAATAAACCTAAGAGCCCATAACAAGTTACAGGCTTTTCTCGTGGAGACAGATTCAGAGTCGGGCTCTGAATGCTGAAAACAACATCCTAAGGAAGGAGTGGCTTATTACAGCTGGCTAATGGCACAACCTTTCAAGGAATGTGCACCACAAGGTTTTCAAGGCTGACTCAGAGTCAGCCTTCGATTTAAGGTGGGGCGGATTTTTTGAAATGGAAACGTAGCACTAGGATGTATTTCAAAATTTCTTCAGTGAATTATGCTGCCCTCCAGATTGGTGGAATTCCCAACCCCTGGCCCCTAGCTGGAGCTTCTGCAAATCCTAGAATACCAGGTTCCCTACCCCTTTACTCCGGTGCTAGGATTCTGGTGCAGTAACAGGAAAAGGCCCCTTCTTCCTTGCATTAGGCATGAACCTAATGCTTATAGATCAACTTACATCAAGCTACTCTTGTTACTAAGACTGAATTCTTGAAAAATGAGATCTGAATGCTGTTTGAATGGTCGACTCTTACCTGAGTTTGAGGAGATAGTTAACAATGTGTTTGGGCTGAAGATCTTGCAAAGACTGACAAAGAATCTCATCATATCTGAAGGAAGAAGAAAAGGAACAGCTGATACAAACTTCAAAATTAGAGGGCCTGATCATAGTTCAGAAATTTTAAGGGTACAGCCTGTACTTATGAATGTGTGGACTGCCAGAAACCCTATTTGAATATCTCTAGAAAAAAGCAGTGAATAGGGAACTAGGCGATGCATTGGGTGAGTGTCATCAGTGGGCATGTAGTTCTCTCGAGATATTCATGGCTTTTCATAGAGAAAATGGTGCGTAAGATTTACAGCACCTACCCAAACCCACTCTATTTCTTACAATACTTGATTTTTACATTTTCAACATATGTTACTAAAGGTGCCATCCTAGGCATATTTATTAACAGAATAGAATTTACTTTCAAGTGAACGCATATAGGATTGTGTTGCATCTCACGAATGATCTCAGACAAGCAAAAGACCTTTAGAATGCCTGTTATTCAGAATAGGGATCACCAATATATGGTGCAGTGCAGCACCATGGACGCCATAGTAAAACTTGATTTCAGTGGGGTGAGGACTGAACCCACAGTCTCGGGCTCTGCTACTGCCCCACAAGGATCCTAAGCACGCTGTTTTGAAAGTTCAGCCAAGGGCTGTGGTGCTTACTTCCAGGTGAATGATTTGGATCATTCACTTGCATCCAACCCTGGTTGTTTGCCAGTGGAACAAAAGCTACTGGTGGAACAGACTTCCCCTTCCCCCGGATGCTCTACATCCCTCCCACCCCAGAACACATAATGGGGGACTCTGGAGCAGGTCTGGAAAGCACAGAGGGGACTCCAGGAGAGAAAAGAGCACAAATGCAAGTCCCCTCATTCCACATTGGGTTTAACCCAGTGTTAGCCTTTTGCTAGTCTCAGACCCATAATGTACTTGGAGGTGCAGCCACCAATTGCTCAGAGATTTCTGTACAGCAAAATTACTAACAGCTCCATCCTGTGTGTGTGTACCAGAGATGAGCTCCCATTCTGTTCAGTGTAGGCAAGCAAAGGCCTGCACTGTAGACTTCAAATACCTGAGAAGGTGCTGAATTAAACAAATAGCTGGTGGGTCTTGTAAACACGCAGGGTTAATATCAGACACTTGATGGACTGTTCCACAGATCTCTTCTAAACTGTGAGGAGAGAGAAACCGTGTCAAATATATTAAAAATCAAGACAATAAACAGTAACAGCTTAGTGTTGTAAGCCGCTCCAAGGCTTCGGCGAATGGGGTGGCATAAAAATGTTTTAATAAATAAATAAATAAATAAAATAAAATAAAATAAAAGCTACTTAAACCAAAATAGGAAGACCTACATTTTAAAGGATGGTTTACTTTAATTGAACACTTTATTGAAATAATGTTTTCATCTCATTCAACAGAATGCTTGTTTTTGCTAAAACTTAATACTTAAGGAGTATGAGAATCCTAATCCCAAGTTTCATATACAGTGGCTGGGCCCAAAGTGCCCAAGGCTTTGGACTAATTCACTGAAATATTAAAAATTTATTCTTTTAGCACATGTTGCCAAGGGATGTTTTACAGAAACCCCTGGTTTCAAGAATGACTTGCCATGCAGCACGGCAAACAGTATGGAGAGCTACTGAAGATGGGTTACTCTCTCCTGTACAGAGCTATTGGGGTAATATGTTACATCCTGCCCAAAATTTTAGCACTTGAGCTACAATTTATGAGTTTTGTCGATCTCGATGAATGGCAATATATTCAGACCATAGTTTTTATACAGTGTTAATGGACATGAACTTCTTAGAACATGGCTGGATCCTCTGAAGCAGGTGCAGAAAGCATGGGAACAGTGTGCAGAGGGGTGGAGAGCAAGGGCAGGGTCCCACTCAAGCAACCATTTGGTTGATTTTGCATATTTTTCCTAATCTGAGTGCATCTGATCCGCATTTTGTTTGTTTGATTTAAATCCTGCCTTTTTCCTACAAAGGGCTCAAGGCAGCTTACATCATTCTCCTCCTCCATCTGATCCCCACAACAACAAACCTGTGAGGTAGGTTGGGCTGAGAGTCTGTCACTGGCCCAAAGTCACCCAGTTGGCTCCATGGCCGAGCAGGGACTCGAACCCGGATCGCCTGAGTCCCAGTCCCGTGCTCTTAACCACTACACCACACTGCCTCTCCTGGCACCACATTTGAAAGACCCATATGAACAACCCCTATGCAGACAAATCTTCTTTTACACTGATCCAGATTCAGATAAATGCAGAATGACCTGCTTTCAATCGAACCTCTCACCTATGCAGCCTGGCGTGCGTGTACTGTAGGAAGACGCCAGTGTCACCTCGGCTTTGGAGCACATGATCCCAGCTAAACTGATAATCAGATAACAAGAGACCCCTGAAATCCTGAAACAAGAAGTTATTTCAGCATCAGGCAGAGTAAAACCACTTGTGAGCATCTCTTTAAAGGGAAGGGCCCTGAAAGGATGACGAAATCAACAGACCTGAATGATAAGTGCTGCAAGCCCAATCTTTTCCGCAGTTGCAAGAGGATCATCAAGTTCTTTGGAAGCTGAGAGTATTACAGGTGGGGGGGGGGAATAAGTGTTGCTTAGCAGAAGAGCAAATGATTCACAACAGAAACAAAGCTACTGGTAGAAGCAAACCCTAAGCCTTCGCCCCTAAAGTGCTGTCACGAGCATCACAGAGGTGGCAAGGACCCATCACCCTTCAACCCTTAACCATGTCTGAGGAATCAGGAAATGATACACTTGCCCTTCATAGTTCTAAAATATGACTTTAATGTACAATAATAATATTTAATATTAATATTACTTAAGGAAAATGGAGATGTGTGCACTGTACACACATCTGGGAGTGCCCCCTTTGACAAGGAAATATTCCCATCAACAGGTGGACTGATTTTACTTTACCTGTCTTGCAACAAATGAATGAAAATAGGTAAGGAGGTAGCTATGGCCTGACAGGCAAACTTTACCTACATCTGGTTGTGAGAAATGCTTTCCTCAGTAATTTAAATGAGAAATGCTTTCCTCAATAATTTCTTCTGTTAAACAACAACAACAAAAAAGATTAAATGTATAGGTTTTGGACCAGAAAGGAATAATTTTGTCTTTAATTAGAGCCTGCGGGAGGTGTGGAAAGCAAGCTAAGAGTAACTTTTGCCAATCTGCTTCCTTGCCTGAAGTTTTGGACTGATTTCCATCAGCTTTGGTCAGTGTAACTATGGTCAGGAAGGCTGGGATTTTGAGGGCCAGTTCGGTGGCGGCAGGGGTGTGAGCAGATTAGAAACTGTTACTGGGGCTCAGAAGAAAAACACTAAGGCCTGGCATTGCCATTTACACAAGCAAGAATGGCCAGCTAACTTTTGGCAGAAGCAGTTCTTTCTAAGACCACGGAACGTGCTTCATCCAGGACATCTTCCAGGAAGACGACGTCTCCTTTTCGGGTCTTCATCCCCTGAACCTTTCCAAATGGCACATGCTGACACCTAAATTAAAACACAGGAAAGAAACTTCAGTCAACATATTCTGCCCCACTGCAGTGTCTGACATCCAGTTGCTCAATGACCATCTAGGCCTTGATTCACCTGGCCCAGAAGTGTGCCATTTTCTTAGCTGCAGAAACTAGAAACATTCTCTCTGAACAGGAATGGTATTAGCACAGGTTTGAAATTAAACCTACGCTCAGAAATAAGTTTTACTGTTAGTTACATCGGAGCACAAGGTGTGCATCAGCCCAGGGATAATATTCCTGCTCAAGAACAGTTGCTAAGTTATCCTAGCCGGCTGAAGCAGGCTTGTCTGCTTGCATGTCTCCCCATCATCTCTCCCCAGTGGAGCAATTTCAATCAGGATGCCTTACCTTGCCTGGCCACCCCTTGCGACTGCTCTGAATCCAATTTAAAGCCCCTGCGGCTGCTTATCAGTAAGAATGAAAAGACGAGATCTGATCACAGGTCCCCTGTGCCATGTGTAATTTGGCCCTTAAATACTGAATGGAGACCTTAATGAACAGATTTCCTCAAGAAAGTCCAATGAGCCACCATTTATACCTGCACAAAGGGCACCTCACTGCTTCACTTTAGGCTCATCCCAGCTGGATGTAAAGGCTGCAACTATGTATAAGCAAAGGTCTCTATGTAAAAATTGGTTGTAATAAATTTGGCTCATAATAAATTTCTACTGGGGCCTTTCCCCACGGACAAACTGTTTTTTAGGACATTTCTGCCATTTCCCCTTCTATACTAAAAATATAATTGCCACGTCTTAAAAATGAGAAAGAAAATATAAACCTCAGAAAGCTTGCATTTACCTTTCTGTCCATTCGTAACCCAGTAACTTTAGTATTTGGAAAACTTGTTGAAAATGAGAACTCTGGCTTTTATCTGTCTTGGAGAAGAGGGAAAAGTCATCACACATACTAGAGTCATACAAACACAAAAGTCTACTGGCATGGTTCATATCCGAGGAGGGGTGGCAGTGAATCATGCCATGAAAACTGGACTGACATCACATATCTGAGAGAGGGCTCTCCCAAAAAGCCTTTGGAAAAGCACTCTCTGCTATGCAAGATCAGCCTCAAAAGAAAAAGCTAGCCTTGAATAAGCACCCATCACTGGAAGCACTTTGGAGAAGTATAAGATTCATAACTTTGAAACTACTTAAATTTTAATGTGTTCAGCCCATAGGTTATAACAAAAGGACACCAGGAATTTTATACAAATCAAACTATAAAAACAGTCTGCTGCCTGCCTTACTAATACTGTGTGGGGTGAGTTAGCACTAACACAAAGTGTCTTGTACATACTCTAAACAAAGCTTTCTGCAGGAGATCTAGGATTACTTACCACATAAATCATGGTGTCAGGATTGTATTTATCCATTCGGTCTACAGCAGCAGCAAGATCTCTATAAAACATGGAAAAGAGCAAACAAAAAATTTCTGAAAGGAAATATATTTTTTCCCATTTGGAAAAACTGTTGTAAATACATTTGCAATTATGAAAACCCACCAACTGATAATCTGCCCTGTTATGCTAAAAGAGCAACTGTGCATATTTAGACAGGAAAAAATCCACTTGGAGGATGCTGGAAGTTGTGGGATTGCATCCTAATAGTGTTGAACTACCCAGAGATCTTCAGCTACTGAAGGATGAATTAAGGTCAAATGGATGAATTAAAGACAGAAATCCCAGGGCCTTTTCTGTTATGATATGCAGGTTATGCAACTCCCTCATTAGAGAAATGTGGTCACCTCTTTCTATTTTAAAACTTCTCCAAGCTTTCAGTGGGTGTTAAAGTTACATTTCCTGCTTTTTGGTGGAACTGTTTTCTCCACCTCTTCAGTATAATACACCACATTGACTGTACTACCTTGAATTGTTTCTGTTGTGTTTTATTGTATTTTTAATTAATTTTGCAAGCAGCTTTCAACTTACTATATGAAGAAAAGTGGGGCATATTTAGAAGTTAGTAACAGAACGAGCTACTGTGAAACTATCAGAAAAAAAGACCTACCTTGTTAGGTAGAGCGAGGTTCCATCACTACGCATTACTGCAGCTCGATCTCCTCTTTCGGAAAGATAAACTATTCCTGTTCCTTCTCTAGAAAACATGAAAGAAAAGCCTGAAGTGACTAAATCATTTTCTTATGCTGTAATCCTATATTCGCTTACTGAGAAGTACAGGTTCTCTATTAGCCACAATAGCCTTGCATAGGATTGCACTGATAGTCTGCATTTCAACATTCTCACTGGTATCTCAATAAAATATAAATTGAATCCTTTAAATTTTAAACTCCTCAAGAACTACTCAAAAGCTCTCCAACCTCTGATTTGGCATTACATACACATTAGGAACTGTGTTTTAAAATAAACTCTAGTTTTTAAAACTAGCTATCTCCATATCCAATGGTTTGAAGCTAACCTGTTTAGCAGTTAACCAGAATTTATTTTAAGGCATAATTCCTGGTTCATACATAAAAAAACCAAGAACCAGGGAAATCCAATCATGGTTGATTTGTCTTTCCAGCAGCACAGGAGGTGAGGTGAGTGGGGTGCTGAAGTTCAAGGCCTTCTCTGGGTTTGCACAAATCTGAGTAGGCAACACTAGAAGGGTGACTGCCAAGTTTCCTTCTACTCTTTGCAGGCAAGACTGCATCAAAGAGAGTATATAATACTATGAGAGGGTGAGAGTTCACTATTTGCATCATACTTCTAAACCTGAGGTTTGATTTATCTGCATGTCAGAATACCACTGTATTACTGCTATACTAATCCAAGCCAGTGTAGTAAGAGAAACATTTAGGTTACTCCTCCTCCGAGTTCAGAGAAACAGGAACGCTCAGGGTCCGAGTGCCATTGTTCAACCTCTACAAAATTTATGTTAGAGTATGTAGGTGTCTCCCAAACATGGTAGCTCTACAATCTGTTGGAGAAGAGGTAGCAGAGTACAGTTCAAAAGTTGTCAACAGAATAACCTGTTCATACTTAGTCTTCGTAAGGAGTCCTTTCATGGCCAACATCTTTAGAATCTCCTGGCTTTTCTCTTGATAGAATGATTCCCCAGAATACTCATCAAAGCAGACTCCCAGGCGCTGAACGGTCCCACCAAGAGACAAGGAAGTCAGTGTTACTGTGAGCCAATGGCTACCTCTCCTTCCACAAGCATCTCTTGACAAATATAGACTCTGAACTAGATCAGGCAAATTGAACATGTGAAAACAGCTTTTTTTAAGACTCAAGGGACACCTCTGAAAGGTTGCGAAGATGCTTCCTAAATTTAAACTCTTTTATTATGGAATACTTTTAATACGTTGTGTAGGAATGTTTGTAATCTGCCAGATTCAGTTTTCGACGTGGGTCTTATTGTTGTGCTGATACACTGGGGCACAGGGTAGATGTGTAGATCTGAGATAGGGAAAGCACTGTAATGGCCTATATCGGACCACAAATGTCTCTCAACACTGCATTAAAGATGCTAACCAAAAGCAGATTCCACTGTCTGAAAATGAGTCAATCTTTTTTTACTTCCCCCACCCTACCTTTTTTGCTGTGTTTACCATCTTGTTTGATGAAGAACATGTTAACAGAGATCACAAGAGCATGCACTGGGATTTCTGACCTTTGAACTGACTTGATTAAAGTATGATGGAAATAGAGCATTTTGAAAAAAATTTTGGGAACTTTCCCTGTAACATGAAACTCAACACAGTGAACTGATGGTCAGCCCACACCATTGGCCAGGCCTAAACCTGCAAGGCGACTGCACTGTGTGCCTTCAGAGCAGAAACAGGCCTTGGACAGAACATGACTGCATGGACAGAGGTCTCCTCTGCCATTTGTTACTAAGCTGCACTTCCTTTTAGCCTATCAGCTGAGAACTCATGTCTTATGTCTAGCAAGTGTGCGAATGTACCAATATATTTCATTCTAAAAGTTGTACAGCAACAAATGAATATAAGATTGACCACGTCCAAGTTCCCTCTGCTTAGCTACTTTCCTAAAACTGTGCTAGTCTTCAGAATGGAGAAGCCGGCCTTCATGGCATGGATCCAGATTTCCCATAAGCAGAACTCCACTTACAGGACGCTCCCACCGGAGAAAAGTGTGTAAGTTTTTTAGCTGATTCTGCATCCCACTGCGGGTCTGAAAAATCTGTTCTGGACCATTGGTGGGGGCATCCAGAACAGCATGGGAGGTGATGTGAGTTGCAGCAAGGTAAATTGGCAAAACTCCCCTCATTCGTCTCCTCCCTGCAGAGGGGGGGGGTTGCTAGATAGCCAACCCTTCTGGAGGTGTAAGAAGCCTTCCATCCGGGGAAGGCTCCAACCCATTGTGTTTGGGAAGATTCACCCTTCCCTCCTGTCAAAACATCATTGTGAAAGACTGATTTCTCATCATTCCTCTGACTGGTGGAATGAGTTGTTGGAAAGATGAAATCCAACTCTGTGCAAGGCATCTTCAACATGCACACACAAAAAATGGCCCGTCCTCTACTTCCTCATGCAACCCCTCCCCAAATGGCTACCCAACTATCCAGAGGGTGCAGAAGGGGCAAGAGAATCCGCCCTTCCCTATTCGGCTGATAGAACCTTTTCCATTGGCAGGACGGATTAATTGGATATTATCCAGAGAGTACAGTAGATATACTACAAATAAGAACATTTCTGGGGGAGAGGGACCATGTCCCCAAATTCAAACGATAGTTTATGAGAAGAAAAGAGTAAAACTAGCACCTGGTACATCTTGATATATTCTTCAATGCTAACATCTCTGAAAAGTTGCCACAAGGTCATCTCTTGTTCTTCATGTGCCTCCAATTTTCTAAAGAAATCTTGTGCTAGTGTTTTAATTGCTTTGTCTTCTTCTGATGCTTTGTTGACTTGTACGTAGACCTGAACAAGACCAATGCCAAGAGCAGATTGGTGCATCTTCAACACCTCAGAAAGACAGACGGGCCAGAGGTCACGGAGGAGCAAATACTTTGCCTCCAGATGGTCCCCAGTTCAATTCTTGGCACCTCCATGGCTCAGCATGGATTGTATAATACACACAACTTGCATGTAGTAAAAATTGGTTATCTGCACTGAATGGAACAAATCACATGTCTATTCTTAATCTTTTCCCTTGAGCAGTATACATTTTAATATATTATCTTAGGACACAATCGTATGCAAGTTTAGGTAGAAAAAAGCCCACAACTCCCAATATGCTCCGGGCAGCAGTGATGGGAGTTGTAAGCCCTTTTCTGTCTAAACTTGCATAGGATTGTGCCCTAAGATAAAAAGTTCATATTATTTTCTTTGGTGGGGTGCTGGTTAAGGCATGCTTGGAATAGTAGACCTTTTTTCTGACTAAACTTGCATAGCATTGCACTATTAGTAGTGCCTATAGCAACTGATGGCCAGTTATAAGTTGACTATTTAAAGCGGGGCTGGGAAAATTATAGCATCCCAGATGTTCTGGCCTATAAGGTTCCCCTCCCCCACTCCACAAGTTAAATATCCTTTTCCTTGAGATATGTCATTATTAAAATACAATACCAACAAAATGGGAAATATTTATTATGAAACTGCACAACAGTTGTGATTCAGAAAATGTGTGGCTTATATAAGGTCAGACCATTTATCTATCTAGTCTAATACTATTTACTTTGACTGAGATTGTCCTTGTTCCATGCACGTTTTTAAGAGAAGAAGCCATGGTTTTAATCTGGAACCTTCTGCAAGCTCCAGCACTGAGTCATAGTCCTTCCTCTGTTCTAACTATTTGTTTCTTTCAGGACACATAAGGAAGTCTGCCCTTTGGCCAGAAGACTGGTAATAAAAATAGAGTAAAATGCAAAAATAAAACTAAAAAACAAGCTCAATAATTTTAAGTAGAATACCCACTGATAAGCTTAGTAAAGTTCTGCTTGACCATTTAACTGAATATTAACATACCTCAAAAAGATGCTGCAAGGGATTAGATTTTAGCTTTTCTTCAGAACCAAACTGCTGGAAGCCAGCTCCCAACAGACCTGAAATAAATGACCATTAATAACTAATAAAATCATTGTTACAGAGCAGGCTAGTGGATATTGCAAACTGGTAACACAGTCTTGGGGGTGAGGTGGGTTGGCAATAGAATCTCACCAATGATTTAAGCAAATATCAAAGCTAGGCTATCAAAGAACAAAAGGTGGCCTGCTACCATTTCGGATGCTTGGAAAGATCAGCGGAAGCACTGACTACCAGAGAGGTTCCATGGGTAGGGTGGTAAGACACAGACATGGTCAGCAAAGAGCGCTGGACCCAAGATCTGCCTACCGTGCGAGGAAGTGCAGTGCTGACACAAAGTTCTCAGAAATGTCCCTCCCTAGCACAGCTCAGTCCATTCAGCAGGGACTCCTGCATCTCCATGTGGTTTTCAGAGGGCTGGAGGGGAAGCCCATTGCTGTCAGTGCAGCTGAATGTGGATCTAATCCCTAACAGCCTGTGCACCCGAGGTGCTCAGTATGTGCTCAGCCCAAGGTGGGCAGCCAGCATCCACGTGGCAGGACGAAACAGGAAATGACGGTTTCAACAGCACTTCCGAGTCTGATGGCTCCTGCTGCAAATGGACTGAGCACTGCAGGCAACAGGCTCACTCATCTCTCCGTTTATTAAGTTATGAACACAACCGATGAGGAAACAAGCTGACATTGATGCGATAAAAATGGGGTTCAACTTCATTCAGGTTAATGTCGGTAGAAATAATAATTGCTTTGTGGCTAAGAGGTTACCTGCCTGCCACTTTTCAGAAGGATAAAATCTAAATCCATTCATCCAATGGATATTGTAATAGAAATCCTGACAGATCATTAATTGCAGCAGTGCATCTGGGAAGAACTGCTATTAAAACTAAAATGGGATTTTGATGTTTTGACTCATGCTTGCAAAAACTGTTGGTCAACTCATTCAAACGAGGCTGAAGCAAATGTCAGTTGCTTTTCACTTGGGAATAAATGTTATTTTCTTAGTTTGAACCAAAATTTATTATTTGCACGGTTTTATATTCCCCACTTCATTATTTCAGAACCTGTTCAAGTTGTGCTACAAGGGAAGGTGCACTTCCAAGAAGGGGAAACATGCCCTGGAGGCCACTGCACTGGACCTGCTTTGCCTTTTGTGGCAAAAAACAAAGATTTTGACTTTGGAAGTTGTGACTAGAGACAAAAAACATGAAGGCACAGGATTCAGGTAAAGGCTGAAAACATGCAGAAGGGAAAACTTTTTTTTCTTTGAGTAGCAGATCTGTATATCATATCACAAACTAATTTTAAAAATCCCGAGTTTCAAAAATAGCTTATCATACAACATGGGAAGGCCACCAAATATGAGAAAGTAACTGCCCACCTTTCTGGGTTCGACCCATCCTTTTCCATAATGACCAGATGTGTCAGCTTTCCTCAACATGAGGCCCTGCAGATGTGTTGAATCGCAACTCTTGGCATTCCCCAGACTGGCAATTCCAGCAGAGGGTATATTCATGCAAAGTCTTACCTAGACCCATCTGCAATCAAGTCACAGGCTTGCTATGACTACATTTTAGACCATCCAGATCTAGAGAAGGCCGTGAGACAGAAGTTTAAAAAAAATCCTAACAACTGACCGAACTGCATGCCCCAATCTCCAAGGTAGTTTATTCTTGTAACATGATGCCCAACTGCTTGTTCGAGATTTGCTATGAAATTTCCTGAAAATTAAACACAGTGATTATTGATCCCAGCTGTATGCTACTTCCCCCAAATGATCATTTTTATGTCACCCAAATTCTCCTTTTCCCACTGCATCCAACAAATATAATAGGAATATAAAGAAGTTTCCTGTTTGGTCATGAAATAACTAGTATTTACATGCAAGTAATAACCAGTATTTAAGAAATATCATCTGTTGTTTTTCCTGCAACGAGTAACACCCCCATACAAAAACAACTCTCAGATCAGCTGTTGGCGCCTACGGCTGAGCTGAAAGGATCAGCTTACCCCGAATTTTTTGAGCATGGAGAGGTCAGTGGAATGGGAAAGTGCAGGGCGGATTGACCACCTTGCCGAACCAAATCCAGAAGACAGACTTGAGAAATGGGGACAGAAGGCGCTGCGGCTGTCCTGGGAAGGTTCCTTATACAGCTCAGGCAATTTGTCCATCCAACCAGTAGGGACTATTCTGACCACCAGCAGTTCTCCGCAGAGTTCAGACAGGATCTTTCCCTCCCTCTGTGCAGAAGCTCAGCATTGAACCTGAGTCCTTCTGTTCTTTCGGTGCCTGTTGAAGTCTCCCCTGCAACCCCCACAAGTCTTTGAGCTTCAAAGCAATGAGCCGGCTGTCTGGAAATCCTGGCACTGCTGCTCGCATTTACCTTGGCTTATTTTTCATTTTATTTTGTTTAAATGTTTTGTGGGAGCAAGCCTGATGGCCTGGACCGCATTTGGAGGGCCACAGGATAGCCCTGGCCTCAGCACCCTTCTCCCTGCCCCCTCAGAGCCAGCATGGAAAGAACTGTGCTGGCTGCTCTCCAAGGTCAGAAAACCAGCCTCAGAGAGGGCTGAAGGGGGCAGCCAGGACATGGAGGTATCCCAAAGCCGCTCTAGCCTCCTTTGCTCTGCCTTGGAAAGACAGCCAAAATCAGCCCCTGAGTGAAAATGCAAAGCAGGGAGGTGAAGAGTGCCTCTGCTGGCCCTGCTGCTCTGCAGTGGAGTCTCCCAGGGTGAGGACTTGCACTCCTCTGTCCAGGACTGTGCACTAAATGTTTTCATTTATGCTTTATTTTACTACTCTGTTGAACCCTATGAATTCTATGGTGCTATTGTACCTTGTTTTATTAACTACCCAGACGGGTTCAGGTAGTGAACAGTGTAAAATTGTTTAGTTGGAAGTACCTGTTCTAGTCCAGAGCAGAAGCCTCTGCTAGAAGTCCTTATGTCAAAAACACTTCTTTCCCACTGCTCCAGTGGACTATTCTGTTTTTTCCATCACAGCCACTGTGCAGAAAGGTGCAGGATATGGCTTCATGCTTTTCTGCTCATCTCTGGATGAGCTCACATCAGCTCATGGCTGGTTTTGACATTGCCTCCCATCTCAGCAGCTTCTAAGGCCAGGCCTGCTTAATTGCAGCCATTGCTTCAGAAAGTCTCAGAGCCTACAATGGGGCCCAGGGCAAAACGCAGGCCAACACACAAGAAGTCCCCCAAGGCCACATGTGCTGTCTTTCACAGCAGGGCGGCAAACCTGTTTCTGCCTGAGGGCTGAATTCAATTCCTGAGAAGCTCTTGGGGGCCAAAAAACCAAACACCAAAGAGATGGGGGCAAATACAAAAAAAAAATACCATTATAGTGCAGCTTAAAGCTCTTACTGCCAGTAACTAAACTTTAAGAGAGGAATTTCAGCCCATTAGAATGGGGGTGCAGGGAACTGCAGAAAACCAGGAAATTAATGGTGTGTGGATAGGGCTAAGGGAAAGAGTTCTGGCTACGTGAGGAACTCCAGAAGGTAGGACTGGGACCACAGTAGGACCGGATTTGGCCACTGGACCTGAGGTTCCCCACTCCTGTCTTATGGGCTTCATTCTTTCTAGATTGAAACTCCATTGTTTCTTACCTATTAGTGTAGAACGCAAGTGACCAACGTGAAACTTCTTTGCTATGTTGGGTGAGCTGCAAAACAATATATATTCGGGCATCATTCTAAAGGGTTAACTCCTTGTTCAAAAAACCACACACATTAGTGTGTGCACTCAAGCACACACAGCTGCAGCCTCCAAAGAAAATCATTTCTATGTATATCTCATGTAATGGAATGAATGAAAACATGTGACTAGCATGCTAACCCATGGAAACAAGACTGCAAAGTCAGGGCATGGATTAGGACCCTGGTAGGATCCTCCATTCTTAAACAAGAAGACCAGCCATTTCTTTCGCTAATAAATAACTTTAGCACTAAATGCAATTCTAGGCAAAATTTTGGGTATAAGTATCATCATGTAAGTTGGACCACAGCTGAGTTCTAAGAATGTAAATACTCTGTGCATCTTGTATTTCACAGAACTGAAAAATACACTTTGAGGCATGACAGAAGTGCAAGAAAGAAACAATGCTCCCACCATACTCCACAGGAGGATGAGTAGAAAAGTTTCATATGCACAAGTAAGATTTTTTTCAATGTTTAGTTAAAACTGATCCAACAGAAGAAACAAAAGATGCATTTGCACAGCCTGTTAACCCACCCAGCAATAAGCCACAATGAGCTGGTTATCCATGAAAAACCCATGATGTACCCAAACAGAAGACTGGGTTCACCATGGGTTGTTTGTCCCCTCAGTTGTCCTGCAGATATCCCAGGTGACACCACAGCAAGACTGACGCATCTCCCTATTGTGACGGGCAGCTATTTTCAGCTTTTCCCCTTCAGAGAGGCAGCTTTCGTAATCCCTTGTCAGCTTCTTCAAAGAGCCTGAGACCTCAGAGGAATTGTCAATGGATGGCAGACCCTTTGTAAACAGGGAGGTGGCTGCAGCTGGTGCCTGGGAAAGTGCAAAAGTACACCCTGCCCAACATCCATTTTCTTGACAGGACAGTGATGGCCTTTTAGTTTAGACCAAAATACACTACCCTGTCAAAAACTGCTTTCAAAACAGACCCAGAAAAGGGGTGGGATGCACTCTTGCCTTGCCTTTCCCTTGACAGTTTGTCTTTTGACAGCTGCTGAGAGTAAGCCAAGGGACAAAAAAGACTCTTTGGGCCCTCTTTTGGTCAATGTCCAGGGTTGAAACATGCTGCACTTTGCTAGCAGGTACCCACAACACTGCGTGCATGAGAGGAAAAGGAAGCCTGCCAGCTGCTGAAAGTCCTTCCAACGAGTTGCTCAGAATCTTTGGAGAGGCTGCGAGCGGCAACCTTTGAGGGGGCTGTCAAATGGGGCTTTCACAGTCTGAGAAACAAAATGAGAAAGAGGCAAAAGCTACCTGGGCACCAGTGGGGTAGGTAGTAGCAGGTGCCCAGGTAAGCTTAGTAAGAGCAGCAAGGGCATCTTGCCACTGTTGCCAAGTGGACTGACAGACAATTCCCAGCACCAATGATGGGGTCAGTTGCTCAGGCTCAGATGACACTACAACCCACGGTGGGTACATCAACCCCAACAACAAGCCATGGGTTACCCATGAAAAAGCCACCCTGAGGGATTTAGTCCAGGTTTGCACACACACCAACTCATCATGGATAAGAACCCGCAATCAGCTCTCATGCCATGAAAACCCAGTCGGAGACACACACACAACCCAACAAATATGTATGAGTTTACAATTAAAGATCTCTGCATAACTAACCTGCAGAATCTTCTGACACCGAAGGCATTTTAGTAATCTTCTTCTAAATATTTAAGTGGACATACTCACCTAAACTCAACCAAAATATTTCCTTTTGGCAACCCTGAGAGAAGCTCACTTTTTATTCCATACTGGGAGCCATCCTCAAACACTTGCTGCAGCACTGTCTTAGGAAGCACACACACACACACACACATACATGCCAGGGGAAAGAGAAAGAGCAGGATTTATTAATAAAGAAGAAACCAAAATGAGGCCAATGTCTTTCAGTACTGTTTAAAAGCTCATGCAAAGAAGCTGTTTGGATGTCACAGCAGGTTACCCAGAGACTGCAGAGGGTTTGCAGGCTGAGTCATTTTGCCCTTTTCTGAATTCATACGACCTTTCTCAGTGAACTGCAACTCCAACTATTTTTCTGCATATCCGCTTGTTCAATATATTATTTATTTATTTAAAACATTTTTATGCCGCCCTCATCGCAACGAAGCCTCGGGGCGGCTCACAACAGAATCAGATGCTATTCTTAACCATGCAGCTACAGTAATGTTTCCCTAGGCTTTTAATGATAACTAATGCTCACATTTTCAATGTAAAAGAAGCTTTAATTTTATTATCACATCTCTTTGCATAGATTGTGCTGTTTTACTTCTCTGTGTTCATATATATGCTTCATTTTCTTTCTTTCTATTTTGTTATCATACTTCTACCTTACTACATTGGTAAGCCAATCAATAAATTGTTGTAGAATGATACTACACAGAAACCTTCAGGATGGATTTATAATTATTGTTTTTATAATTCAATAGCAACATTTTCATTATTTTCAGATGCATTAAACATAGTTCCTACCTTTGCTAGTAATTCTCGATTTATCCTGAAATTCACTATTCCATCACCTGGGCTGATCTCACTCACAACTGCATCACATTTTAGCTAGAATAAAAATAAAGCACATGGACAACTGTAAGTGATACCACAAATGAGTAGCAACAGAATCTACACATGGCAAACTGATCAGTACTGTAAGACCATTATTCAAGCTTGTAAAAGCAAACTGTCTTAAGTGCAACAAGTTACGCTCTTTTGGTTTGGGGGATCAGGGGAACTTTGTAGCACATTTCATTGTTTCCAAAAATAGGGGATGCCCTACCCTTTACACTATTAATTTCTAGGAGAGAAATGTGCTTTTCAGCACACGTTCCATACCACCCATCAATGAGCATCACAATCAGAAATTTAGGGTCCCACTCTCATGCCAGCAGAGGATTGCTTGAGAGAGAGACACACACACACAAGAAACTAAGTGAGCTGAAACAGACTCTTTCCCACAGCAAACCCTCCAGTTCTCCACAAAAAAGTGTTATTTAAAGGGTTGGGGAACCCTGGTGAATAGACTGCAGGATGGAGAAATCCCTGAAAACCGGATAGAGGCAGGGAAACATCCCCCTCTTCTCCTTGCACCTCTACCTCCCTGATCAGCATCGTCTTTTTTCCTTCTGGGTGTGGCTGTCAGTTTAATTGTCCTGGCCTAAATTTGGATCCATCCTATAGAAATCAGAGCAGGTGTGTTTGAAAGTAACAAACTGCTACCCAATTACACTTTCTTATGGATGATCCTAAAACCTTTGTAACCTAAACCTTTGTAGGGAGCACACCAGAAACAAGCTGTATGAATTGCAGCAAACTTTGGGCAGCGCGGCTGCCGAATTCCACAGCTTATCACTCTTAGCTTATAACGGAGCACCTAGAACCCCTTTCCTTCACTTATTTATTTAACACGTTTATATACAGGCATATCTCATTTTATTCCACTTCACAGTTATTGTAGTTTTTATAAACTGAAAGTTTGTGGCAACTTTGTCTTAGGCAAGTCTATCAGGGCTATTTTTCCAACAGCATCTGTTCACTTTGTGTCTGTGTCACATTTAGGTAATTCCTGCAATATTTCAAACTCTTTCATTATTACTATATTTGTTATGGTGATCTGTGATCTCCGATTTTAATATTGTAACTGTTTTGGGGGCCATGAACCATGCCCATACAAGACAGCAAACTTAATCAATAAATGTTGTGCGTGTTCTCACTATTCCACCAACTGGCCATCCCCTGTCTCTCGCCTTCTCTTTGGACCTCCCTATTTTCCAAGGCACAGTAATACTGACAGTGGGCTAATTAATAACCCTAAAATGGTCTCTAAGTTTTCAAGTGAAAGGAAAAGCTGCCATAGATAGTGATTCCTCTGATGGATCTGAGCAAAATAAATTGAAAATATTCTGGAAAGGATTCACCATTCTAGTTGCCATTAAGAACATTCATGATTTATGGGAAGAGGTCAAAATATCAAAATTAACAGGAGTTTAGAAGAAGTTGATCTCAATTCTCATGGATGACTTTGAGGGGTTCAAGATTCAGCAGAGGAAGTAACTGTAGATGTGGTGGAAATAGCAAGAGAACTAGAATTAGAACTGGAGCCTAACGATGAGACTAAATTGATGTAATCTCATGATAAAACTTTAACAGATATGGAGTTGCTTCTTATGGATGAGCAAAGAAAGTGGTTTCTTGAGATGGGATCTGCTCCTGGTGAAGGTGCTGTGAAGACTGTTGAAATGGCAAGAATTTAGAATATTGCATAAACTTAGTTGATAAAGCAGTGGCAGGGTTTGAGAGGACAGACTCTAACCTACCCAAAGTTCTACTGTGGGTAAAATGCCATCAAACAGCATGACATGCTACAGAGAGACTGTTCATGAAAGGAAGACTCAATTGTTGATTCAATCAACAAACTTTACTGTTGTTCTATTTTAAGAAATTGTTAAGGGCTAGAGTAGCCGTGGCAATCACCACCCTGATCAGTCAGCAGCTATCAGCATCGAGTCCACCAGCAAAAAGATTATGACTTGCTGAAGGCTCAGATGATCATTAGCATTTTAGCAATAAAATATTTTAAATTAAGGTATGCGTGTTGCTTTTTCTAGACAGAATTTTATTGCACACTTAATAGACTACAGTATAATGTAAACAAAGCTTTAAAACGTACTGGGAAAGTAATTTGCTTTACTGAGATATTTGCTTCATTTTGGTGGTCTAGGACTGAATATGCAATTTTTCTGAGGTACGCCTTCATTTTGAAAGTAAGAGAGCAGAACCTTAAGGCTCATCCTAGGTCACTTTTCCCTCTGTGTGCTTTTAATTAAGCACATGCATGCGTCAACTGGAGCAGCTTGCGCCATACCTCCTTCACCAGCCTCTGGGTTTGAAGAAGCTGAGTATCTGGTCTTGGGTAATCACTGGAGCTAGCATCTAGCACAGAACTCACAAAGAACTGGAAATCAGCAGGTTGCCTAGACGCAAACAAAAAGGAAAAAAAAATAACTGAACACATTCAGAACCTTTTTAGTTGTCTTGCCTGTCAGAGATCAGACTTCCAAGAGTCCAGTAAATATGGTTGGCAATATCTGGGGCAACCACGCCCACAAAAGCTGTTAAAATGGCAGGTGACCTTGTGTGACCACTGAGCCTGGCTGGCACTGAATGGATTATGCATGCTAGGTCCTACCTTCAACCAACAGAACAAGCAGCAACTGCACTCCAGGCAACCCTTAGGTTGATGGTGGGAATGTTTCCAAAGAATCAGCTGGATCCAAAGACACATGCACAGAATAAGCCTGCTCATTAAGGCGACTGATGAACTGTTGCTCAAGCAGGAGCAGATTACATCCAACAGCACAAACCAAAGGCAAGCCACAGTACAGAAAAAGAATGTGCAAGCACATGCATGTACATACCGTATTGTCATAGCATTGTTTTTAAATCATCTTTTTATGGCATTTATTTGTATTATTCTGCTGGTGATGGTGTATACTGATTTCTGGCTGCTGTTTCTTAGATCCCTAGAATTCAGCTTCCAGGTGTAACCTGAGCTGACTTAGGGTGCAATCCTATTGCTACAATCCTGAACTTGAAGACTGCTGCTTAGCCTTTGCAGGGCAGGAGGATTGGCAGAGGTGCTCCTCCCCTGTGTCTTGTTCTGTATTTTCACTAGATTTACATTTTTGCCCACCCAGCAAGAGCATTTCAGAGGGGAAAGCTCTATCTGGGCTACTCTAGACTCTTCCCTTCCCCACCCACCAGGATGTTCTTCCTCTCTGAGGTTCTTTCTGTGTGGTCATATTGGGGGCAGGGGAGAAAGAGGTGAGCTTTGATTCCCGGCTCTGAGGCCAGCGTACTGTCTTCGTATTGGGAATCCAAAATATCCTATGGCCCCTCAGAACTTGTCTAAGGGCCTTGAGATCACTGGATTGCTCCTTTAAAGATAAGCAGCTCCTTAAATTATAATCATAATCTTGTTTAAACATGACAAAAGGATTTACAACATAACAATTATAAAATATAAATGCTTTACTCTTTCTTTGTCACTGGAACTGCACAGATTGACTTTACCAAGTGTTCTGGCGGCATCTCTAGAATACGTGACAGCTAGATTTAAAACAAAATGATCAAAATTATATGGCAGGAAGAGAATAAATGTAAGTTAACATCATAACATTTATGAAAGTATTTAATTTACATGTTCGATCCAGAAGATTATAATTCTAAACAGACTTGTGCAGAAATGCATGTTGATGCTACACTCCCAGACAAAAAAGAGGGGTTCACTGCACACCTGCCCCCTCCCAGCTCTACAGAGACGCTTATCATTTATTGGAAGAAACAACCCCATCCAATTGCCTTTTAAAATAGGTACTATCCTTTAATGAAAAACACTAAGAAGCACAACTCCAGGTCAGGAAGCTATAGTTACAAAAAGGATTTGTAGCCTGCCTAATTTCCAAAGGGTCGGGGTGCCTCTCCCAGTATGAACTTACTTGTACACTACTAATGTCATCTGAGGACCTCATCCAAGGGAGGTTTGATGGCAACACGAGAGAGGGCCTTCTCTGTGGTGGCCTCCCAATTAGAGATGACTCTCCTCAGTGAGGCCTGGCTGGTGGCAACCTCATCCTCTACTCACAGGTATTTGACAACATACAAGAGTTTTAACACATCCTAGGATTGTATTGTTGATTCTGTTAACTTGTTTTATCATATTGTATTCAAATGGATTGATAGCATATTATTATATTGTATTCTCAGGCTTTTAAATTTTGTAACTGGAATTGTCAGCTTGGGCTATGAATGAAATTAAACCAAAGAAACATATTGCAAGTATCCCTCTAGTCCTTGTGGAACCAGAGGAACAGGGCTAACTTCAGAAACTACTATCCCCAAGCATTTTTTGAAAAAAGAGCCTGGACTTCTTTCCATGCTGGCTAATGAAGGCAGGGATACAACTGACACTCAAGGTACCTTAATGGTTTAAAAACTGTAGAATGGATACCCATTATCTGTAGAAGGGGCTTTCTGGTTAACTTGGAATCCACTGAAGGCTCCACTGTATGTTGTTTACAGATATAGGTCAGCTAGTTCAGACAAACAGGAACTGCACAGGCCTATGCATGTCTCCTCAAAAGCAAGCTCACCTAAGTTCAGGGGGCTTGATTACTCCCAAGAATGTATGGAATTGCATCTAATGGGAAGACAGAAACTTCTTCATAGTCAGGCCTAAACATTGTCCTTTGTGATCTCAAGCAGCATCCAATGCAACATAGCTGCTGGCGTGGATTATGTTGCACAGGAGTAAATTACCTCTAGTGCAACATCAACAGCACGTTACTGGCACAATGTGTCTTCCAGGAAAACCCATCATGCCAGCAAGTGAGTATTTTATGGTTGAAATGCAATTTACATGAGCAGAACTGCCACTGTATCCTGCCCCTTGTAACTAGTCCGAGTTTTCTGGACAAAATGGGAGTCCGGTACTTGATGCATGACAGTATCTGAGCCAATGTGGTGTAGTGCTTAAGAGTGTGGGTCTGGGACTCAGGCAATCTGGGTTCTAGTCCCTGCTCAGCCATGGAGCCAACTGACTTTGGCCAGTTATAAAATCGTATCCCAACCTACAACACAGGGCTGTTGTTGTGGGGCTAAGACTGAAAAAAAGAGAATTATGTAAGCGATTTTCAGTTCTTAAAAACGAGTAGAATATAAATCTGATAAATGTAATATAATGCAATCTGAGGCAGTCTTGCTAGCTTTGTTTCTAACAAACCTTAAACGCTGTTTTCAGAGCCTGCGCACACACTCTTTCAAAGAGACGCATTCCCAACTTAAGATTCCCTAAGCATTACTAACAGAAAATAGGGGAAACAGAAGCAAGCACGCCTCACTCCTGTGTGCAGCCATTTCTCCCGACAAATAATCGATCACTTTCTCCAGTGTGCACAAACTAATTATATGGAGTGCAATTTAGGGATCAATCCTACGCATGTTTAGGGAGAAAAAAGTCCTACAACTCCCAGCATTCCCCAGTGAGCCATGCTGGCTGGGGAATGCTGGGAGCTGCAGAGCCTTTGTAGGCGTATCCAACGCATAAAATTACACACGCAGTTTGCACCGCGCTTGAGCCAAGGTCTTGCCCTCTCACATACCGCCCCCTCCCATCAGAGCAGAGGCAAACGAGAATACAGATGCTAATTAACATCCAGGCCAATCCAACTGTATTAGGAAAAGAGGGGAAGGCAGTCATTATTCCCAGCAGTGAAATACATCACACAATAAGGATCTGCATACCTGAGCAGCAATGCTCCTCCGAAAGTGACACGCCGCCATGGCTCTTGTTAAGATCAACACTCCATACACTTTCTCTTCTGAGAAACACCCCCCTCGCAAACTGCCGTGGATCCGCCCATTTTCCGCCGTGGTTAAGTCGTACGTGATTGGGCAAGCCCATCGTGGGAGAAGGGTCACATGACTCAGAGAAGACCCTCCACTCGATCGTACCATTTACAGAGGGGGAATTTATTGCGGGACGACGAAAGGCAGAATATTGACGCGCACACTCGGACTCCGGAAGTGTGCACGCATTTGGGGCTGGAAGGGAGGAGGTGCCACTTGAGTTCTTTCAAGAAGTTAGGTCGGTTAGTGCGAAATGTGAGCGGCCTGGACTTGTTGCCGCCGCCATGACCACGTGTTCAGTCTCTAAGGTGAGTCAAAAAGGGGAGGGGGTGAAGTTGTCTCCGCCTCCGAGGAGCCCGCGCGCCCACCTGGCTATCAAGCACTTCGTGCTACCACGCGGAGGGGGTCGCCCCTTTATGAATCGTCAACGAGTACGGTGGTCGCGTGGCCGCAGTTTTTCGGGCATGCGCATTTGCGGTCACGGAGGCACTACCCCTGCGCCCGTTTTTTGCCCTTAACTGTTTTCTTGTGGCGGCTGCATTTCATAATCGGCCGTGGAGGTGTGGTTGTCACGTATCTTCTCCCGTTCCTCTCGAAACGAAAGACGGAACGAAAAATAAAGCTGTTCCTCTTAAGTCCTCCAAATAGGAAGGTATAATGAAGAGCCTGAAAGTACATTCATCTTCCTGTGATAAAGTGGCCTTTCCAGTAGGAGATGCAAACGTTTTGAGTAGCCCAGGCACTGTCAGTCAGGCGCAATCCTCTCAAGGAACAGCTTTTGCTCATATGGCAGAGGGGAGAGACCTGCCATTATACTGGCTGGGGCTGATCTGAGTTGGAATGGGATAATTTCTGCTCAGCCCCAGTTCCCGTGGACAGTGGTCGGCGACAATGGGAATTGCAGTCTAACCGGCTGGCGGGGCGGAGGTTTCTCACCATTGTCATGGATGAGGAATTGTAATAGGTGGGGATGGATCTGGTCGGCCTACATCTAGTCGAAACACTGGATGGTTTCCATGATGGTGCAGTGGGAAAAGAGTTGTTGGCCAAATGGGCCATCCCCTGGTGTGCGGATGCCCAAACTACCCAACAGGGGAAGGTTTTCTTTTAGAACAGGGGTCCTCAAACTACGGCCCAGGGGCCGAATCCGGCCCGCCATCGCCATTCAACCAGCCCACCTCGCCCCCCCCCCCCCCGTGCGTGGGGAGGCAGTGGTTTGCTTGCAAGGAGATTTGGACTCGCTCAGAGAAAATGATCTCCAAGTGAGCAAGCCGCTGCATCGCACGCTCGCCGCTGCATCCCGGTGTGTGCCTGCCCCCACGTTGCCTAGGCTCCTCTCGCTGTGTTCCGCCGCCTGCCTCAGTGCCTGCCGCCAGCCCCTGCATCCTGCCCCGTCCTCGGGCACCCCGCTGGCACCACCTTTCCGGCCCACACCCAGCACTGGCACCTTTCAACTGGCCCCTGGTGAAAAAGTTTGAGGACCCCTGTTTTAGAAGATTTCTTCTTGAGAATAATTAGCTGCCAACGAATTGTTCCAGATAGTGCACTTGAGCAGTCCTTAGTTGCCCCTTTTATCATTAAAGGGTTACATAACACAGTTAACACTTTCTAATAGGTTACAGAAGTGAAAAGTTGCAAAGGTGTGACCTTTCCTCCCTGCATACCAAAGCAGAAAGAGATTCTGAAGGAGTGGGGAGGATGGGATGCTATTATGTAAAAGAGAAGGAAGATGGGGGTGGGTTGGTGTGAATTTCCCAATAGCTGCTGTTACCTGTCAAGTGTCATCTAGCCCTCTCTGAAATGGTGTCTGGTTAGTGTCAGCTACATTTCAAGGATGCTCACAATGCTGATTTCTAGAAAAGAGGGTTTTTCTCTGGCCCAGCTATGTGTTAATGTTGCATGAAAGTTATGTCTATTGACTTGTATATCAGACTAAAAAGAATAAGTTACATTTTCCTGTGGTGTTTGGGTACAGGTCAGGCTGGGTACACACACAGGGTGGTATCTAGTGGAGGCACAACACTAACATAAGTTAAGTTGTGCTAGTGTAAACTACTCTGGTGCACTATCAATAGTGTTTCTGCTTAAATTGGCACACCAGTTAACACTGTTGGCATTGCACTAGAGTGGTTTACACACGTGCAACATAATTTCCCTTAGCAGTTGCACTCTATTAGATAATGTCTGTGGACTCCTTCAGGACTGAGAAACAACTTGCCTGAAAATACGCTCTGCCCATTTATTAATAATCTTGATAAAGTTATGATGTATCACATTCCTTTGCATCTGTTTAAACTAATCCTGGACATGGACACACACCCACACACACCGGGTTGAATAAAGAGGGAAAAGAAAGCAACAAATCAAAAGTAAGCCAGGTTAAAATACTTCCCACATACAAACTGGCATAGATTGCAAAGCACATGAAAGAAACATTGCTTATTCTCTGTCCATATGTTGGGCAATAGATGCACACATAAATATAACTATCTTTCTTTGATGCCAACCCTTAGAATGTCCATCTGGAGTTTGTATACTTTTTATTAAAAATGGGTTGATTCTGTTTTCCTATGAATTGGAATTCCTGTCCTTTATAATAGCAAATGCTTTGCCACATTATTTAGTGAAAGCTGTGCAAATTCAACAACTCCATTACTAGAATAAAGAATGATGTTTCACTTGAAGGAATGCCAAACAAACCATTGCAGTACTCATTTCCAAGTTGCAAAATAGGTAAAACTTAAGCAATTCCATTTAGAATCAATAAAGTATAATGATCTTCTTGCCTCTAGCATATTGATAAATGTTGATTTGCTTTGCCATTGAATCAGTGGCTCCATAACCTATAACTATGATGCAGTGTTCCATACATATGGTTCCATGCAATATTTCTTTTTCTCCCCTTTGCTATTTTTTAGGGCTGCTTTGTGTTTAAGCCAGCTTCTAAGAAGAGGAAGATATCTTCAGCAGGTTTGTATACAATAACTGTAATCAATCCTCATGATTGGGGATTACCATACTTTCAGTCCGGTTATAGAAAAATATATGTTCTCCTCTTTCTAGGAATCCTTGTGTTTTAGAGAAAAAAAAGTCTCCCAGGATATCTAGAAAATAAGGGCCCTATGATATTTGGTGTTCTTTTAAAAGAATCAAGTCTTACTTTGAGTTTATGATCTATTACATTGGATTTGTTCATGATCTAAATGGTTGTTAATGTTTCCAGTGTGAACATTGATGAACTGTCAATTTCTCCCTTTGAATGATAGATTACTGCACAATTTAAATAAATTGACTTTCTTCAGCAAGAAAATGAAAATTTCAAATTGAAACCTTTTTATATATTTTCTAATAGTGGTGCAGATTTGTCCAGTAAACCATGTTAATTTACAGCTAAATAGAATATTCTTTACACCAGCTTTCCCCAGCCTGGTGCCCTCTAGATTTGCAGATAGCAGCCCTCAGGATGCTTGAGGGTATATTGGCTAGCTGGGGCCATAAGGTTAGGGAAGGTTGATATATACTAAAAAATACTATAAACCATTACAACCATTTTTGCATATCTTTGTCATACTATGTTTTGTATGTTTGTCTTCTTCAGCTATAATATTATAATGGCTGTCCCACTTAGGGGTTTTTTTTTACAACTATGACAGTTTGTGAAGTTAAGCTTTAACGTATTGGAATTTGTGAATTGGACAATTTTGTCTTCTCTGCTATCCAGTGATACTCTTTTCTCCTTCACTGCTCATCCTCAAACAAAGTAGCAAACAGAATTTAGGGTGTAATCATTTTGTCTAAGATCATAGGCTACCATGGAGCTTCTTTTCCATTTGAGAAAAAGGGAGGAGTTCTGAGTTGCACTGGGGAGATTTTGAAGCTGGTGGCCGTTGTTTTCTCTCCCAGTGAAACCAGCAAAAAGGAAAACAGAACAATAACAAGGAGAAAAGAAAAAAGTGCTCCCCTTCTAACCCGGCAATACAATTGCAGCAGGGCTTGAGAGGATCAGGGGAATGACAGATTTTAAATAAATCAATGGAAATGATACAACATGAAGTAAAAAACAATGCATCACAAATTGTGAGTTGTTTACTGAGGTAAACAGAAATAATGCATATCAAAACCAATCTTGTGCAAGTGTTCATGTTTATTGCAGTTCACCACTTGCCCTGAAAAGATGACAAAATGTAGAGCTTGCTGGCTATACAACAGCCAAATGCACATTGGACCCTTTAATCACATTCCAAATCTGCTGGGATTCACACCAAGAGGTTACTGCTGAAAGTCACCTTGTATTTAGAAGAATTGTACTTTGACAGTCCTCAACTCAAGTCAACAATTAAAGATGGCCAATTTGCTCAACAACGTTTCAGGATAGGTTTTAATGCATCAGTCTTTTCTACCATCAGAATGGTAAAAAGATCCAAAATGGGGATATAGGTTTTTGCAATGTTGGAAGAACTGAAGAATTAGTTTTCTAGGGATAGGTGACTTCTTAATAAAATAATTTGCTGTAGCTAACTGGACTTGAGGGTGAGTGACTATGTCAATAATATGATGAAGGGCAAATAAGTGATTCAACTGATTTTTTTTTTTACAAAAAATGGGAAGTGTAGCCATCAGTTTATACAAATTTGAAAAGGTAGCTATGTACATCTTGTATTTTTGGATAGCTATTTATATTTCCTCTTTAGCTTTCTCTGGGCAGCAGGTGTGATTCTCAGTTAATTTGTGTTTCTCCAGTAAAAATAAATTAACTTTTTTCGCACAGTTTGTTCCATTTGGCAAGTTTTCTTCCTTGAACAAACTTCTGTTTTAAACATACTGAGCATGATTGGCATCTTTTCCACTCTTGTTTTTCTAGCTGACTACTTCAGTAAAGATAATAATGACTTAGAGGATCATGGGCTACGATTTGATACTTGTCAGTTGTTATGGAAACAGATTAAATGTGAAACAGAGGTGAGTGCTGCTTCTTTTAATGTCAACTATGATTTAAGTCAATTCCGTTCTAGGGTCAAAGTAGGGGGAGCCTTGAAAACCTTCTGAGTAAGGAAATAATAAAACAGCCAGCCTTTTGTTTAATATGGAACATAGTAAGTAAAGGAGTGAGCATTGTTTTATAGCACAACTACACCGAACACTTTCAGTGATTTTTGGATGTTGAATGTATGTGTGGAAGATATCTGTTATCAGGGTTGGATCCAGGCTTGCCACTCTGAAGATAATCAAGATCCAGTGGCGATTTTCTGGGGAGGAAGGGGGCACAAGTTGGCAATTCATTCCAGTTCCCCTTTTTGCATCCAGCATAGCCTCCCATGCACTTTCGGGAGCCTGCCACCTGCACTGTTCTGAAGGTGGTCCTGGAGACTGTAGGCAAAAGGGATAATCAGACAAAATCACTGCCCTGCCCCCTTCTTCCTACATCAGCAGGCATATTCGGAAAGAGAAAATACTCCCTTTTAGATTTTTCTTAAGTTCCTTTGCACCTTCTGTGGGGTTGCAAACTGCCCATTCAGCTAGCAGAAAATGTGCATGTAAAAATAAGCATCGGGAAAATAGCATGAGCAGCAGAAGCAAATGTAAACCATAGTGATAGATGTCACATTAAAGCTGTCAAATTATGGTTGAGCATTCTGCCAGAACATGGAGGGATTTTTAACCTAAAAAGATGGTGGTACTATTTTAAAAGTGATAGGTGATCTTTTTATTTTTTTTGAAATCTCCAAAATAATATTTAACAGGTTTGGAGCCACTCCCCCCATCCATCACTGCTCTTTAACAAAAATCTATTGTTATTCAAGGCATTGGATTTCCAGTCTCTTACTCAATGCACAGTACAAAACTTCCTTTGAGTTGTGGCATGCCAGTCTGATTTCTAGTCAAAGAAATTAGTTTAAAGATTGGTTTACATAGCTAAATAATGCAATAGCCAAGTACATTAATCCATTCTAATATGTCTAATATCAGCAAGCTGATTGTTCCATACAGTAACTAAAACTGAGTAATATCTTTGAAAAACTGCCTCTCCGGATCAAGGTGGCTGATCCACACAGATACACTAAGAAAGTTGACACGTCCAGTCTTTGTTTCTTTGTCTTCATGTCAGAATATTTAAAAGTTTCTTTATGTGCACATTTTATCTTGCATGCATATCTATCATGTAAAGTTTTATCTTAGTAAAGTATCCTCTTTGTAGCTATCCAAGATTATAAGAATCCATATACTCAGATGTCTGAGACTGTCCTGAATAGAGGGGGATAACTGCCTGGTTGAACTTGATGAGAGAAAGGGCATCTGTCGAGAGCTGGATTCCCTCATTCTTCCTTTCAAACAGCCATCACTTTGGCAAAAAGCACTTAATTCCAAATATACAGGTAGCAAACCAATAGCCAACATGGGAAGAGTCTTTGAGCATACACAGAGTGGTTCATTGAACCCAAACTAGAAACTATTTCCAAGAGCCCCCATTTTAAGTAAGTTTTGGTTCTGAGGGCTAGCCTCTTAGATCTACACAGGTCATCTAATTGGCTAACCCATCTTTCCTGTCACAGTGGCATAGCATTAGACAAGGCTCCTCCTGCTCCTCTCCCAAGTCCCTTCCCAGCACTTCTAAACCTTGTTGGTTTCTAGGGTCTGCGTGAACACCTGGAGACAGTGGCCTTGAGATAAGCACCACTTCTGCCATTTTTATGTCCACAGACCTCATTTCCCAGCCCTCATAGTCCTCATCTGAAGAGTAGGTATCACCCTGGCCCTGGACAGCATGCCAACCATAACTCCCTCCTTTATTGCCAGTAGCATCTTACCATGGTGTGTATTCTCATCCCAATAGCTTGCTTAAAGCTGTTGGTGTACATTTTTGTTGTGCCTCTGGCTTATGGTTCTCAGAATGAAGATGGATTCTGTTTGGGCATCTTATTCTAAAACTACAAAATATATCCTACCACCACACCTGCCATTCGATTTCTTACCCTTTTGCTGTGGTAGTTGAATGTACCACCTTGCCATAAAACAACTGTCTCTCCAGAATTTCTGAAGGGATCACATCTTTCCTCTTTGAGAGATATACTGCCCTGCTTAAGTGAGTTGCATTTTTCTTCTACTGATTTCTCACCACATCTCTCTCTGAATGTTATTAAATGTCACTTTGTTCTACTTGTCACACTTAAATAGCAGCCATAAATTGCTGGTGTTTGATTAGAGCATCTGAGAGACTGTGAAAAAACATTTATTAGGATCACCAGGGCACAATTCTATGCATGTTGAAAGAGGAAAAGAGTCCTGCAGCCCCCAGCATTCCCCAGGCAGCTTGGCCAGCTTAACATTATAGGGCTTTTTTCTGTACAGGCATACATTGGATTGCACTCTTAATAAATTATTTTCTCACTAAACAGTTGTCAGGCAACCTAAGTAAATGCATGTGAACAATCTTTTGGAGTTGTATTTTTTTTAATACACTGAAGTTTAGGTCTTTGTTCTGATGCTTAACTGAAAACTCTGTGCCTGTTTCCTTCTTAACAGCAACTACAAGAGGACCTGAATAAAAAACTGTTCAATGACCTCATACAGTTTTTGAGACAATCTCACTCAGACTTCAAGGAGAAGAAAACAGAATGGGCTTGTCGGATAAAGTCTAGTGAAATTCCTGCTGCTGCTGTAGTTCTAGGTAACTCTTTTGTTGGTCTTTTAATTTATTTAATAACAACTGTCATAATTTGGATTTGATTTCTAATATTAAGATTAAAAAGAACTTGGAAATCTTATATCTATTGTAGCCAATGGCCATGAGTTTAAAAACTACTAGGAGCCAAGCTAAACATGTGATAGTAGCAGATCAATATGCCTGAATCCTGATTTGCTTCAGTTGCAGAGGGCAATGAGATATCTACTTTTAATGGCAAAAGATACACTAGCAGACAATGGTGTATCTATCTCCTTACAGTCTGTCCCTTAGAGTTTTTTTCTCCACTAAGCTCTAATACCAGCTAATGTGGAAAGTAATGTTTGTGGAGAGGGGTTATGGAAAAGGACTATGAACAGGGTTAAGGTTAGGGTGCATGACTCACCTGCCCCATGCTCTTTGCTGTTCCACTCGGACATGCATACATCCTTTCACATTTGCTTGGCTCAGAGCTGTGTTTAAAGCAGTATGGTGTAATGGTTAAATGTGGACGTGGGACTCAGGCGATGTGGGTTCTGGTCTGTGCTTAGCTTGCAAAGCTCACTGGGTGATTTTGAGCCAGTCACTGACTCTCAGCCCCACCTACATCTCAGGGTTCTTGTTGTGGGGATAAGATTGAGCAAGAGGAGAATGATGTAAGCCCCTTCTGTTCTTTAAAAAAAAGGTGGGATATATTCTAATAGAATAAAAAATAAAAATAGACAGAGCTGCTACCATCTCATCTTGTTTGGCTCCAATAGAGGGTTCCTCAGGAATTCTGCTTGATTTAGCTGTTCTGCTGTTTCTTCTGCATGTCTTGCAGTACATGATGAGAACTTCTGGAATATTTGCCAGAAGCAATAAGCAGCATTGCTGCCTTATCAAAACAGGAATCAAGATCTCTAGGAGCACAGGTGACAAAAATGCATATTTCTTCAAAATTGAGGGAAAGACTCTCATACGGCCCAAATTATCAATTCAGACAGAAGAAACTACTATTAAAAAGCCTTCAGGTCCTCCCAATTCAGAGACTGTTGTTCAGATAAATGGTTTACAGTTGTTCGCTGCTTTTTACCTGGCTCTGATAGCCAAATCATAAACAGAATTTCAACAGACTGCAGAATAATTTAGTGCTGTATTTGTACACCAGGCCATAGTATGATTTGTTGAAATCTGGCTTGATGTGAACCCATCCACACCAACAAACCATAGTGAGCTGCAAGCCACAAATACAGGCTATGGTTCGTTGTTAGTTTATAAAATCTGGCTCATTTAAATCAGCACTTCTTACGACGTCAGCACCAATAACCTTGGTTAATCCCTGGATTGTTTGAGCTGCTGTCTACCTTGAAATAGAGCAGGGGTCCTCAAACCCTTTCAACAGGGGGCCAGTTGACAAGTGACAGCGGTGCACATGAGCCGCCAAGGTGGTGCTGGCAGGGGGAGGCCCGGGGTGGTGAGGGGGCGGGGCACACGCATGCACACAAGGCGAGGCGGGGACGGGGGGGGGCGCGGGGCGAGGCGGCGGCTTGCTCATGAGGAGATCATTTTCTCCGAGTGAGTCCAAACCGACCTCCTTGTGATCAAGCCACCACCGGGCACACAGGATGAGGCATGCCTGCGCGCGTGCACGGCAAGTGCAAAACCTTTGGTGCGGGCTGGTTAAATGGGCATGGTGGGCCAGATCCGGCCCACTGGCCTTAGTTCGAGGACCCATGAAATAGAGCCTGAAAAGAAAATTGCTCTTAGCACTGATGAGTGGTGGGGGGGATCAAACCAGAATTAAACAAAATTAGCCTTGCTTGTTTGCTTGTCTGCAAGACAGTCAATTGCTAAAACAACAAACCATGGTTAAGAAAAATCTCAGCTTAGCATTACACATGCAGCCAGAGTATAGTTATTTAAGGTTGCTAGTCTTATCACTTACCTAGGAGTAAATCCCATTAAATCTAATGTGTGTTATTTCTGAGTTTACATGTTTAGAATTGCACTGTCCATTTTTCCACTCATCTTATTTGTCTTTCTGTATATTTATAGGATGTAGTGCATTTTCACATGCTTTTGCTAAGTGAACAGTTTGTGATTTTCTTCAACATGCTCTATTTTTTTAGTCCATTCTTCAAACTGCTGTATCACAATCTTCTTTTGAAAGTTTTAGTTTTAAAAGCAGTGTGGCCAGGTAACAAAGAGAGTTGAAATAGAATTCCAAAGCCCCCCTCTGCAGAATTAGTTGCATGCTCTTAGGCTCATAGCCAATGAATAACTGTCTTTTTATTTTGATCTTATAATGTTTGGAGCTCTTCCTACATTTTGCATTTGTCAGGTGGCACAGTGGTTTAAACCACTGTGCTGCTGGGCTGGTTGATCGAAAGGTTGCCAGTTCGAATCTGCACAACGGGGTGAGCTCCCGTTGCTCCGTCCCAGCTCCTGCCAACCTTGCAGTTTGAAAGCATGCAATTGCAAGTAGATAAAAAGGTACCACTTCGGTGGGCAGGTAACAGCGTTCTGTGCACCTTGGTGTTTAGTCCTGTCGGTCACATGACCACGGAGACTGTCTGCAGACAAACTCTGGCTCCCTCGGCTAGGAAACGGAGATGAGCACCACCCCCTAGAGTCAGGCATGACTGGACTTAATGTCAAGGGGAAACCTTTACCTTTATAGATATAAGAGCACGCTCTTCATTCTTTTAGCTGAGTACTGGTTCACATGTAAGCCTCTTAATGAGGCATCACAAGTGTCAGAAGCCCAGTATTTACAAGACATTAATCTGTATTGAAATAATATGCATGATATGTTACTAGCAAATTGGTGCTGGCTTCTTGGGGTGTTCTAGACTTGTGCACACGAGCTTTTACATCTTTTTTTCTTAGTAACCTAACAGGAATAGACTCTAAGCCAGGAGCAGGCAACACACAGGCCTCGGGCCACAAAATGCCTGCCCCCCAGTAGTCTTTTTTGTGGCTTTCTTGCCTGCTGATGAATTTGCTGCAAATACTTGGGCTACAACAAAAATCACAGCAATTTTTGCTTCCTCTGCAATAGCAAATTCAGCAACAATTTCAGCGGGGGCGGGGGGGCGGGGGGGGGCATGCCTCCAGTATATTCCAGGAAGAGGCAGTTCTGATCTTGAGAAGTACCCTGCAGTTGCTTTAAGCAAACAACCCTGTTTTTGGCATTCCTTTCTCCTTTTTGAGGATAACCACTGTGCCTATATCTCTGATCTTCTAATATATCTCAGATACTGTACTTAATACCTGGAATATCTACAGCCAGCTTCTTTATTGCCAACAAAGTATCACCTGGCTTTGTTTACTTAAAGCTAGTGAAATATTATTTAAGCAGCCCTTTTTTAATCCAGACTTTGGCCACATATTAATTTGCTAATTACTTGGCCACAGTTAATCTCTCCAGAAGACAAGGAGGAGAAATACACACTGTATCTCTTGATAGAAGCTGATTCTGTATTGATTAGTCAGGCCAGAGTTTCTTAGGTTTTTGTGCTCCTTTTGATGGAATTGTAAATTTCCTTTCCTTTCTGTTACTAAAGGAATGGAGGAAATATGTTGACTATTAAAAACTAATATAATTTGTTGTTCCTGAGCTTGATCTTGTGCCTGCCTTTTTAAGTTCAAAGAAAAATTGTACATTTTGAGTTACTTTATCTGAACCAGGCTGAATTGCTACTTATGCCTTTCTGAAAGTAAATTCAGTTAAACAAGGTGTTAAAATTAGTGTTAATCAGTACAGTATAGGCAGTTATAAGGCAGTCTAGCCCAAAGTACTGCTTGGCAGCTTTGGGTATAAAACAGTCATGTGATCACATCTGAGGTGATTTCCCATCCAGAATCCTTCCTCTAAATCAGGGTTGAGCAATGTCCAGGATTTGGAGGCCAATGACCATCCATAAGTCACTTCAGAACCATTGAAATTGCTGTAGTGGTGGTAGGATCCCTGCTTTTGCCCATGCAGTTTTGCACAAAAGCAAGATAATTGGGGAATGAGTGCCTTGTTAAGCAGTAGTATCATGCTCCTAGGGTGTTCCCTGTGGCACCCAAGCTGGCTGGGACTACAAAATCAGCAAGGAGGGGGCGTGCATGCAGCCCAAGAGCCTCATTGAGCCCACCCTTACTTGGAATATTCCAGATCAAGAAGGGAAGTCACAATAGGTCAGAAAACTAGACTATGCTGGGGTCAAATTTATTCAGAAGGACTCTGCAGTTTTCCTCAGATAGTCTGATACAGGCACAGTCCTGATCTCTTGGCCAGCTCTCAAGGCAAGTTCATAATTCAGTCAGTCACTGCTTTTGGCTTTCTGCTTGAAATGATGGAATCTTCCTTCTATTCAGCAGTATTTATTTATTCTTAACCCAAGCATTTATACATGGCTTCTAGAATGGATTCCAGATCAATAAAATAGGACAGTCTTCTCAGGCTTGTAATAAAAAAGTGTGACACGAAAGGAAGAGGAAAGGGAAGAGAAAAGAAAAACAAGACAACTCAAACACTAAGTCAGAACATTATAAGGGCCTTACATTGACCATTTGTAAAGCTTTAATGTGGTTGGACTTTGTTGGTCTTATCAAGAACAGCTGAAATTAAAATTACTGAGAGGACAAGCCAGCACTTGGTTTCTTACCTTAGCCAATGGAGTGGCCCTGCTTCCTGTCTCTTCCTTTTCTATAGGCTGCTGATGGCAGTTGGCAGAGAGGCAAAGCATGATGAAGCTTGTTTCTCAAGGGGGCTGATAAGAAAGGGTGAATCAAGATTTGAACTTAGTTCTTCCCCTGTTTGTTTCTTCTGAACTTAACTAGTCTCAGTGCTCTTGCATACCCAGTCAAACACTTGATTCAGGTCATGTTCCACCCATTGACTAGATTCACACAACATGATAGCCTGTCATGAATAACTAGCTATAGTTGGTTATCACATCATGTAAATACAGACCACTTCCCACATGTTGGCTTATTTTGAGGCAACAAATTCCTTGACAACCCAGAACTTGTTCTAGTGGTTATTGGACCCATAATGTCTTGGTGTGCCATTCAAACCCAACCGGCTGATCTCATCATGGAAGTGGCAAGTGAGCCACTTGGTGAGAGTGGTCAAAGCCCGTTGTCATGCTTGCTCTTATCATTATCAGTGACCGCCTATCCACTGCTCTTGAAGTGGCACTTTGGAGCAACTGTCACTGTTTTGGTGTCCCCACTGTGATCATAACACCTTTCTTTTTCTCTATCTGAGCCTTTTTATGATGTTGTCCAGTGACAGCCCCTCCAAAGTGGCCACCCTGCGCATTGGAGTTGTCACTCCAGTTGTTATTTTTTAGGTGCAAGAAATGTGCACAATTTTTTTGTGATTTTTTAAAATAGATGTTGGGGATCAGTCACTCAGAGGTGCAAAAATGCAAAGTCTTGCCTGGTCAATATCCTGGTAAGCATTGTCTGTGAAAGTGCATGAGGCAACATTCATGGACACTGACAAAACAAGGCTGCAGATAGATCAGTGGTGGCAAATCTATGGCCCACATGCCACAGCAGGAACGCAGAGCCCTCTCGGTCGGCACACGAGCCAAGTCGCCCCAGCATCGCCCCAGCAGCTGAGCACCGGATAACAGCACACCTAGAGGCCATGCGTATGCTCAGAAAGGAGTAGCGGCGCTAGGCAATGACATCACGAGCAGCGACTCATTAGCCGCGACTTGTCTGAGCTTTCGCATGGCTGGTCAGTGTGCTGCCATGGAGAGAGAGAGAGAGGCATGCTTGGACTGGGTATGAGGTGTTTTTTCTGAACTAAAACCTCAGTTTCCAGGTTTTATTGCAGTGTTGTCACTTTGCGATAAATAAGTGGGTTCTGGGTTGCAGTTTGGGCACTTGTTCTCTAAAAAGTTCGCGTTCACTGAGATAGATTAATTTGTTAGTTTGCTTTTCACATCATAGCTGTCAGACAGTAAGCAGTCAACAGAAAGGTGAAGCTGAGAGGGGATCTTTGCTTGTGAAGAGAAATGGCTAATGTATCTCCTGCTTAGCAGTATGATCCTCTAGTTTTAAAGTATTACCCCAACACTTCTCACTGCCTTTCATCTTTCCTAATCAATGTGAAGATCTAACTGTTTCAGAAAGTTAAAATCTATAGCTCCTCAGTTTTTGTGAACATAGAAGTTTGACAGCTATCAGAAAAAAGCCTTTTTGGTTCACACAGGATTTTTGAAGGGGTGAACAGGGTTGTTTTGAAGTATTTCATGGACACCTACTTTCACTGCCTTTCTCCCATTTACTCATCTTTTTCAACTGACAGCAGTTGTCTATGTGCCAGGGATCCACTACCCATTTGGAACCATGAGCATATTTGGAAGACTGAGAAACTGCTAGGCACACCACCACAAAATGCTTAGTCAGGAGATTGCTGCTGTAGTGTCTACCTGCCATGTCTACGGATATTATTATTATTACTACATTTCTGTACCACCCTATAGTCTACTGGGCTCTTTGAGTGGTGCACAAATTCAGTTACAAAATAAACAATAAAAACAATACACTAAATCAAAAATAAATAGTACAGCAATATAAAGTAACAACAATAGAAGCGCAATAATTGAGTAGAAAACCCAGTGCCCTAACCAACACCGAACCAATGCAAGCTAGCAGAGGGGCCCTGCCTCCACTCTACAAATGCAAGTGTGGCAAGAACTCCTCTTACTTCCTCTCCTGGCACTGAAGCTCTTGCCGCTCAATGTTGGGGATGGGGGTGGTGGGGGGCATGTGCAGTAATAGGCAGTGGAGGGAGCAGAAGCTGTGTCGTAATCAGAAAGTATTTCTGTTTCATGCCTCTTGGACACCAGAGTGTTTATTTAATAAGGGTTCGTTTAAATTAGCTAATTGATGGTGGTGCAATACAACTACAGCTTCTTTTAAACATGTTTTTGGCAATGTCCAGAATTTATTTTTGGTTTTGATGTGGTAGACACTATATAGATAAATGTTGTATCAAACTACTATTCTGTGAGGAATACATCATTTTAAAATCTTTACCTGTTTTGTGGAAATGAACAAATGGAAGGGGAAATGGATTTTCTATTACCTTTTGGCAGGTAAAAAAGCTGATATTACTATATTGGAATGGTAAACATTCAATTTCTGTGATGTAGTGTGTTGTGGACTTCAAAAGACTTTCAATATTTGAATGGGTGGTGTTTTGTAGATGCCACCTTCAAATGCATAATTATCTGGATATTTGGCTGGCTTTTATTGAAGCCTTTGTATGTGCTTGAAAGTGTTATGAATTTCGTACAAATCATTGTTGTTAGTTGTGAAGTCACTTCCGATGCATCGCGACCCCATGGACAACATTCCTCCAGGCCTTTCTGTCCTCCACCATCCCCAGGAGTCCACTTAAGCTCACACCAACTGCCTCAGGGACTCCATCTAGCCACCTCATTCTTTGTCGTCCCCTCCTTTTTTTGCCATCTATTGTTCCCAGCATTAGGCTCTTCTCCAGGGAGCCCTTCCTTCTCATTAGGTGGCCCAAGTATTTGAGTTTCATCTTCAGTATCTGGCCTTCTAAAGAGCAGTCAGGGTTGATCTCCTCTAGGATTGACTGGTTTGACCGCCTTGCAGTCCAAGGGACTCGCAGGTGTCTCCGCCAGCACCACAGTTAAGGCCTCAATCCTTTGGTGCTTAGCCTTCCTTATGGTCCAGCTTTCACAGCCATACATTGCAACTGGAAAAACCATAGCCTTGACTATACAGTTTTGTTGGCAGGGTGATGTCTCTGCTTTTTAGTATGCTGTCTAGATTTGCCATAGCTTTCCTCCCCAGGAGCAAGCGTCTTTTAATTTCTTGGCTGCAGTCCCCGTCTGCGGTGATCTTGGAGCCCAGGAAAATAAAATCTGCTACTATCTTCATTTCTTATCCATGCCAGGAAGTGATAGGACTGGATGTCATGATCTTAGTTTTCTTAATGGTGTGTTTCAAGCCAACTTTTGTGCTCTCCTCTTTCACCCGCATCAAGAGGCTCGTTAGTTCCTCTTCACTTTCTGCCATTAGAGTGGTATCATCTGCATATCTGAGATTGTTGATATTTCTCCCAGCAATCTTAATTCCAATTTGTGATTCATCCAGCCCCGCCTTTCTCATGTACTCTGCATTTAAGTTAAATAGGCAGGGCAACATTATACAACCTTGCTGAACTCCTTTCTCAATTTTGAACCAATCAGTGGTTCCGTGTTCAGTTTTCACTGTTGCTTCTTGACCCACATATAGGTTTCTCAAGAGACAAATAAGATGGTCTGATACTCCCATCTCTTTAAGAACTTACCACAATTTGTTGTGATCCACACAATCAAAGGCTTTAGCATAGTCAATGAAGCAGAAGTAGATGTTTTTCTGGAACTCCCTAGCGTTTTCCATGATCCAGTGTATGTTGGCAATTTGATCTCTAGTTCTTCTGCCTCTTCGAAATCCTGCCTGTACTTCTGGTAGTTCTCGGTCCACATACTGCTGGAGCCTAGCTTGTAGGATTTTGAGCATATATTAAAAAGATGATTTTTTTTAATGGGTTTGTGTCAGCACCATATGGGAGGCACCCATGAGGACCACAGCTACATGCAGTTTCCTCTTGTCAGTTGCCATGCATGTTTCTACTTCAAATTTCTGCTTCCTTTGTCAGCTAAAACATGCAAGGAAATTGACCAGACAATATTATACATATTGGACAGTTGTAAGAATGCACTTGGGAAAGACTGACAAAAGTGTTTTTAAAAAATTATAAATGTGGTTCAGCCTTTTCCAGAGACTATAAATGGAATGTGACTCTAGCTGTGCTTTTTTTGAAGCTCCAGAAAAGCGGGGGGGGGGGGGGGGGGAGCTAATTAAAAGGGGGGGGGTTGGAGTACACTTGGGCAAGATGAGATCTGCTCTGAAGGATCCTGGGATACTGGCTGGAAGATAAAGGTAGCAAAGTGCAGTTGGTAACATAGATGGAAATTGACAAGGAAAGACTGCATATAGGTTATTTGTGCACAGTTGCTAAACTGTCAGTTGAAAATCAATGGTAAAGGGAGGAAAAATAGATGTACTGAAAGGGAGTGGTGACAAGATCTCCATCTCCTTAGCAATGTAATTTCTGAATTTAAAGTGTTGGAGGGACAGTTCTCAGTGCCACTTGCATTTTCAACAGCTACTCCAGACAGGGGTACTCACTCCTCCAATTCTTTGATAGTTCTGATATGAAAACACCCCGAGAAGACAGATGAATGGGACAAAGTGAAAAGGGCCACTTGCTGGGGGGAGTAAGTCCTACAGATGTTGGCACCTCATTTGCTCTGTTCTGTTCTGCAGTCTCTGAGAGAGATTTTCTTAAAGGCTGGCAAATGTGCATCCTTTTCTTGACTGAGAAATATATGCAAATTGCATGGCTGGTAAGTAAATGGAGGGAAATGTGTGACTGAGAATATATGAAGGGAGACTTGCATGCATATGGCATTTAAAAACAGTCATTTGTATTCAGATAAGTTCTCTGAGCTATTGTTAAACTGGGACATTTTCTTCCTAGGTGTGAATGTTACAGATCATGACCTGACATTTAAAAGTCTCTCTGAAATTCTTCAAAATGATGTTACACCTTTTGTAGTGTCACTGAGATCCAAAGAATGCCCAGGTAAATATTGTAATAAATTGGCTCTTCAGTTGGTAAATGGCATGAATAGCATTGGATATACTATTAGAAAATAATGTGAGCATGAAGCTAATAGGCAGCTCTCAAACCCAATAAACAAACAAACAAATAAAACATTTAGAGCTGTTCCTCATTTGAGCTGACTAACAAGGATTGCTTTTATTCATATATGTTTAATGGTCTAACTTAACCAGTAGAAGGAGGATGTGGAAAAGCCAATTCTCTTTGCTGTGAGACTGTTCTTTTATTTGAAAATAGAACTTTATATATACCTTCTCAACTACTGCTTTCAGTTATCATTTCTTAAATCTCTGCATTATACGTATATGGACTGTGGAGAAATCTTTCCTTAGTGGGCAAGTTCATAAACTTGCATTAACTGTGAAGCATTTTAGTGGATAGGATGACAACTCTTCAAACTAAAACATCATGACTTGAAAATGCTGCCATGATTCACCCAATATCTCTGCTCTCATTCATTTTGCACAAGTGAAATTGCTTCAGAGTTTCAAGCATCTACTTCAACTTATCACTGATCTACTATATTTTAAGTATGGCAGGCAAAGAAAATTCCATTTAATTTAGCCAATTTTTTGAATAAATTAAGCTATCTAGTTAGGCAGATTTGAGGGTGCCCTGAGCAAGGTGCCCTCTGTTCCCCACACATGCACTCTCCCCTCCATGAAAGCTTATCAAATAATAGTAGAGATGGATATTGCCTTCGCTTTAATCTCTCCCTTTATTCTTTGTTTTTTTTTAAAGCAGGGTGGCTTGGAGGCATTCTGGGGAAATGAAGATGGTGGGTGGCTACAGCCCCACTGTGTGCTTTCCTTCTGAGCACATTTAGCCTGCTGCCAATTTTAGATAAAGTAAAAGGGAGGGCCAGCAATGGGAGATGGCTCCAGTATTTGCCCCCCTGATAGGTGTAGTTGAGATCATTCTTTTGCTTAAATTGGAACAGGAGTACAAGGTCAATCTGCTAGTTTAATCACAGTGTACAGCTTATCACAAGTTGGTCAGCACATTGAATCCCAGTTCTAGAAGCTGGCAATGATGCTGCCCAGCCAATACAGAATACTCTATGGGGGCAACTTGAACCTAAATTATAATGGGTTGGATCCAGAATATAAGCAAGAGGGCTGCATCCTTCTGTGGAATGCTTCTGATGCAGTGGAGGAATTTTGACAGTATGGGGGATGAATACATTTTGGTATACTCCCCCTCCCCAAGCTGCTGCCTTGCTCCCCCAGAAGTGTGCTTTGAAGGGTTGTGGGTCCTCCAGAACAGCTGCTGAGGACTGAAAGGGAAGGGGGAACTTCCATGAAAATAATTCCCCTTCCCATTTTCCACCAGTGGTAGGCCTTTGAGTAGAAATCCACATGAGACGCTACTGCAAACAAAAGGAAATGTGGGATCCAACCAATTGTCAGGGGGTGGGCATGGGGAAGAGAGGACATATGAGAGAGAAAGGACCTTTATATACTATATGTATTCTGCATAATCATGTTTGAAGTATAGCAGCACTCCAGATAACACCCAAATAGCCTTTTTTCCTTCTCCCTGCACCTTCTCTTTTTTGGGGGAGCAGGGGTGGGTATAGTGCAGGCACTCTGGTTACATATTAAACACCTCAACTTTTTGTAGTCTTGCTGTTTGACTTCTTTAACCTAGAAATGCTACCAGCTGAACCTTTTACATGTACAATATAGATTCTACTTTGCATTGATCATTATTGCAGTTATGCAAAATGACACAATTTTATGCAGATATACTTAATTTGAATTTGTTTGCCCTTTGGTGTAAATTTTGGTTTGCCTCAGTACAGGATTTTTCACTTAATTTGGAAATCTATATGTAAAATGTAATGTGAAGTCACGATACCCATTAATACTTAGAAAAATATAATTCTTTTTGTTTGCTTGAGAATCACACACAAAAGCCTGGCATTTTCATTATTTTTTAAAATGTGTATTTTTGTTATGAAGATATAAAACACCTTCTGCAAAAGATGATGATCCAATTGATGGACTGTCATGTAGAAGTGGACTCATCTGAAGAGGAAGAATCTTCCAAGATTTCCCCAAGTAGGATACACTGCTCCGTGGCCAATCTTACTAAGTGGTATAGGAACATAACAAAGGTAAGCTTCCAAAGGCAGTGGGAGCGATGAGAATCTTTACTCTGAGCCTCAAAATACTAGAATGCCACCTGCCCCCTACCAACCCTTCTGTTTTCCCTAGCATTGCAAAATCTTGTTTTGGGCTAAGATGTGGTGTGATTTTGGTAAGATACCGTTAAAAACCCAGGAAGGAAGAAAAGGGGGCTGCTTCAGAGAGCTTTGCTGGATGCTTTCTGACAGACTATGCCATGATGCGAGAGCAGCTGGCAGGACTTAATAGCACTTGCTGGAGGAGAAAGAGGCCCAGTAGCTCCTGCCATCACCTTATTATCTATCTTTCTAATGCAGGTAGAGTTGCCAATTATTTTGCTTTTCTGCACATTTAAAAGCTGCTTGATCTGTAAGATTTATTGCTGTGCGGTAAAAAACTTTGCCTGTTAATTTCTGCAGATCAAACTGCTGTTAAAGGCACAAGAGAATACCAGGCAGCTTTTTCCTGGGCTGTGGGAATTCCAGTTACAGGCAGGGATGGGAGTGATTTGCATATGGGGACTTCACAGCCGTGTTCAGATCTGAATTGGAGACATAGCTTGTACTCTTCAGTCACTAGGCTCATTAAGGATCTTGGAAGCAATTACAAAAGAGCAAAACTAAAAAGGAATATTATGCATCCATATCATTACTCTTTTTACAGGCTGTAACATTATCATTGACTGATTTATAATATGTGTATGAACTACTGAGCTTGGAGGCCTCTGTGTTATAGTATGAATAATTCAATAAAAAACAGTGGATTTGATGGATTAGATTTTATAGGGCTTACTGAACTGAAGCAATGACCCTTACGAAAGATAATTTTAAAAAACCCTGCCAAACTCATGCAAGTATAAATGATTGAGAATGAATAAAATGCAAAGTAAAATCCCAAGATATAGTAGTCAAAGGCAAACTACAATAAAAAAGATGTGATATGAAGCTGAGAACTGATACCTGTGCCTTATGGAGGAATTTATAGTAACTTAAAGGGCCTGCAGCAGTTCCCTCATGAGGAAAGATTGTAACTTCTGGAACTGTTTAGCTTAGAGAAAAAGAGAGTGAGGGAAGACATAATAAACATATACAAAATTATACAAGATCTAACCCAATACAAACATGCCATGAAGCTGATTTAGATTTAGGAAAGAAGTACTTCTTCATACACTGCATAGTCAAAACATGGAATCCATTTCCCCAAGAAGTAACTGAAGATGACAAATTTACATGGCTTTAAATGGGGATTGGACAAATTCATAGAGGATAAGGCTATTGATGCCTACTAGCCTTGCTGGGCATATGTTCCCTCCAATATCAGAGGCAGTAGTATGCCTTTGTAGGCCCATTGCTGGGTAACAGAGAGGTCCGCCTGGCGCCGTCGTTATTTGTTTTTCGGTGCCAGGCGAAGACCTTTTTATTCAAGCGGCATTTTAACTGTTAATATTATTGGATTTTATCTGGCCAGGGCGGCTTATTTTTTACAGTATTTTTGTATTTTTAATTTAATGTTTATATTCTTGATTTATAATATAATTATTTTAACTTATTGTTGTAAGCCACCCCGAGGCTTCGGCGAATGAGGCGGCATAAAAATGTTTTAATAAATAAAAAAAATAAAAATGACTTGGGTGGGAGGGTGCCATTGCACTCATATCCTGCCCATGGGGCACCATGAGCAGATGTCTGGCCACTGTGAACAGAATGCTGGCCAAGATAACCCTTAGTCTGATGCAGTATGGCTCTTTCTGTGTAGCTGCCGCAACATAGCACATGGATTCAAATAAGTTACACTGCTGAACTCTATTCTTATCACCCACACAGAAGTATTAAAAGGGAATAGATATGTAAGAGTGATGCATATGCTGTTTCATAGATGTGCATGTTCTTTCAGTAGGGTTTATTTGATGCAGACCAAACTTGAGGCCCTGCTTAGGCATTTTCTTCATCATAATCACACCTGTGCATTGGGTTGTTCCTGCCTGCCCAGAACTGCGTTTATCTTCATCACTATAGTCAGTTTATGTGGCTTGTCTCCCACTGTTTTGTATTCATTATCTGAAAGTGGTGACAGTGCTTGTTCTGAGAGGTGGATTTTAAATGGTTTTGCAGTGGCTTCCTGCTGATGGAACAGCAGGGTCATGTTCCCTGGTGTAGTTCTTTGGGTTAGTTCTTCACCTCTTGTGGGTGTTTGGCCCTGCCTTTTCATAACCTGTCCCCTGCCCCAAGCCGGAGCCCTGGATCCTTTAGGTACCCAGTATCATCCTTGTAAGCTTGAACATTTCCAATTTAGTACCCATTGCAGTATTTTCCCTACTTTGCCCCAAGTGGCCAAATAGCCTTCACTGAGGCTTGGTTGGTTGGTTGGTTGGTTAATTTATTTATTGCATTTTCTCATCAAGAAACTCAAGGTGGCTTATATATTCCTTCATGTCCTCTCAATCGCATCCACATAAGAATCCTTTGAGGGAGGTTAGGCTGAAGGCATTGTGTTGAATAAATTTGCAGTCATACCTTTAGAGCAAGGATGGCAAATGCAACCAGTCCAGGTGTCATAAGGAGCAAATAATAACAATGGCAGTTAAGCTGCTGTGGATTGATGAAAGGGTCATCATTAGTTAAGCTACTATTGACTCTTTGGGAACTCCATAACTAGTACACATGTATTTTTTCCATTTTTTAAAGTCCTTTATAACCAACTTCTAGGGACAACAGGGACCTCAGTGGAGGCAGCAGGAGCTATCTGTTGTCCACCCCAGTGTAGAGAAATATGTCTAAAGTCTGAGAAGGATGGAAAAAACTAATTTGGAACATTATTATTTAGTGTTCCTTGAACCAGAGTATTATAGGATTTGGTTGTCTCATAATGTCTGCAACTGTTGATCTAGCAGTGTATAATGTACAGCTGCTGTTCTGATTTAAAAGAAAAAAAACTTGTGGCATCTAATTACTAAAAAGAAAGATTTATTATACAGGTGGGAACACTCATAGAATTGTAACAAGAAAGGCAGTAGAACCTCCTCACCCTGTGACTAATCAATTGGTGGGGAGGCTCAGAAAGATCTTTTCTGCAATCCCAGTAACTTCAGGAACATTCCTTTAATCTCTGCCAGGGGCACACAGAGCCAGTTTCCATGACACAGCAGCCTGCCATAGTTTGTTTATTTATTTATTTATTTATTTATTAAAACATTTTTATGCCGCCCCATTCGCCGAAGCCTCGGGGCGGCTTACAACATAGATAAAACAAGTTAAAATCCATATAAAATAATCTTGATTAAAACTCACATTATAAAATAAGCCGCCCTGGCCAGATAAAATTCAATTGTATTTAGCATTTAAAATGTTGCTTAAATAAAAAGGTCTTAGCCTGGCGCCGAAAAACAAATAACGACGGCGCCAGGCGGACCTCTCTGGGGAGCGCATTCCATAACTTAGGCGCCACCGCTGAGAAAGCCCTTCTCCGAGTAACCACCCTCCTAATTTCTCTCACGGAGGGCTCCCGGAGAAGGGCCTCTCCCGCCGATCTCAGGGGGCGACTGGGCAAATATGGATGTAAGCGCTCCTTCCCACAGTGAGGCTGCAGTGCGTGCACCTGCCATGGGTTATGCAAAGGTTATTTAATCCACGCATAGCCCATGCTTACCAGGTTCTCACAACACCACAACCCCCAACTGGGAATTGGATATGTAAAGAGGCACCCATGGGCACTCCAGCTTAACCCATGAGAAGCCATGCTTTGTCATACAGACACCCTTATTATCTTGGAGCACAGCCTTTCCTGCATCTTAGTGGTCTCTCTGGGGGAAAAACAGAGCCCTCAGCATTGACGTGACTGTGGTGGGGAAGAGAATGTGATTAGAGAAGCTCCATAAATCAGCTAAATGGCAAGCTAGTTGCATTCACTTCCCATTCAGACATACCAGTTTCTCTGGGCTCTGCTGTATTGCTTGCATGCTGTCTTGTGCTGCTGGAGATGTTCCCTGGGGCAAGAGAAAAGGACACTTGTGTAAGCCTTTGGGAGGCAGGGTAAGACTCATTTTCACACACACCCCTCTTATTTCTGTGGGTTAAGGGGACTTTGATAAAGTTCGGCTGAGACTTCCTCACTTACCTTTCCTCTTCTTTAGGGTCCAGGAATGTCAAACATGGATGACACATCTCAGAAATAGATGAAGTGCTATTTCTTTCTTCATAAGCCTAAACTGTTTTCTGTTGCAGCAGATAGTCTTGCTGAAGTAAATTATAGTGCTGACCTTGACAGAAGATGCAGTCTTTTTCTGAAGGAGGTTTTCTTTGTTGCGTTGCCAGTTTTCCATATGATATTATGAGGGCATTTATATGAAGTCTTTCTTCCGTGATGGAATGTAAGACTGTCTTCTATTTCTGATTAGATTCAGAAAGGCTCAGACCATGCCCTAGAACTTGTAATATGTTAATTGTTCTCTTTTCTCAACTTGTTTTTCAACATATGCACTATGTTCTGAAGACAACTGATAGTACAGCTTCGTACAAAAAAACATCCTCATCTAGACATTGGGAGTCTCCTCCAGTTGTTGTTATTTTCAAGGACATGGAAAGTTTCACTACCAAAGTTTTGCAAGACTTCATAATTATCAGCAGGTAACATGACAAGATATTAAAGAATGTTCCAGTTCATTCTTTTCAGGAATTTGACAGATAATTGTTACTCTTGTTTGCTCTTTTATTTTGTAGTAAGTTCAAATACAGGTTGTGCTGATTCTGTTTTATCAATGAAGTTTAAATTATAGGCTAGGGTCAATATGGAGGAGTGGACAGTTTTGGTTAGTCCAGGAGCTGTATTCACCTCCCAAAATCCCACTGACCACAGTCCATCAGGCAACCCAAAAGCAAATGAAGAAAGTATATTTTTAAAATAATATTAAATCTAGCTTGTTTGCAAGTTAAATTTGATCATTTGCAATTTAGCTTGCAAATTAGCTTCATTGGATTATTTTAGTGCCCTACAGGGGTCTAGATGGCACTTAAAAATATTTTTGCAGGCTTGGTGGTAGAAGCAGATGTGGTAGGTGGCCAGCAGGCCATGCATTGACCACTGCTGGGTTATTAGTATGCATACAATTACTAGAGAAGCTAGTTTATATTCCAAACCTATGGATAGGTTTCTGGGATGTAAGTCTTTGACTGCAAAGCCACTAATCTGTTAAGACTTACTTGGTGGGGCATTTTTGATAATTTTTTGCACATTTAGATTTATTCCCAGTAGGTTTTTGTAAAAGTATAGCCAAATGTTTTTTTTAAAGAATAACACAAAAGGGAAAAAAATCTCCTGGATCTCTTAAGAATCACAGGTTTAAATTAATGGAACTTTTTGGAAGTGGTCTTGTGATCAGATGGAAAATAACTGAAAGAAGACATTTATATGAGAGAAATTTCACATCACTATTGTTGATTCAGGCATGACCATTATCAGAAAAGTGGTAAAAGACTTAGTCTAAGTACCTTTCTTATACAGAATAGGTTGTGTATATACCATTTTTATTGGCTTTGATCCTGGTGGTGTGTACACTGCAATTGTACACACAAATACAAAAATGGGTACTGGGTAATGAATCTAGAGCAGGAGTTCCATCTGCAGAAACAGGAAGGGAATAAACAAGAGGAGAAAAGGAGACACTAGTTACCTGCTGGTGTAACATTAGTTTTAAACCTAAGGCTGTAAAGATGCTTGTGCAAATGTTTAAGCATTATTGATCGAAGTCTCAGAAGCCTGCAAGCTGCTAAGCAGCATTTCCAAGAGTGAGGGACAGATTTATTTATTTATTTGAAGTTTTTATATGCCGTCCTAATACTAACAAGTCTCTGGACGGCTTCAGAGACTTTCAGTGATTTTCAGTGTCTTGCAAAAGAACTTAAGAAGGAAGGATAAATTACCAAGATGAATAAATGTAAACTGTCTGCTGCATGATGTTTATACTAGCCAAATCATTAAACCCTCCTTGATACATAATATTGTATAACTTTTGCTGCTCCCAATCTTGTTTGCTGCTGTTGCTCTATAAAGAACTAGGAGATCTTTCAAGTCACAACTTGTACAGAGTCTGTTCAAAACAGCAAAAAAAAAAAAAATTAAAAATTAAAAAAAAACTCTTGCTGTTCAAATATACAGCTCAGCTGGACCTGACTATCACAATTTGTAACTTTCAGACTGAACATAGTCTGTAGGCCCTGTAAGGGCAAGCAACCACAAGTTCATTAAAGCTCCGGTTTCTGATGTCTTCCTGGGACTGCAAAAACTGGGGAAGCATCAAGCAGCTATGGCTCGGAGAGCTGCATTCAATGGTGTATGTTTCACATTTGTGCAGGCCTTAAACTATGACATGGGCTCATTAAAGGCTCATTTCCACATGATAAAAGGGTGCAGTTGTGTTTTGGGGGGATTCTAAAACTGTTGGCTAGTTTCTTAATATAATTAGAACTACAAACCTGGGTTGATGCATTCATTGAGCTTAGACATATGGTGGAAGTGTGTAGCCCTGTTTATGGCATAGTAATCTTAACCTTTTTTCCTTCTTTTTTTCCTCCCCTGCTTCAGTCATTGTATACATGAATTTCCACTAGTGCTCATTTTTGGAATGGCTACCTCTCCAATGATCATCCACAAGTTACTTCCTTGCTCAGTTTCTTCTTTGTTATGCATAGAACTCTTCCAGTCTCTTTCTTGCAAAGAACACTTGACTAGAGTAATTGACAAGGTAATTGCCTTTATTTAGCTAGAAAGGGAAATGTGTATCTTATTAAAAGTATGTGGTAGAAGTCAAACTGTCTGCAGATGTTGGTTGCTGAACTTCCATATGTTGTGGGAAGCGGATCACACAACTCTTTTTGAATTCCCAGTATACACATTGAGTCATTTCACTGAAGATGCATGCATCAAACTGCTGTAAATTCAATATATAGGACATGGGAACAAGCCTGATGTTTGGTGAAGTATTGATTACAGTGAACTGGCTCTAGAAAATGTGCTTTAACATGAACTATTAAAAGCAATGGAAATAAATATAATTATAAGCTGTGCTAATTGTTCATTGTTCTGCAACCCTACCAAATTACATGGTAAGTTGAAAATGGTATGGGGGTTTAACACATTTTTTGATTCTGGTTTTAAGAAGGCAGTTTAACAGAGTTCATTGTTTTGGCGGAGGATTTTAGCACTTGCCTAAGTCCCTTCCCTTTCAGCTCTGAATTACCTAGTTGTTATCCGTGCTGAGACCTTGGGATGGGGAAAAGCATGATAATTACATAATGTGTACAAATTCAGATATAGTTATTTTGTCTCCAGAACTGTATATTCATACTCCTTTTGACGTATTTTCCAAACTTGCTACTTCAAGGGAATACTTTATTAATTTGTCTGCCATTGAATCTCGTATAAAATCTTGTTTGGAGTGGGGACTACATTTCAATTTGGGAAGGGGGCCACAGTCCAGCAGGGCCAAAAGTAATTCATACCATTTTGGATATTTTATTTTCAAGCATAAAAAGCACAAGTCAGTTGTATCTATGTCTTCTCAAAAAGAAGCCAGGGAAACACACCTTTGAAGAAAAAGCCACCAGGACCCACACTGTACAGTGCCACTTTAAAAAACTACTTTTACATTTGAAATACCTTCACAAATACCTTTAAAGGAATTTAAAGAACAAGCTATTTAAAGTTTAAATGCCTTCAGATGCCATCTTATCTGAGGTTGTTGTTCTGAGATAAGAGGTTTTCCTGTGCTGAAGAAAGGCTGTTTCTTATCACTCAGCTCTCATCTCCAATAAATGAGAGTGGAGATAAAAGCAGTGTTTCTTTCAGAAGGGGTGGGGCCTGTAGAAGAAACTTTGGGGCCAGGGTTCACCTCCCTGTCTATTACAGGAGTTGTGTGCCTATTACAGAGGATTCCACGCCATACACTTGTGTTAACATGGAACTCTGACTAGGCCTGTTTGGCCCCTCCAATTTCCTCATATAAATATAGAATATACTTTAGAAAGGGGGAAAACCCCTAACAGCATTGTAGTGTGGAAGAATTCAAAAAAGAATATCTGTCAGTACCAAATTTCTCACTGAGACGTGTCCATAAACCTTTAAGAAAATATTATGAATCCATTAAAACAGTTTTTAAAAGATTGTCAGAGTATATGAAAACATATTTCAGATAGAATGAGTGTGCTAATCTTAATTACATTTCTCTATTCCAGCTACTTCTGACAAGCCAGTTTCCCTTTAAACTTAGTGAGAAGGTTCTGCAAGTTCTAATAAACCTATTTTTATACCACGATTTCTCTGTTCAGAACTTCATCAAGGGATTTCAGGTAAGTCACACAGCCAAAAAGGGCCTCATTCTATGTAGCCATATCAGACTCCGCTATGGTAGTGTTAACCTCAAGATCATCTATTCCCACACACCCACTTTTCAGAGTCCTGCATGCACTCCAGTGCACATGTAGAATATTTATTCATTCAACTTGCATTTCATCTTTCCATCAAATGGTGCTCCGTGACACCAACAATGCAAATATAATAAAAGGTCTGCATCCAAGGTTACACAAATGGACTTCCACTTAGGCAGTGCATACTTTTCCTTCCTCTGCTCTCCACTTCAGCTCCGGCACCCTTCCAGTCCACTTCAAAAGATCTCCCAGTGCTCCAGAGCAGATTGAGGATCATGGGCAGTTGCTCTCCCCTTTTCACAGACAAACGCTCTTCTGTCAGCAGATGGGCTTTAGTCGGTTTTATCCAAATAACAGCAGGGCTCCTCTTGTAAATGGGAAGCTTTTGATTCAGTAGAGATTTTTCATGGGATAAATGTGAGGACAACCAATTTCTGCCAATTCCCCTGCACCCCGCTTTAGAATCCAGGGTGCCCTCCTGAACAGGATAGACGATGTCATAGGGGGTGTGAAGGAAGGGGAGAATTGACAAAAACATCACCTTGCTCAGCAAGAGAATTCTAACCAGTCTTGGTGCCTCTTCTAAAACTCTTGATCCAACCTGAAATGTTAAGTGTCTTCAACAATGGTTTTGGTTACATATTACTGTGGGATGGACCAAAAAATGAAAAAGACAAAGGCTTGATTATTGGCCCCTGTGAAGCATCTCTACTTGAGTTTCCTTTATGGAAGCAGGTTTAAATCTATAATGAAATATAATATATATAGTTTCAGTTTCATGATGTTAAGTCAGAATAATAGATTTATTTTTCTAAGAGCCAATAACATTTGACTTGTTCCAAACAACAAAGCACTTTAAAATCTTCAAGTCATTATACATTTTGACTACCTTGTTTCTACAGCTGTCTCTTTTAGAACATTTTTATTCCCACCCACTCAGTGTGCTGTGCTGTGAGCTGCAAGAAGCTAAGAAGAGAGTAAAATGTTTATCTCACAGTCAGTGTGAAAATATTCGAAGACTGCCATCTTTCAGAAGGTAAAAAGCTAAGTAAAAAGCTACTGTACACAAGCCTGCCTTCAATTAAAATTGTTTTGACATTTTGTGTATTATATGTGAATCATATAATTGTGTGTGATGTCTTGTAAGGGTGTGAGGCTGTGTGTGTACTGCGCAGAGGAGTCTGGGAGTTGGCAAGGGATCTGCTTTTGAGAAAATGGCCATATTCCACTTGATCTCTCTGTGCAAGTGGGACAGATTGTGCATGTGCAAAGTAGGTACTTTCCAATGTCTGCTGCAGGCAGTTCTGAAGGGGCTGTCTGTAAACTGAATTGAAAATGGATCTGCCTTTATACAGGCATGGAATGGAGGAGTTCCCTTGACAAGACATTTAGCAGTCCCAGGGTAGATCTTTATGTGTCTTTCCTATGGAAACTTACCCATACTCCTCTTGCTCCCCCTTGTTCTCCACTCTGAGCTTCCTTTTGCTCTTATTAACATTTCTGGCCTTTCTCAAATCGTATTGGCTTGTGCAAAGCTAAGAGAATTTAGTTGACGTAAATATAAATTAAGTAAATCCATAAAAATAATACATATATATTGTTAGAACATTTTGTTTCTTGGTCTTCCTTTATAAAAATAAATGTCCTCAAAAAAGCAGTGATTTTGAGAAGCTGCTCACCTTGTACATAACCAGAAGATTCTTAAGGTTCCAAAATAACATAATTGAGTGATTTCCTGAAGAAAGCACTTTAAAGCAACTATGTACATTTTTACATATTTTGCAACTTGCCGGTTCTCCCCTTCTGTTCAGGTTTGTTGAAAGTCAAGTATCAGACAAGCAGACTGCATTGCTGACGGATGATGACTATTTAAAGGTAAATATTAGGATTTTAGAGATCTATGATATTAAATCTTCCAGATAATTTTAATATTTCTAGTTAAAGAAATGTAATAGTACAGACAAATTACATTTCATTTGAATCTTTCATATCACACACTCAGAAAAGTGACCCTAGACCTGGAATTCATTCTGTGTCTACCCTATCTATATTTATATAAGACATTTGTATTCTGCTTTTCTTAAACTCAAGTAATTTTGTTCTCGCTCTGATAGCTTGCCATGCATAATACTGTGCATGTGGTTCTAATCATTTGCCCTCAAATATTCTTGCCTAAAAAGTGTTCTAGCTGCCTATCTCACAACATTTTCCAGTTAAATTATTAATATGATTTAATATGTGTAAGCACAACTCCACATTGGAGAATTTACTGGAGCAAAGAGTAAAATAACCTATAAACCATTTCTCATGGTTTGATGCTTGAACTTTGCTTGAAATCCTGGTAACAGTGATAAGGTTTTAACTTTTCACAATCTTTACAGTACGTGAAATAACAAACCCAGAGTAAAAACTCCATGTTGAATGAATGGGTATCTGTTCATGTGATGGGCTATTCTCCTATCTTCCTTCCAGCAGCCTCCTCTGGCCCCAGAAAATCCATAAGGGCTCAGAATTTTAAACCCTTTCATGTTTTGGGTGGGCTTCCTTGTGAGCCAGCAACTTCAACAGACCAGTTGCAGATAGGCTGCTGATGTGGGCAACAAGGATTTCCGCTGCAAAGGCTGGTGAGACACCTGCTGGGAGGACTAAGAGGGACTGAAGGAGAAGAAAGCCACAGTAAGCCACTAAGTGGGCAATCAGCTGTTCAGAGTGATGGACAACCCACCCACTGTGGCTTATTCTTAGGGACCTTAGTTTGATGTGCAAACTTGCCTGATATCAGGGTTTCTCTTGCAGCTAGTACTAATTAATTAAAAATTATTTTTTAAATTAAGGATGTGGTGAAAAACATTGTACATGATGAGCAGCTTAAATTAAGCCCTGAAACTTCTTGCTATTATTTATTTAGCAAAGTATTTCTTCTTTCTCAAACAAATATTTCCAAGGCAACTAGCATCATTTTAAGACAAACATGACACAAACTATTAAAATAAAAATCAATAAACCAAGTTAGCAAGCATAAGTGAAAAAACGGTGAGATAGGGCTTTCCTCCTTTCTTTCATAGATTGTCAAAAGAGCACCTCAGTGGGCTTACTTTGATGCAATACAAACCACTCTCCTTTCTATGTATTCTGATTCATTGATCCAGTTTGCATGTAAGGACAGCTAAGAGTATAGGTCAGGGGTCAGCAACGCGCAGCTCCGGAGCCGCATGTGGCTCTTTCATGCCTCTGCTGCGGCTCCCTGTTGCTCAGAATATGCGTCACAACCGCCAATGTGTGACACCCACCTGCACGTGATTTATTGAGCTTTTCGAACCCCAGTAGGCCAACCATGGATAAATCCAAGAAAAGAAAAGTTTCAGAAGAAAACAACATTTAATGGTACGTGGGCAGATTCATTTGCTTTCAGTGCTGACGAGACTAGTTTACCAGTACACTTAATATGTGGTGAGAAATTGGCAAACAACAAAAAGTCGAATGTTGCAAGTCACTTCCAGAATAAACACACAGCCTTTGCTGAAAAATATCTGGATGGAGATGTATAATATCCGGATGTATAAACACTGTCATTTTTTTTATACATGGCATAAAAGTAAAAAACGATATATGCAGTGTTAACTTCATTTTAGATGTCAAAGGGGTTTTGTGGCTCCCGGTGTTTTCTTTTCTGTGGGAAATGGGTCCAAATGGCTGAGTGCTTAAGGTTGCTGACCCCTGGTATAGGTGTTGCCTCACTCAGAGTTTTCCCATGATTTGTCCTCCAGATGATCGTACAAGGCACAGTTAGTTTTTTCAATTACTAGGTTGCTTGTTTTCTCCTTCCTATTCCAGAGTCCTTTCCAAATCTGTTAATACTGACATGTAGAATTGCTGGGGTGTTTTTCATCGGTCTTGCCTCCGTAGCCTGTCAAAATCTATGAATGCTGCATAGTCCTGGATTCACATGTAATGGCGATGTATAGTTAAAACAAACCTGAGTTCGCAACCTGCCAACAAATCACAGGTTCTCCTCCTGGTCTGTTTGTGGTTCACAATCCAAAGTTAAACCATAATTCCAGATTTGCAGGTAACCTAACCCAGAATTCAGCAGCCCATATACTCAGTCATACTCTAGGTTGTTGCTGCATGTGAACCAGGCCTTTGATTTACTTCCTCTTTAGCACAAACCGTTGTTTGCTGCTCCAAATGTAATAATGAGTGATGATTTGCACTGAAGATGAGGTATGTGCATGTGAGGAGGGAGCATGTTAACCAGCTCTCTCTAGTAGGACTTGCTGCTTGGTGAGTAGGCTTAACATTTTACTCTTGCAGCTCTAAAAGATGGTTGTTTCCTCAGAAGTTTCCCACTGAACTTTGTGGAGCTTATTTTCACTAAGCCTCATATTGTAGCTTCATTTGTTGTAATGAGAAATTTAGGAACATTGGAGATTGGATCAACTGTGCTGGTGAAAGTGGACTTCCCTGTCCCTCTAGTTTCCTGAAACACTACGCACAGAATCTGAAGACTGTGCCAACTGTGGTGACGTGTGGTGTGATGGAGAGTCTCTCAAAATTGGGAAGGGGAACCTTTCTCCCATGGAAGCCATTTCCTGGATCCAAGCCTAAAAAATAAATTGGGCTATTGAAGGATAAATGAATGAAAGGTGGAGTGCACATGACAACCAAAGCCATAATGAGTTGGTTGTTTTGTGGAGTACCCACAATAGACAATTGGGATCATTGTGGGTATTTCTTGCTCCTTCCTTCTGGTGGTATTTGAGGGGACATAAGGAAGGAGTCTCTTCTCTCTGACAGCAGCATTCAGATCATTCCCATAGGGCAGTGCATTCAGCTGCTAGCCCTTGAAGTGGGCGTCCCCTGCACATTGCTCCAGATGAGGCTTGAAGCTGAATATCACACTTCAGGGCAGGAGCCTTGTTTGCCTACTGTGAAAAAACAACACCAACAACAAAATTATGCATTGTCTCCGAATATGCTCCTGTCCTGAAAAGCATTGGGGAGAATGGGAGAGATGATCCAACTGCCTGCTCCAGCGGTAGCAGGAAATGAGGATCCTTGATCTGCTTGGTGGCATCATCACTACAGGGAATGCCAGTTCCTGCCTCCTGCCCAAGAGGTCTACTGTCTAACTGCCAGAGGGAAAGCAGATCCTGGCCACACTTGCCAGCAGCTTAAGAGATCTACTGAGGAATGGCTATGCCGTGCTGCCATGGTCAGGGAAAGGTGGTCAGAGTAGCTTTCAAATGCTGCTTGGACAGTTTGAAGGCTACTTTCAGTGGTACTCACCTTGCAGCTGCTTGTCAAGCATGGCAAGGGATCTTTGCTGCTCTTGGCAAGTGATTCACTGGCTGTTAGAGCTCACCCACAGTGAATTGTGTTGTTTGAGTTCAAATGCCACAATAACTCTCCCTGGTAAGAACAATCCTAGAACAGCCTACAGTTACTACAGGGTGATTAGTTTGAAAAAACAAGCCATCCTTGGTAAAGCAGCCTATTTGCATGACATGCTAATCCACCTATTGTTTGAACTATGTCATTGATTACTTGGATTCAAGAAAGCTTGGCTTTGCTAGCTAATCTATTTCTGGTGTGACTATTTCCAAGTTTCTTCACTGTTCCTCTAACCAACAAAAAAAATCTAAGCCAAGTGAAAAAAAATCCACCCTAACTAAAGCAGAATCTTCAAAAAGACTTAAGTCTCCTATGAATTCACATGTTCTGCTGTCTTAGAAGTAAAGGATTAGTTTTTGAAAAATCATGATCCTCCTAAGTCTATGGAGACTTGAGTTCATCTTGATCTGCTAGAAACTTCATCCATGAAAAGACAGAGTAGCAAAAATAGCAGTAAAAATACCAATGATGCAGTGCTGCATTTTTCTAACTTAGATAAGGCTTTCATAACGCTGAATTAAATCTTCCTTCTTTGGGACTTGTCACATTTTATTTCAGAGTTATAACAACCATTGAACTTAATAGAAAAACCTGTCAAAAACAGCCCAGCACCATCACATAGAAGACTATAGCACAAAATTATCTGTCAACGATATTGACTAAATTTAGGGGAACTGACACACTCATGGATTTTCTCTTTAAATCTGTAAGGAGGTGAAAATCTCCAAAGTAAGATTTATGTGATAGGAAGATATAACATCTGATTAGAGAGTTCTGCTAGACCAGAATGAATGTCCTGTTTCCTCAGAACCTTAGCCTCTTCATTTGCGGACTACAAGTATTTTTTGCCAACTTGTTCTAAGTCTTCTGGCTCTGCCAGAGAATTATGTCATTTGTTATACATGGGGAGGCATGAAGGGCTTAACTATCTGTGCACATACTTCATTTGCTAATCTTTCTAGAAATAACTATGAAGCCTGTTCCAAGCAAGAGAAAAAAATCAGCTTCTGAACTGTCAGCTACCAGGAGATAAGCCTTGGTTTCAGATATATTAGCTATATGCAAGGCATAATTTGTTGGAGCTGAGCTAAAATGAAAACAAAATTACTACAAGACGTAGTTTAAATTATGTAAACTGAAATACTAGGAATACAGTCCAGTAGAAATGATTTGGGGTTTATTCATCATTCGTTGTCTCCCTAACAATTTGGCGAATTATTCAGCATGATTTCTTGACGCAACTTTTGCTGCAATATCTAGAGGCATTTGGAATTTTAGTTTTCAGATTTTTAAAACCTGCAGCTTCTTTCTCAGATCCCGTGCATAGAACCTCAGCATCAATGACTCAAACCAGAACAATTGATCTTTACTGTTTTTTACCCAGTTAAAATCCTTCTACTAATTGTTATTTTAAAGCTGATTCCTTAATATGTTTAGAAGCCCCACAGGTAAAAACTGATATCTTCGTTATCTGATGGAGTCAATATATTTAGAAGACATACTTGTTTGGTAAGCTAGGAGACCCCCACTCCCCACCCCCAGGACCAGTCCTTCTCTCCTCTACAATAACTGGACTATTTATGATGAATGATACCATGTTTTATTCATTATAAGGTCTCTGCTGTGTATCAGTGGAAATGTTGTGCTGTTTGTATGCATTTTCTTCACTGTTAAGCAACCTTCCATGATGGATGTCACTATATATTATTACTACTTTGAATTACTTTGGAAAAGAATGCACAACATATTTGATTCCTTACTTTGGTTGGGGATCCATACTAAAGTAACTTTTCAGCAATGCAGCAACTCTGACTCTCCGAACACTCATTAACCTGGTTCAGGTGATTTGAAAGTCCTTGAGAGTAAGTGGCCATAGCTGGCTGTCCTGTTGTCACTCAGCCCACTTTACTCATGCTGATTTTGGATATTTCCTTTTCAGATGAACCAGTCTGAAAACCCATGGACTGTTTTGGGGTTGGGTTGGGTTGGGTTGGGTTATCAATGGGCTGCCATAGTGCCCCAAACCAGAATAGACAACTATTCTCACCCTTGGATCAAATCCAGTGGCTAGCAAATCACAAATCGAGAGAAGTAAAAACTGCAGCAACAGCTGCACAGCCTTGCCACTCCTGGTAATCTTGCCCATTCCACTCGTCCTGGCAGGACTGTCATGGGTTTTCTTTCTTATAGTTGGACTTCATATTGCTGTTTATGTCCCTCGCAAAAAGCATCCCATTCCCCTTCCAAATCTCCCCTCAAATGGACAGAGAAAGGAGTGGGATGCACTTTTGCACTTTCCTGAGGAGCTAGTGTCAGGAAAAAGTGCAAAATGAATTTCAAGGACTATAAAGGGGGGATGTCCGGGAGGTTATCACCATGCAGGGGGCGTAAATCTTACTTCCACATTTTAGTGAGCTAAGATCACTTGCACCTTTGGCTTCCCTTGGCAGAAAAGGAGGGCAAAAATGCTGTCTCAACATTCTCTGAGGCAGTGTTCAAGGTTGGCATCTGCTGTGCTTTGGCAGTAGGTACTACCCAGGATATTACAAAGGGGAAGTGTGCACCTCTTCTGACTTGCATAATGCAAAGAAATACCAAAAAATAAAAAAGCCAACATTTGGGGCACATACATTTTATTTTAAAAATGGGCTTGTTAGCCAATGACAGCCCCTCCAGACTGCTGCCTGGACACTTAGGAAGAGTTGTTATTGGCTGTCAAATAGAAGATCACAAAAGGCAATTTTCAAAAAAGTTTAATAATAAAAAGCTGTAATAAAGCCAAGGAAAAGGGGCTTGCAAATTGCAAATCACATTCAAGAGAGGAAGACAAGCCCATCCTTCCATGGTGTTTCCTGGGATACTGGCTGGAGGACCACAGCGGAGGGGAGTGAACAACCCATGCTGAGCCCAGTTGTCTGTTGAATGCACTCTGGGTCGTTCTCAAAACCACCAAGCCACTGTGACCTATTGCAAACCTGCCCATTGCAAGCCTCTATTTTAGATATCTCTACCTCAGTGAGAACCTAGTTAATTTGGCCCTTCTGCTTATTCTGCTATCAGCTTTTCCCAACCTCTTCCAGCCTCTGCTCCCAACATTCCAGGGCCCACACTTTGGAATGTTAAGGAAAGAGCATCTCTTTGAGACCCGATTTTGCTTGCTAAAATTCTGATGTTAAGATTCTTTCCAATAGGCTGAAAGTGCTAGGCTCATTCTATGATTAAATATAGAATATAGTGGTTCTTTATTGACCGAAGGATAGCACTGGACCAAACTTTAGTAGTTCAGCACACCAGCAAGGGTAAGTTAGATATAAAATAGAAAGTGCCCAGTATTTTCCCCCCTTAAAAACAGCTTCCATTCCTTTTGTTGTTCCTTTAATCAGAGACTGGATCCCTGTGTGCAAGCAGAAGGAGCATCCATGCACACCCTGGGTGGTGGCGTGGCACTTCATTTAACCCCCTACCTTTTAGGTGAGACTTTCAGGGAATGGAAAGAGTTGCATGGATATAAGCCATGGAACTTAAATCCAGGCGAATACTAATAGAGGTCTGGTCACATGGTAGCATTTCTCTGCCTCTCCCATGCCAGTGCAGTTCCTTGTGCATGCACATGCACACACCAGAAGCTGCTTCTGAGTGATATGGGGGACTGCAGCAACGGTGGGGAATACCCACATCTAGTAAGAGGCGTTTTATCCAAGTGAGCATCTACATTAGATACGAGACTTGATAGTTCTTGCAGAACAATTAAGTAAAGCAAAATGCTGTTAGTTTAATAATTCACAAAGCACACTTCAGTGCAACTTAGCTATGATTAACAAAACTCCAGTTCATTAAAATGATGCTTCCATGGATAGCACTAAAATCCAAAATTTGGAATGTTTCCAAGGAAAAATGTATTGGTTTCACTAATATCTGAGGATCCTAATTACTGTCTGATACTTAGATTGGAATTCCTAATGTCTTTGGAATTTATTTTATCTTTTGACACTATTGGTGCATTTTCAAGATTTTTTAAAGAGATTATTGGCATTCCAGCATGACTCTGAAGGCTGCAAGGGCAGAAATCCAGTTGAACTCAGTGGGATTTAAATCTGAGTAGGCATTTATGCAGTTGCATTGTAATTGTACTCTACAGATACTCTGTGACTCTCTCTTGACTGATACAATGAATAATATATCAATATAGGTTTTCTCTTTTATTATTTCAGGAAACAGCACAGGCATTGCTGCAAGATTTGCATACTTACCATGAAAATTTTTACCCAGTTCTCAAATGTCTTCATGCTGTCACATCCTCTCTTCCAAAGTATCCATTAGGCAAACAAGTATGTACATATGTTAAGTGCTGACATCTTGAATTCTTTCAGTGCTGTTGCTTCACTCTGTCTGCAACAGACAGACACAATTAAGTCCCCCCTCCATTAATACTACCCAATAGATTCTATAAATCATGTATTTATATATGTCCATTTTAATAGGTACGTTGACTTCGAAATAAAGATTCGGAGCCATCTAATTGCTCCAGCTGTCTCCTCACAGTGAACAAGGGAATTTGCAATGCAGTTAATGGGGTACGGATAATAAAAGCTACATTTCCTAAGGGAAGGATCTCCAGCTTTTCAGGATACCAGACTCATAGGGGATTTTGTGAAAGGTCATGGGCATTGTCATAATTTAGCTGCCATGATGGGGCAGGGAGGCATTCACAAAATTGTTGCCATAAGGGATGACCAGTCACAAAATACAGTTTTTTACTGAAGGGTAAAAGGCAAGCAACTTGAAACTAGAAGGCAAGTCATTTTCTAAAAACCTGAAGGTGGGTCTGAGCCTCAGAAATCCATTTCACAGAGGAAAACTGTTAAAGCTAAAAGAGAACTGACTTATAGAAGATGAATATGTGGCACAAATAGGGACCGAACCAGTGTGGTGGAGTAGCTGGAATGTTGGGCAGGGACTCAGGAGAGCTGCATCTAGCCCTACTCAGCCATGAAGCTCACTGAGTGACTTTGGGCCAATCACTTATTCTTGGCCTAACCTACCTTGGTGGGTTGTTGTGAGGATAACATGAAAAGGAGGTAAACTTCATGAGCAGCCTTGATTCCCTGCCAGAAAAGTAAAGTAACACACAAAGCAACTTCTGTGAACTCACAATTCTCTTCCTCTTTCAGGATCAGTCTACACTTCCATCCACAACATACAGAGACACATTGACCTGGTTCACTATCATATGGAGCCATCATGAGTTATTTAATTCCCATGGCTCTGAAACATGCGTCAGCCACCATTTCAACTATGCAGGCTTCAGCCCATGCATGCTCACTGCAGTGTGTATACACAGAATGGCAGCCATCCCATATTGCAGAGACTTCAGGTTAATTATTGGGATATGCACACAGGCCCATGGAGCAATTGTTCTGCAGCAATTTAGCACTTTTTGTTGTAAACTAAGAGTGTATATTTTAGTCAGTTCATGTTTGTTAAATGTTCTTTTCCCTTTTGCAGATCAGAGAGCTGTATTGTGCATGTTTGGAGAAAAAAGTGTGGGAAACAGAGGAATATGAGTCAGCCATGCAGCTAGTGAGGTAAACTCCTTTAATTTTCTCTTTCTGTTTTAGATATGCAAGATGCCTTCCTCTACTGTTCAAGAATTGCTAGCAAATGGGGAGCCTTTTTTGTAATTGGCCACATTTCACACAAAATGCTAAGCCACCCTTAGATGTACCCAACAGACAGTCAGGGCTGCTATGGCTTATTCTTCCCCTCCATCTCTCTCAGTTTTCTAGTTTGCTGAATCAGTTCTGTTGTGACGGATGCTGGGATACAAAGTCCCAGACTGGGTAAGATCTGTGTCCCCTCCCACCCTCACATGCCAGTGGAGAGGCAGGGCAGAGAGAATGCAGGCTCCCAGCCAGTGGGAAGGCCAACCAAAAGAGTCAATCCATGGATTCCAAGTGGGACCATCCTCTTGCCTGCTAGGTGCCCCTAGCCCTGCAGACCCCCTACCTAGGGCACAGGAACAGCCCCAGGCAATTGAGCCTGCCTGCTTCAGTGCTGAGCTTGAGTAGGCACAGCCCAGAAGGAAGGTCTTCCCCATCTTTCCTGAGTCATGCAACCTTTTTAGAGGCTCAAAGGGGGCTCTGCTCAAATTATTGGAAGAGGCAATCGACTGGATGAGCACCAGGACTCCTACCAGGAGCCATAATGACTCTCATTGGTCTCGTGGCAAAGAGGGCTCTCCCAGGCAGAGGGACATCCCTTGTGTTGGCTCCTGCAGAAGCAGTTCATGAGGGAGATTTTGTGACGAGTGGTTATGACTGCAGTTATACATCCACAGGGAGCACTGCCACAGCAAATCCCACTGCAGGCCATGATGCAGCCATACACCTAGTTGCTCTCATTCCCCTGTGAGAGACAGTAGAGAGGGGGCTTGCCAGATGGCTGCAGGGACACACTCCAGAGAAAGCCCTCAAGATCCAGCCAAGAGGAAGCTCCAAAATGAAAAAGGCTGAATGAGCAATGGGGGTACAAGGTACATTCTCCACCTTCCTCCTCCTCCTCTGACTCCTTCACCTTCAGGTTCTCCTCCTCCAGATCTTCAAAACCTTTGCACTCCAAGGATGGGAAGCTCGACAATAGGAATAGGCACAAGGACAGAGAAGCCCAGTAACATCTTCTCTGCCTGAGACCTTCCCATAACTGATTGCCAACACCCTTAACATTATCAAGCTGATGGACCATGAGCAGCAGGAAGCTCCTGACTTTGGCTAACCTAAGCAAGGAGAGTGGAAGCGGATTTCAAGCTGCTCACCCCACACCCATCACACATTGGTGAACTTTTATGAGATCATGTACAAGGAACGAATAAGGGCAGCCAAGCCAAGACCAAGACCAAGCCATTGCTACTGCAACAGGTTCTGCCACCTGTAGGAGGATGTCACATAGGAGCTGGCCATACTGAAGGTGAACAATCCAGTGGCAACCCTCACCTCTAGACCCTTTCCTGTCCATGCTGCATGATGAGCACCTAGCAGTTCAGCATAATAGATGGGCCAGTGCTGTCCAAGCAGCAACCATCTCCACCATAGTGGCACACAGAATCGACACAAAAGCCAACAACTTGGGGAAGGACACCCAGGAATTCATGTGGGAAGTTGTCACAGGCACGGCCTTCCTGACAGATTCTTCCCTTGACCCTCTCAAACTTGGAGCAAGAGGTACAATGTCCAGCACTGTGACACGGAGGAATATTTGTTTGTGCAACTGGGTCATGGGTACCAAAATCATCTATGTGGGCATAACATTCAGAAGACAACATTGTTCTACAAGCCCCTAGACAAAGTCCTGCCCAAGCCCAAGGATGAAACAACTATGCCAAATACTCAGAAGAAGAAGACAAAATAATTTCCACTGCATCCAAGTCCTCTTGTCCTTTCAGGCACTCTTTTCCCTTAAACTATGTATGTAGGGAAAAAAATCAATGAGAAAAACCAATTAAATCATACTCATTTTGTATTGTGCAATGTGACATGCCTAGTTTTCAAGTATATAGCAGTCCTATTGAATTCAATGGCACTTCTTCCCAGATAAGGCTGTATAGGATTGCAGGCTCTCCCACCCCCATAATCAATAGTCTTAGGTGACAAGGAAAAAACCCAGATAGTTTGAAAATTATTTCACTGAATATTTTTCTCCCTTTGCAAAAGGGTAGCCAAATATATAGTATACAACATACCCCACTAAGCATTTCAGCAGTTTTTTTATTCTGTATCTGTAATGCTTTTGGACTGTTTTCTTTCAGAATGTTGGCCAAGAATGACTTGGTAGACGTTCTTGAAAAATGTGTGGCAATTCTTGCATCCTGTCCTGAAAAACATCTTGGAAACACTTCAGAGAAACTGAAGGAGTACTTGGGCCGACTTAGAAATCCTGAAGGTATTTACTAACCTATCCATTTGTGTTAGAAATTTAAATTTCATGATTCACACAGAAGAAATCTTCAGCTTGGCAGCTATACTTGATATATAGCTCACTCTTGTAAGAAATGGCTTTTTGAGGAGAAATTGGCAGAGAGGAGGATTCTTGGACTTTTCCTCACCACTGGATGCATAAGGTTTCTCAGATGATATAATGTATAGAGGGGTGGGAGATGATAAGATTGCAGTGAATCCATTTGCAACTTCTTTGCTGACAAGAGCCTCTTTGATCCAGAGGAGGCTTCCATGACGGAAAGGTGGGGAGTAAAGGTATTTTTGCTGATATCCCATTCCCTCTGCAGCCCCCTAATGCATTCTCCCTGGTCAGCTGTAGAGGGGCACTGGGGGCACCCTTTGAACAGTGGGGGAGGTGAGGTGGGGAGCTACAAAAGAAAAGGAGCTTTTCTGAAAACCGCCTCCCTTTCTGTTTCTCCTCTGAATCAGAGTTCTCTGCTAGTGGAAGGGCACGGTTGGATACAATCCTCTCCGTTTACCAGGCTTCTGCAAAAGGTTATCAGCAGGCCCATTCAGTGTTAGGTGAATTATTTCTGCGTCGGAGCTAGCACAGATGTGTAAATAAATGGTTGGTTGTGGAGGGTTTGAAACCAAGGAGATGGATCTTGGGTGGCAAGCATGCAGGTGTAGCAACGTGGCAGCTTCTGCTGCTGTCACTTCTTCATAGGTGTAGCCTAGAAAAGTGACTGCCCTACACACTGTCTCCCCACAGAGAGGCTTTGATGATCTACTGCTTGTAAATAGCGCTGCTAGTGAGGATAAAGCAGACCGTCATCTGCCATATGTTATTCCAGTCAGATTCTACTTTTCACAGCTTCAGCATGGCTAGTATTCATTTTCAGGCTTGTGCTGGCTCCATATCTTACCATCTACTCCATAATTGCTTCTATATTTACAAAGCAGTGAGTCTGTCCAGAGACTCCACTAATGTAGTTTCTGCCCTATACTCATTTATAAAGGTTTTTGCTGATCTGCCACGCACACTGGCAGCCCTCTTAAAATGGCTGCATTTTTTTTACCTAATGGAGAAAAGTGCTACAAATGATGCTATAAATTAATACATTGAAACCTCCAGAATGAAAAAGGCTAAGACAAGTCTAAAGACAAAAGCAGCTTAGCCTTCCTGGGGTAACCTTTTTGGGACCTTGGCATCCTTCCCAGATTATGTGACTGAAACTTTAGTGGTGCCTGTGTGTGTTCTTCAGGGTCAACACTACTGTTTCCTCCTGGATAAATGAAGTCATGTAGTGCAGGCAATCTCAAAAGTGCTTTTAACCCTTGCAAAATAATAAAATATACAGCTTCTACCTGTTACTGAGCACAAGGGCACTGCTAAGGTTTGAGGGAGTCCTGAGCACAGGACTTTCCAGCAGGGGTGCTTGAATAGCACAGACCCATCCCCTCCAGCTTTGCTCCCCCTGCCTTAGCCAACCAGCTTGCACACACATATACACAGCCCAAATTTCTCCCCATTCCACAACATCCTGGCTGCTCTCCTTTGCCAGGCAATGCTGGGGAGGGAGTGCCTTCCCTTCGTTCTTTTTTCAGAACCTCACTGTCATGATGGCACTTGCACACCCCACTCAGCCAAGCAACAGGCACGCCTGCTCCTCCGCCACTGTGTTTTTAAAAGAAAACTGAAGAAGGGCATCCTCTTCCGGGCACTGGTTGGTAAAGGAACGTGAGAGGAGAAGTGCTGCCTGCCCTGTGTGAGTTCTGCCATCCCAGCCCCGCCCGTCGCTGCCTACCAGAGGGTACTGACAAGGGCAGGACACCTTTTTTCCTTCTTAAACTTGAGGGGAGAAAACCCACTTCTGTAATAGTAGATGTACACCCCAGCCACGGGCAGGCGGTGCTGGTGCTGGTCTAAACAGCCTTTCTTCCACCACCCAGCTGTTTAGTAGGGGAAAAACGTTGCATGGAACCTTTCTCATCCCAACATTACCTAGGAAGCTGGAGGAAAGAAATGGTGGGCTGGAATGCTGGGGCTACTATGGTAACTGTTTTTTTCCTTCCTCACCCCTAACTGGTAGCACCTGTGTCACTTTGCTTCAAATTTTTGTGAGTTAAAAAAATAGGTGCAGAACGGATTAACCTTATTTACATTGACCCTTATGGGGAAATTTGATTTGGCTCACGACCAATATGGGTCACGACCAGAGTCTTGGAATGGATTAAGTTCGTGAGCCAAGGTACCACTGTATATCCAATTAAGCAATCTATTAATGCAGTTACTGTAGATAGCTGAATGCAGAGTATGCACAGTTTGACTGTTTTGCCCAAGATTATTTTTTAAATGTGTGTCACAAGTTTATGTATATCAACAACTGAGTTATTTAGCAGTCTGCAGAATTCACTCCCTACATTCTTCAAAGCATTCTTTGTGGTTTTAGTTGCTGTGTTTTTTTACTTGGTGTTTCGAAAGTTATACAAGGGTCTCCGGCTCAATTTGTTAATATCTTTTTTTGTTTACTTTTTTGCTAAGTCTGGTTAGTTCAACATGAAAGTGAACTGTGTCCAAGATTGAACTATGAACACAAGATTAAAAAGTGAATTGAAGCAATGTTGTTCTGGTTGCATGAGACACTTTTTGGCCTATCTAAGAGAATTATGGGAGGTGTTAATTACGCCTTACACAGCCAGTGTGCTGCTCACAAACTAACATCTGCCTTATTATATTGTGGTGTGTGTGGGAATTGGCTGTTCAGAAGGGCAGCAGAACGCCTTCCCTTGCCTGCCAGTTCTACCTTTACAAACCCTTTCCCAGTTCACATTCAGCCAGCTCAGTGGTGACATAAGCCTGACTGGGTGAAAAACCGTCCCAGGAAGTGGATTTGTACCTCCCCAGTGGTTTTTTTCTCCGTGCAGTTCATCAAAGAATGATGTGCAAATGTGAGGACAGGACTATTTTGAGTTGTAAGAAATCTAAGTTCTTAGAATGAAATAGGCAAGCAGCAAACACACGTTTTAAATATATTAAAGAACTTAATGTTGTACCATCATCTTGAAGGTTTAGAGTTATAGAAATAGAATTACAAATATGAGGATATACGAAGAATTTGAGGAGAACCATATTATTCATGCCATCAGCGGGAAGAGGTAGAAATCAGCAAAAATGGATCAAGAAGCTGTAGCTGAGCTCTCGTTTATTTTTGTGTACTTTTAAGTCAGTAAATCTCTACTGGCTTGAGGCAATATGAAATAAGCCTCTTTTTTATCTGAATATTTTGCATATGGGCAGTGGAGGAGGAAGGACAATGAACCAGAAGTGTCTGTGTTTTTAAAAACAATAAATGAAAGCTCTGTGGAAGTCTTTTTAGTTCAGACACTGTGCCCAGTAAGACTTAATATGGGATTAAATAATGCAGAGGGATTTTACGGTTTTCTGCATTTTAACTTTAATTTTTCTCCTCCTCTGAGCAAGTCCTTAATCTGGTCCTGTTTGAATGCAGGAAGCTGATATACCTGAGGGAGGGACGGAAGGCCTTGAAAGTCTTATTGGCTGAGACCCTGACTTGCCTCTCCGTGGCTGGAATGGCTGCATTTCAGTTGCCCAGCCTCAGAACAGCATGGGAAGGAGGTACTATGGGCTGTGGAGAGCAGCGGAAATCGGACAAAACCACAGCCTGTCTCCACCCTCCAGTGGCAGTCAAACTCTATGATCCTGCCCAATGTAATCTGCCTTCCAGATTCTGCATATGTGTTCTCTTTCCCTCTGTGGGCAGCTTGCTCCAAACACAGGTTTTTGTGACTGATTCTGACCCTTCTTCTTATTCCGGCAGCTGAAGCCAGTGATGATCACGAGAAGTCCATATCCTCACTGAAAGAACTTCAAAAGAAGACAGACCTCTATCATCTTCAGAAGGTCAGAGTACTTCAGAGTGGGCTGTTGACTTGTGCAAATATTTTTAATCAATTGACTTGCCAAATTCCAGAGCCTATATAATAAACAGCACTGGAATAAATGTTTAAAAAACAGCCCAGGAGACCAAGCAGGAACACTGCTTAGAGGTGGCCCAGTGTGGGAAAGGGACACGAAGGCTGTTTTCTCTTCCTTGTTTGTTCTTTGCCATGCCTGTTCCTGACAGAATATTCTGCATTACATCATGTTGAAGATAATTATCTGATTTTTTCTGAGAGCAAAGTCTGACTTTTTCTTGACACAAGTTTTTTCCTCCCCCCTCCCACCCCCATGCAAAACGCTGCAAGGCCTGATTAAAATTCATGTTCTTTCTAATTGTTAAACTAGCCACAGTGCTCAGGTTAAGTAAATTCTCTAGAGTGATACAGGTGAGACACATTGTGGCTCCCTTCTTCATACCTCTGCCTTTGACAACCTTGGACCAGTCACTACCCAACCCTACCTCACAGGCTTATTGTGAGGATACAATAGTGGGGAATTTCATGTATTTCATGGCAGTCAAACAGTCATGAATGTCAGGAGTCTCAGTTGACCATGGCCTGCTTTAAAAGTATCTTTCCGTTAGCACTATTGTTGATTGTTGCAAAAGAACAATTGTGCCAGTTAAAGAGAACAATACTGTTTATTCATCACAGCTAACCTACTTTATGAGTTACTATTGATAATTGCCATATGAAGTGTGTGTGTGGAGCTTCATAAAACAAAATCCAAGAATCTGATGAGCATTGCCAAGTGATTTATCACACATAGTTATTTATAAGTCTCTTTTTGTTCTATTCTGCTTTGCTTCGCTTTAGACTCTGCTGGAGATGAAAGACTCAAGAAGGCTTAAGAAACTAACACAATTTGAAATGCTTCGTTTTGAAGTTGTTGACTTTATAGATAGCCTTGTGAAGTAAGCATTGTTTTCTTTTTATTTGTTTCTTTATTTATTACATTTATGTTTTGCTTTTCCCACTACAGGCCACAATGGTCGGCACTATTTTTAACATTTTTTTAACACTGTTGCACAGTTTTGTATAGTAAATTTATGTCAGTTCAACAGCAGACAGACTCATTTGGAATGTGATGAATCATAATTGGTGGAAATACAAATACTGGAAGTATTAAATTGAGACAACCAGTTGAAAATTATGTGTTGAATCCATATTTGGGCATGTACAACTCAGCTAGCAGAAATAGACTTTCCTGTCCCTTCCTCCTACCAGAGTTGCTGGGCTGGTTTGTGATACAGGAAAAAGAGAGAGACCCTCTTTACTTGAGCAGAGGTCAGGATTTCATTTGATTGATCCCCCCCCCCACAACCCCCTTTTTGGCTTTGGCTCTGGTTCATGAAGGATCCACTAGGATAGAAATAGAGCTTTAAGAAGCACATTATTCAAGCAGATGCATTATGCAGTTTTCACAGAAGGGAAGATTGAAAAGACAGGACAAAATAAGTAGAGAATGTAGCAATGGTGCAAGGTAGGAGATTTACTTTCCTAGGGTTTGGGGGGGGAAATGCAGATGCTGATACTGGAACAAAGTCATATTAAAAAAAAAAAGAAATGAGATATATTTAATGATTTTTTCCAAACATGTAGAAAGGGAAAAGCTGACGGGAGCACATTTTGAAAAAAAAAATCTGAAAAACAGGTGGATTTGACAAGCATTGTTAGCTCAGCTGGGTGTTTTTTCTGTCTTCTGACTGTTGACCATTTTCATAAGATGAGGTTGCCACTGGAATTTATGGAGTTTGTTTCAGTCTCCTGAAAAAGGGGGAAGAGCTGGCTTAAAAAACACTATTTAGTTTCTAACCATGTCAGATGATAGCAGAGCACCGTGTGAAATGTACAGATTTCCTGTTTAAGCTTATAAGCAGAAGTTAAGATTACCCCAAGTAAATATCAATCTCTCCCACCCTTTATTCCATGGTGCTTTTTCAGAAATTTCCTTGCTCCTGCAGAGATGCAGACATTGCACGAGGTGATGTATTTCAGTGCAGCAAATACACTCCGGGAGCATTTGAATGCTGCCCCACGGGTTGCTCTTCACACTGCTCTCAATAACCCCTATTTCTATCTGAAGGTAAGCAATCAAGAGCTAGGCAGCTTTCCTGATGGTCTACCTGCATAAGTGCCCTCTGGAACTTACTGTGTTCAGAACTATCCTTGACTGGCTTTGCTCATTGGGTTCAACAGGATGGGCCATGCAGCATCTCATGGCTTGAAGTGCTGCTATGAGATTCTCACAAATTCCATAAGAAACACATGATATTCGTCGCTGTCTTGGTGCAGGACAGCTATAAATATGGTATGTTTCATATGTAGCCATGGGAAAATGATGGGGTGGTGGTTTTTGGATCATCCAAATATCACCAGAAGACTGTTCTTAAGCATACTGATTGTGTCAGTAACATGCTTGTGTGACTTTATGAATAGAGTAATCCAGGCCGATGATCACTGCCCAATTTATACAAATCCTCATTTTTTAAAAGTTCTCCTGCCTAATTTGTCAGTAGAAAGAGTACTCTTGTCTCCTGAGACATTGACAGCAGTAAAGCTATATGAGGTGCTTAAATTATGTGCCAATATGTCCACCCTTATTATTGGTACTTGCTGAAATTCTCTTGTAACAGATCGTTTGGTAAGGCACTTGAATTGCTAAATACAATGATCACTATGTGGCCTAAGCAGAAGGATAGCATTGTAAAACAAAATGTTATTATTGCAAGCAACTTAATTCTACTCACTGTGTTGACTCAATTAGCAGAACATGAATGATCAAGAACCAGGTTTGAAAACTAATTTAAAGTGTGTGTCTGTCTGATCTACACATTTATCTGATTTTAAACAGAATAAGAACTTCGATTAGAAGAGCCAGCTTAGTTTCCAATATAGTTGATAAAAAGCCAAGTCCTAGGCTTGGCATATTTGATAAATTTCTTATGTGCTTTGCACAAATGTTATGGACATCAGTAGCAATCTCTTAGTTGTTCCAGTATACTAGTAGTATTTAATTCTATTTTGGAAGAAATAATTTTTCATAGTATAAGTTCAGTACAGTCTGTTCCTTCATGAATTATAAACTAGGATAAAAGTTCTCATGATAAATATCTGTCTATAAAGAGATGCAGGTGGCAAAAGAACCAGTGTATGACTAACGATATAGGTTTCCTTAGAAGATCTGATCCATCCATTAGCAATGGCAGCCTTACAGATAAGTACTGAAAATGTATCAGTCCTTGAAAAATGTTGTGAGCTTACCCATTCTCTCACATGTGTGGCTGCAGTAGCATGAGTTAGGGAGCATGTTTTCTTTGACTTCACCCTCCTGAATCAGCAGGCACGTCCCCCTGAAGAGCTAATCATGCAGAAAAATACCTTGCCCCCAACTCCCACTTTGTTTTTGGATTCATAGTCACTAACATTTCTGGTGGAGTAGGATAATGTCAGTAAGTGATAGTTAAAGCAAAGACATTGAAATCCTTGGCTTACTGGAAAGAAATGATGTTGTCCAGACCAAAGAGCACACTCCATTATGGGACGTTAACAAGTAAGAAATCAATGTTCGAAAGCGATTTTAGAAAGTCTTACAGCCAAAAATGAATAAGGAACACAATGGCCGGGGTTACAAGCTCATGAAGCCCAAGTTCATGAGCAGCAGCCTCATGGACACTGGTCACATGGTTGTTGTTGACTTGTTGCCAGAGGAAAGATAAACTAGAGTTCTCAGTTTACATGAAAAAATAAATCACAGAAGGAAGTTTACCATGCAAGTAATTGGGCAGTGTTATATGAACACGCCTCAGAAGTATTTCTCTTGTATTTTCTCAGTTTGCATTGGATTATTGTATTAATGCAGAAAGAAGCACCACAATAGGAATCGAAGTTTCCCACGGTGCCAGCTCTGTAAATGGAATACTTTACCAAAATCAAGACTTTCATCCAGTTCCATTGTCTACACCTTCATTAGTGCACAAAGATAGAAGTCTTGTCATTCAAAATCCTTTTCTCTTGGCTCTCCTGGGTGTTCAAAATCCTTTTCTCTTGATTGTCAAGATACACCTCAAGACTCCATTCATGGCTGATTTCATTGTCTGTGAAAGGGGGTTTGAGGCCTGGGGCTGCGCATGTCACAGGCAACTTAGTTGCACTGGTGAGTGAGGGGGGAAAGTGCTCAGGCGCCAGCCCAGAGAACTCCTTCTTTGTCACCTGGATGAACAACAGGGAACAGGACGTGCCTGGAACTTTACATCATGCAGCTCCTTCTGGAACTTGGCTGTGAACATCTGAGCCCTTGTGCTTCTCATGGTAGTCATTTTCCCAGTTTGACTACCAGTCCCAGTGTAGGGTAGGGATGAAAGGGAATTGGTCCAACATATGAGGCACTGTCCCAATAATGGGTAAGGGTTGCTGTTGTGCATGCCGCAGCTCCCTTGAAAGAGAGCTTTGCTGGCCACTGGCAACATGCAGAATTGTCTTGAGGAAACCATGAACAGGGTTGATTGCATATTTCTTCATGTTACTGCCAGGCTGGTATAAAAGCATGGTAGGAAATCTGCTTTTATTCCCCCCATCACCAAAAAAAATCACTAAAGGTATAATTTCTGAAATTGGTTGTATTATGACTGTGATGTTTACAGGAGTCGGAGTTGAGGTGCTGCACATAACAACATGCCTGTGATATCAAGAGACTGGAAAGTGCTATCAGTTAAATCAGAGGTGGGAGGAAAGCTAGACTGATGGAATCAGTCGTATATAAATTAACACACATGGATAATTGTTTTCTTGTTAATATGAAATCTGTTTTCAGAATGAGTCCCTGAAAAGTGACGCTGGATCCATTTCCAATACAGCTCCTGATATTTGTATAGCATACAAGTTGCATCTGGAGTGTGGCAGGTTAATTAACCTTGTCGACTGGCTAGAGGTATGTGAACATGAATCCATTTGACAACTGTTTCTATGCTTTACCAAATACTTACCTGTCTGTGCTCTTTTTTGTTAAGCCTTGTTGGTTCTGACATCTAAATGTGTGTTGTGCAACACTGCAGTGTCCTCTTGGTTCTTTCAGGTGTTCAGCAATTTAGTCAATATGACCTTCTCAGAGCTAGTAAAATCATGTGTCAGTAGCAAAGGCTCCTTCATCAGATGATGAGCACTACTGTGCATCTGTCAAAAGCCATGATAGTATTAAACTGTCACTGCTTCTTTCTGCAAAAACTGTTGAGAAGGAAGCCATATCCCCTTTGTTCACTATGGAGGGAAAGCAGGGCTGGTCTATTTCCTTTGCTTTAATCCTTCTGAAAACTCCAGCCATATCTCAGTACACTTTCTGGAAAGAAAACAGGAAGAAAGCATTTCTTTCCCTTCCTCTGATTCTTTCAGGAAGGAGCAGTAAGGCATGACCAGTGCTTCCCAACTTACAAGACAGAGTCCCCCTTTCCTTTCCTCTCTGTGTCTGAATGGAGATGTGACTTTGCTCCCAATTGAAGTTCTTCAGGTCTAGCCATCCTTCATAGTTCCTTCTTGCAAAAACCTGAGAGCCAGGGAGGAAAGAAACTCCTCTTGGTCAATTTTTTGCTATAAGCTTTAGCAAAACATGGCTAGTTCTTCCTTCAGAAACCCAGCTCGTGAGAACAAAATCACATCTCCTTTCATCCCAAATGAGATGACTTGTCACTCCAGCTGGACTTTTAGTGTCATGTTGCTGCCTACTCTTACGAAGTTGCATCAGTAAAGGAAAACAAAAACCCACCTCTTCTGTTTCCAGATAATTTGTAAACAGGGGAACTGATTTCCTATTTCCTTCCTTTCAGCCTGGGGTCCTCAAACTTTTTCAACAGGGGGCCAGTTGAAAGGTGCCGGTAATGGGCGTGGGCCGCTAAGGCAGTGTAGGTGGGGCGCAGGGGCTGGGGCGTGGGGGGTACGTGCGCAGAGATCATTTTCTCTGAGCAAGTCCAAAACAATCTCCTTGCGAGCAAGCCCGCCCCTGCCTCATGCGTGTGCCCCCCCCCACCCGCACCACCTCTATGGTGGGCCGGATAAATGCGCATGGTGGGCCAGATCTGGCCCATGGGCCATAGTTTGAGGACCCATGCTTTCAGCCTTTGCAGTGGTGGTAGTGACACACTGGTATTGCTTTTTGCAAAGAAGAGGACAACCTGCTGCTCTTGTTTTGCTGTACAACTCCCATTAGCCTGACACAATATAGCCAGTGGTGGGGAATGAAGGAGTTGTAGGCTAAAACATCTGTGAAACCACAAGTTACCCACCCCTGCTATACGGGGAGGGACAGGCAGTTTTTTTCCCTTCCTGTTGGGATTTTGTTGGAGGCAGAAGCAGCAAGGTATTGCTTGCATCTTTTGCAGAAGTCTAGTAAAAGGACAAGAAACCTGCCCTTCTCTCCACAGGATTCCAGAAGGGGAAGAGCCTGTCATGACACAGGTAGTGAATGTGGCAACTAAGCCAAGCCACAGTTTGTCCAGTATGACTACCCATGCTTTAGCGTTGACTCTTATGGTGCATATCTGAACTTGAATAAAGATTAAGGAGTTTTGTTTGGATTTGAAGCCTACCCTAAAGCTATTGATGTTTTCATTAACCAGCAAGCCGTAACAAACCTTAAAGCCCCACCCGTACCTCAATTTGCAGGAGTCTTTTCCTTACTGCTTCATATTTTTATGTGCTGTCTAGCGGTAAGCTCTGCACTGGAAATACTAACCATGACCTTTCTATGAATTTTATTATTTACACAATGCAGTATATTGATATGTTGATATGTTGGCGACATACAGGTATGTGAGGGGATGTCACATGGAGATGGGTAGAGACCTGTTCTCCCCTGAAGAGGAAGGCAGGACACGCTCCAACGGAGCAAAGCTCAGGGAGCCAAGGTTCCATTTGGATGCCAGGAAGCACTTCCTGACAGTCAGGACCCCGGGGGTGTGGAATGGGCTTCCACGAGAGGTCGTTGAGGCCCCATCGGTACGGGTGTTCAAGGATAGGCTGGACGTGCACATGGTGGGCATGTCATGAGCGGAGCCGGCTGGTGCCGGAGGTCAGACTAGATGGCCCGGGGGACCCTTTCTGACTCGCTCTGTTGCTATGTTTCTATGTATATTCAGTATGGCATTTTTCCTTAGGCTTTTTCAACTGTTGTAACAGCAGCAGAAAATCCAAATTCTACAGTCAAGGACCAGATGGATGATGTTACCCAGTATCCTTTTCTAACATAATTTAGTATGTACTTGATACATATAATTTTGTATAGATCAAAAACAGTCGTATCAAACATTTCACAGCATCCTCCTAATTACATAAAAGTAAGCTGATTTAGTATCAGTAAAAACATGTAGAATTTTTATTTAGAATGGGAAGGTCTCTGTATGCATTATATATACACTGCTAAATGTACCAAATTTTCACAGAACTTAAGGCTAATTTTTGCATTGTGCTAATTTTAGTTTGTGGTAACACTTAGTGTAGTACTGGGCAATTTGGGGCAAACATCAGAGGATGCAAAAGCCAACTTTAGTTAAGGGTAAGATTTTGTGCTTTCATCTGGTATGTACATGATTTTAGGTAACAATCTTGTTTTCTTACCCTCTTCCATTGGGTTAGATCTAGACTGTTGTGAATAGAAAGTCTCCTGCTGCCCATGGAAGACTTATCAGCCAGAGCAAGGGGATGTGATTTTATGTTTCCCCAGAAAACAGCATTGGAAGGAACAGTGTAGGAATGGTAAAAATAATTTTTCACCAGCAGGAGCATTCAAAGTAGACCTCTGCTTGGGCTCTTCCACTATCAGGGGCAAACTATGAATTATAGATTCAACCACTAGATCTTTAACAAACAAGTTATCATGGGTAAAAGAGGATGTATTTGTCCTGCTCTTGAGAGCCATAATGCAGAGGTGGCTTCCAAATGTAATTAGCTTACATCTTCGTTCTACAAGTCTCTGTGTGCAGGGGGGAAAGAATTGGCATTCCAAGGGTGTGTCTGTGAGATCAGAAAATGTGTTACATTGTACTTCAATTAATTACCCAGAATTTATTCCCTATTAAAAAAAGGTATAGTTGCGTTTCTGTTTCAAGGGCTCGTGCTGTTTCCTTGACTGACAACTCCCCAAGTGCTCGTTTCGTTAGAGCAGTCTCAGAACTAGAACTCTTGGGATTCATAAAGCCTACCAAACAGAAGACTGATCATGTGGCAAGGCTGACATGGGGCAGTTGTTAATATGCATTGGTTGAAAAAGAAGGTAATCCTTTAAACAAGAATTTGTATAGAAATAATGGCTTATCATTTGGCTTGCGTTACAAGAGAAATTCTTATGCCATTAATAGTAATAAAAGTACATTAAATGATTTTTTCTTTGTATTAAATTAAGAAAAGCAAAGCATTAGTTTAATACTATTGGTGTGTTTATGTTTTGGGTAAAGGTTTCCCCATGACATGAAGTCCAGACGGGTCTGACTCTAGGGAGTTGTGCTTATCTTTTCTTAGCTGAGGAAGCCAGCTATCTGCATTTGTTTGCAGATAGTTTCCATGGTCATGTGGCTGGCATGACTAAATGCAGAGGCACACAGAAGCTGTTACCTTCTCACCGAAATGGCACTTACTATCTACTCATATTTGCATGCTTTCGAACTGCTAGACTGGCAGGAGCTGAGACAAAGCAACGGGAGCTCACGCCCTTGCATGAATTTGAACAGCCAACCTTTCGATTGACAAGCTCAATGGCTCAGCAGTTTAACCCACTGTGCTGCCTGCCTATTGCCTGGCTACAGAATTTTTTCTGACCCAAGCACATTGAATTGATTACATACAGTGCAAACTGCAGGATGGCTCATTTCCAGGGAGCGGTGTGGGGCTCCCTATAGATGTTGCCTAGCTATTGTTAGTGGTTCCATTGCAAAGTAGGATTAGGGAAAGGATTAAAAGCATAGTCTTAATGTGAACCAACTGTAGCCCTGACTATACATATATTGTGAGCCAGAAACACCAGCTTATTTAAAAAGCAGGAACAGATTTAAAGTTGTTCATTATTATTCATTCAAGAAAATGAGAATAGCTCCATGAATAGCCTACTGTTGGTAAGCAGCACATCAATGCTGAGCTACATCTAAAGGGCCAGGAAGAGGTTGAAACTTTATTAGACTATATTTAACCTCTGACATTGAATATTCATTATTTAGGCTACAGTATATTTGTTTTCTTCAGCTAGAATTTGACCATTTCTCTTGCTTTCATCTTTGCCTTGGCAGGGCACATTCAAGCTGATGGGATTTTAAAAACCTTTTGTACTTAGGGAGATTAAATACCTTGAAGCTAAATTTAGGAATAAAAGTTCATAAAGGTACAAATCAGCCATTGTTTGCATAACTTTTTATCACAATATATGACTTAAAATTGAGGAGTAAGCATATAATGTGCTTCAACATGTTACATAGAACAGACACATAGAACTACCTTCAGAAAGTGCTTACATTGTAACTGGAACAGAATGCAGCCCTCCAGACTAAATGGGACAGGTTGCTCAATATGTAAAACTCAGCGATTTCAATTGGCAGCCAGTGCAGGTAGTTGTGTTAGGCTTCAGAGGAATGACTTTGGAAAAGCCTGAATAAATGAATAGGATAGCAAAGACCCTTTTTCCTGCTTCTGTATGCCTGAAATCAGCCATAAGCAGCATTCCAAGAATTGAGGGCTTTGGGGATGCAATTCCCCTCCTAAAAATCCTGTCATATCTCATTCTTTTTGAAATTGAATGATGCTTTATTGTAAGGGAGGGTTAAATTTTTCACCCTGATAGAATGCTTATCAACAGAACCAAGGGGCAAGGGGATTCTTTCTCCCCACTGCACACCTCACATCTGTTCTGGAGCAAATTGACAAGGGGCAGCAAGGATGGGGAGGGAGAGGAGAAAGTGTGAAACTAGATTTCTCTCTGTACTTTCCACTCTGTAGCCAGATTTCCATACTTGCTTCAACTTTGTAGAAACTTGGAAGTGCTGCACAGCCTGTAAATAATTTTGGGATTAGAACTCAGCTTCATTTTAAACAAATGACCCTAATCTATTCCCTCCTGCTGAAAGACAGGTTTTGTATCATTGCTAGAGTACTGAAAGGACTGGCTTCCATCACTTTGCATGCAAGAAACAAACTCCTCATTGGGAAAAGGATATGCAGGGCAGATGGGCCAAAAAGACATATGAAGTTTTTGTTTGCTGAGAAAGATTTCAGTTGGAAAAAACAGACTTCACATCTGTGTGTAAACAGCAGTTTTGGATATACTAATCAGTAACTGCTGTTGGTTTACCCCAATGAAATTCAAACCACCACCAATCCAAGTTCTATATTGCTTTTATACTTGAATCCCACACTTTTGCCAAAGAACTCAAAGTAGTTTACCTGTGGTCAACAAGACAGTTTACTGAACTAAGCCTAGATAATCTCAGGAGAACTAAAGCATGTACTTTAAGACTAACTCCAATGCAAAAAGTATCTAATCGTTTAATTTCCCTTTTGTTTTTCAATATATCAAAGCCAACAGCTTAAATGTAACATTTCTCAGAGAAGCATTTTGAACCCAACACTTTATGTGTAGGAGGAAAACAGAACTCTAATCCTTTTCAAGAAAGTTGTCTGAAACTACAGAGAACATGGGCAGAATCCTAGCTCAGAATGAAGAATGCACTTCAAAGCAAGCATGGATAGGTGAGCCTCCAAATGCAAGGTGCCAGCTGCGGAATTCCCCAAAATGCATAAAAGCCTGAAGGAAGACTAGGCTTTCACATTGAGAACATTCTTCTTGATTTTCTGGTAGTCTGAACAATACTTGTGGAGTCTCAGTCAAGTCAATGGATCCATTAGAGTGAAATGCAAACTGAGTTGACATGCTTTTTCTTTTTCACCTTCTAACAAATGTTACATCTAAGTCCTTCAAGGAAAAGGTTTACTCAACTTTATGACCTCCCCCCACAGGGCTAGGCAAATTTGGAAATATTAGAAAAACTGTATATTGTCTCTCCCCTGCAAGCATGTGCCACTCACAGAATAGTTGCCATTAGTCAAATGTTATTGGCCTGTAAGGAAGAACAAGGCTAGAAACTGGAGGTTGGGTGAATAGTAAGGCTAGATAGAACCTGGGAGTGGAGAAAAACAGCAAGGGAGAAAAAGGTGGCAGCTGGGGACAGGAAAGGGAATGAAACAGTGAGGAAAGGGAATTGGCTAGAGGCTAGGACTGGGGAAAGAGCACAGAAAAAAGGGTATCTGGGGCCCCAAAAAAGATTTGGTGAGGTCTGGAAGCAATTCACTCCTTCTCTTCCTGCCCACTGAATAGCTGATGAGCAGCAAAGTCATGAATAAGAATGAGAACATGTACCTTTCTTCAAGTTTTAAAAAGTACATTTTTGAAAGTGACAGGAAGAGGAAAGCTTCAGAGGTATTCATTGAAGAACCCTATTGCATGTCACTCCAAGCTACCACACAAAAGGGGAAAAAAAGAAATAAAAGACTTGGACCACCCTAAAGAAGTTAAAGAACGCTTGAATGTGGAGATGGAGGGCATTTGTTATAACTTGAAAAGACCTATCTAGATGTTAACATGAGAATTAAAACAAACTGGAGGTACAAAAATTTTAAAAATTATTTAAAAACCAACTGGAGCAACAATAGTTCTTACAGAAGGGACATACCAGGTTAAGGCTTTAGGATGGAGAAGGCTTCCAAACAGTTTTGAAAATAGCTTCCCTTCTGAATCTTCAGTTTAGAGGAGAGCCCCTGGCTCATATAACATCTGAAGTCTGGCTCTCAAATGCTAATTGATCAGCTTCTGGGCAATTATGCAAGGAATATGCCCCCCCCCCGCCTCTGTCAACACACTGGCAGACAAAAGGGAAGCTTTCTAGAGCTTCGTTTTTTCCACCTTTTCTTCCTGAACTATCAGTCAATAGTTTTTGGGCAATTCAATTAACATACATCTAGTATGCCAATAAAGACCACCTTTCTCTTCTCTCTCTCTATATATATATATATATACATATATAAACACACAAGTTAGAAGTAAATGTTTTATTCTTTCAACTAAATTCCAGTACTACAAGGGCAGTAAAACAATGATACACTGAAAAATTGCAGCAATAAACATTTGTTAAAGACTGATAGAATAAATAAAACCTACAAAAATGAGAAATTATATAAACCCATTCTTAACCCCCCCCCAAAGGTCATGGAATACAGAAATGCCCTCCTTCACTATTTCACAGGCAGTACTGTGGGCTATTTGCTTTAAGTTGTCCAGGAATTACATTCTAATTTAAACTGTGAATACAGCTTTGCAGTGCACAGTTATGAAAACCACACTAACTTCAGTCAGAAGTGTCATTCTACACTTTTATTTACACAACCAGTGAAGGGGCAGAGTTCTAGTACACCAGCTTTAATCCTTTTACTTTTCAAAGTTATTAACATAAGCCAAATTGTAATGATACAGCAAATGAGACCACTGGTATTAACAGGTAGCAAAGGTCCACATCCAGGTGGTACTGACATCAGGGAGCACTCCAAAACCAGTTGCTGCATAAGAGTGGTTGCCACTGACAAAAGCTTGAAATAACCAGTGTATGGGGGGGAGGGGGAATATGGCATTGTTGCAAGTCTTTAAAGGACAGCTTGCAACAATAGAATAGGGTTTCAGGGCTGCCCACATATGCAGAAAACATGATTCATGAAACATCTGAAAAAGAAAAAAGAATCAAGTCAGGGATAAGAACTGATTACATCATTTAAAGATATGACACAAGCCCTTAGTAAGTTGCCTGAGCATATTGAGAGCTACTGAGCTGGATTCTACATTCCCGCAGATGGAATTCTACCATGCTATGCTTCCACTGACAAAATGTGGAAGACAGTTTTCATGAATACCCACTGCAGCCCTCTGCGCCCCCCATCTCCTCCAGAAGTTTGCTGGACCCTGTGGAACCATATAGGCATAAGTTCAAAATACTTACAACTTGCAGGCTGTTCTCCATATCGTCGCATGATCTGGTCATGCGTGAACTTCACAAATGCGTCATACTGTTCTGTGAGCAAGGAATATTCCAAGTGAGTTGAGTAACCATACATGGAAAGCATTTGATGACCAATATCTACAGGACAACCAGTCCAGAATACATTAACATTTAAGCACATGACCACATACACTTGCCTGCACTGGCTCAAATGTCGTGCCTAAGCATCTACTAACACTGAATCCCTTAACCTTTCTCCTCCCTGTGCTGCAGTATCTGAATACATCATTTTTAGTTGCCATTTATAGTAAGTTCTTAATTATGCTGAAATGAGTTAGTGTCCATCATGAGAACCTATAATTACTTAGGGGATTTGCATTATATGCACACCCATTACATTTCCGCATACTGCAAATTTACATTTCTACCCAGTTGAGAATATAAGCTTTTCACAGCAAAGCTCAGGTTCTATCTTGAACATTTTCTTTTCATTATACTGAACTGATTAAAGGAAAATCAGAATTGCTAAAGATGGAAATACTAAACTGGAGTTCTATAAAAATAATGTCCATTGCATCTCTGTTGTAATTGAATGCAATTAAGATGTCTCCCACACTAAAGACATTCAAGGCAGAACTGAATAGTCATCTGAGTGGGATGGTGTGACTTGGCATCCTGTATCAGCAGGAAGTTGGATGCAATAGCCTCCTTGGCCCCTTCCGACCCTACTATTCCATGAATCTATGAAGATGAAGCCAGGAAGCTATAGAGTGTTAGTGTCTTCCTTTCCATATTAAGAATTAACTGACAAGTTATGTGGGTGGACAGAGAATGTTGACTAGACTGATACCATTATACCCTTCTTCCCTCACATAATCTGCCTGCAAAGTGACAAGTTGTCAGGCTAAGTGGCATCACCATTAAAAAGCAGTTTCATTAGCATCATGATTACAATACAGTGTTTTAAACCTCCATCATTTCATTCAAAGCAGAAAGCATGATGAAATGCATAATGCTTGTCCAAGTAGCTTGGGAAAGCTGTGAACACTTGGGAACTACTATGTGAAAATTCATGTGGCTGAACTATTCTTTTTACCCATCAAGTGCAGGAATAATACCTAGTTAATAAACTCATTTTGCTACTGTCTACATATTGACTGCAAGTTTGAATAAAGTCAAAAATCTGCCATTCCTCCTTTGGAAAAAGTTAATTAGTAGGAACCCAGAGAGCTGCAATCATGACCCAGGAGGCAATTCTTTATTCACAACAGTTGACTGATGACTAGTTCACTGTAGCTTCATACATATTATATGTATAGCTCACCTTTTTTCCTTTAAAGGAACTCAAGGTGGCTTAAATAATTCTCATCCTCTCAATCTTATTCCCACAACAACCACCCTGTGAGGTAGCTTGAGCCAAGAGTCTCTGACTAGCCTAAAGTGAGCCAGTTAGTGCCATGGCTGAGTGGGGCTAGAACCCAAATCTCCTGAGTTCCAGGTGTGCACTCTTTATTACACCACACTGATTCTCTCCTTTTTCAGTTTGCCTTTATTATCTTTTATCATACCTGCAAGTTTTGTGGTCAAGATTTCTTCATACTCTTCACGAATTTTCTCTTCACGTTCTTTGAGCAAGCGTTCACAGATCATTCCAACCTGTCTGAGAGTAAAGAGGGGCTGTTCTTTTTTCAGTGGTGATGAGGCTACAGATGAAGTACCTTTGAATAAATAATTCCATAGTTAGTTCTAATGTTTTAGAGATTTTTCAGATCACTCATCACTATAAGCAATACATTTGCTAATGTTTTAAGAATCAGACTTAAGATCAATGTGAGCAGCCCAATCATGTAACTTTCTCTGCATGAAGCTTTTCAACACAAGCCTCTGGATTAAGTACTTTGCGATTTATTGAGCTCAGTACTTAAAGCAAGCATCAGAAGAAGCACAGCATAAACTGTAAATTGCCAGAAACCACATACGTGTTATTTTCCAATGGACTGAAATATCCACAAGTAGTACATTCCAGTATTCCTCTGAGTTCTGCCCATGTAACAATCCATGGACTATGGGAAAGAAACAAGTCATTTTTCCTTGATTCCTCCTTTCCCTGCGGCTTTTGCACCACCACTCACAACATGCTAGAAGAGCAGTTTTTCCAGGCAGCATAAGCAGCTTCAAGGAAGAATCAGCACAAGTGCTTCCAAAGTCATTTCCACAAACAGGAGTTCTTTCACTTTCAGAAGGGAGTATCTGGGTGCAACCCAATCTGTCTTTTAACAAATAATATAGGGCCTATTTGCTACAAGCTATTTTATGCAACATGAATTTGCAGCATGGGAGCAGCAGATGCTTTGACAAATCTGCTAAAGGCAGGCCAGCACTCCTAGGAGGGTGAGTAAAACACTAGAGATTACAGACACCTGGAGCACCTCCTATCAATACCACACTTCCCAGTATACTCCTTACCCCAGGCCATCTTGCTGCTGGAAAATGGCCAGTTTAGGGTTGCTTTACCCAAGAATGATGAGAACTAGAGACTACAATTTTTAGCTTGGCAACAAAGCTAGCTAAAATGTGTGGACCACCGGTACTACTAATGGTAGATGTAGCAAGAGTTTGTAGAATCCCTAGAAAGGAGATGTGTACATAAGGCCTACCCTGCAGTCTCCAACCCCAAAATTTAGTCTACTTGAGGAACCCCCCCCCAAATAAGTTATATGCCTAATGGGTTCTCCCAAAGCAGTAAGCAGCATATTAAAGTAGAACAAATAAATCATTCAGTCAAATGCCATGTAAAATAGAAACATCACATTGGAGGTCAAGAATATAAGGAAGCTTTCCTAAGCTAACAAATTAAGGAGTGCTCTCACCTGCACTCATTCCACAAAATGCTAATGTCTAAGAAACAGATACAGTTTCACACTGGGCCCAACTTAAGGCTATTGACTAAACAGTCAAGGACCAGGATATCTGAAAGGCTGTCTTCTCCCATATGGATCTGCCTGTGGGCTTCTAAAGCCCTGTTGTATATCCCACCACTTAGACTGGAAATAGAGAACACCTCCTTGACTTGTGCCAATAGTAAAGCCTCAGTTATGAAATTCCCACCCTCCCCTCAAGATTAGACTCCAGCCTGTTTGATAACTTTCACATGGGCAGTGAAAGCATTTTCTCATTTGATGTTTAATGGTTTTTAAATTGTGATCCAAGCTTTTCACTCTGTTGTTCCTAGTGTAAATACTTTGCTTTAAACGCATTGTAGTGTTTTGTTTTATGAATTGCCTTGGGGGTCCTTCTTAGGGCAAAAACCGATATCAAGATGATTTAATAAAAGAAATATTAGCACTTTTATTTCACCCTTAAGTTTGCTTTGCCTTTCAAAAAGATTCATTAATTTAATAATCCTTTTTAAAAGAGATAGTTTTTCTGTTATTTGCTGATCATGTGGAAAGCCTCCTCTGAATATCTTTGGGCAAGAGGAAAACTTCTGCTTGCTCAAAATTGCTTCCTTTCCTTCCCCGTTCACCCACACTTACCCCCTAAATCTCCCAGAAGGGGAAGAATCCATCTGCCAACAGTATCTGTTCCATAACTTTCTGGGCTGTCAGAATTAGTACAGTGCAATTCCCCACCCCATTTTGTGATGATGCTATTTCTACAACAGGACCTTCTTAGTGAAAAACAATGGACCCAAGGCCAATCTCACTCCTCTAGAACCTGGATATAATAAACATTATGGGGGGGGGGCTTACCTGGCAAAGCTGGTCCAGAAAGGAGAAATGCTTGTGACTGTGCATCAGTAGAACAACAGGGATCTGTTTGCTGAAAGTTTTCTAAGTGTCTTCTCTTCTGCATACGTTTGTACTCCTGTTTTATATTGTACAGAATTTGCTCTATAAAGAGAAAAGATTATCAACTGAGTTTCTGCACTACAGTTCTGGTCCCTCTTTCCAATACTAAGCAATAAATATTTACACAGTATTAAGAAACATACTACAGTAAATGAAGTATATCAACAATTGCTTTTCAGAACACAATAGATGTTAAATGATGTATTCAATTAAGGTGTTCCAGCTATCAGGGAAACCATTTTTTCTGTTATATTCCCCAACACTATACACTGGCCTAATATTCTTCTCTACTCATACTCCCAGAAAAGATAGATGCTGCTATGAGGATATAGTATTAGTATACTCCATCACCTAAAAAGCAGCAATGGAACTGGCAGGTCACAAATGTGACACTGTGTCACTGATCTACAACATACATTACAGCACTATGTGCAGCATAATTCAGTTATGTAACCCTGTTTGCACATTATGTGCACTCTCACTATCTTAATACTCTAGTTTCTCTTCAGGACACATAAATCTTATTGCCTTAACTGCACATCATCCAACTCTTCCAGCCACTGCTTCTGCTCCCCCGATATATGGGATAATATTCTCAAGCTTGCTGTCTGTTAGAATGCTTATCTGCAATGGCAAATATCCCTTATACTTGGCATTACATACCCTCATCCACTGAAACGGGTTACTTCAGTATTTGCCCAACTGACAGAATCCAGTGGGACTAAGTTGTGCCCACCCTCTCTTCTTATTACACGCAGAAGAGAAAGGTTCACAGTAAGCCAGTGTTCTCCTGAAGAATAGGTTTACTTATATGTGGCCTGATTACTAGGCTTTTAAAAGACAACAGAAAATTTAGTAATGCATCCCAAACCCTGTCTGTAAGTTATGAACTGGAGCTAATCTGCCTTAGTTCAGACATGTCTCTGTTGCTACCCCCAAGTCCTCCAATCTCCTATTTTGTGATCTAAAGGTCAAGAAATCAGGATTCAGAGATGGTAACCCAGCATTGCTTTGCAGACACCTCCTTCAGCTAGATCCCATCTTAGTAAAGTACTCATCTGTATTTTTCTGTGTTTCCATTTAAGAAGCAGTTTGCAGACATTGAATTGCAAATATTCCTCACTTTCATGTCTACAATCTCAGGAACACTCCAAAATTGAAACCAGCATTTTGGAAGGTGGAAAAATAAGTTTTTTTTTAAAAAAATAGCGTGATAGTTAACTTTCTAGATCAGATCACCTATGAAGTGTCATGTAAAATATAACTTAACACTGAAAAAGCAGCAAAATCAATTCATCTTCAATATCCCAAGAAAGCAGTAAAATTACTCAGCAGTCCCACCAATACTGTCACATCAAGCTGCACTCAACTTGTCAAATCAGTTTTCTATCTAAAGATATTTCTTTCCAGCATCTAGACAAATTTGATGGGTTTCAACTATCAGGACAATTCTAGCCAAGGTCAAGAAAATCTATAAGAAATGCCTAAAGATTGAACATTGGTCCGCCTTTGGAAAGTGTCCCCATGTTTTACATTTCACAGTCTTGGGATTGGATCTACCATAGGAGTGGGAGCTGCTCACACAATAGGGTTTACCCAACCACTTCTCCCCCCTGCAGGACCCACATCTATTCTAAAAAATCCCCCAATCCTCAAGGATAATTTGGGAGGCATGACACAAGGACAGGACATCTATTCTGCCAGCACTTTCCTTCCAGCTAGTAGAATCACACAACTGGATCCAGCACCCAGTTCTGCTAGAATGTTCAACAGATAGAATTCACACCCATTTTCACACTAGGCTCTTATATGCACATCTAAAAATCACACCCTCTACACTCAACTACTGTCCCCCCCCCCGCATACTTGTGCACCTTCACTGCATGGACAGTGCACGTAAAATATCAAGATGTTTTTGAAGGCACAGTCTAAAGAAGAGTTAGCAACACATTGTCTTAAATCATGTCCCCAAGGAAGAATGTAAGGCACCCTTACAATGGGATCCGATTCACACCTACTCAGATTTGAGGCTTGTTGACTTCAATGACACTTACTCCAGAGTAAGTATGTATAGGACTACAGCCTTAGTCCAGTCCTCTCCAATATGTAATGGTACAAATTCCCTGCCCCATCAAAATATGCTTCTCATTCTATGTACAAGAAAGTATATCATTACAAAAGCTGATATAGCAGATATATACAAGAAGCACTGCAAAGCTGTATTTAAATCTGTTAGTATGATTATAAATAAAACAGTTGTTTTCAGTCATGGAAAATAAATTGGTTTTTATCTCTCTCAAATGAAAAAATAACTTAGGTTCATCTTTGCCTGCTTGACAGACCTGTCATTCTATTGACTTAGTTTCAAATCAGTAACATAGCAGGATTCCTGTCAGCAAGCCCTAACTAAGTTGCTTCACAATAACTAATATTTGAATATTTTAACATAATATGCCAGAGCACTGGACACAAATGTAGTGCAAAGGGAATGCTAAAATTCCCCTACTTTCTTTCGGCCTATTATTCCTGTCCCATTGCACTGCTTCTTAGTGCACCAAGAGCCCTTGGTGGCTAGGTAGGAAACCTGCCCAACCTTGAGACCAAAAAACAAAACCAGCAGGTAGCAATGGGAAATAGCCTTGCATGAAGAACTTTCCACTCATGCAACCACTGGACCCAATCCAGTAGGTATAATAGTGTATTATATGGTTCTTTGCTGCTGAAGACATTTACTGGGCCAACATATCAGTTCTAGGAACCAACTGTGGCCATGGTAGAGGCAGTTGCATCTAAACCAGCATAATTTAAGTGCATGAGACCAGCTAATTACTCTCTCTGAAATTTATCAGCAACCATGCGCTAAGATGGCCCTGGCCTGTACTGCTGCTTAAGGGAAGTCATCTCATTAATTGCCCTGTAGTAAGACTTGACGGTTCCTTTCCACTAACAAATGGATTGATCTGCTGCTACTGCTGCTAGAGACAAAGCCACAAATCAGGAAAGTCCCTGGTTTGAATCGCACCTGTGCCGCCAACTCAGTAGTTAAATGTAGGCAAAACATCCTCTCACATTCATTCAACATGGAGGACAACAATGCTGACTTCCTTATCGGGAGTTACTGTAAGGATTACAATTATGAATTCTGGACTTCACCTAGTATTGTCAATTTATAGCTTTGGTATTTAATTCATAGTTTATAGCTAATTAATGTATTTCAAATAAAGCATACACCAGAAACTGTTCACATGTGGATTTCAATTTTTAATGGAACTGGTGGAAGAAACATCTTTAGATTCTTTTTAATGTTTATTAAATCTTACATTGGGCAGAAAGAATAGTGCTAGATGTTATAAGATACAATTTTTGAAAGACTTCCAAATCTTAATCTAAAAAAGATTTTTTTCCTATCTAAATACCAATTTTGAACAGGTAACAAGTATGCAGGCCAATTAGCATCCATATGGCAAAAAAAATTCTCATTCCAAAGTAAGGGCATATACATCTTTTTGTATAGCAATTACCTCATAGCTAATATTATCTAGTGTCCCATGCATTTGGACTCAGTCTTGACTTCTAAAGAATTCATACAAAAATTTTAAAAAGGCTTGAACGTGTATTTTTACTCTAGATAAAATTAAGTTTGAATGTTATCTTTGAAAGTATTCCTTACTCAATGTACTAAATAAACTTAACACTTTTAGAGAGCTACAGAAAGCTGTTGATGTACTATATAAAACGTACACTTTTGACATTTAATAACAGTCCCAACAGTACTCAAATAACTATTTGGCACAAGTGAGAGCTTTGCAAGCCATCACACTTTATTTTTTAGATACCATTCACATCATCTCACCAATTAGTTTTCATTAGTTACACAGAATTTAATATGTACCTGACTGTTTTTCACCTAGAATACAATTACTACTCTTATTTACATCTCCAAATTCTTAATTTATCATTAGGAATTTTGGGTTGCTTTACAGTTCATATTTTGTAGGAAAGTATTTCATATTGCTCTGAGCAAAATGAGTGAACTGCACCACAGCCTTCCTAAAAAGTCTAATTAAGTTACTCTCTTAAAATCCTCAACACTACTAACTAGATAATGTACATGAAGTGCACTGAACATTTAAAAGCACAATCTATGTGTGAAAACATATAAAAGTACCTGCCCAGACTCTTTCCATCTGAATTAGACTTAGACCTGCAAGCTGTGATAACTGATTGAGGTGGGTTTTGGAAATATAGGAGAAACTAAAATGAATAGCCATGATTAAGAAAAGACTGGTTGGGTTTAAGTGCCAAGAAATTTGGACACATCTACAAATGTTGAAAACAAGCCTGATTTAACCGACTGAGATTATCACCACTTATGAAGTTAATAAAACTGAACTTTAATTGTCTTTTTAAAAAGTACTAATGTTCATGTTAAAAGTCTTAATTCAGGTGCGCACATTCCTCTCCAGCTGCCATTAGATGATACCAAGAAAGGATATTCCACACATGCAGCAGCAGGTGGACCACATGCTGTTGCACTGAAATGCCTGTTTGAGGTTAAGAACTGGTGTACAACCAGGAGTCCTGGATGTAGTGGGAAGGGTTCTCCCATCCACACCCATTGGGGGTAATGCATTCTGTGAGGCAGCACAGAGAAAACACAAATAAACAAATGAGGTGACAGAATGTATCTGTAAAGGAATTGTAGAAGTTGGAGCATTTCATCTACATTCAACAATATTTAATCACCAATTTACACATCTGCTAAAGAGTACTCAGGAGTAATTTTGATAATACTCCAGTTTCCACTGAAGCTCAATATAAGACTTCAAACAATAAAAGATGGTGCAATATTTGTTGCTTCTGTTTCTACAGGGACAAGACCACTTCCACACCAGAATATCTTTTCTTTAAGTTGTCTTTAACTTCTGCCTCCATTTTAAACAGCTGAGCTTAAAGGTTTGCCTTTTATTTCTTCACTGAAGTTTAAAGGGAACTGACTGAATGCACAGCTGTGAGAAATGCTCAAGTCAAGAGAAAGACAAACAGATATTTGTTAATGTAAATCTTAG